CACAATCGACCGAGTGCGTGGTCCCTCCCAAACCACGCGCAATTCTCTTAAATTCGATAACACGGGTCTGTGCAGCTCTATCAGGAATCCAATTAGCTCCCGCGAATCCATCGTCGTTCAGAGTAGCTTACTCCCTAGGATCATCTGCTCTGTAGGCAATGCCAGATTGAGAGTCCCCATCACGGCCGGCAAAGGTGTGTTTATGTACAAAACCTTCTTTAGTAGTCGTTGATTTGGCAACATCCGACATCTACCTGCACCCATTCGTCTGGGTGGATGCGTAAGGGACAAACAAAGATCTTCATTTGAGTCCTTTGGCGAAGAAGAGGCAGAGCCGACTCCACGACTTTGCTGCCTGACACGTCTATCGAGACCACAGATAAGGCCAGATATAGCAACACTCCTCCGCCGACTTACGTAGCTCCGTGAGGCGAGTCAGGTGCATCACATGGGAATATTCAAAAGGGGAATCGGACATAGGGACTCGTTTCGACCTAGACGACCCAGAAAAAGGGACGTAGTCAATGTACACTATGTAGGAAATCCAATACGTGGTTTGGTAGCTCCTTAAAAGCTCCGGATTTGAATGAGTGCTCGTCGACTGTGCAAGGCCTATTCGGACAATAGCTCAAGGGTTGGTCAGCCGTTTACTATCTCCAGCTCGTGATTACGTGTCAGTATACCTTGTAAAATATTCCGTACCTCTTAGTTGCTGGTGAACTAACAGATTCCTGGTGTTTGCCGCAGTCACAAACGTTTGGTAAAGATTGAGAGTTTTCGTGTTTTGATGTAAATTGATGCCTTTGTTGATACTAGCATTCGTTTTTCTAGTATGGCAAGAATTCTACAGAACAGTGACGCGTGGCACTGTGTGATTGTGAAGCAATCTTCAACCAAGTCTCTGTCTCTCTCTACTATTGAAGCCTATTGGCTTGGAAAGGTGACACGCGAAGACCTCTTATGACTCTATCAAACACATTCATAGGTACCTTCCCATCCAGCTTCTATTTCATTTGGCTAAACATCAGCTTCTGCTCTGTGCAGTCATCGTACGAAGGGTGACTTTGGGCAAAAAACAAGTGAGAGACAGCAAGAAAGACACATAGCGGATCACGATTGAGTGTCATCTACTCATATTTCTATTTTTGCAGGGCCTCCAAGCAAAGACAACGTGTGAAATGATGCTACATGTGCTTGTCACGCTCTCAAGAGAGCGAGGCAATGATCAAGGAAGAGAACGAGCAGCTGTCCAGCAATGCTACTAGGTAATGCAATCGCTTCAGACTTAAGACCTTCTCTTCCAGTCTAACCCCAGCCACCCACAACCACACGGTTGAACTACTCGTTGACCAAACAGTAACGACAAAGTGGTTTCATGATGAACTTTCTACATAAATTCAGTCCAATATGTGCCAACGATCAGTAGATGTGGTGTTGCGGTATTTGTGGTAGTGTTGTCGGTCATATTAACGACCGTCTGGGGAAGGCAACACTTACCAATTGCTCGTTTGTTCAAGTTCGTGGTGACCCACTCCACAAGGTGAGAACATGAATCTCAATTCAAGATTCGATTTTGGAGCAACACACGTCAAGATCACACAACAAAGGCGATCAGACGTGTTAGAGTGAATGCAAATTACACCCAAACGCAGGATTGTCAACTGGGTCCCGACAGTAGAAGCATGTGATTCAATTTAATCTACATGGGTCAGCTTTTCAACCACTTTTGTTTTACAACACGCCAAGTGCAAGGTTTATTCGTCCTGATGCACATTTGCACGTCAAGTTCTGGAGAGGTCCAAGCTGGCCTGTGACTCTCGCAATATCTCAAAATTGTCAAATTGTAGAGGTTCCCTAAGTGGCATTGCACTCCTTGCGGAAAACATAGTTAAACGTATTGATCTGATCTGATCTACTGATCGTTTCAATTTCCTTCGGCGTATCAGTCCCCAATTGACGATACTTTCAAGAGAATCAAGACGCATTCTAGTTGAAGACGCGTTCTAGTGGCCTTAAATGGACGTTCCAGATTTCCTACTCTCGTATAATCAGGCTTCTAACGAAAACAATCCTTGTTTTTTATGATGCAAAAAATGTATGTTGGACAGGGTGACTAGAACGAGAGCTCCATCGCCGCGTTCTTTGGGCTAGGCCAACACGAATCTCCAAATGAAGTCTTGTAATGGATGTGTCTTGCCTCGTAAGCTCTCTTCCTTATAGAAATGCTCGATAGGAGCCTCAACCATTTCGAAGTATTGACCGCGATCGCTCAGGCTCCCCTGTCACAAATTGTAGAGAGGCTTACATACCGGTACATTGGCTAGTCAAAATATTCAAAATATTGAGGTACCTTTGGACAATCGGCCTTCAAATCTCTTGACATCAACTTCAACATGCAGTTTTTGCACAATTTCGCACGAAAGCTGAGCTCGGCGCTCAGCTCTTACTGAAGTATGAGCAGTCAAACTGCAATGGTGTTTCTGTCACGTTTGGGAGTTTTCCTCTCAAGCTCTGGGTTTGCTTTCAAGCCAAACATAAAAGATATGGAGCCTGGTAAAAGCCAATTTCAGTTGTCAGATTTACCTAGCGTTGCTGCTTGGCTGTAGCGCAAGTGCAATGATGCTTTTCTCGCAGATCAAGAACATATGTACACTACAATCTCCAACAGCAACTAGGAAATTATATAGCTTGGATTTTATCGGAAATGTACTATTTAATGCGACAGTAAACGTCAATCTACAATTGAACCAACGTAGCCGAATATCACTATACAACATGGGAATATGTGGGTAGCATAGGCCCTCTGCATTTCTCCGGGCTTGGGACTGGCATTGGCTGCATTACCTATATGCAAACGAGGAAAGTTGCGATAAATAAGAAACAATTATAGTTGCCTGATTTGAGGTATTTGGGGTTTTATGGTCTAGCTACCATGAGTACTAGGACCCAACCACTCCAACGTGGATCCACTGCAAACCTTTGGCGCCTCCTCGCTTTTTGCTGTGGCCCTCGTCTCAGCAGAACCGATCAGGCCAAGGCCCATACCACAAACTGAGGTCTTACCAGTTCAGTGTATGAGCCTGCGAGGCGGTGGAGTGTTTAAGGCACGATGTATGGCATCTCGTGCGAATGTCCGCAACTTGCAGTTGCCCTCTGCTTAAAGTAGCTTCACGAAGTATTTGATCCTAGACTCGTGCTTCTGCTAGGCCGGAGTGCCTCGAAGTAATCAGTTCCTGCCTCCTGCTTGCGAAGAATGTTGCGGTTGGTCAAGCTCATGGTGACAATGATCATCAAGCAAAGATCATAGTTTATTCTTTCATTGGGATTTTTTTGGTGTCGACCAGCTTCACAACGACTCCATCGAATCGTGACTGAAGCATACGAAATAAGGCAGGTGTAAAATGTCAGAGTCTTCTTGGATCAAGTCGATGGTATACCGGATGACCGCAGGATCGGCATCATTTGTTGCCTCTAGCTGTATATTATGGACTGTTGCTACTGACAATCGTGAACTATCTCAACGGATCTACATCGGCTTGACAGATCTCGTGCTTACCTTTGCTTTCCATATACCAGTACTCGATATATGTGGTCTTTTCCACAATCGTAACGCAACCTTGTTGGTGGTTATTGCCAGCTTTGAAGAGGTTGTTGAAGGTGTTTAATGTTGGCTGGTTGATTCTTGAGTGAACGGAGTCATCTCTTGATTGACTGCTAACCATAATTTCTTTAGAATTCACAATCTATTCGTCAAACTCGACATCAATCTGCTGTGATATGAACTGCTTCTGTGGAGTCGACGAGTAGATCATCTGTGCGTCAATCCGTTGTATGATTCCCTAGCTTTTTTGTGAATGCTCGTCACCTCACATCCGTCTTTCTAGTACTGTCACTCCTAAGCTTTCTACGAGATGTGAATTTCGTATCTCTTGATGTCATCGCTTTACAACATTTCGTTGTTTCTTAGGACTTGTTTTGGACGGACTTGAAGTGACGAAGGGCACATTTGCAATTTGCAAAATCGACAGAAACGTATTCTATGACTAGACGTACGATTCTATTTTCAGAATTCGCCAAGTCATCACTGGTCAGTACTTCGAGCAGTCGCGGCACTACTTAGTGGTTTAGGGATCTGATGTAGGTCGTCGATGATATAAAACGACGATGCCGATTACTTTAAACGTATCGCGGTTGGGAATGAAGGAGATTGAAAAGTAGTTGAACATCATGTCAAGTCAAGCGATACCAGTTTTTTGCCACTTAATATGGAAAAACAACGATTGGACCAAACAAACACGATGAGCAAAACAGCTATCCGAGCAATCGCAGCACAAGTTTCAAACTTTATACTTCGTTTTATTTCCTCTTCTCTCTCCCTATACAGTTTTTTTTTAAATTTTTTACGTTTTCTGTTAATCACTGCCATAAAAAAGGTTCATCTCTTCTCTTCCTCATGCATGTCGTCCTACTTATTCACAAGAAGTCCAAACAACTCTTTGTACCTCTGTTAACACTACTACTACTACTACTACTTTTTACTTTCTCTCTCCAAAGCTCTTCTTCCTCCTTCCTCTACCAAACCAAACAAGATTGTTTATGAGGCCCCCATAAAGAGTTTTTAGACAAGCATTTTCCAGAGGTGAAGTTATGTTTTTTAAAAAAAGGTTTAAAAGCTTTCATCAAGCTAAGACAGTAGTGTTGGTGATTGGTGCTGGTGCTGTTTTGGGTTCTATACTACAAAATATATCGGATTTTGTTCTATTTGGGTGGTGGTCGTGGTGTTTTGTTGTGGGGGAAGAAAATAAAAGTTTCGAAAAGGTGGGTGTTGGTATAGTAGCTACGAAGGCGAGGATGTATATAATGTTTGTGTGAGAGTGACAGGGGGATAGTTTTAATATGATGTTATTGTGTAGTGTGTGTGTGTGTGTGTGTGTTTTATACCATTTTGTTGTCGAGGGTTCTGTGATCTAAAAAAAAAGAATATGTAGAGTATAGGGGGTTTACTGAGCAAAGACGTGGCTGCTACCACCTCTCCAACTACTACTTCCATTGCCATCCCCAAGTTCCGTACGTTCCAACACAGCTTCTTCAGCATTAATAAACGATTCATTGGCTTGATTCACATCCATGGGAGCTAATGGGTCTTCTACTACATGTGATTGAGGATACGCAGTTAACTGAGGAGCTGGACTACCATCGTATCGTGGTGCACCTCCCATTCCGCCTATAGCGCCAATGGGAGCGACTCCAGCTGAAGGAGATGGTGCAGGTATGCCACCTTGTTGACCCATGTATTGCATGGCACCCTGACCATAAGCAGCACCATACGGAACTTGTTGCATGTAGCCACCTTGAGCGGGAGGTCGAGCATATCCACCTCCACCCCATGGCGGTTGCTGCTGCTGTTGTTGTCCACCATGCATGCCTCCACCACCTACTGGCTTATCAACTATTTGGGATCGACCCCACGATAGACGGACTCGAGAGGATCCTATGTAAGATGGACGATAAGGTCAACACATTCCGTGCGTTCTTCAGCATAGCTGCTTTTTGCGAAACTCAGAAGATCGATACATACCAATGACATAGCCATTCATTTGAGCGATAGCAGCTTCAGCACTGGTACGATGAGTAAACTGTACAAAACCACATCCTTTGCCAGGTGGGATCTTTGTGTAGGTGATTTCTCCAAATGGTCCGAAATACCTAAATGCAAAAAAAGCACGCTCAAAATCAAGTGCTTCAAGAGAGTTGCCAGATTTTGTGGTTGCAAATTTTGCAACAACCACAACACTTACGTTCTCAAATCATCTTCAGTGATGCCCTGCGACAATCCACCAACAAAGACAGTGGTGTTATTCGGGTCTGTATACTGATTATACCCACCCTGCATGGCCTGTTGACCACCCATAGGAGCACCATAAGCCATACCTCCAGCACCTCCCATTCCTCCCATACCACCCATTCGATCGCCACGACCACCACCTCCTCCACCACCTTGACCTCCAGCGCCACCTCCTTGACCACCAGCTTTGGGAGTAGCAATAGAAATCCTCATTGGCCTGGACCCACAGTATTGACCCGACATTTCAGACATTGAACGAGTAGATTCAGCTTCATCAGTGAATCGTACAAATCCATAACCTCTAGATTGACCCGTCATGGGATCTGTAACGACTTTGGCTGATTTACAAGACATGTATCGTGATTGGAAGGTTTGCTAAAAGAGACGAAAAAACGCGTCAGCAATGATGAAAATAATCAGATTACGTGCATAATCAAGGCCAGGCTTCCAATAATGGCAATAATGGTGGCTTAGATATCACGTGGGGCATGATATTGCGACAGCAACTATGAAGCTATTTGGCCTGTTACAGTGTCTTGATACGTACCAGCAGCATGAAATCTGTAACTTCTGGACCTAAATCACCGACAAATATAGAAAACTCTGGACCTCGCTCTTCTCGATTCATGTTGGTACTAGGTTACAGATAATGCAGTTAGATATACTGATCTGAAAGGTTTGAACGGACAGGTCTTGTTTCTTACGGTTGAGTAGCCATTCCACCACCACTTGCCCAATTCAGTTTGAATACACGGTTGGTTTGTGGTATCATGGTTCCATTCAGAGATTGTAGGTGCTTCATGGCTGATTGAGGATTGCCAAAATCAACAAAACAGTAGCCAGCACTACCTCTATGTAATTACAAGACATGTTAGATGTGTTCCTCGTGTGCATGTTTTACATTGTCGTGTCGATCAGTTTCCAAACCAAGCAGCCCAAGATAGGACAGATTACTCACCCAGAGAACTTGTCTCGAATCATTTTGACGGACACATTTTCACCCATGCTATACCTAAACATAATAGGAATGTCAGATCTTGTGTCGTTTTACTAGGGATTGATCCATGTCCATCAAATCATCTGCCCGAACTTCATCTCAATGTGTCTTATACACTTTTGCCCCCCATGTTACAATAGTAGGGAATGGAAGACGGGGGATGATTATAGATGTATATAATGATTGCGATATGGAGGCATTGTCCCGTCATTGGTCGAGTTGATCTCATCCTTTTCCACTGTCGAAATCAGACTTGAAAACAAGTTCGAGACTTACCATAATTGCCTAACCCAAGCTTCGTCCATCCAAGACTCCAAATCTCCCATCCATAAAGTTGTCTTGGTGCTATCTATACCACTTCCGTATGAGGCTGCATGGCCCCCTGAGCCGTCCCACATGTTTGAGACTGATTTGGTTTCAAGAAGATTGCTTTAACTTTGCAAAGTGCTTTTACTTCCTAGCTGGAAGACTGACCCTGTTTACTACTGGCTCTGATGTCTAGCAAGCTTGCCTAGTGCCGGGTTCCAACGCCTTCCTATAGATGAAATCTCTTAATCTCGTCCGGAAGTGTTTGTTTTGCGAAGTGAATCAACGGCCTGCTTCTTTTCAATTTTTTGGCTGGAAACAAACTGCCGAATCAGAACGCTACTTGCTTTCTTTTCGTGTTTTCAGTTTTCAAGGTCGCCAACACGGTACACTACGTGCTCCTACTCTATTAATGTCGTTTCTCTTCATGAACGTTGTGTGTTGGGGCTTCCGCAACTGACCATTTCAACTTGCTATAAGGAACGCATCAGATGCGTGCAAATAATCATTCATCAACCTCTAAATTCATTTTTCCGTACATAAGCGATACGCTTAACTCTCTCGATCACTACCAACACACCAGTCCAAAAATCAAACGAATTCTGATTTTAGTTTGAGAAGAATTTTGCAGTTTATAAAGGGGGCTTAAATACAAAGAAATCAACAAGCACCCTCTCTTTACCCTTTTGAATATCTCCTTTTTTCCTAGACAGCAAATAACAAGCAACCACAACCTTCCAACACCCACAAATGACACAAACTATACAAATAACACAAGATATAAAAGTCCAACTAGGTTTTCATGGCCATTTTATTTCTTTCCCTTCTTGCCAGCTGCTGGTTTCTTGGCGGCGACCTGCAGAGTTCGAAGAAGAGTTGATTGTCAATAAATTCAGTATAGAAGTATGAATTCTTCAAAGATTGACCAAAACATACCTTCTTGGGGGCGGCTTTCTTGGCGGCTGGGGCCTGAATATAGAAACGAAGAAGAAAGAGTTAGCACACTCTGCATACATATGCTTTCAGTGAATACAAATATGCGACTGGTACCTTCTTGACTGGAGACTTCTTGGCGGGAGCAGCAGCCTTCTTTGGGCGTCCACGACCCTTGGTAGCTGGAGCTGCTGTCTCTTCAGCTGGTGCTGCTTCGGCGGCAGGTTCTGGTACAACTTCGACTTCAACAGCTTTGGTGGGCTTGGCTGGAGACTTCTTGGTTGCGGCCTTGGTTGCGGTCTTCTTAGTGGCAGCAGCCTATGACAGGAGTAGGGAATGAGAATCTAAGTAAAGGAATGATGTTTGCTCCAAATTACCTTCTTAGAAGCAGCACGCTTTGGCGTAGCCTTCTTTGGAGTAGCCTTCTTTGGAGTTGACTTGACAGACTTGGCAGGAGTACTCTTGGCACTCTTAGCCTTCGTCTCAACAGCTGGAGCCTCCTCTTCAACTTCGTCTACTTCATCTTCTTCTACAGCAGCAGCGGACGAAGACGAAGCAGCCTTCTTGGTGGCGGTCTTTCCTTTGGTCTTTGGTGCAGGAGTAGCGTCTCCCTTACCACCGAGCTTGACGGCACCAGTAGCGCCCTTGCTAGTGAAGACACCAGCGTCAATACCCTTCTTGATGGCAGTGGTGATGTTGGTTGCAGTCTTCTTGTCATCAGTGACCTATAATATGTCAAATAGAATAATTTTTGTGAGTTGAGGCCCGTGTTCGAGTCGTTTGCGAATGTGTAATAGTGGTTTTAATTTGTGCCTCCAAAAACTCAATTCATTCACGCATCAGCATATATGTAATTTAAGCATGAAATGGTGCAGAATAGATGTATCATGATGAGATAAAGCCGGGCGACTTGTCTTTTCTGCATCACGACCAATGTGTCGCCCGTAATCTTTCATTAAAGCAAACACATGACCCACGAATGCCTCCAGACCCATCCCCCAACCATCTCCCGCCCCGGATTCAGTGTAAATCCATTCTTCCCAATCTAATAAACAAGACTCCATATGATTTACTTACAGGGAAGTTTGCCAAGATGTGTTTTTTGATTGCTACACGACTGCTTCCATTTGCCTCCTTCTACAAACAGACAAGAAAGACCCCGATAAAAGGAAGGAATATATAGAAATAATGGTTAGTAATGTACAATGAGAATTTAATAATCAAAAGCACGGTTTGATCGCTCTCCATTCCATGCTGAAACCCTCTCGTTTTTCCAACCCATTTTGATTTTTGTTTTGATGAAGATCAGACAACGAGTGAAACGAAATGATAGCGGGGATCAAGTGTACTACGAGTACTGGAGCGTATGGCTGCATCGCAGTCCACCGCAGTACCATTGTCCTCCCCCTCTGGCTAGAGAATCGTTCACCAAACACAACAACAATCGTTCACTTAAAACAAACTTCATCGCGTTGCATACCAGAGAAACAATAGCTTCCTCGACCATAGTTTGATATGTGACCTTGTCAGCTTTGCTGGCAGTCATCTTCTTTGATTTGGGAGGCATGGGTTTGAGTTTGTAGGTGATATTTGGGTTTGAATGTTGTTGAGATGTGGAGTGAAGCAAAAACATGATACCCCAACAAAATAATATCTCCCAATGGGGAGGAAAAACATAGGGGAACAGTGTAGTTCTTCTTTGGATCTAGTCATCAATATTAACAAAGAAGAGGCCTGAAGTCTTTGAACGCGATACAGCTATCAATTCACGTCAGAATCCAGGTTTGATCAAACTTGAACCTTCCATCACAAAGAGAGAAAACAAGTTTTTAACGAGTGCAATCCGCGCCCTGAACGGTAATAGATTGATGAGTAATGCTTTCCTAGTCGCGTTGTCAAAGCACACGCGTACAATGCTAGATCGAATTTATGAAATATCGGCGAGACGCATCAAACGGGGCATCCACTGCCGTTCTAGTTTGATCTAGCCCAAAAGTCACGCGTCAACACGCAAAAGAAAATGATCTACACTAGATCTGATCACCATGTTCGATTCATCACCACCGGAACAAAACATCAAGTCACCGCTTTTGGTAAACACGTTGGAATATGGGAGGAAACACGCTAGTCTTCATCACTGGAGCTTCAAAAGGCTTTGGAAGAGCTATAATCGTGGCGCTTATCGACGTATTTGACGACGCCGAGTACATCTTGATTTCGAGAGACGATGAGGGTTTGAAAGCTTCAAAGTCCCTCATAGGCAGCAAGAGGCCGAACGCTGTAGTCTCAACATATAGTATAGACCTGTCGGATTTGAAGTCTTTGGAAGGTGGCTTGGACGGGGTCTTCAAGAATCTCTCAACATCAACACTGACGTGCACGTACCTCTTCAATAACGCTGGAAGCCTTGGACCTCTCACTCGAGCAGAGAAACTTTGCAGTCCAAGCTCATCTCTTCGTGATATTCAGTCTGCAATTGATCTGAATGTGACTTCTACGATTTCCTTGACTGCCAGATTTTTAGCAACGTTTCAGACGTGTGAGAAAGGTATTAATACTACGTGAAGCTGGAACCTTTTGAAATTATCAGAAGACTGACAGTTTGTACTTTACAGTGCGGGTAGTGAATGTGTCAAGTTTGGCTGCTCTTCAATCTTTTGATAGTTGGAGTGTATATTGTGCAGGAAAGGTATGCACGAAGGGTGTCCAAGCTGAGCCCAAAACAAACGAAGCTATAGTCTGACACCGCCTATCACTCTTTACAGGCAGCGCGGGACATGTTCTTTGCTACAGTTGCTCACGAAGCTGAAATTCGTGAAGGCAAGGACAGCAAACGACTAAAGACGCTGAACTATGCACCAGGGCCTATGGATACAGATATGCAGCAGGCTATACGAGAAGATATGAATGACGTTCCCTTGCGCAAAACCTTTGACGAAATGCACAGCAAAGGTGAACTGGTGGATCCCGTTGCTTCTGCATCGGCAATGGTTGACTTACTTGTTGCTGATCAATATGTAAATGGCTCTCACGTCGATTACTATGATATAAGGTGACGAACGGGGTCTGAATGTTGTAAGCGTGAACGATGGACAGATGATAGATGTAGTTTGTAACATGTCCACAGTGGGTTCTACTTTGCACATGAATAGTAAATTTAACAAGAAAGAGCTCTTAAAAGCTTGAAACTGGCTTGTTGATCAAGTGATTTGTTTTGGTGATTCATCGCTGTGTGTTGACCAACATTCGTATCACCGTGTCAGCAACAGCCAGAGTTTGAAAGGCACAGCGAGTAAGAAGCCACTCTTCATTCATTTTTTCACATACAGTCCTAACGATCTATACTAACAACGAGTAACAATGGCATCAGTTAGTGCAGTATCGAGCAGTAACATCAACAAAACGCAATCAATGACCACAGCAAGCGCCCTCGCCCAATCTGGGACGTACCAAGCAGAATTGGTCGCTCAGTCATTATCTCAACCTGAAAACTTTTGGCGTAAAGCTGGTATGCTTGCTTGCTCTTGATTCTGATTAATCGTTAAAAAAATTGTGCTAACAAACGACCCTGGTTTCTTCTTTTCCACAGCTGAATGCGTCTCATGGTACGTTTAAACCTCTAAAATCTGTGGAAAACATGTCTTTTGTGGGATCAACCCATCACATTTGCCACAATCGCATTTCACATCTATCTTTTCAGAGCTTTTGGATCTAATGACTCATTTTGTAGGGTAACGAAGCCAAACCAAATTCTCGAAATCAATGAAAAGACCATACCTGCACCTCATTATCGCTGGTTTCCTGACGCTGAACTCAATGTCTGCTACAACTGTGTCGACCGCCACGTCACGAATGGAAATGGATCTCGAACAGCCATTATATACGACTCTCCTGTGACTGCTACCAAGGAAAAGTACACATATGCTCAGACGCTGAGTGAAGTTGAAACTTTGGCTGGTGTATTGAGAAAGTACGGTGTTGCAAAAGGAGATACCGTGCTCATCTATATGCCTATGGTGCCTCAAGCCATGTTTGGAATGCTTGCTTGTGCTCGTTTAGGTGCTGTTCATAGTGTCGTATTCGGAGGATTTGCGCCAAAGGTAAACTATTTCAGTTTGGAGTAATCTTGTCATAGCAGCTGACTGGTTTTTTGTGTGCCAAGGAACTGTGCAAAAGAATCGATGATTGTAAACCAAAAGTCATATTGGCTGCTTCTTGTGGTGTGGAAGGAACTAAAGTCATTCCTTACATGTAAGTTTTTGTCCAGTCGCAGAAAAACGTGCTATAAACGCACCACATTGACGCTTTTGGTCAAGCAAACAACGAAACACTTATATGCCAATCCCAATGCAGGCCTCTTCTCAATGATGCTATCTCCATGTCTGCATACAAACCACCTATTAAGATTGTCTGCTCACGACCTCAAGTCGTGGTCAAAGTCAACTCTGCATCTGGTGAACGTGACTGGGCACAAGAGATGCAAGAAGCCAAACGATCAGGACTCAAAGCAGCACCAGTTACAGTCAAATCAACAGACCCTCTCTATTTGTTGTATACATCCGGGTCAACGGGTACACCGAAAGGTGTTGTTCGTGATTCGGGAGGATACCTTGTAGCTCTCGGCTGGGCTATGCCAAACTTCTTGGGCATGACACCTGAAGACACCATATTTTGCGCGTCTGATGTTGGGTAAGTGAAGTTGATTTTCGTTCATCGAAAGAAAAACCATGGTTTGGTGTCGTTGACTTATTTTGCATAGTTGGGTTGTTGGACACTCTTATATCGTCTATGGTCCTCTACTGAATGGATCTACAACGATTTTATACGAAGGCAAACCTGTTGGAACTCCTGATGCGTCAGCTTTCTGGAGGCTAGTGCAAGAATACAAGGTCAAGGTGAATAAAAGTCTCGTCGTTGGCTGGAGGGAAACCGACCGCAGCTAAAATTGAATGCCTCTGCTTAGGTTATCTCGACTGCTCCTACTGCTATTCGCGCCATCAAGCGAGACGATCCAGAAGGAGAATTCCTCGCCAAATACGACATATCTACTCTTGAATCTGTTTATCTAGCTGGTGAACGCTCAGATCCTGACACCGTCAAGCATTTTCAAAATTTGCTAAAGGTCCCAATCCGGTGAGTTGTTCTTCTTCACTGGGGAGAAAAAAAAACCATCATATGCAATTAGCATTTTTTTTGTTATGCTTTCGTTTCTATCGCATGACTGACAAATCGAATTCAATCACTAGTGACAACTACTGGCAAACTGAATCTGGCTGGCAGATAACCGCAACATGCCAATTCGACGGTAGCTCCTTATCCACCCCAGTCAAGATTGGATCTGCAGGTCAACCAATGCCCGGTTACGACATGAAAGTCCTCGTTGCTCCCCCTCATGTGGACGAAGACGACTACAGAGAACAAGGAAAAGCCATACCGTGGGTGACTGGTGCACCAAACGTGCTTGGCAATCTGGTCATCAAGCTTCCATTACCACCAGGCTGTTTCCCAACACTCTGGAACAACCATTCAGGATATATGAAGTCTTATATGACCAAGTTTCCCGGATACTATGATACCACTGACGCGGCTATGATCGATCAAGATGGATATGTGTCGATTATGGCTAGAACTGATGATATAAGTGAGTATTGAGTGACATATCAGCGATTACTCTGCATGAACTCATCTGCTCGTTTCATGTTTTTAGTCAACGTTGCTGGTCATCGATTGTCAACGGGTGGAATGGAAGAAATCTGTTCTGGACATCAAAGCGTCGCGGAATGTGCCGTTTTAGGAGTCGCAGACCAACTGAAGGGTGAAGTGCCTGTTGGAGTAAGTATTGTGTACCTTGCTCGGCAGTACGGTATTTTGAATTTGATTTTTTTCTTCGCATCTACCTAGTTTGTCGTACTCAAGAACAAGACCACATTAAGCCATGCTCAAATATCTCAGGATCTAGTGCAAGCAGTAAGGAATCAAATTGGTGCGATCGCGTGCTTTCAAAAAGTATACATTGTGTCAAAGCTTCCCAAGACAAGATCAGGAAAGATTCTTAGACGAACCATTCGAGGTATGTTTACAAATCTGTATACAGTTTGTAATGGAGTTAACACGTCGTCGTTACCTAGCAATTGCGAATGGAGTCAAGTATGAAGCGCCTGCCACGATCGAAGACGACTCTGTACTTGCAGAGTTACATGTCGTATTGTCTAAACCTAAGCTCTAGTTACTGTCATCCTGCTCCCCCATACCTGTATTTTACCTTTCTAGAATGTCTCCAAACTTACAAATAAATCTGATTGTCTTATGTTTATACTATTGCTCGTGGTTCGTCCTGTTACATCTGCGTCCACATCGTTTTCAGAGACTGTCGACAAAGGAACACATTTGCAATATGCCACTAACATATACAATTGAGCGCCGTCGACCACTCATAAATGCTCTTTTAGAAGAGAGCTTCTTCATTCCACCTAGGAGACAGCCTTTTGAAATAATCTACACATTCCCATCATGGTCGTTTTGGAAAACAGTCACCTTCTTTATTGCAACAATCACGATATTGAGGCTTTTCAAGAACTGTTTCTTTCGTAAAAGGGCTTGGAGAACTATTAGGAATGGACGTTTGCAACACATCAGCAACTCGAATGTCGCAGAAGAAAGCTCGGAATCTCTTGAGGAATGGGAACACATGTAAGTTTAAATGATGTGATACGCATATGACGGATTGCTCAACGAGATCTGATCTCTTTACTCTCGATTCTGTATAGACCTTCGGAAGCTCTCACACCATCGCGAGCTGCCAACGAAGAATGCACGCCGTACATGTTGAAAACAGAAGCAGATAAATATATCATTATAGCTGACGCACCAGGCTTCAAACGAGAGGATATCAGTGTAACAGGTATGCTGAATTGATGGGACGTGCAAAAGAATTCCATCACTTATCGTTCACTGCTCCTTTTTTTCAGTGCTAGATGATACTCGTGAAATTCACATTACAGCCAGGAGTGCTCCTGGTGTCGATATCCCCAGACGTGTTCACGTGAAGGTGGAACTGCCTCAAATCGCAAACGTCAACGCTGTTTCAGCAACTATGGAGCTTGGTGTAATAACAGTTACAATACCCAAGCGTCCACAAGGTCGATATGTCGATGTCAGGCCTTCTTCAAATGGCAGGATGTATCCAAATGCATAACATATGTAAGCCCAACGACATTTGTAGATAACATACATTCATTTTATAAATCAACGATATGTTACAAATTTGATCAATGCTTTGATAATGTACTATCACTTGCATACAGATCCAGTCCTTCAGCAAAGTGATAAAGACGAGCGTCGACTTTGAAGCCCTTTGAAATGAAGCCTGGAAAACGACGGATTGTCAGTAGCATGCAGAACATTGAAAGACAAAGAAAAAGAAACCTTTGAGAGTTCCCAACAATCCAACCAATGGGACAATATGAATATCAATGAATTCGCCTTCATCAGGTTCTGCTTTAGGCGAGTGGTTTTCTGGCAAGGTTCGATCTACTTCCACAGTGACGAACTTCATGTTTGCATTCGACATACCTGGATCTAATTCATGCATAAAAATGCATCAGCTGAGATGCAAAAGAAAACAAAGAGAAATAGTAACAAAGTCGAACCGTACCACTGTCCATAATTTCACTTGATCGTATAGCCTTCCCAATAAACCCAGTTTCCTCCCTCAGTTCACGTACAGCAGCTTGTTCAGCTGTCTCTCCCTTATCTACCAGACCAGCCGGCATTTCAACACACTGAGCTCCCACAGGAGGTCGAAATTGGGTGACTAGCACCGTTTCCGTGGGCTTGTTTGGCATCTTGAGTAGTGCCAAGATACCAACAGCATCGATATCGCCTTTTCTGGATGTACGTTCTGCAGATTCCCATAACTAGGAAGACGTGATGGGTTGAAGTGTTAAATGTGTTGAAATGTCGCAGCACCTGCTCATTCCCACAAACGACCTAGATGACAAGAAGAGATTCAAGGCGCATACCCTTATTTTTCCAGCAGGATCAGAATAAGTTATCTTCTTAAGTTTAACCCACTTGGCGTCTTCATCCTTCATAGGTTCTTTGCTGATTATTTTGGCAGCTTGCATTTTGCTTGCTGGGCGTAGATGAGGTAGAGATGGAGCGTGGTAGTGTTGAGATCGGAGATGTAGACTTATATATATGGATGGTGCTTGTTTTGTTGGAGCTCGTTGACAGAGCATGTAAGTAAATTGAGTTGAATTGCGATACGCACGGTTTTGAAGACCAAGGCAAAGATCAAGTAGATTGTAGTTCCAGCTAAGTGTCTGAAGTTCTTGAAAAGGCAAAGTGCAGGAGTGTTTTAGGCGTGGAATGTCGCAAAACTTTGGTGGTACGCTTCTGTTCGCCTTTGACTGTTCGGTCAGAGTCGGTAACTATCGCATGCACATCGCAGCAAAGACTAACCAACAGACACTCTGCACATGTGACCGTTCAGTATGAAGATGCGAACGGTTACTGTATTTTTGGTCTACGACAATCTGCTGTTCGCAAAGCTCGTGGCAAAGAAATATCTCCAATGTTCCTACACCTTAAGCCAACGCAATTGGAGTTCCAATGATGACACCACCTTGCTGTACGCCAGCAGCAATTCTAAGCAAGAATATGTTTAGATTTGTAGAATTAGAATATGTTTGATTTGCAATAGTAGCTTTTTTTCCTCATTATCACGAGTTCGTAATGTTATTATCATACCGTTCCATGGCTGCATGCACGCCAGCGTCAGCATTCACTTTTTGCATATCTTCGATCGAACTAAAGTAGTTGATCATGACTGCTCCAGCCTTGTTTGTCAATCCAGCCCATGCGGAAGCCCGCTTCCATCCTGGAACAATTTTCACAGGTTAACGGATCGAGAAATCTACAGTTTGAGGTATACTTAGAATCATTACCAGGATTAGCTGCCATGGCAGCACGAGCTGAGGTGATTGTTTCAGCACTCAGTGTTGAACCTTCCACCTGTAATGAAACACGTTCAGCAAAATACGACATACTCAAGTCATTCCTAACCCCACCTTGATTTGCATCATGCGCGTGACGATAATATCTCCTGCAACTGGTGCCGAGGTTTCTTCTCGAAGACCCAGAGTGAAGGGTTCAAGTATCCAAGGCTTCAGTGCTAGTCCAAGAAAAGCGTTCAGGTTTCCTTTCAAACGATAGTAATAAACAGCACTGCACACGTACGAGCATAGATATCTTTGGCTTTTGGCAAAAAGGCAGTAAGCGAGGCATCGTTATCGAATTGATGGAGGATCAAGTAGTTGGTGATGGATTCTCCAACAGTTTTCTTGACTGCGAGAACAGCGGTAGTTCCAGGCGCTGCTGCTTTGGCTGTCTTTACGAACTCAGTCATTTGTGCGTCAGTTCCTTCCTTCATGGCTAACCGAAGTGCAATTGTGAGCTGATGTGATTTCGCCAAGATCATTCCAAGTAAGATGCAGGTGGATAGTGGTCGACTTCAAGATGAGAATGCAAATCGGAAGAAACTATTGATGCACGTTCACTTAAAACTCACCGGCAATAAGAAGTGCGTTTCCAGACATCTTTGGGATTTCGTTTGTTGCTTGAAAAGGAGAGATGTTTAGCTTCCAGCGATGATTCCTACTAGATTAACATGTTAATCGATCAATACTTCATGGGAATCAACGTACGAACTAGCCCACGATTTGCTCTATTACCTTGTTCTCCTTGACAGATGTGAAATTCAAGGTTCTTGCGGCATCTGAATTATTTTACCCTGAACACAACAAAACGCCAATTCAACCCTTTTCATTGGATGCACGATACGCAATATCGATTTATATTTCAAGCAAGTTATCATATAGGCATGTTTACAATGAATTACAATCGAAAGCCAAACAAGCAGTCTATGTTCCAATACAAATCGGTGGTGTTGGCATGGCCCTGCCATATCATGTTAAGGATGACACGTGGCGTACAGCGTATAGATCTATCTATATCTCATATTTTACGAGTCGACTTCATCCAGTACCCAGAATCCAGGAGACGCGTCCTTCTGAGCATCAACCTTACGAGTCTGCCTGATGTTCAACGTCGGCGAACAAAACGTGCATGTGCCTTTAACTGTACCCTTGCTCATGTTACCAGTCTTGCCGAGAGTGCCGCAACCATTGTTACATTTACCACGCTGTCTCTTATGGTATTGATCCTCGTGCCTCGTTCTCGCAGAGCGAGACTTGACCATATGAAATTGGTCATCGTATTCGTCAGAGGACATTTGGGAAGCAGCAGGTTGATGAATCTATTGGATGTACGAAGACAACTTTGATTAGATCCAGTCGCTAAGCAAAAATCACCAAAAACGAGCAAAACTGATGACACCAACCTTGAGTGATTCAATAACGTTAGTCTTGTTGGAGCTCTCAAGCGTAGAGCTCATCACAGGGATAGTGGCAATAGCCTTCAAAAAGTCCTCGCGTTCTTGCTGTATACGTTCGTCATCAAAATCGTCCGAGTGGTCATCGTCAGAAACGTGATTACTGTCGCCTGGTCCAGTGGTCTCAGTAGCGTTATCTCTAGAAGCTTGCGAAAGCTTCTCCCAGTCATCAGAGACCTCCGAGAGAGCACTGACTTTCTCCCAGTCGTCCTCCATGCTTATCTAGCCAAACTATGAAATGCGAAAGCAGTTGGTCAAGACATTGTGAGGATTTCGAATGCTCAGTGATTCCAATGCGAAGCAGTCCCTTACAAGTTCACCAAGCTTCAATTGTTTTGCGTCAAGTTTGTAGAAGAGTAAACGCAATGGGATCTCTGCACACCAAATCAGTTCAGTTTCTATCGCAATCAGACAATCACATGCATGTCACGAGTTTGTTCAGACCACAAGCGACGAATGCTCACAGACGAGAACCTCCTTTTAATCTCTCTTATTTCCTTATATTTATGCTCCCTTCATCAAAATACCTATGGAGTTTGCTACTCTCGTAACATTGACTACAGATTACAGTAGATTCTAACGAAGCCCCGGAGGAGGGACCTCAGCCACTCAGTCGCGTCTCAAATATTATGGTACGTTGCTTTTATGCTGATACACTCCTTGCATCTGTTCCAATATTACCATTTTCTACGTTTACAACATGTTTTCGCATCGAGAATGCAAAGCTATCCAAGATTAATACCCGATATAATAATATCCTGCCCTCTATATCAAGGCAATCAGGACCTGGATTACCCCTCACTGTTGCTTGATGGCCCTTTGAAATGACATCAACCTACGTCGCCGCGTTTCTAAATTCAAACAGAATCACGGCCCATCAGTCCCAGATCACATACTTATTCTCTACTCTCCTAGGCCTGAAAATCAACCAGTGGTTCAGCTGACCATAAAACCACCTCAAGAACCATCAACCTGCCTCTGCCCACTCCCGACGACAACAATGTCTCGTAGGGCCAATAGATATGCTGGTGTAGTGTTTATACCACGTTCATGATCAGAACAATGTGTGGTTTGCAGCCCTAATCAAGAGATTTGTCTTCTCACTCAAAAAACGACTCGAGGAAGCTCATTTGCCAGGGATGGGCTTTGGGAAAAGCGTGAAAAGCCATGGTACCGATCCTCTGCGTTCATTCTTTGAATTGTTCTAGTGATGGCTAATGAACGACAAGTGGCTTACACACCTGCTTCTCTGATTTGATGATGATGATGTCAATACTGGATAGCTTTCTGTAGTTTGTTTTTGCAACTGTGAGGACGCAATTTGTAAAGTCATATATGTTTAGTATATCTCGATTCTCATCACCAACAACGGTTGTAAGATCTTTTCGATTCATTCCCATCCGACGCCGAACTTGATGGCTGTTTCTCTCGAACTATCACAAGCATTCAATGCCTCGGAAACCAGCAGGTTTTGGACGTTTTGGGTAGAAGGACTTGTTTGAAGTCGTTGATCGGTAGCCACTGTAGGTTTGTTTTGGCCCATCAAATAGACACCGCTACTGAAATAGTCTGAGCTATTGTGTTTACTTCACAAGCTTCCAATCCCTTTTGTGACTCTCGGGAGCCAAAACCTCGAGCCAACTTAGTACGCAAAGTTCGTGATTTTATTCTTTTTGGCAAAGTAAACAATCTTAAGGAGATGGAAGGGAATAATATTCTAGTAAACACGAGCAACCGGTGGCACTGAAGTAACTTCGGAGGCGTCCAAAGTCTTGGCTTCTACTGGACGGTATGCCAAAGTTACTTTGCCAGTTGCTGCATCGTTGGTTGACAACGTGTGCTTCATCCATTCAACATCGTCACGACCCTACAAAAAAATCACAGAGTCTTAGTATCGTCATGTCTGGTTTTGATATGAACCTCAAGCTGACACGAAACTTACCTTGATGTCATCACGGGCATGAGCACCACGGGATTCCTTACGGTTGGCAGCAGAGTGCATGGTTTGCACGGCGTTGGTCATCAAGTTCTGTAATTCCAAAGTTTCAATCAGATCCGAGTTCCTGAAAAAAAAAACAGATTAATCTGGAAAGTTGCAAGAAAGAAAAAAAACGAATAACGACGCGATGCTCACCAGACCAAAGATCTGTCACTAGTCTTGACATCCTTGACCAACTTGGCAACTTCATCAATCTTTACAACACCCTCTTGGAGAGAGTCTTCTGTCCTAAATACAGCAGCATGGTTTTGCATGACTCTTTGCATCTTTAGACGTACATCGGCAGTTGGGATGGCACCGTTAGCATATCGGGCCTTGTCGAGACGTGCGATGGATTCAGCACCAGCATCTTTAGGTAGTGGTTTATGAGGAGTACCGGGCTTTAAGTTATCCTTGATGTGGAGAGCAGCGGCACGACCGAATACGACGATATCGAGGAGAGAGTTGGCACCTAGACGGTTAGCACCGTGTACAGAGACACAGGCAGCTTCACCGGCAGCATATAGACCAGGGATTACTGTGTCCTTTCCGTCCTTGTGGTCTACGACTTCACCAGTGTATTTGGTTGGGATACCACCCATGTTGTAGTGGACAGTTGGCAATACAGGGATTGGTTCCTTGGTGACATCAACACCAGCAAAGATGGCGGCTAACAGTGGAAATGTGTTCGAAATGAGAAAAAAATGACATGGCAGCGACAAATCGTAAGGCGATGTCCTACCAGTTTCAGAGATACCAGGGAGACGAGTGTGTAAGACTTCAGCAGGCAAGTGACTCAACTGTAAGTAGATGTGATCCTTTTCGGGTCCAACACCACGACCTTCTCTGATTTCTACAGTCATACTACGAGACACGACATCACGAGAAGCCAAATCCTTTGCGGTTGGAGCATATCGTTCCATGAATCGTTCACCTTCAGAGTTGAGGAGGTATCCACCTTCACCACGAGATCCTTCAGTAATCAAACAACCAGCACCGTAGATACCAGTTGGATGGAATTGGACGAATTCTAAATCTTGTAGAGGTAGACCAGCACGAGCGACCATGGCGTTACCGTCACCAGTGCAAGTGTGAGCAGAAGTACATGAGAAGTAGGCACGACCATAACCACCAGTGGCTAATACTGTCTTGTGAGATCGGAATCGATGAAGAGTACCATCTTCCATGTTCATGGCGATGACACCACGACATTCACCTACGTTTGCAAAAAAAGAGTTATGATGGCTGGATGGAACAGAGAGTGTTCAACACGACAGATATATACCGTTTTCCATGATAAGATCAAGGGCAAAGTATTCAATAAAGTATGTAGTGTTGTATCGTAGAGATTGACCATATAAAGTGTGGAGGAGAGAGTGCCCGGTTCGATCAGCTACGGCGGCACATCTGTATGCTTGACCACCTGCGAAAAAAATCAAAGACGATTCTAATGCATTCATATTAAATTTAACTTTGACAAATAACATACCCTTTCCGAACTTCAGAGATTGACCACCAAAAGCACGTTGATAGATTTTACCCTCTTCAGTACGCGAGAATGGGACACCATAATGTTCCAATTCAATGACAGTGTTTGGTGCCTCGCGACACATGTAGTGGATGGCATCTTGGTCACCGAGCCAGTCAGCACCTTTGACGGTATCATAAAAGTGCCATCTCCAATCGTCTTCAGTCATGTTTCCAAGGGCGGCGTTGATACCACCTTGGGCAGCGACAGTGTGTGATCGAGTCTACAAAAACGTGAGGTTTCAATGTCACGCCCTTTGATGACAAGACCAAATTTCATCCCAATACTTACAGGGAATAGTTTCGTTATGCAAGCGGTGTTGAATCCCTCTTTGGCGAGACCGAAGGCAGCTCGTAGACCAGCACCACCAGCACCAACAACGATGGCTAGAAAAGGGAATCATGTGAGATTCGTCGCCGTGAGATGACAGTTTTGGACAGTTCGAGATGTCGACAGCTGTTCGGCATCTGAAACTGCTCGCTCTCTCCATTCGACAAGTGTCTGTCTCGATCTGTATCGTCACTGTTTCTTTTGTAGTTCCTTACCATCATAGGTATGGTCAATGATAGGGTAGTTTGCAGATAATGGGGTCTATAAAAAGCATATCGAATATTTCAATTCAGCGATTCCAGTTCCAGCAACAGCAAAAAGCCGGATGATGTCGTTTTGGAAGACTTTGGGTGAAAAAATGTTGCCAACCTCAGCAGCAGTAGCTCGCAATGGTTGCGAGCCGGCCAATTTCAGCGAAGGAGAGGAAGATGAGAAGCTTCGTGCATTCCTCTTGCACGTTGTCTATCAAGTCGGAAGAAGTTTTATGAGTTTCGTGATGCAACTTCCTACACATTTTTTGTCCTGCTTTTTCGAGTTGCGAGCCGACGATGAAAACAAGTAGAGCCAGCGAATGGAGGAAGCGACCCATCTACATGTCGTTACATACCAGTGCTTGTCTTGCGAAAGCATGCATTTTTCGGATTCAGTGACGTTCCTTGTGGGTTTGCAAGTGAGAGAGGAAGAAGTTCACACACTTTTGGGAGAAATCGGATCTTGGAGAAGCAACACACCAGGAGATACTTTAATATCTTTTGCACGTGTTTTCTCGCGTAGAAAGAACGTTCATGCTCCCTATACGGCCTGTTAATTCCTGATTACACGAGCTAAGCGAACATTTATCACAATTGCATTTCAACGCTTAGAAGTCATTAGAGAACGGTTCAAACACGAAATACGACTAATTGCATCTTTTATAGCTGTGCAGCGAAATGTAATGAGGTTACAAAATTATTAAAGACGTGTATGCAAACCAAAATGAAGACAAGCAACGAGAAACACCTAGCTACAAAACTCTTCCTTTTTTTACTCCTACTTTACTATATCTAAAGCTGTTCTGGGGCAGCTTCAGCAGCACCATCCAATGGCACAACGCCGCGGTCTGCGGCAAGAGAGTGTAGGCCGTCCATAGAGTTTCCGACAGGTGCTTCATCAACTGCACCAGCAGCTCCAGCACCAGCACCAGCAGCAGCGTCTGGAGCTACAGTGTCCACTGCAGGGCCTTTACCTTTTTCAGCATCATTTTGTTTCTTGTCGAAACGCCTTTTAGCCAGGATGGCCAAAGCAGTCAAGATACCGATACCACCGACTGCAGAACCTATTGAACAATAATGAAAATATGAGTAAAGGGATACGTGCTTACATCAGTGCCATCCACTAATTCAAGTACGTACCAGCAGCAATTCCACCAATTTGGCCATTAGTCAATTTACTTCCTCCAGAGCTCTCAGAGCTTGCAGATACAGCGGTAGATTGTGGGGCGGCAGCGTTAGCGGCTGATGTTGAGGTGGCAGTAGCAGTAGCAACTGCAACGGTAGTAGTAACGGGAGCGGATCCGGGAATCGCGGTTTCACCTATGGTGCCTGGTGGGATGATTACGTGGTCGATTACTTGGATTAGACCAGATGCAGCCGAGATATCGGAGGTTCCTGTCAAGATGCCAGTGCCGCCGACTATGAAGCTAGCATTGTTGTAAGTCAAGGGAAGTAGAGTGGGGCCATCCAGTGTTGGGAAGTTGGCTGATGCTGGGAGAATGGTGGTTGGATGTGCTGCATCGGATGCAATATGGTACAAAAGTACTGAGCGAGCTTGGCCGGCAGTCAAGTTGGCCAAGACTGGACCTGCAGCTTGGACCGCAGCGGCATTTGGAGCGAATCTAACGAGTTGGAGTGGTTTGTCAGTACGTAGGTTCTTGAAAGGACACAGCCTTTCATACAAAATCATATTCTTGTGGTTGTTTTCTGGTAGCCAGAAACTTACATGGTGTAGTGAGAGCTGAGTGTGTCAACATACGCACTCAATCCATAAGTCTTCAACAAACCGTTGAAGGCTGAAGTTTGTGTGGCAGAGACAAGCGAGCTACCCAAAACCACTGATGGGACTTGATTTGGAACGACTATGAACGGCAATTCCTTTGGTGTTAGCCAACGTGCTCAGTCGCTACATTCAAAAGTTGTTGCGCCACTCACCAACACCGTCCAGGATATACAGGAATCCATTATCGCATTGTATGATGTTGGCAGGATTGACGACTGTCTCAGACATACCGGTTCTAACATGGATTTCAGTTGGATTCGAGCCAGGATTGTTGTAATTGTCTACAGGTGATAAAAAGAGGTTAGGTCCAAAAAGGGCGATGATTGTCGAGCCAAAGGTATTAAAAAACGAGTAGCAGCCACCAGCAAATCAGTGCAACAAAGTACAATAACAGTTCTGACGTTGCCTCAGACGAAACAAGACCCACCAACAACAAAAGTAGTGTTGCCAGATACATCAGTATAGACTCCATATTTAGGTCCGAGAGCAGGATTTAACTGAACGTTCAACTCTGCGTAGCCTATTTTGTCATTTTAAAAAAACGGACGGATTAGCCAAGTCAGCTCCGAAGCGTTTTTCTGCACAAGATCCAAACGTGCCAATGTTCTTGCTAAAGTCAGCTGGAATTGACTTTGCAATTTGGAATGCAGTGTCTACAATAAATCAGAGGAAATGTGTTCAAGTGTCAGTCAAAACGAGTCGTCACATTCGAACAAAGCTTTTCAAGCCGGAAACGACCGGATCTACGCAAATCAGACATTCTAGCTTGTGAAAACTCGCTTACCTGTAGGTGCGAAAAGAGTGATGCTTGCGGTTGCTTGGCTCCAAGTCGGATGGGACGGAATGAGTGCCTTCATCGTGTTTACATCCGTTCTGCTGTTCAACATATCAGCACAGGTCATTGCCATGGCGCTGCCGGTTGACAGCAAAACTAGGATTGATCGTAAATGCATCGTTTTTGTTCTCGTACTAATGTCCTGGAGAGGGTGTTGGGTGTTTTGGGTGTTTTGGGTGTTTGGAAGAGGGAACGTTTTTCGGAGAAGAAACGAAAGAGGACGGAATACACTTTCGGAAGGGTCTCTGGGAGACACCCACACAGAATGAGGGTATCTCAAGACTCGAAATGAATTGATCAAGACTGTATGAGGCTCGCGTCGAAAAATCGCTGTGATTTTCGAGCTCCGATAGGTGTTTTGCTTGGCGAGAATAAAACTGCCTCGAAGTGGTCGAAACGGGAGCTATGAATATCAATAAGATATTTTCGTGTATTTTTATTGACTTTGATTTAGAAGCGGTCGCTCATGTGGGTAGGCCAACCGTCTGGTGAGATCTATTGACTGCCCTGTTGACGCCAACGGCATTTTCGTTGGGGACAAACTGTGAAAACAGTGTAAATTTCTTCCAAATGGATGATTTATGACTGTTTGAAAGCTTCATCACCATCTGTCGATGTTCTTACTTGTTTCAATGTGGTTACCGTCTAGGGTTTTGTTGGGGCAGTTCGATGTGAGTGAATCTGTATATTGTTAGTTGTAATTTAGGTAGGACGTCAGCTTTTCTTCTTTTGACTGGATTGACGATGCCACATATGCCTTGAATGCTTTCCAGGGCTATCCCAAGGTTCTGGCTAGAGGTCGTTGACTTGACTACTTGCCGTGGAATCCTACCAACAAACTTGCTACAATCTCAGATCTCACTTTGTGGACACAACATTCAATACACATCGCATCAGTTCTTCTATTTGCTTCACTACTTTGAAACAAACGAAACGACGGCGATCCATTTTTTTAAACGTGCAGATCTTTATTTACAGCAAACATTGCTTATGAGAAAATATACTACTCGAGACGACGTACAACTACTACTACCGACCAACCAAAATTTTGTTTAAAAGCACACTAGTCCTTCCTTAATCCTTTCCAAACCCAAACCTTGCTTCCGCTTATTTAGATTTACTCAAACTGACCCGTAACCTCCAAAGCACTAATTAAATGTTTTATCTGGGCACAAGGCATGCACTCGCATCGAGGCAAAAACCTTGGACACCCAACCCGTGCCAAATACGTGCTTTTCGACAGTCTTGGCACTATTTCACCATCGACATCCATCTCATCTAGTATATCCAGCATTTCCTCATCTTCGTTATGTATGAGTGGTCGTATGGGGCCGGATAGAGATCGTCGATCCGAAGCAGTGGAGCAACATTGTCGTAGTTGCTGTGGCGTTAGGATTTGTAAAGGATCTAAAAAGGAGAGAATATATTCCAAGATTTCTACGGGTAGTGAGTGAAGACCTGCTTGTAGGTTGTGTTGTTGGTTTGGGGCTGTTATTAAGTTACTATGTGGGTTGTTGTTGTTATTATTGCTGTTGTTACTATTGTTGAGGTTGGACACGACCACAATATCTCGTGGTGGTGTCATCATTGCATGCATTGTATCAGTTGATGATGATTGCGGTGTCATTACTACATTACTTGAATGTGATGTTGGCACATTCATTGTTACAGTGGGTGAGCGAGATACGCCCGATCGGTTACGCACGGGTGTTGGTGGTGGTGTAGGACCAGCAACAGCCGCCCTTGGATCCACATCCATCGCATCTTCTTCATCTGATGAAGAAGCAGCCGATGAATGTGCATCTGAACTACCGGATCCTAATGGTGGTGGAGACGACAGTAACCTTACATAGCTTCCAGGTTTCGGTCGTTCCACTCGTACAGATACGAGTTCTGGCTGTTGAGCCAACCAGTTTTCATTGTTACTATCTTCGGTTTCCATCATATGGATATCATCTACTACTGCTACTACTGCAGACATCATACGTGGTCGTACTCTACCAGCTAGTAAGATACGAGCCGGAATCAGAATCTGACATGCTATTACTGGTTGAAGTCTCCTTCTGGCTTCAGGACAATCGTTAGAAGCAGCTCGGCGATAGTATCCCATAGCTCGTTTACGATCTAGTGTTACTCCAATCCCAAACTCACAACATACTGCCATGGAGAGTTGACTTAGAGAATGATTCTGTAGAGCAGCCATTTCAAACCATCTAGATGCTAGCCTATCATCCCGCTCAGCTCCAAAGCCATCATGATGACATCGGCCGAGATTATATTGGGCATGAGGATGACCCGATAGAGCTGCTTTAGTGTAATTCTGGACGGCCAATTGTGGGTTCTGCATTACACCGATGCCTTGTTCGTAGAATATCCCAAGGACATTCTGGGCATTGATGGAGCCAAACATGGCTGCCCTCACATACCACTCGAATGCTTGATGTGGATCTTCATCGACAGCAAGACCACGTTCAAACAGAGTACCGATATTGTATATGGCAGCAGCTTCTCGCTGCTCTGCGGCTTTAATGTACCAGCGTAGTCCAATAGTTGCATTTACTAGATAAGAGTGCATCAGGTTAGAAATGAACGAGACGAGATGAAGTGGTGCTTTGCTGGTGTATGTATACGAGTCCATGAAACTAACCTTCACAACCAGCACCTTCGACGTATAGATTTCCTAACACATTCTGTGCGCCAGCATGTCCTTGAGCAGCTGCTCTTTCACACCATCGAAACGCACTGGTATCATCTTCTGGTACTGCGATTCCATTATAATAACACAATGCTAAGCAGAATTGGGCGGGAGCCAGGCCAGCTTCTGCTGCTTGTGCCAGCCAAGCAACAGAAGAAGCACCTTGTTTGCCACAGGCCCGTCGGTATGCTTCAGCCAGAGACTGGTCGATTTTAATTTGAGGTCGGCCATGTGTCTTTAAAAAGGCCAGACGAGCTTGTGCTAGACCTGATCCTTGTGCAGCAGCAGATGTATACAGCCTAACGAGTCAATTTAATGGTTAGATCTCGGCTTTTGAAAAGTTTTTCGTATTCAGCGAGGTGACTCAGCCCGATTTCACCAACCAAGGTGGATCGGGTGCTTCCACAATGTTGGAAGAGAGTTCCGAATAGTTCAAGTATCAGTAATGCATAGATCTATCCGTTCCATCTCTCGTTGTCTCTTGCCGGCCAATGTTCGGTGAAACCAGCCAGTTGACGAAAAAAATATCCACCACCGACATCTCCTACAACTAGACGGCAACAAGGGGGTATTGGACATACCTTTCAGCGACCTGATAGTTTGCTTGATAGTCGGCAGCGATCTTTGCCAGTCCAAATTCAAAGAAGAAGGCCAATACACTTGTGCCTGCAATACAACCCAACAGACTTGATTTCAAAAAGTATGTAAAGGCAGCCTTTTCGTCCTTTTGCACTAGGAGGCGCTGATTGCCCAGCAGGAAGTAAGATACTCCTACTAGTTCCTGTTGTTTAGATGGCATCTCTCTTAATTGCAATTTGTTCAAAAGAGATGATTTGGCACTTTCTCAGCACGTAGCAATTTGGTGTCTAGTTTTGAAGTGGTGAGCTAGCGAGAACTGGGTGGCCGCAGGGTGGGTATGCAGCAAAGGGCCTCAAACCTACCAGCAGTCTTGGGGCTAACGGTGGTTTCGAACAACAAAGATATGAGATGGAACTTGAGATTGTAGACAGTTGAGACGAAGAAGCGGACAGGTGGCAACTTGTGCCTTCCGAGTCGAGCTTATTACACCAGTTCGGCAACTCCTTCTTCATTCAACGGCCACTCCCTTGTGATTCGATGTGTTGTTTTGCTTCTTCCACTTTTGGCTCAACAATTTGGTTTACGTAACCACGAACGAGCTTCTGTCAGAACATTTTTTTTGTCACCCAATACAGGACAAAGCTAAAATCTGGCCGACCACACATCAATGAAGGGATTCACTCGGATCATCGTACTGCTTCTAGGTGCTATTCATGCTGTAAACGCCGCGACAATATCAGATTTACTTCGTAGCTCGAATCTGACGACGCTGATTGCTCTTATACCACAATTCCCAAGTTGGAGTGCACCTGTTGGACAAATAACGCTATTTGCTCCTACCGATGCAGCATTTGCATCTGCTAAAGGTACCTGGAATACCACAAAGAATGCTGGTTTGGTCCAACTAAACCAAGTGCTGCCAGCTGCCACATCCAAATACGGTGTCTTTACCGACATCTCAGGCAATCCTACAATCAATTATGGTATGAATCAACAGATACTGCCTTAAAAACTGACCGACCGTCGAGCTTGTTGCATGCATGAACCTCTTGCAAAAAATATTCATCCCCACAGTCCGAACACCCCCGTTGCTCACGAAAAGACTGTTTATAAGACTTGATGATGACCAGGACATGTATTAAAAGCTAATTAAATTTGTCCTGTAGACAATTTTGCCTCTGGCAATGGAGCTGGTGCACGAGAAATTCACGTTCGAACGGGTGTGGTTGATATAATTGTACCCACTGCCAACATCCTGACGGCATCAAACGGTGTAGTTTACATCTTGAACTCCATAGGTACACATCGTCGCGTTGTGTTAATCAACCAATCTGACACTCGTTTCAAACCTTAATTAGTTCCTCCCAACCAACCTTTGGGAACAGTTTTAGCTGCTCAACCAACCCTGTCTAGCTTCTTGAACGCATTAAACAGCACACAGCTGCTTCCGTATCTCAACTCGCTTAATGGCACCTACACAGTGTATGAGTGGTCGTTTATTGCATGCTGCCAGGTCATCACTCACAAATTTGATTTAGTTATGCTCCCAGTAACGCTGCATTCACAGCCGCAGCAAATACCCTAGCAAATCTGACTCCAGGACAGACTCGTAGTGTATTACTATACCACTTTATAACAGACGGCCTACACACATCAACATCCTTTGCTGCAACTGGACAATACCCAACGCTTTACAATGGGACAACGATGCTCATCACCTCAACAAGTACCGCTGTATCACCAGGTGGAATAGCATCTCTCTCAAATCCTGATCTGAGCTACTCCAACGGACTACTCAACATCATCGACCGCATCATTGTACCAGCTGGCACGATCGCAGACACCCCCGTCCCAGTAGTCGCAGCAGCAACAGGCCCAGCCGCAACAACACCATCCACATCCGTAGTAACAGAAACGGCGCTCGCAGCAACATCTACCGCAAACAGTAATTCGTCTACCGCCAACGTCGCAGCAGATTCTGGACCAGGAAGCGTAAACATCCCAGCAGCAATAGGCGCATCTGCAGCTTGTGCAGTCCTACTAGCCATAGTGGCAGCAGTCGTGATTTCACGACACCGTCGTCGCAAAGATGGCACTGAAATCAACAAACCACCTAAACCAGCTGTTATGCTCGGGTCTGAGGACGGCAGTCAAATCGTGCCGCTGACTAGATCTTCGTCTAGGGGAGCTTCACTGCGTAGGGAGAAGAGTTTAGTGGGAGCAGCTGCTGGAATAGCTGGTGTAGCAGCTGTCGCTGGAGCCAATGGAGACGCAGCACCGATAGAGGAAAGAGATGTGACTGATGCCGCCGCAGCTAATGACTTCACGACGAGGTATATGGCGCTAGTCAAGTTCATTCCTGAAGAAGATGACGAGCTAGCATTCAACGCTGGTGATCGTTTGATTGTCGGGTAAGAATTTTGGATTTAATGAGGTTTGCCGTTATAGTGACTCACACATCTCGCTTACAGGGAAGTCTTCCAAGACTCATGGGCAATGGCCCAGAACGAGAGGACAGGCCTATCTGGAGTCGTACCACTAAATCATCTGAGAAGGCATTCACAAGAGGGTCTGCAACGACCTATAACAGACGCCAACGATCTCAGTCAGGTCTCGCGTTTATATCAGTAGAAAGGCACTGCATGCATTCTTTTTTATATCGTATCGGGGTGTGACCGGTTATGTTGTAATCCATTCTAAATTATACACCCATGGATGGAAGAGCAATGTGTCCTGTTTTCGCAATTTGAGCTTGCTAACGAGATTAAATACGCGATTTTGATCTCAGAGGAACGCTGGTCGTAATTCTCGCAGTCCGCGTCTAAACTGTTTTACTCTGAATTTGACATTACACAAGAGACTTAAAATTGTAAATCGATCTTGAAAGGAGGAATTATCTGCCACCATGACTATTATACATATGGGTAAGTGCTCTAATTTAACTCAGCTCGAGAGCTTAACAAGCTTTTGAAGCCGAAACACAAAGTCGTGGTATTGCATGTTTTTGATTATCATGAGGGGAGGAGGCCAATGAGCGCTGAAAAGCAGTGACTCTAATGCTTTGGAAGTGCGTAGTGTGACACACCTCCTTCGCGCTGCTTGGAACGGTGGACTATCCGAAACGTTTGACATCAAAACCCATCACAACGTTTAACCATCTCTTTACTTACTCCCGCTTGTCACCAGTACTCTTCCCTGTCAAAAAGGAAGTCCCGAAAGACAAGGTGCAAGCTATGCTGAAGGGATTTGACGAGCTCCGCAAGATCCCTGGTGTAGTCAAGCTCTCATACGGCGAAAACATTAGTGCTAGAGCTCAAGGTTTCACGTATGCCTTGAATGTCGAGCTAGACAACATGGCATCACTCAACGCTTATGGACCAAACCCAATCCATATGGGTGTTGTTCAGAAATACATCGCACCAGTCGTCAATTTGGCTGATTTGGTTGTTGCTGATTATGAGATTTAAAGAGAGGTGGCAAATGAAGTAGTACTGCTAACTCTATACCTATAAAGCTATGTTTATTTGAAATCTATAAACTGTTGCAAATATTAGCTTCAAACCCACATAAAAGTAATGCTAAGTTTACGTCTTTTATTTCAAAACTGATTATAAACTGCAAAAAAAGGATCTTCAAACACCAAAACTAGACTTTTTACAACTTGACTCCAGGTACAGAGCGAATGTTTTTGGATGCAGTTCCTGCAGAGCGGTTTCGTGGTGCATTGCTCAACCATTGACCACCGTCAACCACAAGTGTAGCACCAGTGACCCATCTTCCAGATTCTGCCAACAGGTAGACAGCGGCGTGCTCACAATCAGCAATGGTACCTAGAGATGAAATCATTAGCGCGAGATGGTGAGAAAACGATACGGCAATTTTACCCCAAGATCCAAGAGGTACAGACCACAAGCTTTCTTCAGTGACATTGTCGTCGGATAGACGTCTCATGCCCTCAGTGTCGGCGATTGGACCTGGAGCGATGCTGCAGGCGGAAGGAGGTTTGAGCAAAATGCGGGAATGCTATGACGGCTGGATATTGAGAACGTACATGTTGGCTCGGATTCCGTACTTTCCCCATTCTTGACTGATGGTCTGCAAAAAAACCAGAAGGTTAAACCACTGATGGCGACTCAAGTCATCGGCAAACTACGACATACCTTGATCATAGCGTCAACACCGGCTTTAGCAGCTGAGGGGTGGACCTGGTATGGTGTTCCTCTGTAGTGGAGAGTAGCAGAGACGGCGATGATGGAGCCTTGATCATTCGCAAGTTGAAGTTTAGTTTCGTATTTGACGACAAACTCTTTCAGGATTTGTAACTGTACCTTTGGATTCCTTGAGGTAAGGGAAGGCAGCCTTGACAGCGTGCCATGTACCAATCAAATCGATATCAATGACAGTCTGCGAGAAAAAATGAGGATCAATCAGCTTATGTAACGAGGCTGGTACTCGATAGCGAAACAGCAACACACCTTGAAGGCATTAGTACTCAAGTTCTCGGCCAAGGCTAAAAAGTTACCAGCGGCACCACAGATCTGAAAAAAGCGTCGTGATCAACATCGAGATCACTATGACAACATAAAATCCAAGCCGTACCAAAAAGTCTAATCGACCGAATCGAGCAACTCCCTTTGAAATAGCTTCTTCGACAGACTTGTAGTCTCGCACGTCAGCAGCAACTGCCAAACATTCACGTCCAGTAGCCCGCGACAATTCTTCAGCCGTAGCTCTAATAACGTCCACTTTTCTTGAAGAGATGATGGTGTTGCAGCCCAGTTCCATCAATGCTCTGGTCATTCCTCGGCAGATACCCTATAGAACGACGGCGGCGAGTTAAGCCCGACATAAACAGGTTGTTTGAAAGCCTAGGTGTTTTCTTGCTTACAGTTCCACCTAAGTAAGGGAGGTTAGAAAACGAATCGTGAGGATCAAGACCTGCACAGTTCTTACCTCCGGTAATGAATGCGACTTTGCCAGCAAAGATGTTTGACTGTTGAGAGTGAATCAGGATCGTCAGTAACAGTTCAAATGCACCATCATAGGTTCACAATTTCGGTAAAGGTTCTCGGAGACATCAATATCATGCATGATGCAACAGTATGCAACTAGTTCTGGGCATGTTCTGTCGATGTGATGCAACCAAATGTAACAAAATGCCACAATTGCGACAAAATGCAACACCGAGTCAAGATTCCAAGTCAAGCTTACCTTATAGATGTCAGTAACCTTCGCCTTAGTGGCGGCACGAGTGATATCGAGTTTGGCAGACATGTTTTATAGAGATTTTGTTATAGCTTTGGTTGAAATGTGATGTGTACAAGTGATGATGTCACCAACGCGGTTATGAAGACAATTGCCCGCTGATATGGTCATTTGATTGAATAAACTATTTATTGATAGGTATTGTTTCGCCGACGGTTAGATCGCCTTAATACTATCGTGATCATCGCCTAGTATAATGAAATCATTGAATGTTCGCAGATATGAATCATATTGCGATCGTCATCTAGGTGGCTCGCAAAAGAGGTCAGAATGAGATCTAGGGCTCCAGAGGTATATTTCCCACGTGTCGGTAGTCTGGCAAGGCTGCAGATGCAACAGAACGACGTTATAAAACATTTGCACGTTCAATATGGTATGCCAAGCAGCGATCTCCAGAGCTCTCGTAGGAACAAAGATCCAGTTTCCCATGTCTTCTGCTTACAAAGAAGCATGAGATCTACACCAGGTGCTACGATCAGTTCCACCTTGGCAAGCAGTCAAAAATTCCGCTGGGTTTGAATATATCGAGCTGGATTCCGCAACCCATTCGGATAGATCTACGTTGGTTTGACTCGTTCTCAGATTCAATACAGTCAATTACAAAGGAAAATGTCGTATCTGGTCTTAGTACTATTGTGGGAACCGGGTGCTTGACTAGTGCGTTGTTTTAACCAAACCACATGCTGAGATTAAAAACAAGAAAACAATTCATCGATCATTGTAAAATTGCATTCTGTTAATGGATTTCACATTGAATCTAGGATTTCATTAGAAATTGACAACGTCACTCGGGTGTGCTGGTTTCGACACATGTCAACTGTGCTGATCAAGCAGGTTTTGCAACATGTATACAGCGAAGAGATCAAATTGGAACAGTTCAAGAATTGCGTAAGGTTTGGTGAATGGGCGTTCCCACCGCGACGTTACGTGTCTCAACTCCCATTAATTTTTTCCTCACCAAGGATTTGAACAATCTTTGAAAACCCCCGTTCTTGGCGGAGAGAGCTCAAACTCGTCCTTGCTCGGATCCACTTGAAATGAGAGAGAACTGGAGGAGTCTTTGCTTGACTACTCTTATTCTGCTTTCAATTGCATTCCTCGTCCACACGTTTGTAAATCAAGGAGTGAAACTGGCGTACCAATCCGACAATGCACTCGTATCACTTCGTAAAAAGCCGCCTGTCATCGTAGAACCCATTACCGATGAGGAATACTATATTGTCCTCGTCGTCATCGGGATACTGGTCCTTTTAGGAGGAATCTTTAGCGGCCTCACAATTGGGTTGATGTCTCTAGATTCCACTAATCTCGCCATATTGCGGCGATCAGGCACCGAAACTCAAAAGAGATGGGTTGCTCGAATTGAACCTATTCGTAATAACGCTCACTTACTACTGGTCACACTCTTACTATCCAATACTATTGTAAACGAAACCCTGCCCGTATTGTTTCATTATGTAGACTGGGATGGATATCAAGCTGTACTGATTTCTACCTTCCTCATTGTCGTGTTTGGAGAGTGAGTCAAATCAATGTGATTTTGCAAATTAGATGTTCGTAACAATCTTTTTTTTTGTTGCAACAGAATCATACCGCAGGCTGTTTGTACTCGTTATTCTCTAGCTATTGGAGCCTTCTTTGCATACCCAGTTAGAGTGCTCATAGTTCTAATGTGGATTCTCGCGTACCCTATTGCAAAACTTTTGGATTGGATTCTGGGTAGCAAGCACGGGTTTACCTACCGTAGAGCAGAGCTGAAGGAATTGGTGGCTATGCACGGAGAAGATCAGGAAGGCCCGTTAAATCAAGATGAAGTATCTATAGTTAAAGCCGTGTTGGAACTTCGCGACAAATCAGTTACGAATGTAATGACGACGCTAGAGCATGTGTATATGTTGCCGTTGGAAGCTAAGCTGGATCGAGATACCATGAAAAGTGTAAGTCATTGCTATATGATCGCGCAAAATAATACATCCTCAGCTCGACTTTATCTGCTAGTTGATACAAGCAGGACACTCCAGAGTTCCTGTATTTAATGGAGAACGTCAGAACGTAGTTGGAGTAGTCCTAGTCAAACAGTTAGTCCTGTATGATCCAGCAGAATCTGTGCCCGTGGCTGGGATAAAAATAAGGAGATTGCCCAGAGTCAGAGTCGATACACCACTATTTGAAATACTCCATGTCTTTCAAGCTGGTGGTTCGCATATGGCTGTTGTAGTTGACGAAGTGGATACTGCTGCTGGTATCCACGCCGGTCTGGTGATTGAAACTGCATCACCACTCACTGCCGCTGGCTCGCCACAAACTCCTGGTGGTATGAGGAGGTATAAAACTCTAGGAATAGTGACTCTGGAAGATGTCATTGAGGAATTGATTGGCACAGAAATTATTGACGAGACTGATATATTTATAAATGTCGAGACTGGTCAGAAGGTGCGCAGGACGCATCGAGAAGTCAAAAGTAGGACTAGTAGTGCCGCTGCCCTCTTGGATTCTCGAACGCCGAGTCTGTTTGGGCTTTTGACTCCTAGGATGTCTGGTGACGATGAAGAACGAGAACCATTATTGAGAGATGCTGCTCAGCGCAATGGTAGACAGCAATCCAAAGAACCAAACCGAATCATGGAAGAAGCCAATCGCATCTTGACAAAGACTGCTGCTAGAAGTCATATGCCTGCTGCACCGGAGCTAAGGTACTTTGTTGCCAAGCGGCAGGTTTTTTTGTTTTTGTTTCTTATTTATTTCCATTCCACCTGCAGGTCACCTCTTCTCGTCGCTCGCTCTCGACAAGGTAGCAATACAGGTAGCAACACTTCGTCAAAGCTGGCTCGAAAAGCACGAAGAGACAAAGTAGAATATACAGCTGGGCGATTGGCGAGTCATGTAGAGCAACACCCATTCGGAACTCCTCATTCTCTTCCTAATGCCATTGGTAGTCTGAATGGGCTGCATCATGGTGTACCGGCAAATGTATCCTCAGTCTTCTCAACATCCATCAACAACGCTGCAGCCAGTGGCAGTGGAAGCTCTCTTCAACAGCAGCCTGGCACAACAACATCAAACAAACCAGATAATGCGAATGGTGATGAAGGTGTATTCGGTGTAAATGGTATAAACACGTCGTTTGAGTCAGATTCTGACTCTGACTCGTCCGGACTGTCTGTCTTGTCCTCATCTCGAAAAAGTAAATTTATACAGGTTGCTGAAGATCAAGATGGCTTCTTGATTGATGGAATTCATCAGTTACGTGATTATTCGCTGGATACGTGAGTTGTATCGTTGCAATAATCGATGAGTGCATACCTAAGTAGTGACTTGTAAAGAGCTGATTCGTATTTGCATTGCATTCAATTTATATATCCTACATAAATACGCGTTTACTACAAGTCTCCAAAGCCTCTTGTAGTTTGTCTAATACAATACGCGTCACATTAACAAGGTTCTAGACCATGTTTTGGCTGTGCCGGGCTTTCAGCAAAAGTTCAAACCCAACTTGCCCCGCACAAGGTCAATGTCTCCAGATGTGAAGAGAGTGGAGAGAGAAATCAGGTATGCAGATATCGTCATTTCTTTCTCTCTCCTTGTTCTCCTGTCGCCTGCATGCATGCTTGCTCAAAAAGCTCATTTTTGAAATTTCGGCGACATTTGGTTTTATCACGGCAAACCAAATTTCATACGTCTATCCACACTCCTATACTCACTTCTACGCTCGCATCGTCTCATTAGGCAAACCAAAGATGATAAAGCTAGTGGAATAACAGGTGGGGATTTGTTGGAGGCATTACAGATCACCATTCATCAGAGATTAATTATCTTTTCTCCATGATTCAATTACAGTGAATCCAGTCGGTGATGATCTTAGTGAGCGCCTTTCTCCTGTCGCTATTGTGGTTTGAATGCAAATGCCCTGCCATAGCTTTCTACTCACACACTGTTGCTGTACAGCGCATTTGAAGGGATATTTTACTGGACCTTCTGGAACTCCATATGAGGCAAGGCCTTCTTCATTGCCTCTATTTCAATTTTCAGATGCGAGGGATTCTTGGACACGAAAAAAAACAGTCCTTTGCTCCAAAGGCTTGACCTAATACTTCCATATCAATCTTAAAAAGGGTGGACAATATTGTGTTGATATAAAACTGCCACCGGACTACCCGTATAAGCCACCAAAGGTATTGTGTTGCGCTTTGTCAGTTGTGATGATCTGTGACTGGACGATTGATCGGCGTCTTTTGTTTTTTGCTTAGATGAAGTTCGACACCAAGGTTCGAATTTTGCTCGCAATTTTGGACGGCTCCGGAACTGCTCTTTTTAATTGCTTCGGTCGTTTTAGATATATCACCCAAACATAAGTTCTCAAACAGGAGGTATGTCTCTGCATCTTTGATTACCTGTGATGGATTACTGCAGCTCTTAATCCATTTTTTGTTGACATCTTTTAGCTATATGCCTCGACATTCTGAAAGACTCGTGGTCTCCAGTAATAACACTCAAAACCGCTCTCATCTCATTACAATCTCTCCTCTGCGATGCAGCTCCCGATGATCCTCAAGATGCGGTAAGACATTTTTAGACAGGCAAAAGGCACGACAACACTGAAATACTAAGACAGTCACTCCTCCCGTTCACCCACAGGTCGTAGCAGCCCAATACAAAACCGACCGCAAGATGTTTGACGCTGTTGCACGCCAATGGGCCATACAATACGCATCGTCAACTGCACCGTCATTTGGACAACCTATTATTGAAGACGACGTGATGGTTGGTGTGGATGCAGCTATTCATGCGAGAATACTGTCTATGGGATTTGACAGGATACAGGTCGCAAAGGCTTTGAAAAAGGAAAAGAATGATGAGCAACGAGCAATTGATGCATTGCTTAATGGTACCGTGTTGTAAATTATGAATGAAAAAAACCTCTGTTGTTATATTATTAGATTCGTTTTACTGTGGATGGTTGATTTCGAATGGGGTTAGAGGTAGTGTCTACTACGAGGATTGTTGGGATCAGGGCATCGGTACCATGGCATCTGACGCGCTTCCCAGTGCCCATCCCTGGCGAAGTGCGTGTCCTCGTGTCCTTCATGAGATAACCCTCGACACAACCCTCTTGCTTTGGGCAGCAAACCACGCATTGTCGTTGTCGTGGTATAAACACTCGAACAGCGCGCCAGCCAACCCCACAAAACATCATGCTCTTGTGATTAGGTTCGGAGCGCTGAATGGGTCTTGAGGTTTATCATGGCCAATTGAACAGTGGTTGAGTTATGAGCCTAGGAGAGTAAAGAGTCAGTAAGGGTTCTGGCAATGAGAGGCCATGACTCCCTTTGAATGCAGAAAAGCCGCAACTGGTTGATGTCGTTGGAAAGCAAGTCCAAGGGAACATCAAGCAGCAGGGAAGAGCCATCCAGGAATTTGACTGTCTTGGTATAAAGGACACAAGTGGACGTATTATACGCCAACAACCTGTTTAGCAATCCAGTTTCAGAAACATGTGATAAAAACTGAAAATGGGAATTTCTTGCAACGTTTCAAGCAGATACAAGGGGTGAATCAGATTGAAGGTAACATATCATAGCAGGTGACCTGGTTTTTGAGTATCGGAAGTCCCTCTCCTGCTGAAATCTGTTGGGGTTGATGTCAGGATTGAGGTAACTTTTGCCACTGCTTCCTCAAAAAGACGTTGGGAGACACACGAGAAACAACGGCAGAATGTGCATTTACGCGTATACAGAGTAATGATGGCTTGTATTCGCCGTCCAACACGTCGCAATGTCGTGTTTTGGTGCCTCGCGTGTCTTGGACTGCGTCCTGTATCAACAGCGTCCTCTAGATCCAGCTGATGCAGCGAGTCAATGGGCTTGAAACTCATCATTACTGAACGATTGACATGAGTAATAATCATTTTCTATTTTCTATTTAGAAATGGTCTACCATTGAAAATATTTTGGTCCACCTGTTCCCACGCATGCGCCCCACATTCTTGTTATATAAAGGTATCAACTAACTAATTTCAAGCCTAGGAATCAAGTCTTTATAGCGATCCATTTGCGGCGTAGTCATCGGCAAAAGCTCCAACCCTCACTTTCGTAGTGAGCACAAAACACAATCACCTTTGCCAGCTTTTTTTCGTCAGGACGATGCAATCCAGCAACTGGCGATCCTCACAGCCAGCACCATATTACAACAACACTACATTCCAAGAGCCAGGACACTGGGCACCTCAATGGGAAAATCCACAACATCCCCAACAGCAATTCACGCAACCTCCTCCTCCTCCCATCGAACAACTCCCACCGCAACCACAATCGCCGTATCCAGCTCAGAATTTACCTCCTGTAAATGATAATGATCCAATCCTATTCTTAATTAAATGTACAAGCAAACTCCCAATGTAAGTTGGCCATTAATCTGTTGGTAAAGAATGCAAATTCGGGCTGATCCATGTTATTTGATGTTAGGGGAGTATGGACTATTTGCTCTGCATTGATTTTGTTTCATCGTGTACGGGAGGCCATACCAAAGATGGAGACTCTTTTTATGGATGAGAAGGTGTGGTTCAATATGTTACTATTTCACTCTCTCGTCACCAAACCCTAAATCACGTTCTTGGATTTATGATAGTACTGTGCACTCGCATGCTTATGGATTACATGCCAGACGTCAGACACTCCAGACGTGACTTGTCGTGACGTCGTCAACGTTGGTTACAAGTATGCGTCTTCACTACTTTGCCACAAAGTCCAACCCAAGGCTGATTTCATATTCTATTATAGTGTTATGAAAGGAGATGATGCACCTACTCTAGATCCCAACAGCGAGGTAACGACCTATTTGAGAAGGAAGAATAACCCAAACTCACACCATATATTCAAACAGGAGTTAACAAACCTCAAAGCCGAAATAGTCGCAGGAGAATACGTTATCGGACGTGTTTTGAACTTTGACTTTCGTCCTGATGATCATCCTATGCGCTTCATTGTACAAAAGACAAACATGCTGCTATTGGGCACACTCAACGGAGGTATAGGCTACCAGCCATTTCATACCCTCCCCGTTTTTTTAACGTTCGTTGTTTTCTTAGCACCAATCAACAGATCAATACATGAAACACACTACAACATTGTCAAGTGGGCATTTACACACTGTGCAGATGCTTGCACAAATGCAAAACTCATCACGACATATCCATCTGATGTTGTTGCTTTTGCTTGTGTGTATTTGGCTATGAGATATGTTCTTGGTGAGGCTGCTCCTTCTCTTGAAAAGGTACGACTTGGGTTGGTCAAGTTGATGATTTTCACTTACACAGTTTACCAAAAACAGCTTTGTGTTTGGGAACTCAATGCTCCTCCAGAGATTTTGAATTCATACAAGGAAGGAATACCACTTGTACTTGGTGAGTGCTGTTTTTCAACATTTTGACATGACTTTGACGTGTTTGATGGATGATGGTTTTTTGAAGATGGTGCATATGAGACCCGTATCTTACGCGCTGTTGTCTACTAGGCTGCCTTGATCAACTTGTTTCTGTCCTTGAAGGAAATTCGACTATAATTTAGACGAACCAATGATAATGAGCCATAAGCGACGGCTGTTAAAATTTGCTACTAGCTCAAAAACGCAAGCTGTAATTTTGTTCGCACACACCCCTTTGTAGAACTAGTAAATTATCACATATAGAGCCACATATTGTAAGTAAATCTTGCTTGATTCGCTCCCCGTCTCATGTTTGATTCATTGAAAAACGACCAAATCTCAAATTCATTCAAAAGCTAACTTTTACAACTTACTCACCCACAGTTTCTTTTTGACGTCACATCTCTTTGATAAGGACAAGAAGAGACAGCATTTTATATCTTAATACGGTACGTAAAATGATGGAATTAGCAAGCGACCAGTAATATATTCTGGTCGAATGAAGCTTGTCCCACTTTGGCAAACTGGCACCATAACGTGCTCTGTCTTCAAGTTTGATGGTGAATTGAAGATTGTGAAAGAGGAGGAAATGAGAATTTTGATTGTATTTTCATGTTGGATCTTGGTTGTAATACTGCATGTTGGCTCAAATGTCAACGCGGTCATCAAACATCCAAACCTCTATTTTGATGAAAGACCCCGACGATTAATATGAAACCCCAAACCTCTTACTACTTTTATCTCCAGTCAACATCCCAACGTACACATTTCTCAAATTTATTCATCCCATCAATATAGACACCCCTCATAACGTACCAACCAAACAATGTCCGCCAAACCCATTCACGAATTTGACGGCAAGCTCCTCTTGGCCCACTGGCTCCCACTCCTCTCACATCCAGACCAACCATCCAAAGATGCTGCTCCACCAGCATTCTTGCCCGCATCTCGCATGGTCCACTTGCCATTTGACACGTCCATCCTCGCAGGTGAAGACAAGTCTCCCGAAGCCGTACAAGTCAGAATGGATCGATTCTTGAATCATGTCGATCAGGCTTTCGGTGAAGCTGAAGTCCGAAACCCATGGCTACGTGATACTAAATTGGTGTGCAAGCCTGATCAGCTCATCAAGCGTCGTGGAAAGGCTGGTTTGCTGGGTATCAATTTGGAATGGAATGCGGTTAAGGAGTGGATTCGTGCTCGTGCTGGGAGAGAATTCAAGGTAATGTTAAGGGTGTTGTAATTGTTGGTGGGAAAATTTGACTAGCGTCAAAGTCATGAATGTCCTCCATCTTTCCTTTTTTGCGTTCATCAAGCATTAACACATACCTTTCTTCACCAATAGATTGAAAGAACTGCTGGTACTCTACATACCTTCTTGGTAGAACCTCTATGCCCACATCCTCAAGACTCGGAATACTACATTTGTATCCAATCTGTCCGTGAAGGTGACTGGATTTACTTTACTCACGAAGGTGGTGTTGACGTTGGTGACGTCGATGCTAAAGCCAAGAAGCTCTTGGTCGAAGTCAACAAACCGTTCCCAAGCAGTGATGAAATCGCTCGTACCTTATTGTCTGGTGAGCGTTATAGTAGTAGCTGATGATGTGTTTTTTTGCCATTCTTCAACACTTTCAATTTCATAATTCAAATCAAATATTAATTCAACCCATTTCCATTTCTATATTAGAGGGTGTATCATCAACCAAAACTCCAGCCTTGGTGGAATTCATCACCCGTCTATATGCAGTATATGCCGAACTCCAATTCACCTATCTCGAAATCAACCCTCTGGTTGTCCTTGAAGACGCTACTGGAAAGACCCAAATATACTATCTCGACTTGGCTGCCAAACTAGATCAAACAGCCGATTTTGAATGTGGCAAGAAATGGTCACAAGGTCTCGTATCTGGATACCCTACAGCTGGTCAATGGGGTCCAACCATTGACTTCCCTGCTCCATTTGGTCGTGACTTGACCAAGGAAGAAGCCTATATCGCTGATTTGGATGCCAAGACTGGAGCATCCTTGAAACTGACCGTCCTTAATGCTAGCGGACGTGTCTGGACTATGGTTGCTGGTGGTGGTGCTTCCGTCGTATATGCAGATGCTATTGCCAACTTGGGATGGGCCGATGAAATCGCTAACTATGGTGAATACTCTGGCGCTCCATCTGAAGCCCAAACATACGAATATGCCAAAACCATCTTGGACTTGATGACTCGCGGGGCTCCTCACCCAGAAGGCAAATTCCTGTTTATTGGGGGTGGTATTGCCAATTTCACCAACGTCGCATCGACATTCAAGGGTGTAGTTAGGGCCTTGCGAGAATTCGCCAAACCATTGCTGACACATAAAGTAAAGATATTTGTCCGTCGTGCTGGTCCCAACTACCAGGAAGGTCTTCGTATAATTAGATCTGTAGGTGAAGACTTGGGCCTTGATATGCAAGTATTTGGTCCTGATATGCATGTCTCTGGTATCGTGCCACTGGCGCTCAAGGGTTCCAAAGTTGGCATGTCTGCCACTGGTGAACAGCACGAACCTGAAGCCAACGGACTCTTGGCTGCATCTATGCCACGACCTGCTGCTGGTCCTGTATTGCCTACTCCTCAAGGCAACGGCCATACCGAAGAACTACCACAATCAAACGGCTCAACTGATGCTGGTGCTGCCGCTCCATGGTATAGTCCCTTCACCGAAAAGACTCGATCGTTTATATACGGTATGCAACCTCGAGCTGTACAGGGTATGCTGGACTTTGACTTTATGTGTAAGAGGTCTGAACCCAGTGTCGCTTGTATGATTTATCCATTCGGTGGTCATCATGTACAAAAGTTTTATTGGGGTACCAAGGAGACTTTGATTCCTGTGCATACCGCTGTTGAAGAAGCTTGTGCCAAATTCCCTGATGTCTCTGTAGTTGTCAACTTTGCTTCTCACCGAAGGTATGTACAACTCCACGTTGATAGCGTCTCTTTTGCGATTTTCTTTCCAAAGACGTTTCCAGTCTAAGGAATATATCACATCTTTCTCTAGTGTCTACGAATCAACTCGCGAGTTGATGCAATACCCCCAAATCAAAACCATTGCCATCATCGCTGAAGGTGTCCCAGAAAGACGAGCTCGTCAACTCTTATGGGAAGCCAAGGCCAAAGGAATCTTGATTATCGGTCCAGCAACAGTCGGTGGTATCAAACCAGGATGTTTCAAGATTGGAAACACTGGTGGTATGATGGACAACATTGTCTCCTCCAAGCTCTACCGTCGTGGATCTGTCGCCTATGTATCAAAGTCTGGTGGTATGTCTAACGAGCTTAATAATATCATTGCTCGCTCCACGGATGGTGTATATGAAGGTGTTGCTATTGGTGGTGATCGATACCCAGGCTCGACATTTATCGACCATATGTTGCGATATCAGGCTGATCCAAAGGCCAAGATCTTGCTGCTGTTGGGTGAAGTTGGTGGTGTAGAAGAATACGAAATCGCCAAAGCCATCCGAGAAGGTCGTATTACCAAACCTCTAGTAGCATGGTGTATTGGAACATGTGCCAAAATGTTCAAGACGGATGTACAATTCGGACATGCTGGTTCGTTTGCCAACTCGGATTTGGAAACCGCCGACGCCAAGAATGCTGCTCTCCGAGCTGCTGGTGTACACGTACCCGATACATTCGAAGATATGCCAAACATCCTACACTCTGTATATGCTGATATGGTTGGTAAGGGGGTCATCAAAGTAGGCAAGGAGCCCGAACCACCAAAGATCCCTATCGATTACTCTTGGGCACAAGAGTTGGGTCTTATCCGAAAGCCTGCATCGTTTATCTCAACTATAGTAGATGACCGTGGACAGGAATTGTTGTATGCTGGTATGCGTATATCTGAAGTATTCAAGGAAGATGTTGGTGTAGGAGGTGTCTTGTCGCTCTTGTGGTTTAGACGTCGTCTGCCTGTATCCGCCAGCAAGTTTATTGAGATGGTGCTTATGCTTACTGCCGATCATGGACCAGCTGTCTCTGGAGGTGAGCATCAAATGCAATAAGTTTTTTTTGGTCCCCTTGAACATCGTTATTTTTTTATTCTTGTTCTCGACGATCATTCTTTAACGCTTACTCAATTTTGTCCCTCTTCTCTCTGTTAGCTCACAACACTATCGTCACTGCCCGTGCCGGAAAGGACTTGATCTCCTCCCTCGTCGCAGGTCTCTTGACAATCGGTGAACGATTCGGAGGCGCCCTCGACGGTGCCGCCCAAACCTTTTCCGAAGCATACGATAAAGGAATGTCACCCTCCGAATTCGTATCCTCTATGCGAAAATCCAACAAGCTGATCCTTGGTATCGGTCACAAAATCAAGTCTCGAACAAACCCCGATCTCCGAGTTGAAATCGTCAAGGAGTTTGTATACAAGAACTTCCCATCCCATGCTATCTTTGACTATGCACTAGAAGTTGAAAAGATCACTACCAGTAAAAAGGATAATTTGATTTTGAATGTGGATGGTGCTGTTGGTGTCGCGTTTGTGGATTTGTTGCGTGGGTGTGGTGCTTTCTCGATGGAAGAGGCTGACGAGTATATCAAGGTATGTATCATTACAAGGAACCTTTTTACATCATGAATCTCGTCCTTACAAACTGTTCTTCTTAAAGATTGGTACTCTGAATGGTCTCTTCGTCCTTGGTCGTTCCATTGGATTCATTGGACACTACATAGATCAAAAGAGGTTGAAGCAAGGTATGTTGGCTTGAAACCATCCACTGGCAAAACCGCACCTTGTTTTTGTTATCAACTTTTATCAATTAACTCAAACCTTCTTCTTTTCAGGCTTGTACCGTCATCCATGGGACGATATCAGTTACCTCTTGCCAGAACGAACTGAACCTGTTCCATCAGGCAGGACCTTGGCTGATCCTGCAGCTACCATTGCAAGAGGCACTGAAGGCACCTCTGCATAAGTGCACAATATACTCTCTCTACTACCACAACTCTTCCAAAAATATCATGTATTTCGAGAAACCAAGGCTTATATAAAAGAATGCTGGATTTATCTCTGTATAATTGGATGTTTCCGCGTTACTGTGCGATACTTGGTTTGCAAAACACGTTCAAAGTGGTATATTTCTTTGGATATGTTCTTGGTAGGCAGAATAATCATCATGTATATCGTTTATTCCTCTTTCTCGGCTCTGTCTGCGTCGCGTTTTTGAAATCGAGTCATCTTGTGTTTCCATGTGCATCCTTTCTCTCCCTCATACAAAGACATCTAAAAAGATGGCGAGTGTTCGTACTGTGTATCAAGTAGCCAAGGTAGCTGGCAGAGCTGTTGCTTCCCAGGTATGAATTACATCTTCTCTTGCTAACCTGTATCTGTTGGCCATGTTCTACGTTTTTGCATTTTTTGCTTTACATGTCAAGTTTCGTCAATGGATGCTCTGTGATGCCGTAAACGAGTGATAGAACTGGAAGAGAAGATTATTCAACTTGGAATGCTATCAATGATGCAGTCGATTACGTCAAGACGTATATGGGATGAGGTTGCCAAAAGGAGGTGCAACAACATTTTTCGGCAAAGTTTGGAAGGGACCAATAGACACGGAGCTTACTAAATAAGAGCATAATGAAGAAGAAGAAAATTAATGATATTTTATATCTAGCAATCTTCTATACTCCGTCAATCGGTAGCTCGTCGTTCCCATACCCTTGCAGTGCCCTACACCCATCTTGGAATCACTCAATTCGACAAGGGTGTCCCAGTCGAGCAAGTGCGAGAGCTGACTCCCGTGGAAAAGCGATGGGACTTTTGGACTACTAGTAATGCATTCCTGGAGCGCAAGCAGGAGGCCGGATTCTTGGTATTGTGTCTCACATACATTGGCCCTTTTTTGGGGGGGCCATTGTCATATCTAGCATGTTAACTAATTTTTGAATTTTTACAAGGGATTCATGTATGTACCATATGGCGAAGTGTGGGTCATTGAACGTGGCTCTAGCTTTTCAAGGATTGCTACAACTGGATGGAACTTCATGCTACCTGTTACCGACAAGATTAAGGCTATCAAGAATGCGCATTCGGTTGTTATGGGGATTGTTACTCCACCTGTTCGAACCAAAGGTGAATAATCAGACATCGTTGTCCTTGAGTTTATAGGGCGGAGTTCAAATGACTCATAACGTTCAATGGGTTCTAGATGGTGTAGATGTCAATGGATATGCTGTTGTCACCATCAAAATCACTGATTACGAAAGAGTATGTTGGAATCGTTAAGATATTGGATTCATTGTCGTTGGTATTTGACGTCCTCTTTTGTCTAGTCTGCCTACTACGTTGATGCTGAAACCAACAGACTGGACTCTGAACGAGGCGCTGCCCGTGTTGTCCGACGAATCCTAGAATCTGAATTAGCCAGTGTATCGAGTGCTAGTGGTGAAATTGCTGAATCTGACAAGGCTTCTATCGCTGACAAGATCACTGCTGCTTTGAAGGCCAAGAGTGTAGACTTTGGGTTGGATGTTACAAGTGTTGAAATCCGTAAGTTATTGTGTTTATCAGTAGACACACGCTAGTCGCAGTCGTTGCCGTCACTCACTGTTATTCGTTGCTATATAAAGGTGGTGCCTTCCCACAAACGTCCAATGTCCCAGACAAACTACGAGCATTGGACCCACCACTCCCAGCTGAAGACCAAGCTGGTCACGGTCTGTCGTCCGACTATTGGGCAGATGCCTTGGCTCCTCCATACTTCGAAAAGCGCAAGTTTGGATCTGAAAAGGAAGTCCGTACTCCAGCTGCCGTGTCTCTTGAATGGTGTATTCCTTCTCCACCAGACTTCCATCACTTTGGAATGATTCCTAAAATGTATGTTGGTGGTGTTTGCCGTCGTGGTTTTGATATTTGGGTCTTGACTGGCGCTTCTTTTTGTGGTTGACTGACAATTTCTTTACTTGTTATAGGACCGCTGCACCTTCCGACGAAAAGAAGGTTGCTGCCCCAGCACATTAGATAACCCATAAAAATGAAAAATTAAGAACAAATATAGCTCAAATCAAATATATAACTACGGGTTTCCTTGGCACTCCATTGCACTCACTCCATCAGTTGGACTCGTCGCTGTCAATCGAGATATGGAATGCTATGATGCTCAACAGGTGTAAGACTTGATGGGCATGTAACTCAAACATTCATCAAATCGAACAAAGGCGTGTAACACGCTTTGAATCATTCAAACTCGAATAATCATGCACAGAAACGGACATTGAGCCTGTTGTCTCAAGCGATCGCCATTATTGTCGCGTCTTGCCCATTATTGACGCGTCTTGCAGAAAGTGCGACCTAGTCTGTTGGTGTCACGTTGAGTATTTCTGGTGGACTTTTTCAGAGTGAACAGCACAAGAGAGAAGCTTGGAACGTTCAAAGAGAAACCGCATCTAAAAAGATCCCGAAACAATGCCAACAGAAGCGGAGAAAATCTATGCCTCAGGCCTTCGCATGTTCAGCGACAAGGACCTGCAAGACCACATGAAAAACACCAAAGGAGTTCTCGGAAAACCCGTAAAAGGCACCGAAAAACCAGGAAGCACAGCATCCTACCGCTCTGCAATGTGTCCCGACCTTGTTGACGGTTGGACGGACGCTGGCATCCACTCCATTGCACAAATCTTTGACGAGGCATTGAAAATGATGGGGCCTGATCAACCATTCTTGCACCATCGTGAGAAATTGGTCGACCTTAATGGCAAAGTTACGTGGGGCCCGTATGTCGCGCAGACTCGTGGGGCTGTTAATGAAAGGAGATTGAATTTTGGGAGTGGGCTTTGTCAATTGAAGATGGAGTTGTGTGGGGGCAAGGAGGAGGATAAGTGGCATTTTTCGATATTTGCTGTGAGTGCGTTGGGGTTTGTGTTGCGTTGGTGCTCTGTACGTACGGATTAACTCGTGTTTGTTGGTTATGTAGAATAATCGACCTGAATGGTTTATTGCTGATCACGGTGCTATATGCTATGGCCTTGTTTCTGCTGCTCTATTCGACTCTCTGGTATGACGGCCCTCTACTTGCTATCTGATACTCAAATATCTCACACTTTTAAACACTAGGGTCCTGAATCTGTCTCCTACATCATAAACCACTCTGACTCGCATGGCCTCATTACCACTATCGACCGTATCCCATCGGCTCTGTCAATAGCTCACGAATGTCCCAACATGAAGTGGATTATCTCCATGGACGAGCTCTTCACCACCGAAGGCAAAGATCTAGTTCAGAAAGCTGCAGCCGTAGGAGTCAAGCTTGTTTCCTTCTTGGAGGTGGAACAGCTTGGGAAACTTCACCGTAGACCGGTTCGGTATGCTGGGGATGATGATATGTATACGCTCTGTTACAGTGAGTGATACGAGGAACTTCGCGTCGTTGTTTTGTTGTGCAGTCCTAACGTTTTTCGTGACCCGCACTTTAGCTTCTGGAACAACTGGCCAACCCAAAGGAGGAATCATCACGCACAGAAACATGCTCGCTACTGGTCGAGCGATTCAGTATCAAGGAAGTGGACATTACCAGAGTGATTTCCACTTGTCGTACTTGCCTTATGCACACGCTATGGAGCGTTTCATTCTCGTAGAAGTGTTGCGATCTGGAGCACCCGTTGCATTTGGACGTGGTGATCCGGCTCTGATTATGGAAGGTGAGGAAAATACAGTGACGTGTTAGTTGGTCTGAAATGTACTGAATTTTTTGTCGTAATTAGATATGCAGACATGGAAACCAACATATGTCGCTTCAGTGCCTCGTATCTGGAACAGACTGTATGCTGCCATCACTACACGCGTCCTGTCAACAGGAGGCGAGAAAGGATTAGATGCCTTCCGAAAGGCTGTTGCTGAAAAGGCAGCTTGGACCAAGAAGACAAGCTCTGTGACACACCCAAAACTCGACAAGCTCTTCTTTGATGCTTTCAAGCCATTGTTGGGTGGACGAGTTCGCCACGTAAATTCTTTTCTACTTCAGGTGTTTTGTGCAAAATTCTTACCACCAAATAACACCTAGGCTATGAGTGGATCAGCTCCCATCGCACCTGACGTCCTAGACACCCTACGAGCATGTTTCAGCATGACGTTCGGAGAAGGGTATGGACAGACCGAGTCTGGAGGTGCTATTTCAGTGCAGTACAGATTCGAGTTTGATGCTGCTTACAAAGTCGGTGTTCCGCTTGTATGCAATGAGTATAAGCTTGTATCAGTGCCTGAGATGGGATATCTTGTAACTGATAAGGTGAGAAATGGTGTGATCGTTTCCGTTCAAGCTTGATCATTCAGTGAGTCTTCCACTCTTTTTTAGCCATACCCACGCGGTGAAGTATGTTTCAGAGGTCCCAATGCTACACCTGGGTACTACAAGGATGCGAAGAAGACTGCGGATTTGATTGATAAAGAAGGATGGTTGCATACTGGAGATGTTGGAGGTATGATGGCCTGTTATCTTGTTTTAAGTAAGTTTTTTTTCTCACCCGAAAAACTTATGTTTTAGAAATCGATGAGTTTGGACGCTTACGTATTCTGGATCGAACCAAGCATATCTTCAAGGTATCTTCTGTGTTTTTCAAGATAGAGCGGGATAGTTCATATTGTTTCTCCCTTGATTATTTACTGATTGAGACGCGTTTTTTAGCTTGCGGTAAATAGAAGTTTTAAGATCCCCTCTTTGCCAAATGATCTCACTAACTTTCATTTTTCATTGTGATTGGTACATTTTAGCAAGGAGAGGTGAGCGATCTCTGTCGAACCAAGTCTTATCTCTCTTCACTAACGCTTCTATCGTGTTTGCTAGTACGTTGCTCCAGAAAAGTTGGAAAACATTTTCCAGAACTCGGCATACATTGTAAGGGCCACTTCACTGCTATGAGCCTATTCTCTATGTGCACCTAACGTTTTTTTTCGTAGGCTCAAATCTACGTTCACGGTGACTCTGTACGATCCGAACTAGTAGCGGTCGTCATTCCAGAACCAGAACCAGTTCTCCTACGCGCCATCGAACTTGGCTTGATTCCAAAAGATGTAACTATTCCAGCTCTTGGCGTCGTGACGCCTGAACTTGAAAAGGTCTGCAAAGACACCAAGATTATGGAAGTCATTTTGAAGGATATTGAGAAATTGGGTCGTGATAGGAAAGGTATGGGTGCTTGGTAGAGAAGAATCGCTATCGCAGCGTGTTATCTAATACCAATATCCTTTATTTTTGCCAAATCAACTACAGTCATGGGATACGAGTTACCCAAAGCCATATGCCTGAAACCTGAAATCATGACCATTCAGAATGGTTTGCTTACTCCTACCAACAAGGTTAAGAGGGAAACTGTTGCCAAGGTGAGAATAGAGTTGTTTCTACAAGACAGAAAGAGTCTTTACATCGATCTGACAATTCACTTTCTTGACTAGGAATACCGTCCACTCATTGATATGCTCTACTCTAAGGTCGATGCTTCTAGATCGCCTGCCAAATTGTAGTTTGTCAGAAACCCAAAAGAATACACTTAATACCGCCTAACGAACTCTTTGATCAGACAAAACTGTTGCATGGTTGCTTTGCACGGCGGAATTGGAGAGGTGTCATTTACTACGAGCAGTCTTAACAGCTAGTTGGGGAGACAATTTGCAATGGCATCTTGTTTTTGAGTTGTCTCTCCAGTTTTACAAGAGCTCATGCACGAGACCGAAAGAGTGCTTGGGAACTCTTTACATCTGGCGTGGTGATCATCTAGCTCTGATTATGGAGATTGGGAACAGTAAAGTGACATGTCACTATGCCTGGACTGCTATAATTCCTTTTTTTTTGCTATAATTAGGTATGCAAGAATGGGAACCAACATACGTCGCTTGAGTGCCTCGTATGTGGAATAGACTGTTGCTACCATCACTAGACGCGTCCTGTCAGCAGGACGTAAGAAGGGATTAGATGTCTTCGGAAAGGCTGCTGTCATCACTACACGCGCCCTGTCAGCAGGACGTAAGAAGGTTAGATGTCTTTGGAAAGGCTCTAGTTGAAAAGGCAGTTTGAGCAATGAAAACAAGCTCTGTCACACAATCAAAGCTCGACAAGCTTTATTTCGATGCGTTCAAGCCATGGCTGGTGAACGAGTTCGCCATGTTAATACTCTCCTATCTCGTTTTTTGCGCATAGTGTGACCACCAAACAACGTCTAGCCTTTGAATGGATCAGCTCCGATCGCACCTGACGTACTAGACACCTTCCGAGCATGTTTCGGGTGCCTGGGATGGGGCATTTTGTAACTGATGAGGTGAGAAATGGTGTTTCCGTTCAAACTTGATCATTTTACTGACTTCCCTTTTTAAGCCATACCAGTGATGAACCCTTTATCTCAGTTTGTTTCCATGGCGAGTTAACTATTTTTCATTGCTTATTGCGAGTTATACATTGTAGCAAGGTGAGTGTTTCTTGTCGAACTAGCATCATGTACCCAACTCGAACTAACTTCTCTGTCAAAATGAGTAGTATATTGCTCCCGAAGAGATGCCAGACGTCTTCCAGATACTTGAGATGCATTGTAAGTGCCTTTTGAGTGTTATACAGTCTGTACTTGATTTTGAAAGATTGTACCCCTCTTTTGGCTTAGGCTCAAATCTACGTTCACTGCGACTGCACGATTCGAGCTAGAAGCTGTCGTCATTCCAGATCCACTGCTTTAAAATGTTCATGGAACTGGACTTTGACGGATGCTGCCATTCCAGCACGTGGTGTTGCTGTGCCTGAACTTGAACAAATCTGCTGATCTCATTTTGAAGGATATCGAGAAATTGGGTCGTGAGAGGTTGAAAAAGAGCTACTGTCGACTCGTGCTCTTTTCGATTCAATTGATTTTTATGCCCAAAGGAATACACATACGATATACCCTCCCCAAACGATAAGCTTGGACCTTGAAATTATCGCCATTCAGAGTGGTTTACTTCTACTATCAACACGGTTAGGTGTGAAATGGTTGCCAAGGCAGAAGAAAAGTCTTCATAAAGGCTGTAATTGCGTTTTGTATCATCTCTTGTAACAAGAAAACTGTCCTCTCACTGATACGCCTGACTTTCAGATTGATACTTTTAGCTATCCTATCATTTGAAGTTTGCTAGATAGCAAACTTCCAATATAGGGATGAGTCAAAACGTTTAAATATCTTATTTTTGCTTCACTCAACCGTTCATGCTATGAATACATATATCTTATTGATTGCTTGGTTTCTTACAATTGAGAACCTATCGTTTTCTAAATGAGGTTGCGACTGCCTATATAACTTAATCTCAAGGAGACCTTCATCATTTTATACATGTAATGGTAACCCAAAAGACTGAATGCACATATAATGCAGTCTCAAGATCCCAACCCAGAACGAGGCTTCCTGAAAACCACGTCAATCAAGCCATGTTGATTCAGATGCATGCTATTGCTACCACCACTGCTACCTCCAGCATGTCTATCCTTCATATTAGTATCTCCATCACGATCTGTACTTGGACCTATAGTAGCACCTTCCTTCCAGCCCATTTTTTGAAGCAGCAAGAAGCCTTTATTGGTCTCCTTCAGTGCTTCTTTATCTTCAAACACAGTTTCGCCCCATTTAGGAGCTAGTCTGCGGGTGTTGCCTGATGTATTATTTGGTTGAGTGTCACGATGATTGCCACGTTCCGAGTACTTTTTCTTCTTTTCGTCTCTTCTTTCTTTATAGGATGTTGGCGGTGGTGGTGATGATGCGACGAATGGTTGTGTTTGGTATCCAGTGAATATGTTTGGTACCTGATTATATGTTGGTGGTGCGACATATTCCCATGGTTGGCTTGTTGCAATATTTAGTGCCTGATTATTATACGTTGTTTGTTCCGATGGTTGGGTTGTAGTTCCGTTCTTGTTTCCCACCCGACTATATGCCGACCTACGAAGCTTATCAATCCTTTCCTGTTCTATATCTTGAGCTGATGGTAGATATATCGAGTCTGAGCTAAACACGTCGTCGTCAAACACTCTGGCAACTACATTTTTCTTTTTTGAAGGGAGTTTGAAGCCTTTGATACCATTACCACTACTATATGGTTGATTATCGGGAATAGTAAATGGCTCTTGTGGCAAATCTACAAAATCGGCTTGCTCACGTCTCAAATGGCGTTTGGATCGTGAATTGTGTTTTGGTGGTGGTGATTGTTTTGAGTTTCGTACGACAACGACGGACTCATCGTCATCACTTATGACTATTGGTTTAGGTTTACCAGCATATGATGCTCTGGAAGCGGGTGATGACGAAGAATTTCCTGGTTTTACAGATATAATTTCGACATCTGAGTCCGAGTCCAGAGCAGTAACATTCTGTATATAGTCGTCCATAGCAGCGTAATGATCATGATCATTGCTCCAATCTTTTATAACAGGGCGTTGTTGTCTTCTTTCGTGTTCATTGTCAGAATTGCTGGTGATGACAAGACGATTTTTCTTCTTCTTGCCCTTCTTGGCCCGTTTCGAGCCATTGCCACCTAAGTAGACTATCTTGGGTGGACTATTACTATCAGGCTCATCATTCCTGCTATGTGATTGTGGTTGCTGCGGAGGAGATAATGGCAAAAAGTCGTCAAGCTCCTTGAGTGAGATTGTTGACTCCCAGGCCCTATTTGGCTTCAGATCTATAATAAAATCATCTTCCTCATCTATATCAATAACGTCAGAACTCATAGCTTCAGACTGTCAACTCATACTTTGGCCTGTGCGATATAATGTGCGTGGTAGGCGTTGTTTAGAATCGCAGCGCGGTATACAGCATTGCACATCATCCCAACATCGTCTATTCAACGTTTAAAGTTACTAAACTTACTGAACTACCCGTCTCTGGATCTCTGGATCCGAATCATGTGGAATTGACGGGTTGCAACAAATATCAAACTGTATGCCGCCAAGTTTACAACTTGTTACGCTTAAAGAATGTCACATCCATATACTCTTGTGGTTCCTTTGTCTCGTAAGCACGTCTAAACTGTATAGCTCCAGCTTCCGTGGCCGCTTCTCGCGAGGATGCCCGTTCCCATTTTGTGATCTGGAAAGTAAGAGTTGTGAGTTCGACGATGCCGCAAGGACAGGGAGCATGTATACTGACCAGTTCCTTTTGAAGTTTCACTGCTCTTGGTCCTGAAGCTACGATACCATCAAGACAATCGTTCACAGCGTCATCTAATTTTGATAATGGAACAACATTCTCTAGGAAGCCCCATTGTTGCATCGTAGATGCGGGAAGATTGTCCCCGACTAGGAGGAGATACCTCGTCCGACCCCATCCAATTAGATCTGTTGATAAAATTGTCAGTTTAGATTATATGACGCCAAAAACACTAGATAGCATACCAGGTAATAAACAAGCTTCTACGACTGATGGTAGGCCAACACGAACTTCAGGCATCCCAAACGTTCCCGTGTCTGCCGAAATCCTGAAATCGCATGCAGCAGCAACTTCCAAGCCAGCCCCCAAACACCAACCATTGACTCTTCCTATGACTGGTACTGGAGTTTTTCTAAAAACAATTGAGGCACTTTAGAGCTTTTTGCCTTCGATTTCTTGTATTTAGAGTTACGTACCTTATAACATCAGCGCACTTGCTAACTTGTCGAATAAAAGCCTCAGCTCCATCTTGATCCTTCTGATACATCTCACTGATATCAGCACCACCGATGAAAGACTTGTTTCCAGCACCAGTTAGCACGACACATCGTAACTCAGGATCCATAGATAAATCTTGAAATGTTTTGATAAAGTCCTTCATCAAAGCAGAGTTCATGACGTTCAGGCGTCTTTCATTGTTTACTGTAACTGTAGCGACTTTACCAGTGGCGCCTAAAGACAGGTCATTCCATTAAATGAACGAAAAGAATGCGTCCGTGGTTGAATTGATTCATGTCACACCTCGATGTTTGGAGACGTGGTTCTTGAAAGTAACCGTCACTAGTTGAGCTGCTTTAGATGCCATGATTGTGCCTACTTTAGATGCGTTGAATCTTGTAAGCTTGCCAAAGCTCAACAACAACAACAACACATGCAACACCAAGCTTATGCATCGGTGCACGTGTCAGTGAACAAAGCACTGGGAACTTACCAAGAACTAGGTATTAATTCTACTATTCGTGATTGCCCCTGTGCTCGGTTGGACCTTGCTGCTATTGTTTGTTTGAAACTGTAAAAAGCTAAAGACGCTGCCCGTCTCCGCCGAACTTTTAGAGGGTGAAGATGAAGTTGATGAACATAAATTCGAGTCGCTCCGCTGTGAGCGATCGCTTTATGATCTATCTCACCATGACAGCATGCCCTTCACAAATGTAGAACACACTAATTCGGACGGATGTTGGTTGGTCAATAATTTTACTATTGAGAATATCTAAATGATCACATGCAATAATTTACGTGGGGTTTGAATATGCATCAGTCCGTCGAGGATGAGTAACATCACGCGCACCCATTCTGGCCGTGACTGCCAACTGGTGTGCATCCGGAATAGTAAATATCAAAGCAGTGAGGAGTTCCGGTGTGGCTTTAAACACGTATTGGTACCATTCGGCTTGGACTAGCACGCCATTGAATTCAGCTACGAGTACGTATATCGTCCGAATGGCCATAAGGAGTCCAATTGCAAAGACAAGGCCTCGCATCTATGCATTATACCGGTTAGCACATTCATTCCAACCAGCCAAGACTCCCTTCAACAGAGGTTTGTACATACCCTCATATCAGGAGATTCTCTCATCCACAAAAGATTCACGAGTGTTCCGAGAGCAACCAGTAGAGCAATGGCCGAGTACAATCCAATAAATATATTCAGAGTAGAGTTGGAATTTGTTGGATTGTTGACTGCCTGTTGTTGAAGAATGATGATGGCAATCACCGAGGCCAGAAGTGCAAGTTGTAATACTCGAGCTACTTGCGCCGCTGGTGTGCTTGGTTGGATTCCAAAGTGCCTAAGTTTCAAGAGAGGGTTAGTTCTGAACCGTGCCACATTGAGAGACCACATTAGAGCTTACATTATAAGAATTTGCAAGGTTGTGGTGATAACAAAGAAGTATCCGATACTCTGCAGCAGCACTTCAACCAAGTAGATGGTCTCGGATGTTTGAAAAGTCGTGATGAGCAGACAACGCATTATGAAGGAGACAGTCCGAACTAGGAAAGACGTGGATGGGGATCAGCGTCAACAGCCAATAGGATTCAGAATACAGATTCAAGCCAAAATGCGGCCACTCATAGTGGGAAAGTACGTCATGGCTCACCTGTGACGAATAGTGCAAGGGAGATTGAAGTTCTTGAAATCCCTCTGAGCGCATAGTATACAAATATGGGCACTAGAAGACCGAATGAAGCTGCAAACACGATTGCTGGAGGGAGTGTGTATCTAATGGTAGGGTGAACACAGTAAGCTACAATTGTGGGCGCAATGTCGCAAATTATCACGGACAGACGACGGAAGCAGATCCGTAAACCATGACTTACCCGGCAAGTTGAGCATAGTTGACCATCTTTGATCAAATACAGGCTGCTTAAACGACAAACAGCAGCTTGCTTCCGGAAATTGTTTTTCAGTTAAAACCTGATGCCAACGACCTGATACCGTAGTAGCTTTGACGGAAATATTGAAACTTTGAGTTCGAGGAAGCGTCGGAACTGGCACCCTTTTAATATGTTTAACACCACATAGCCACTACTACAAAGCTTTGATCCTTTCCTTGTTGGTGAAGTTTGATTGGACGACGACATTTTTCTGGCAAATCGGGTCTAAAAATCGGTTAAGTTTCAAAAGATGGGGCTGTAATGCTGTCATGCACCTCTTGCAACTTATAACGGGTTCACTTCTTTCGTGCCGCACAGTGGGTCAATTCCTTTGTATACTTGATGCGAGATTTTACCCAATTTGATCCCAAGACGTGATCTTCACCAACTTCTTGTATCGTTGGCGTGTCTGGACAGCTCCTCGGGTTTGAAAGGGATTTTCGCTGTTCTCACGGTGTGTTGGAATCACTTGCTGTATACTACCCCCTATTCCAAACATTCAATCCCCAGTAGAGGATTGGAAAGAAGGTCACAGGAGCAAAGGCCCGATTTCCAGAACACTTCCAGTATGTATACAGAGCCTATCCTAGTGATTCCAGCATGCTTTGCTACTGTTTATCGTACTTGCCGTCAACGCGCTGACGTTCTGTTTTCGTCATTTCCAGGCCATTGCTATAAGGATTCAGGGACTCAAGGACGCTACCAACTATGGATGCGAACCGAACCATTCAGTGCCCATCCACACCTCTGCATGCCGTATCTTTCCCAGCAAGATAGGGGCATCAAGTGCGGTTGCTCCCATGCATACGGATCGTAAAAACTGAATGGATCTATGACTCCCCAACGTCAGCAGAAGGCATCTGCAAGTAGTGGCCATTCGCACGAGATGGTGTTCGTATATCGTGCCTTAAACACTCCTCCACCTCGTGAGTCTTTATGCTGTGTGCGTTAAGCCCTCCGCCAGTGTTATCGACCTTGGCCTCTGTCACTTCTGGTGACATTGGTCACAGCAAAAAGCGAGGAGGCGTCAAGGGATCGAGTGGATCCACGTTTACGTGGTTGGGTCTTGGTACTGATGGTAGCAAAGACCACAAAACATTTACCTCACCTCAGGCAACTATATGTGAGTTCTTTTATATCGCATCGTTTGTCTCCGCATATAGGTAATGCAGCCCATGCCGGTCCCAAGTCCGGAGAAATGCAGAGGGCTTATGATACTAACAACTCTTGTCCCTTGAATAGGAGATTTTACAGAACAGTAGAAAATGTAATGGTTTAAATATAAAGGCTGCCTGAACTTAACATACAAAATCCTCTCCGCGAGCCTATGTAACAGAGAGTTAAATGAAAGTGATTCGACTCTAAACCTCATGATATTCATGCATGTTTCGTTGGTTGCCTTTAATGGGAATGGTGACGTTCTTCCAATTCCATTTGCTCAAAACCACGTAATGGCAACGGCATTTTCTTCTTCTTTTGTGCCACGGAACGCAAATGCCAACGCAATTGTAGGATCCGTAATTGTTGCTCCCAGTCAAATCTTATTCACACTTCCATTTCAAGCGATGAATAGTTCAGGCGAAGGGAGAGAGGAGCTCATATTGATATAACTGTGGGCATAATCTAGCAGCCAGTCCTTTCTTGCTTGGGGTCTTGATTTTGCTTGAAATATGGCTGGCAAGATGCATCCACTCTCACAAAAGACGGTTTTGGACAATATCGATCACCTCGTAGTCACCAACTTTCTGTATCTATATCTTCTGGATTTCAGTCTGTTTACTCTGATGCTCCGTTTGGCAACACAATCTGTGCGCATTCAAAACATTTCAAATGTTGCGAGTTGGTACAGTGAGACTAACCGACACGTCTAACTATTAGGTCGTAGCTTCATCCCTAGTCACAAAGTCATTAAAGTTCTATGTGTATTTCATTATTGGCACGAATCTCTTGTTTGCTATGAGACATTTCAGTCAGCCTGAAGGATTTGCTGTGATTATCGACTTTTTCCATAGTAAACTTCGTATCCTTTCTGCTTCCATGTGCTGGCACGTTTGCTAATCTTTAATCTTAATTCTTTTCTATAGCAAACCAGCCAACATCACGTCTCTTCCTGATCCTTCTGGATGTTATGATATGTTTTGTACAGCTATTTAGGCTCCTCGTGGTATTGACTATATCCCAATCCTCAACAGAAGCATCTCCAGCTCTACCTATATCTTTATCTAGTCTCGTCTTCCAATTCCCGTGGCAAAGGACTAGGAGACGGCCAACCTCACCAACAAGGTCACCGTCACGGCCCAGCAATACTAGTAGTAATAACAGTCCATCGAGGCCGCCCACTATGCCTGGAGGGCTGATAAACTCGCCATTAGGTAGAGCACTGTCTCCACTACGGCCAAGTGAAGTGATACCGCTTCAGCCAATGAACAATGTAGCTTCAAGCTCATCTAGGCCTCCAATACCTGCATTATCGTCATCAAGCCCGATTCTAGATGTAGATGATCCACCAGATAGACCTCTACTACCACCAAGAGCAGACAATCCTCTAGCAGTGACATCTGTGCTTGAACTCGATCTAATAGGTGCTTACAGGTTATTTATGCAACGAGAAGAACCGAATGAACCCAATTCGTATGATTTGCCTGTTTGAACAAGAGCAGGATAGCAGGACGGGCTTGCATATTTATAGAGAAGATACCTCAACGGCAAACACAAGATCTTTTGTATCTAGCGCTTCAGCAATCCACTACCCACCAGTATCTATACACATACCATGAAAATTCATATACATTTCGCATTTAATATACTATCTATATTCGATTTGAAAAAAAAAACTAGTTTTAGAAGCGTGACATTCGCTCTTCACTGTAGAAATATGATGGAGTTTCGGACTTCATATCATTCCAGATCGTGTCAATCTTTGCAACAACATCAGGGTTCAATGGCCCATTCTTCATTTCTGCCACGTATTCTTCCAACAATTGTCCACTAGCTGGACCTATGATTATCGCATCACCTTCCTCAGTCAGCCCGCTATGGTACTGCATCCATCGGTACGCCAATTCACGCGGAGCTAAGTCAACTGACGTAGCTAGAGCTATCAGTTTCTCCACGGCTTGACTAGTCAGCGTTGACTTGTAGTTTGCACGATACATTTCCTCTCCACGAGTCCCAGTTCCTACTACCTCCTGTTTGGATCCGAGCATGCCTGATATTGTGACGCTGAAGGCATAAAACACCATATTGTGACGTCTTAGACATGGTAGCAGTTCTCGTTCACAGTCTCGTCCAATCAAGTTGCTAAACGAGTGCGGTCATGTTAATCAGGGGCTCAACAGGGAGGAGTTGTTCGTGAATGGAGTTTTCAGCCTCATCCTGTCTGTCTCTTGTCAGGCAAGGCTTGCGAAGACACCACGCAATGAGGACAAGTACTTACTAGAGTCCTTGGTATACACTTGGAGGCTGTATACCTTCTTGTTTACAGAACGCCACCATCTCATCGATTGCATAAGAGGGAAAGTTAGACAGTCCCCAGCGATCGAACTTTCCTTGGCTGTGCAAGACACCCATAGCTTTACACGTCGTTGTCCACGGAGTTTTGTAATCAGGAGCGTGTAGATCTGTTTTGGGTTGCAAGAGGTTTAGAACGTTGGCTCTAAGCTCGCGAATCGCTTGTCCAAAATATCACACACTTACAAAACAAGTCCACTTTGGGAAGCTTTAACGTTTCCAACGAGATATTCAGGGATTCACTGAGCTTCTCGAGAATGGCGTAGCCTGGTTTTGACCAAGCTTTTGTGGCAATCTTGAATGGCTGTGATGTTGCACCGAATTCATGTAGTAAAGGTTCTGACGCATAAGCTCTGGCGGAATCGAGTTCACATTCGGCTCCAGATATCTTTTTGAAAGAGTTTAATACATCTTGTATGAGAGCTGGTTCAGTGATTTTAGCTCCAGTTCCTGGCGCACCAAAGACGGCGGTTCTAAAGTAGCAAAGTAGTGTGAGAAGTGCGCTCTAATTACAGAGAAAGAAGTAATTGCATTGTGATGCTTACCCCAATACGATTTTGACCATGTTTCGAGCTTGCTGCGGTTGGGTTTAGAGATAGAATTAGAGTAAGCCGAAAGTAGCTCAGAGTTTCCATATTTTCAACCCGGGACATGCCAGATACATTTACACTCGTGTTCTGAAGCGTACTATAAGTACCGCTCAGTATAAAGATGGTGGTATTCTTTGATCAACAATATTGCTGAGGTCATTATTCATTCGTTGCAAGACTACGGGACGTGTTAGTTAGCCACCAGCTAACCAGAGTAATTTTCAGAGTATTAAAGTGACGTTTCTCTTTTCTAATTGACGCGTGTCCATATCAAAATGTTATATTCGTCACCACATTCTTTTCATCAATCAAGCCAACAAGAACGGTGTGAAATCAATTTTACTCACAAACTTGAAACAGTCCTTTAAAAGGAGAGCACAAGAGTCGATATACACAAGGCCTTGCTATACCCTGCGACTCGGAGTCCCTTTTTCTAGTAACGTATAATGTCCTGTCCTCATTTGGTATGAAACAAAGGAGGGAATCTTGGAAATTTCTTTTGAGCCCAAAAGTGAAGCTACTTTAATAACAAACACTCTTTCAAATCAGGCTCCTACTACTCCTGGCAGTGACCCTTGCTCTAGTCCAGAGCCCCAGTCTGAGAAAAAACGGCTGCCATTGTCATCATCATCCTTGGAGTCTTGTTCATCACCAAGCAAACCATCGAGAAGGTCAAAGAGACTGGCCGCCAAAACTGTCGATTCTAGTAGCTCTGTATACCAACAATCTGGATTCTGTCCTGCTCCTGAGGTAAGCTCTACTTGGGACAAAGAGTCACTCTTCAACCGCTTCGTAGCCAAATGGCTATGGAGACAGAAGTGCCATACACACACACACACACACACACACACACAAGCAATGAATGGAAATAAGGGAGAGGACATCAGATTCAAAAGGAATACCGTGTCGCTTTCTATTTTCAAACACTCTAAAGAATTCATGTGACACGGGTTTCCCCCATTGTTTCGAAAAAGTTCGAGAAACCATAAATGTGACAAAAACACTGGATATCTAACAACAAACCTTCATCCTAATATCTAGATATTACTACACATATTCTCATACTTTCCCCAATGGCAAGACACGACTTCACTACTAGCCTGCTTATGTGTTTCAAAACAATGGAAGGAATTAGCTGCTCCCTTCTTATACAGGCACGCATGGACTCGCAGGGTTCTGGCTCGAACAGCCCTTCCCCAATTCAAACAAACGGCGGTAGACTGGCCACGCTTATGTCTCCTAGTCCTCGCAGGTCTCAAATCTAGTGCCTCGGCATGCCTAGGCGCTCCACGATTATTCTATGTAGAAGTCCCAGAAGCCAATGAATCAGTTGACGAAGATGAAGGTGCCGCTTGGGTGAATGTAGATGCCATTGCATCAAAGGCAATGGATCGTATAGAAGACGGTATTCGAAATCACCCAAACCCAGAGGATCCGAAATGGGAATCTATACTAGCTTGTACAATGGATTTCAGAGATTTTATACGTGATGCTGCCAATCTGCCTCATTCCAGTTCATCTACTACGACTCTGGCTACCGTTGCTGAACTTGAAGGGTGTGCTGAAGGAGCATCAAGTAATACATTCCCAACTATTGGTAATAACTACAACAATAATAGTAATAATTATAATAGTGGCAGCAGTAGTAGTAATGGTACTGCAGCAGCACGAGAGCCCACAACACCTACAACATCAGATGGCCGATTCGGGTTTGGAAGTACACCACCACCACCATTAGCTCCACCACTTGTATCATATGCTTTTGCTAGAAGACGACTCGCTGCAGGACAAGATCCTGCTCGTATTCCTGTACTTGTAAAATGGTCTGAGAAATGGGATGTAGGTACTTACTTTGTATGGGCTGATCTCAGTGCTGGTCGAGGTGCTGTGCTCTTGCGTTGTAAACCTACTGATGATGGACGAGTGATTGTATGGGATGCTTGCACGTTTGGCACTTGTAACAAGTGTCATTGTCGATTGCCAAAGATTCAGTCTTGTGCTCAATGGTAAGACTTACTTTGAGATGGAAGTACGGCTTTTTGCCGCTAACCCTTGTTGTTCGTCATAGTCGTATTGCCCAGTATTGCTCTCGTGAATGTCAAAGAGAAGATTGGTTCAACGTTCATAAAAAGGAGTGCCTTTCTCTTGCATATACGCCAGTGATTCCAGACGGAGGCTCAGATTTCGAGATGTAGTGTAGTAATCCAAGAATATGAGGTTAAAAGAATGATATAGATATTACAAATCAACAATAACGCAAAACACGTTGTACTAGTATTCATATTATTTATAACATAAACACTTTCGCATCGACGAGTAAAGAGAAGAGTCTCTGCGTAGTTGTAATCGACAAAAATCGATGTTGCTCTTGTTGAGGTAACGATGCAAAGAAACCCAAGTGTACCAGTACGGATTGTGTTTCAACAAGCAGGACAATTCTAGACCTGATTTACGGCCGAAGAAAGCACCATCACGAAACTCGACCCGAGACAAGCACCAGAGGTAAAAGACAAGACTAGGATTTATTCAAGAAATCACATTTTCAAAGTCTTGCAACAGCCTCATTCCCACTCAACGAAATGATAAACCCGGAATCTGCAGGCACTTTATTTGCCAAGAAAGCCTGGTAGGCACCAATTATTGCATCGGGAGTATCAAGGTACTTGATCTTCACCCACTGGCCCTTCCTTACGTCTTCAACCATTTCCTGCCATAGAACGTTGATGCGTCTGTTGAAAGACACGAGTGTGAGTAAGTTGCAAAGAATTGCTGAGAAGGCAGCATTCGAACAATGGATTGTCGTTATTTTTTTCACCTGGTAACTTCTGCAGCACCCAATTCAGCGGTACGTTTTTGCATGATACCTGGAGCAAAGAAGAGTCCTTCGTTGAATTTGATTTTGGGGGCAGTTGTTGTCGGGGGTCTTGGAACTGCGACAAGGAAGATTCGAGTGGGATGTGTGGTCAAGGCTGAAACACCAACAAGCAAAAAACAATGTAGGGGGAAGTTTACATACCACCGCCCATCTCTCGTGGGGCATTAGTCTTGGTCTCAGTTACATGCGTGATTCCAACGTTTGAAATCAACAAGAGTCTAGCAGAGCCACAAAATGAGACAAGGACTAGAAACGATGGACCTTTTACGCCACCTCATTACACATATACATACTTTTCAGGTCCGTAATGCTTCTTTAAGCGTATTCTAAGGAAAGAAGGAGCGTACAGAACAACTCATCCTGTTGCAACCAAGAACGATTCACACTTACTGCATCTCCCGAGTACCAGCCATATCAATCATAGCAACAGACACATTCTTGTCTAGCCCGGTCTCAATGTCTTCGTATAGGACTACGTCAGTGTAGATACCCATCTTTTTAACGTATTCAATGTTTCCTTTTGAGGTTAGACCAATGACTCGTTTGTTTTTGTGGTGGCGGGCCATTATTGCTGCAACACCGTATGCGCTGACATTTTCAGTAGAATGTGTTAGCATGTTTGAGACGGTTGCTTGTGATGTGTCCGGTACATACGTCTTTGAAGAAGCCGAGGTCAACAAGACAGCATCAGCACCAAAGAATTTATTCTCTACGAGATAGTCCACGAGCCAAAACGAGGTGGACCAGCTAATGATAGCGATAGTTTAACGATGACTTCCTAAACTTGGTGCCAATGATAAAAAACACATACAGAGGCTTCACAACGGGAGTCAGATCCTCAGTTTCCTTGACGAATGAAGGATCGTTTGCCATTCTTCGGTATGTGAGGTATGCAGCTCGATCGGTTGGTAGATCTGGACGGTGTAAGGCTACCATTGTGTCGGTGATGACTCCGGGCTCACAGATCAGGTGGGAGGACATTGGACAGAATCTGTAACATGGAAAAATTCAGTTCTTCAGTCAAATCTCAATTCCCGGACAAAACACAAAACATCGAGAGGCACAAACTGCGTCTTGCTGAGAGAGACAAAGAGCGCCTACCCATATAGCATCTCGCCGACTTTAATGGCATCGTTCTTGCTGGCGATGGTTCTAAGGTATCCCCAAACAGGGGTCTTGCCATACTTGGACTGTTCATGCTTGAAGAACTCAAAGTACTTGAATGTCTTGCCTATAATGAAATATCAGACAATGTCAGTATTGTGAGGATCAGCCGAATTCCATGAAAAAGTACGGGGATCGTGATGTCATGATATTGTCCAACACTATCAGCAATTTCAATTCCCATTCAAAAACCAGCCAGCAATCCACATACCAGTTAGAGCGTATGTGACATTGTTAGCTGTAAGTGCCTAAAAGTCATTCCCTCGATTAGAAAGCAGAACGTGCTGTTCAACAAAGAATCTAGTCGACCAACGTACAGCTTTTTCAATCTTTAGCAAGATTTGGCCGGGCTTCAGCTCTGGTATGGGAGTAGCCACACATGTGATCTTGCTGGCGTCGTCTTGTAGGACGAGAATCTCAGTGTTATGGGACATCGTTTGCAAGTATCTTGGTAAAAACGGATGAACAAGTACACGAAAGGTGCTGAGAAAGGCAAATAACGCCACCACAGTGACGTGGGAGAGTCTTCATCGTGTTATATTAATTCTCGAGTCTACTTTTGACTAATTTAGAGCACACCGATCGCTACTTTGAATGACGCGTACAGCTAACCGATATACCATGGCGAGTTCTGAGCTCCCAGGCTGAGCTCTTTGTACATCTTTGATATAGCACTGTTCCAAAACTCATGCTGTTGGAGCTTTTGGAGCTGTTGCAATGACTACTGGCAGGGTTTCGACAGACTTGTACCATGCAGCTGCAAATAATTCGAACAAATGTGAGGATTGGCATTCTTACAAAACATCACCTACAACCGCTTCACACACCTAATTTTGGATGTGTATCCCTCCAAGCGGCTCCCAACCTGAAATCAAACACACCCAAAGCACATACAAAAGCAATTTCTCCAATGGTGGCCAAAGATGAAGCCATGTCTGGGACTTCAGCTTCCATCGCGTCAAAAGCAGCCGTGATTTTACGTGTCTGTCCCTCAGCCCAATTCGGCCATTGTTTTTCTACTGGTCGAACTATCAAAAACAAAGACTTTAAAAACCAAAAGACGAACGTGAAAAGCAAGTACGAAACGAAGAACTCGATTGCTTTGCAGCTTACGGCCCTCGAATCTCAAAAGTGTGCCAGCTTCACAGAGTCCATCGGCAAGAGCTTCGCGTTTCTTGGCTAGGAACTGTGCTTTGATATCGGTAGGGATGATCCCTTTAGCTGGTTTCAGTGCAGCGAGATACTGCACAATGACACGCGAATCAAAGAGGACTGTTCCATCTTCTAATATCAAAGTAGGGATCTGCGGTTTGGACAGAATGAGGACGGTAATGTCAGCAATTTCCGGTAGGTGAAGAAATCTGAACGACAACGAGGTCCAGACTTTTCCTAACGGATTTCCGGCACCTTGTACACTGCTTGAGCCTGGATTCACTTCATGTGGAACCTAGCAATTAAACAATTTCATTAGTTTCAATGTGATCATGACAAGCCTCATCAAATGTCGAATTGTGAGGCGATGCAAGCGTTGTAGTCTCGTCAAAGCACATAGGTCAGAGTAGAATCATCGCAAGACTTACAACGGCCACTGTTATGATCTCCAGATCCTCAAAGAGCCCAACTTCACGAGCAACAATCACCACCTAGTTTTTTGTTCAGTTTTTGGGCATTGATGTAATATGTTTCCGCTAGCTCTAACCTTGCGAACGAATGGCGATGTGGGAGAGTAATACAGTTTCATCTTTCTTCTTAGAGCGATTGCCTGTCTGGGATGGGCTGTCGTTCGTTTTTCGTAAAGGGTGAGAATAAACTGCGCGAAGTAGCTTCCAAAAAAGCGTCAGTGAAGCTTGCAAGAAAATGGCGAAGATAGCAATCGGGATGTACGAGTCGTGTGAATACACGTGTTTTCTGGCACTGTCTGATAAGTAGAGACGAAACTGATGGCTAGGATTGAATCACGAAAAACACCACATATAGCTAACTAGTATATTCGACGAATTCTGGGCGTTTGAACATCCTCCATCCCACAGAACCGCAAAAATTATACTTTTGGTGCGGTTTCAGTGACGACTGGCAAATTTTCAACAGTCTTGTACCAGGCAGCTATCAAGAATCCGAAAATGGTCAGGATTCAGGATTCTTACTTACAAGACATGTAAAACCTTCACTCACCTAATTTTGGGTGCGTGTCCCTCCAAGCGGGCCCCATTCTGAAATCATACCATCCTAAAGCACAAACAAACGCAATCTCTCCAATCGTTGCCAGAGACGACGCCATGTCAGGAACTTCAGCTTCCATAGCGTCAAAAACAGCAGTGAGTTTGCGTGTTTGTCCTTCAACCCAATTTGGCCATTGCTTTTCTATCGGTCGAACTAGCAAAAAAAGGGTTAGCTCCAGCATCAGTATACAAACTTCCACTCGGTCGTTTTGGAAACAGATAGAGTAGTAAGAGTTGTTAGGACTTACCACCCTCATACCGCACGAGTATGCCAGCGTCACATAGTCCATCTGCCATAGCTTCACGCTTCTTGGCTCGGAACTGCTCTTTGATGTCAGTGGGTATAATGCCTTTAGCTGGTTTGAGTGCAGCGAGATACTGAACAATGACACGAGAATCGAAGAGTGCTGTTCCGTCTTCTATAATCAATGTAGGAATCTTGACACGAAGAAGAGAAGGCGATTAGTCGAGGTATGTGTAAAGTTGACGCGTCAAGAAACATAGTCCTGACCTTCCCCAAAGGATTTCCAGCACCTTGCACACTGCTTGTACCTGGATTCACTTCATATGGAGCCTAGCAAAGAAAACGCATTCAGCATTTCGTGGTTCATGATAAGTTGGTCAAAATAAGTCTATGCGAAATGATAGAGCCAACATCGATACACGTCAAATATGCAATTGCGTGGAGACGCAACCAGCATCATAAATTGTACGTAGTTTTAAGACTTACAACAGCCACAGGTATTAGCTCCAACTCCTCAAACAGTCCAACTTCACGAGCAACAATCACAACCTGGTTTTCGATGTCAGTTTGGGCCGTTATTGAAATATGTTTGAGCAAGCTCTCACCTTGCGAACGAATGGCGATGTGGGAGAGTAATATAACTTCATCTTGTCTCTTAGACCGATTGCCTGTCTGGGATGTATATTGCTTGGTTTTTACAAATGCAAGAAATTTGAAATGGGTCAAGCTTCACGAGATGGTATGAAAGCTTGAGGGATCTTCGTGAATACAGCAATACGGATATAAGAGTCGCGTGAATACACGTTAAAAGATGCCTTTGAGAGAACTTTGGACGTGAAGTTGTCGTGTATGACCCTTGTTTGTTATTGGCTGAAAGCCTAACCGATTGAAACAGGAATCTCAAGACTAGAGCCTATTGGAGGTATGGTTCTTACTCTCCGTATATGTTTTGTTTGTACCTGATCTGCTGTATCGCTGTATCTAGCGTTTTGATTGGCAAAGACTGTCACAGTCGTATGCAAGACTAATATTGATCCACTGTACATAGCTCAAATTCTGGATTTTTACACCATGAGTGCCGACCAGACCTACCTGATGGGCCCTACGGCTGTGCATCTCTTCAACATACCTCTAGGCATCAACAGTCCCAAACATCCACTAAACTTACTGCCTCAATCATGCTGGATCCACTACATTGCAGACTGTGAATGGACTGTCCTCACCTCATCGAAAAAGGCCGAACCTGGAAAGGAAGGAAAACCATGGTCATGCATCGCAATCGTCGAATACACGACCCAACAAAACCTGGACTCGTACATCCTCGATCTACACAACCGAGGAATTCCATGTCATTCAATAGGCTGTAGGCCTCGTAAGATTGACTTGCCCGGTACTGCCAAAGTGCTTTCTTTAGCAGGGTATATGGCATTTAGGGCGTTATACCAACCTCTGATTCGCTACTCGTTGTTTACTGGTGCTATCAAGGTGCCATCAGTTGAAGATATGGTGGCTCGTAATACAAATTCAAAGGACGGAGGTGGCGCTACAGAGCATGAGATTCGGTCGATACATAACATGATACGCAATTTCATGTTGAAGAATCCCAGAGCTCATGAGACAGTTGGAATGTAAGGGATGTTTCGAGAATTTGTTTGATTAAAGGTGTCTAACGTACACTTGTCTCGCGTGCTAGGGTGAACTTTTTAAAGTTCACGGATGCAGTAGGTGCTGCTAGTTATGACGAGTATAGTAAACGGGTCGTTCCGATTGCACTGAAGCGTGGATCCTGGCCTATTTTCGTTGCATTCGATTGTGGTATGTACTGTCGTTCGTTGGTTGCCATGTAGCAAGATAGAATGAGTTACGCTAGGAACCCTGCATTGAAATCTGCAAAAGCAAGTAATGTACCTCTCTCACGTATCTAGTCGACTACTCTGTTGATAATGGGAAGGTTATCAGTCAAAAATCATACTGGGATGAAATTGCAGTAGGTGTTGTGAGTTTTGATCAAAGGTCTTGTTATGGCTGACTTTGTTCTCGTCGCGTCCAATTAGACCATGCAGTATGCGGCCACGTTCGTATTCGCCGAAATGGCAACTTCAGCAGACATGAAACGAATATCCAAGTATCGTAAGGCTGGACTAGAAGATACGGTCGTGATTGCGACATTCAAACGCGAAAAGTTGCTTGGTAGACCCGCTGCTGCCAAACTTTAGCGCGCGTGGATGTAATTGAATGAGATTGTCTGTTGTAATAGTGAAATATAATTCTGTGACTTTGTAATCTGTCTTTCCTCGCCAAACCTTAACCCTTATATAAAATCGTACGCAAACAAGAACCATCAACACAGACAAGGACCGAAGATGGGTCAAAAGGAAGCCAATCCTCCAAAAGACATCATGAGCAAGGCCAGCAACACTATAAAGCAGGCTGAAGAAGACGTAAAGGACAAGATCAACAACACCTTGGAAAAGATGGAACAAAAGATCGGACATGTGAAGGATAAAGTACTTTCTCGTGTCAGTATTCATTCAGAAGGCCACTCAGAAGGTGAGTTTATATGAGCGTACGGTCTTGGTTGTTGGAAGCTCGTCAAGATCACAAACTGACATTTAACACGTACATGTAGCAGACAAGACGACTCCTGAAGCCAAGAAGGACGCTGAACTCGAGGGACTCCATAAAGAGTATCACAAGGAAGTCAAAAAGAGCAAGTTGTGAATAAAGTAGTGAAATAGTGCTGCCAACATATATCTTGTATTTCTCGTTATGCTCACTTGAAATCAAACAATAAAAGCAATTTCTAGTTAAGCTGGCACTTATTCCTTCTTTTCTGCAGCTGGGTCTTTGGATGTCATTGATTTCATAATCCACTAAGAGCAAAAGCAAAATAGGGCGTTAGTTCATACGGTATACGCAATAGCATGGTCATTCTTACAGCACGACTAGCAGCAGCTCCAGCCTCCATCTCCTCTTCGGTTGGTGGGTTGTATATTCTGCTTGGATCCGGAACATTTGCTCCTTTCTTAAACGTCGGTCGTTCTTTTACCTCTTCCATCCATCGTTGCAAGTTTGGTAGACCGTCGACTGAGACGCCAGCGAAACTAGTGTGGAAAAACGTTTTTGGTATCCTCCACTGATGTCGTGACAATCGAAACATCTTACAAGTGAGACAAGACCCAGCTAGCATTTGCAATATCTGCGATGGTATAGTCATCACCAGCGAGCCAGTGTTTGCCTACAAGCCCACGTTCGAGAACTGTGTAGAGACGACGTGTTTCGTCTTGGTAACGCTATGAGATGAAAGAATCATTCAGCGAATGAAGTGATACATTTTCCCCTACATCATGCGTATTAAAAATTGACGTACCTTGATGGCATATGGGATCTTTTCAGGAGCTATAGTCCGTGCAATCGTGTTAAGAGTAGGATATTTCTTTTAAGTGACAGTATTTGGTAACTAACCGTATCGAGAGACTAAACAGAAAAGAGAGTGTGAAAAAAAAGGACTTATACCATGAGTCATGCATAATACCCACAATGATTTGCTTGTCCTTGCATAGGTCCAACGCCACCCTAATTGGCGGTGTTACAAAATACAGTTTTCCATCCAACAACGCGTGAATCCACAAGACATACCATTTGAAAATACAACCATTGTATAGCTACTGATCTCTTCAATGGATCTGCAGGCAAGAGCTTGTGTTCGGGATCATGGTTGTCAGCGAGATATTGAAGAATGGCACCAGACTAAGGATGAGAGCCAAAAACCATGTCAGTATAGACATTGATATGGATGCTCATTGACGAGTGCGATACCTCGAAAACGGCAAAGTCGCCTCCAGGAGCCGTGTGATCAACAAGAGCTGGGATACGTCCGTTTGGGCTGGCAAAAGGTGGTGGTCAAAGCATTGGACTTGACTGAAAAAACATGACGCAACATACTTGATTTTTAAAAACCATTCTTCTTTCTAGCAATTTCGAAAAGATCATCGTTACTTTTCAATTAGGCGAAAACTACCAAACCCATTCAAGCTTACTTGTTCATTGGTGCTGAAGTTGATCTTGTACGTCTTGTAAGTCAGTCCAAGCTCTTCTAGAGCAGCGGATACCTCTAATACACGTACGATTTAGATTCGACTCGAAATGATGGGTGATCGTCTAGGCTTTCAAGGCCAACATTGACAAAGTTTACGGCATTTAAATGTTGCCATAAGCTCAACCACCAGAACCTCGCTCAACAGCGAGAGAATGTCTCTGCGAAGACATGTAGAATACGTACTTATACCGTTGGGCGTGCCCACGGTGTAGAGGGTGAATGGTGGATCTGCAGCGACCATTGCGGATGTGCGAAGGTTGTTGAGCTGTAAAGTTTGGCGAAAGAGGAGCCTTGACGAGAGGAAGATGGGCTTTGAAGATAGTAGAATGATGAGGATTTATATGTCCAGAGACGTCTTCTTTCTGATGCTGAAGCTTTGTGGGAATTTGGGCGAGTGTAACGTCGACTGGTCAGTTTGTCATCCAAGGGACACCACATTCAGCTGTGAATGGAAGAATAAAAATTCTGAAAAACGACGTGTACGGACGCTTTACATTATCGACCTGCTCTACTAAACTACTGAACACGAACGACATGTGTCATGAAAACCGCTGAGCGAAAATACTCGTGATTTAGACGTGCAACCGTGATTTATCAGTTCCCCAATACAGTCGTTCCAGTCTATAACTTATCATTTTTCTTGTCATCTACAGCCTCCTTTTTGTTTGAATTCAGCACCCACTAAAAGACATGGAGTACAGTTAGTGACGTGGATACTCACAGCAATGCTCCCAGTACATAGCATCAGTAAGAACTTACAGCACGAGCCTCAGCGGCAGTCTTTTCCGCTTCCTCTTCAGTTGGAGGAGGCTTGTAGATTGGTGAAGGGTCAGGCACATTAGCACCACGTTTGAACGAAGGTCGTTCTTTAACTTCTGCCATCCAGCGCTGGAGGTTTGGAAGGCCGTCGACGGATACACCGGCAAACCTGAGATAACGTGAGACCAATTATTATGACGGTCACATCACGTAACCAATGACAAGAGGCAGGCCTTACGTATGGAAGAGCACCCATGACGCATTTGCTATATCAGCAACTGTGAAATCATCTCCCGCCAACCAGGGTTTGCCCACCAGCCCACGTTCTAGAACCGTGTAGAGTCGTCGGGTCTCGTCGTGATATCTCTGGTAAAGGGAGATCAAGTCAGAAACAAGGAAGAAGATACAGACCAAGCTGCGTGCAGACATACCTTTATTGCGTATTCAATCTTTTCAGTGGCTATTGTTGAATAAAATCACAATTGTTATCTCGCATGAGCGGTTTGCTGTGATTAGTCTTACCGAAACGATGGAAATGTGACGCTTGGCCCTATCATTAGACCTCGTATTAGTATGCATTTCTCGGATGATACAAAGAAGAAATCCTAACCTGCATGGGTCCAATTCCTCCCTATAAATTCGTATCGTTAAAGATAAGTTTTGAGGAAGGAGTATCAGGTACTTACCATTTGAAAGTACAACCATTGTATAGCTACTGATCTTTTTAAAGGATCAGCGGGCAGGAGCTTGTTGTCGGGGTCATAGTTATCGGCAAGGTATTGGAGAATGGCACCAGACTATGAGTGTGGTAGAAATCAATGCGCCATCCTTTATGTTCGAATGAAGAAAAAAGAAGCGCCGTACTTCAAAAACCGAAAAGTCTCCTCCAGGAGCTGAGTGGTCAACAAGTGCTGGGATTCTCCCGTTAGGGCTATGTTAAAGGTCAGTAAGGAAGATTCCACACAGAGAAACACCAGTTGACCGTACTTGATTTTCAAAAACCATTCTTCTTTCTATATTCGGTTCCAAAAACATGTGTCAGACCTCGTTCGCGATCCTCGAAGCTGCACATTACTGCGACAAACCTGTTCGTTCTTTGAAAAGTCGATTTTGTAAACCTTGTAAGGAAGACCTAGTTCTTCCAACGCGGCAGAGGCCTCTAATTTTAGCAAGGAGCTCTGATTAGCGTAAAGTGAAATCAGCTTGGGAGCTAAAAGACCCGGATGTAACCGAAACCACAAGAGGATTTCGCTAGTTCCCATCCATCACTCCATTCAAACGAACTAGATCAAAAGTACTTACTGATGCCGTTTGGAGTGCCAACAGTATACAATGTGAATTTCGGTTCCGAGTGTGCCATTCTTGCTGCTAGTTGATGTGTTGCTGCTGTTGTTAAACTCCTGAATGAATGCAGCCGTCTATACAAAAAGTAGGGACTAATTCTTGATACGGGGATGGTAGAGCTAGTTGGAACTTGTTAAACGGTTGCTTTCGTGTGTTGTAGTGCTTTGCGGCGAAAGTTCAATTGATTTTCATTTCAGTGCATTTGTCATGCGATCGTGCTTACCAAATGTAATGGGTACGAGCTCTAGCAACAAAATTCGGTTCTTTTCCTTGCTAGATTTGGGTTCTGGTGCACATGTATTATACAAACGTTGCGTTGGTCTTGCCTTGGTGTCTACCAACGTTTGCAAACGATTCCAAACTTTACAAACTTTTAATCTAGTAGAGATGTGCTATCATATTTGACAAAAATAAAACCACCAACGATTTTAGAATCTCATCTCGTTTTACATGCTTCGAATAGGAATCTTCTTGGATGATACATTGACGGTCTTCTTCTTCAAGTGGATGACAAGCACTCCATTTTGAGAGTATGCGTCAGGTTCTGTTTCACTGTCAACACCTACGACACACACGTCAATGTCTTTTTTCCGCCAACCACCAACTTCTTCAGAAGGATTGTTATGCTTACCTGCTGGTAGAACAATGATTCGTTTGAATGTACCACCACCACGTTCCTTGAGCCAGTACTTTTCATTGCCAGTGCCAGTGAGTTGCAATTGAGCTAAAAACCGCCAGTTTGAATTATCCCTACAAGATTTGGAGTACCATCACCACCATGATGAATGCTTCACATACCTGTATAATCAGCATCATTACGCACACCCTCAATAACTAACACATTTTCCACATCGCGCAACTCAACATGCACATTGTTGCTGTTGACACCTGGCAAATCCATCAATACCAAGACTCGGTCCTATCACCCAAACATCAGACTCCCATTACTTTTATTTGAAACGAACGGCATGTACTCTTTACCGTATCTTCAATAATATCCAACAAGGGCAACCATTCAGTTTGCAGTTCATTGCTTTGACGGTTTTCGGTAGCCTGGCGTCCATGAGACGGGTTGCGATGACTTCCAAATGCACTGCTCATTTGGTCTTGCATGTTGAATAGGAAGCGTTCGAAATGGTTTTCAATCTAGTGGAGCGATCGGTCAGTTTGATGTTGAGTTTGGAAGTGCGTTTTCGAAGGACTTGCATTGCTCAAAGTATCTGGGAGACTCGAGATTGCTGGTCTGGGTTGAGGCCTTGGAGGGTTGGTAGTTGTTTGCATCTTGTTGATTGTTTTTGTTTGGATCTGTTTTGGGTGTTGTGTTTTCACAAGGGTGTGAAGAAGGGTTGATTTGACGGCAGCAAGAATCACGTCGCGTCTTGAACGACCCAGAGATCTCTGAAGCGAAAAGCAACGACCATGTTCTACACTTCAATACGGAACAAGACGTGAGAAACTCAAATCAAAACGGCGCGACGACTAACTTCAAGAGGTGTTGAGAAATCAGTCATTGTATTCAGACATAGTACAAACAAGCCTTCAGCAAACTACAAATTTTCAGGTAAAAAGCTCCAACAACACTACACAAACTGGTAACAGTTCCATTTCAGTTTAAAGCTTGGCGGAAGCAGAGGCCTGAACACCCTCAGGGCGGCGTTTGTAGATGGATCTATATACAAAACAAACATTCTTGATTGAGACTGCCATTCATTTCAGTCGACAACAGAGTGACAGTTAGAGGTTACCTGACGACATGGTCAGAGCTCAAAATTCGTCGAACCATTGGCTCGAAGAAGGATAGTGGCTTGCTCTTGTATTTGGGGTCAAAAGCTTGTTGATCGTATTCTAATGTGTGCAAAAACCAAAAAAAATTCAGAATAATCCAGAAGTAGGCACGACTCTCGAGACTTACTGAAACAGAATTCAACAGTCTTCAAGTAGAATGGGTGGTCCTTGTACTTGTCACGCATGTTGCGGTCAAGACCAAGGTAGTGGAAGAAGTAGTAGCCTTGGAATTCACCGTGTTTCTAGATTACGAAGGAACATTAGTGATTTGGAAAAGACATCAAACAGCTTTCTTTGCTAAAAGACACAAATAGTAGTTTACCTCAACTATGAACAGGTTTTCCTCGCTGACAAAAGGCTTCAAGATGGCAGCAGCAATGTCAGGGTGGTTGAATGATCCAAGGGTGTCACCGATATCGTGCAAGAGAGCACAGACAACGTATTCTTCATCTTTGCCGTCTTCCCAGGCACGGGTAGCAGTCTGCAAGCTGTGTTCGAGACGGTCGACTGGGAATCCACCGTAATCTCCCTCTAGGAGAGCCAAGTGGGCCAAAACACGGTCGGGGAGTTTGGCACTGAATGGAGCAGAGTGTGCGGCGATTGCAGCCCAGTCTGCTTCCTACATGATATGAATTATTTAGGTTAGCGAGTCGTCGTTGGTTCGTAAATTGATACGGTTGAAGTAGATCAGGTCAATGTGCAACAATCAACATTTGTAGCATGATTGAGAAAATGTTCCAGGTAATATGAAGCGGCAATCATAAATAGTCAAGGGTCTCCAGTAAATTGTGACGACACCGTTCAAATCAGTAAAGTCATGACAAACGTCATCAAGTCAATTGAATGTAGCACAATTGCAATTGTGAGGATTTGGAGTACTTACAGTGCCTTCAACCACTATGAAAGGGACAGAATATCAGTACCATGGTTTAGAATATCAGTATAATCCGATTAGAATCCAGTCTTCATCTGCGCAATGACAATTGCAACGGATCCACGTTTTGCACACAAAGTAAAGGATACCATGAACTGTTGCAAGTACAAGGAACGCAGACTTACTAGAATTAAAAGTAGCTTGTTTCTTAACTTCAGCCATTTTACTTGTTTCTTATGAATTTGGTTGCTAGGATATGTAGTTGGTTGAAGGGAGAATGGTGAACACAATCATTAACGCGAAATAGATGTTCAACATGTCTCAAGCAAGTCTTCTAGCACTCTCAGATACATCAGATATATGCTATAACGCCAAAAAAGAGGAGCGATCGCCACGCGAAACACTGCGAAATTTCGTGTCAACGTGGGAACGTTTGGCACAAATACTCTGAGAAAGACCTTAGACGGACAACCCAACTAGATCGCAAGATTGTGTGGACTTGTAAGGGTGTCCATATGAATAAAGAACGTGATGCGCTGGATGGTGACCTATCTGTGTCAAAGGAATCACACCAAGATATAGTAGCCAACTGTGCAAATGTAAGCTAGTCCGTGCAAGTTTGATTTACCCGCTATCTTGATATTAATCGCACTATCTCGTAGCCATTCGATGCGTCACATTCAACTCCGACTCCTATTCCACCGCCATCTGCATCATCAACATCAACGTTGATTGCCCTCGAGAACGAGCCGATAAGTGGCAAAGCAGACACAAGCAGCAACGAACTATCACCATCCGCTTCAAAACTGGAACGGACACGTGTATTAATCATCATTGGTGTCCTCATACTTGTCAACGTTGTGCTTTGGATCACGTCAATAGCACTATCATCCATATTCAGCACTCTGCTCGTATCGAATCTTCTTTTGGCGTATACGCTTGGCTTACGGCATGCATTAGAGTGAGTGGTTTGCAAGCTTCGCTCGTGTTTTGGTTGAAACTGAACCTTGCTGTAGAACTCAAGCTGACTTTCAAACATATCAAGTGCCGACCACATTACAGCTATAGACAATGTGACTCGAAAACTACTAGATGATGGAATAAGACCAATGCTTGTTGGCTTCTATTTCTCATTGGGTCATAGCTCAAGTGAGTGGCAACAGCCAACCACCACATTTCAACAACAATACTTACTTTCTTGCATTACCAGTCGTGGTTGCAGCAACAATCGCGGTGGCAATTACTGCCACTGCTATAGCATCACAATTCGAAAACTTTCAGCAAGTGTCCTCCATTATTGGAACATCGTTCTCTGGCGCTGTATTACTGATTATTGGTCTCATCAACCTGATATCACTGATCTCCATTGCTATGACAATCAAGCGTCATAACGCCGGTTCACGACAAGATGACGTGTTGGAAAAAGTTAGCGTGGATGATGTGATGAAATCAATGGGTGTGTGGTCGAGGGTTCTGAGGCCTGCCTTTCGAGCTGTTGATCAGTCTTGGAAGATGTATATAGTGGTGAGTGGCTTCTGTGGTCTTTGAACTCTGCAGGGTGATATATCTTATAAATTATACCTGACCAACGTTCAATCAGGGTTTGATATTTGGCCTTGGATTTGATACTGCAACCGAGATCACGCTACTGTCACTAGCATCAGTGCAGGCAGCCGCTGGATTTCCGTTACCCTTGATTATATTATACCCATTACTGTTTACGGCTGGTATGGTGCTCGTAGATACACTAGATGGAATATTGATGATGAGGGTGTATTCTGCATCGAATATTGAGCCAGTAAGTTATACTAAGGAGCTGAAATTATTGAATTGAATTGAAATCACGCCAACAATTTCCTCGATAGATGCAAAGACTGTACTTTAGTTTCGCTGTGACTCTCTTTTCAGTAACACTGGCGCTGATCATTGGTATAGTGCAAATATTGAGTGTCATACAGTCAACACAGAATCTTGAAGGTGGATTTTGGGATTTTCTTGGAGGAATACAAGAAAATTTCGGGTTGGTTGGTGCTGGGATTATAGTTGTGTTTATAGTCGTGTTCCTTATCATGTACATATCAAGCAAATGGTCAAGTTGCAGATCACATGAGTCTGTAGAATAGAAGCACCTCGTCATTTTGTAATCTTTTTGCTCTCTTTTTGCGATCCTGTCTTTTGCTTTTGACCAATCACATTGCAGGCGATAAAATTTGAGGACGAACGAAAGAGAGTCCCCCACAACTTGGTGAGCAAAGATCTCAGCTTACGAATTTTTACCAATTCTGAAATCTCAGAGTATTGATCTCATTTCGGTTGCTTAGAATGGCTATTCGGAAATCCACTGATTCCAACATGGTGGTCAACACGACGACTACGAATGGCGGTCAAAACGGGCACGTTGTGAAGACTCCTATAACTCCAAAGTCACCATTACATGCTGCTGCTACCAGTCTGGCTCCTCATACAAAACCACCACCAGTGCCATCAACCGTAAATGTTGCCAAATTGATTCTCGACAATGTCGTTCGCGCATTCCTCACTGGCTATGCGATCAGTGTATTGTAAGTTTATTTCAGCTTTTTTTTATTGACGGGATCTCGACAATTCCAGTCTTGCACCTGCATCGCATCACGGTTGTTTCCCTGTCTTATTTTCACACGACCTTATGACTTTTATCTGGCACAAGTTCTGACAAATACCTTATTTGTATAGACCAACAGTCCTCTCAGCAGCCTTCAACCAGCTCATCCTCCGCAAAAAAGCACCTGCAAAACAAGTCGACCCTCTACACATCCACGTGGGTGGTATCCTAGTCTCAAGTCTCCAGGCACGACTCCCCTGGTTTCTCGTAGTCCTAATCGGTGGCTTCCGAATCTCTGATATACTATTAAACCTAATCAGCACCCGATTCTTCAACAATCATCATGCCATTCATGATGCAGCTGCACCCATGACGCCGTTAACACCTGCACCACCACCACCAGCACCGCAAGTATCAAACACTAGATTAGCATGCACGTTTGTTGCTTCGGCTGGAGCTGCTGGAGCTGCGTTGCTTGTGATTCCACCGGAAAGGAGGACGGATTTTGCGCTGCTTGCGTGTGTGAGGGCTGCTGATTCGTTTTTAAAGTATAAGAAGAAGCCGATTCTCAATGCGTTGAAGAGGAATGGGGTGCCGGATGTTCTTATTGATAATGGGGATACGTTGTTGTTTGTTACGGCTTGTACGGAGATTATGTGGTCATGGTTTTACCAGTGAGTTGTTGGTCTTCTAGTTGTTTTTCTTGCATCTCGGTCATCGTCTCTCAACACTTTACAAACACTCAACATTTCTAAGCCATTGAATCTAAACTAACATATCGACCCTGCATCATGATAGTCCATATGCACTCCCAAAATCATATGTGAAATGGATTTCAACCATGTCTGAACTAGATCCCATAGTCCATACCATGCTACAGAGAATCTACAGGGGTGAACTAGTATATAATCAAGACGGGCCATACAACAGGGTCTGCATGGACTTTGCCAACAAGCTGGGACTCCCTGAAAGCCTTGGAGATGCTTCAAAGGGGTTTATTAATTGTACGCTGGTGCATCAGGGTGTAGAGGGGTGTGTTAATCATACTGCCAAGAGATGGAGGTGTGGATTTGAAAGGGCTTTCCGAGTAAGTGAATCTCGGTGGAAGAACACAGCTTTTTTTGCATACGCATTTACGCTTACAACTCAACCATGAAACCATTTCTAGTTGTATCTCCCAGTCCATCTACTCCCCGTAATCCTCTTCCACCCATCCCGCTTCTCCAAACCCAAAGAACTCCCCAACACATTATGGAAGATCCTCTTTGGCGCAACCCAATCCTCCGTATTCCTAGCATCATTCATCGCACTAGTCTGGTCTCCCATCTGCTTTTCCCGAAACAATATCATGAAGGGGCGGGATCGTGAATCGTTTGGTATTTTCATGGGATGTTTCTTGAGTGGCTTCTCGCTCCTGCTGGAACGTAAATCTCGACGACGGGAAATCGCACTGTTTGTTGTGCCCAAAGCTATCGAGTCGGCTTGGAGACGTGCGTGGCCGTACAGGGGTTTGGATAATGGGGCTTTGAGACATTCGGATGTTGTTATATTTGCGATTGCTATGGGGTATATATTTACGGGGTATATGCATCTGCAGGGGAGTGTGAGGGCACCGATTAGAGCGTTGATGGGGTGGTTTGTGGGTAAGCCTATTGCGTTATAAAGTGGAGACCGCTTGGCTGGGCCAAGCAATAATAAGTTATCTTTAGATTTTTGTATGAAAACAGGGAGGAGGTTGTGAATTCGTAGATCTTTCAAATATAAGCACCCGTATATATATATGTACACTGTTCGGCAAAGTTTTGTGAGCAGATTTCTGATCTGCAACAAATGACATGTTGCTTTTTGTTTGTAAAGTTTTAAGAAGCGTTCGCATATCCATATTGGCAACCATGAAACAAATTCGAATGTTTGCGTTGTGCTAATGTTAATTCTATTCACATGCGGTGAGGTCGACGAGAATCTACTATGGTTTTACACACATGAAGAGACACATATAGTCCCTTCCATTTTAAACTATGTTTCATCATCCACACACATATAAAGGGTAGTTTTTCAATCTAAAAATCTTGAAATCTATCTACTTCCTACATCCTGGGTTGAAATCTATGATGCCTTCTTGGGATTTGGGATTCCTTGAGCGCCACATATGTATTCATAGTAGATAACTTGCCATACCAAGATACCTAAGATGAATTGGGAACGAAGGAGTCGTTTGTTGATATAGGATTGAAGAAAATGACAAATCCTTGCAATGCAAAAAATACAAGAAGTAAAAGAAAACATACCAGGTAAGATAAGACCAGCAACACACCCAATCCTCATCAAAATATCCGTGGTCTCGACAAACGACGTAAAAGATCTAATAAATCCACACAACCAGCCCATAATAATCGTCAACCCTGGAATCGAGTCTGCCCGCTTACGGACATAATTGCCGTACATGAGCGTGAATACAGGGACAAGGCCCAGTGGTGCGTTTACACCCAAGAAGCCCTGCAATATGATTATGGGACCGCCCCACAGGACGGTGTATGCGAATACATAGAATACAGCAATACCAGACAGGATGGATAAGACTACCACACGACTATACTGACGTGGCGCTTCCTCGTTCGGGTCTGGCACGACAGTGGACGCAGTCGATACGGCCATGTATGATGTTTCAGGACCACGTAACTGCTGCAACCCCCACAAGATCATTAGAAAGATATTGGTGACTATAATTCCAAACCCCTCGCCAAAAGCAGTCCAGAATGTCCCAATCCGGACATTATACAATGCTATAAGCGTCCATCCAAACAATTCCACAATGGTGGGTATCAATGGGAGATCCATGCGTGCTTTGGCTGTCGACAGCAGCGATATAATCTGCGGCAGTTTGGACGCCCAGCCCAACAATACCACACTCATTCCTAATATCCGTGCTGAAATCAAGGTTGCACATTGCACGCCTGGTGCAGACTCAATCCAGAACTCTTTTGTGCAGTCCAGTTCGTGGAAGACCGGTAGTATGAATCGTATTATGGGTAAGAGGTATGGCTGTATGGATTTGGGGATTAAGGGGAAGCTGGGAAGTGCTTGGCGTATTGCTGGAGTTCCTTGAATGATTGTTACGTTTAGTGGGGTAGTTATGGTTCCATTGAGCAAATCGAGAGATCCTGTGGACGGAGCTGGTGATTCGGTTGCTAGGATTGCTGCTATTAAGGAGGATACGCTGGGGGTGGGTGATGGTGCTGGTTTCGCTTCGATTCCTACGGCTGGAAACGGTGGTGGTGGTGGCATCCTAGGAGAGAGTGGGAGGGTAGGTAGGGCATGAATGAGTGATAGTTCTGGAGTGAATGCACAGATGGGCCAGTAACTCACCTGTATCTCTTGCGTTTCTTTTTAAGCTCTAGTTCTACTTCACCGTTTTTGTGAATTTTTGGAGAACCCCGAGCTGCAAGTCGAAGAACGAAAGGAAAAGTTTATTTCGGTTGGGTAGAAAACGACGGAATCACGATATTCAGCACGTTCGAATCGTGATCTGCATGCACAATCGTGCTTGTGGAGCTGTTTGTGTGTGTTGAGCCTCATTGAGATCATCCATTTTTGGACAACAAGGTGGAAGCTGCAGTCATCACACAATAAGCGTTCGCCTTTGAACGATGGAGGTATATTGATTCAAATGTACTCAAAGAGGTATGACGTGCTTCGGATCGTCAGAACTACGTCGTGAGTGCTCGCAATTTCGTGTTTTATGTGTCAGTGAACACAACTTCCCCGTATGTTACCATAGGTGACGCTGAATCACATCTTTTATTGTTTAGTATTGCATAGCTGATGCAGCAGTCTACAATGAACGCTCTGGTTGGTTCGTCATGTCTTGATCGTACTAGTGCAATGATCCTCCACGGCTCGAACACTATAACACATAAGTCTCCAGTTCACCTTCTGCATCAAGTAAGATCTGATCAGTAGTGTCAACAAGACACTTCAGTATCTCAAAACTCTAGAAATCTCAATCTGCACCAAAATCTTGCAACTGCGTCAAACACCAGGAACCTATTAGCCAAGTACGAATTTGAAGGTAGGAAATTTTACGTATGTCTTTTGTCACGTAATAACGAGCTGAAGCAGAATAGAGGGTCATTAACCTTCTGGTTGCTGTCCAAATAGGCCTTTCACAGTCGCAATCGACGAGCATTCATAGAAATCAGGACCTCCTGAGAAGCTAGCTACACAAGCATTGGATTTCCAGCATAGTATATATTGAATACAGCGTCGCCTCTGGGTCGTCTAGGTCGAGACGAGGCTCTATGCTCGATTCTCCTCTTCAAATATTCCCAACACAAAATCACGACACAAGCTACCTTAGTACAGGACGAACAAGGACAAGGCAAAGGAGGCGGAGCACATCCATGACAGTTAGTCCACGTCCACGCGAATGATTGAATTCCCATCAAGAAATCCCACTAAAGCTTGGTGGGAAATAACCCAGCCTAAGCCAAATACTCTAAATTTAAATGGAAATTCAAGATTGAAGGGGGAAAACAGGACCAGATTGGAGGACAGATTATTGATTTGTTACTACGGACCTAGCACGGACGCTCTTTTTTTGTCCTTCTCCTGAAAGCACGGTTGAAATGCAGAGGTTTTTCTACGAATTGCACTACGAACCTCCAATGGCTGCGCCGACGCCGTAAGGCATCAGTCTTTTTCCTCGTATTACAATCTGTCCAAATAATTTACATCTTGGCATCAGGATGACCTCGTTCAAATGTTTCTGCGAGTGAATAAGACACTAAGAACCGGAGCCGCGACGATACGACTGTAGACACCAAAGTTCGTGCCCGCAGGAACGTTTCGAGCTTGTTGCGTCGAAGATCAAATATAAAATGTGTAAGAAATTTTGATTCAGCTATGGGTGGACACACAAAGATGCAGACTGCTATGGTTTCATCATTTCAACGTCGATCTAATAGCCGACTACACAACCCATCACAGACGAGCATAACCCTCTTCAACGAGCCCATGCAGATCTTTGCACTTGAATGCTGGAAACAGTCCATTGTCTAGTGGTTCGACAATTGATTTTCCAGTAGCGATTGCAAGTTGGAAGTCCAGACCTCCAGTTCTTGGTTGATCTCCTTTCTTTTCAGCTGCGGCTTGTGCTGCTTGTAGCTTGCTGACTGGAGTATAAGCCACGGTGAAGCTGATTTTGAATTTCCGCTCGACGGCTTGCAGTAGGTCGTTGAACGATGCTCTCTGAGCACCAGCAACCCTCATAGTCCGGTTTTTGGAGATATCAGGGTGCCGCAAGGTTTCTACTGTATATTTGGCGACATCTCTCCTCGATGTGCTAGTTGTAATTGTTGGCTTGATGAGTTGCTGGCTTGATGAGTCCACAAACCGAAACTACAATAATAATCCAAACTTACAAAGTCACAGGTGCAGCACCATCACCTAGAATACGGGCTGTTCTAGCCTTGATATCAATCCCAAGTACTTTCCAATAATCTTCATCCCCAAAGAGGCCACAAACGATTATAGTATATTCCTATTTCTAAACGTGTAAGGATACCACAATTTTCGTTGCGATAATCAAGATTAAATACCAGGCCAGAGCTCCTCAAAGCTTTCAGCACTTCTAGCTTTGCTGGATTGAACTGGAAATTGAATCTATGTTTTGAAGGAAGTGAGCTAGGGGACACCATTAACGATGCAATCGCATTCGACCTTTCATTGTCAAATCCGAATTCACTGGGAATAAATCTCTTCACTTTGGCCAGCTTGCAAGCAGTTATAATGTTGACCTGCTCTATCAGCGTCCGGTGCGCCACAGTTGATATAACGACATCGTTTCCATGAATGACAGTGGTTATAGACGGCACAGATGTCACGTCACAGGTGTAGATCTTGGCCTATGTTGGATTGAATTGATTAGATGGAATGAGATTGATGCTTTCCAAAAACGATAATGATCGTGGTTTACTCCTTGAGATCTCCATTTGTCAAATGTTGGCTTCAATTCCGCTTTCTACAAGAGTGAATGTGGCCGTAAGCACATTAATTCACTGTATTCTTGAGGTGAAGGAGAAGATTTAAGCAAAGACTTACAGAGTATGACTCCTGTCTGGTCAAAACGGAGACTTTGAAATCTTGTGTTGCGAGAAGCTCCTCGACGAGAAAACGTCCGAAGCTACCAGTTCCGCCAATGACAGCGACTTTCTTATAAGCTGGCGTACTCATATTCCTGCTTTCTTTCGCAAGGGAAAGCCAAATGGCAGTTCTTAATAACCCTTTGGATTGACGCAATATCGATTTCAGCAGCACTTAGAACGGCTCAATAAAGTTTCAATGAAAGTAATGTATTGTATTGTAAGCGATCCTATATAAAATATCATTCCTTCTTGACAGCGCGCTTTCTACGTGATTTGGAACCACTTCCAACTTTAGTTGCGCCAGCTGCTGCAGACTTTTCCCTTCTCGATAACTATTCAAGATCGCTTGTTAGAAATGAATCTTGAAAGAAGAAGGATGGCAAAATATAACTTACCACACGCATAGTCTTTTGCATTAGCTCTTCTCGAGTAAGTGGCCTTTCGTCACCTTCGTCTTCGTCATCTTCAGAGTCGTGATCGTCACTGCGAGCAGAAATAGAGTCAGAATGCCTTTTGAAGAATGTTTTGATGAGACACAGCAGCGTTCTTACCCAGTGGAAGGAGCAACAATGGTAACTGTAGCTAATGGCGCAGATGGACCAACTCCTAATAGACCAGCACCTTTTTCACTACCACTCAATACATCACGAGGAACAATTTGTTCACCGTCAGCACCAACAACGGGCATTCGTCGAGGAGACAATAAAAAGTTGAGAGTAAGCAATTGGTTTGCTCGTCGTTCCAAAGCAGCCAAGAAGGCCAAAACGGTGGCGTCTGTTACAGCAGCACCAGCTTCTAATAACTCTGAGGATGGGGCACGTTGTGGTTTAGGTGGTACGGCTACATTGGTTGTAGAAGGAGCTACATTCTCCTGTGATGCTGGTGCCTCAGTAGGGCTGGCAGCTTCTTCTTCTGATTCGTGGATTGGCACAATACCAACGTCAGGAAGGTTGCTGCTTGGTGATGCTTTAATGGATGGTTGTGGTGGTTCCAAGGCTGGTAGTTTTGTAATAAGACCTTCAATACCACGACGTAAAGCATCAGCGGCACCAGCTAATTCTTGTTCAGCACGTTCATAGTGCTTGGATTTTTCTTCAAAGCTACGAAGACGTTCCTCCAAGACACTAACTTGTTGATGACGTGTTTCTTCAGCAACTTGCATATCAGCTTGTACGGATCGAATGTCCGCACGGACTGCATCGACTTCTGCAGCAGCTCGTTCAGCTTCACCGTGAACTTCAGCAACGTAAGCAAAGAGCGAGAAGCATTCATCTTCAGAGGCTCGGAAGCGCTCAACGAGAGCACTAGCATCAGCACATCCAGTAGCTTGACGAAGTTCAGTCAGAGCATTCTCGTGTATCTTGATAGATTCAGCCAACGCTTCTGCGGATGGGAGTTTAGCTGGGAGATGGTCCTTGTCATTTCCAGCACGACGACCTCCATGGTCATCCTTCATACGTTCAGCAACCTTGGCAGCCATGAACTCTTTGAGCCTCTTGTCTTGTTCCAAAGCACGATCGAGTTCCTTGATTTCTTGAGCGTATGCAGAGCCTTCCTTTTCGGCACGTTCTCGAAGAGCTACAATCTTAGCTTGCGCTTCATCACGAGCCTCGTAAGCTGCATTTGAAGCTTCAACAACTTCAGCTACACGGCGTTTTTCTTCCAACAGATCTCGTTCAAACTTGCGGTGAAGAGAGTCGAATACTAGACGTTCACGACGTAGAGAGTCAATGGTTGATCGTAGAGCCTTGTTAGCAGTTAAAGCCTTGTTGTATTTGATCAAAGCCTAGTGGCGGAGATATGGTGAGTCAAAGGATCTCTGAATTCCCCCCACGACAATCCCAAAATGATACCTTGTCTAATCGGTTTTCCAAAACTCGAATTTGCTTATCGACAGCTTCAGAGTTGAAAGAGCCCACACCACTTCGTTCTCCTAGCTTCTTCCTTTGAGTATCGACTTCGCGATCCATGTTGTTGATAGATTCGTCCAGAGATGCGATTTCAGCAGCAATTTGGCGAACTTTGCGTTGGTACATTTCTGAATGGAGAACAATGAATTAGATATGAGATTGCAATGATTTTCGGAAATACAAAGGTTTCATGATCATACCAGCTTGTTCAGCCATAGCCTCTGCTCTTCGAGTAGCATCACGTTTACGAGGATCTCCGTTTCGTTGCTGAAGAATAGCTAGTTGATCTAGCAGCTGTTGATTATCACGCTTTAATTTCTCCACGTTGGCCCTATTTGACCAAAGTCAATTCTCCTTGATTCTCCCAAATCTTAGAAACAAAAATGTTTGTTCCCACGAACCGTTGCTTGGTGATTAAAATGCGTGATTCTTCACTGTAGGCTTTTCGATCACCCTCCATAATCCTATATTGGCGTTGCAATTTCTGTAATTCAATTTCAGCTATATGCATTATATGTTAGATTCTCACGAAAATGAAGGTTGCACTACATTGGACGCAAATGACAAGACTCACTCATTCCATCACTAATATCTGTGTCACTGCCCAATGTCGACTGACGAGGCTGGGTCATTGCTCGTGTTGCCATTTCCTCTGGTTCTTTCTCTCTCTATATATGCACGACTTTGCTTGTTTGATTGGAAAACAAAAACGACAGAAAAATTTCCGACACAAAATAAGTAAGGAACGAGCCAAATTTGCACAGTGATGTTTGTTCTGAGCACACTTTCGAACTATGTGATATGATTTGACCACACAATTGTTTCATGCAAAGTCAAGAATACACTATATTTTGAGCAAACATCCAAAACTACCAACTCGTACGTCAATTCTGGAAATATACAGCTTTCATGGATCTGTTCTGTCTACAATTGGAGGCAGACTATATATAAACCTGTTTGGTGTGTTGGAGAAGAAGTTGATTCCTTGCACCACGTTTGGAGTGCTCCTGGTTCCAAACGAATTCAGCAGATCTGTCATAGGGAGTGACGTATTTACACTCCAATACAATGCAAGACTTCCTGTGGTGTAAGGTGAAGCGAACGATGTGCCTGATGCAGTTTTTGGGCGACCATCAAGTCCCAAAGACGTGACATTGGTAGCCTATTTAAAAGATTCGTGCTGCAGTCTGACAATCCTGAATCCTGTTGTGGCGCTGGACTTACTGGTGCAAAGATATCAACACAAGATCCAAAATTGCTGAATGTGGATATACGATCCGCTTTGTCAGTACCTCCACAAGTAACGGCGGCAACAGCACCTGCTGGAGAGTATTGACAAGCGTCTGGGCACGAGAAGTGTTATTTGACTATCTGAAACAAGTCTTCTAAAACAACATACCTTGCGCACTATTCCCAGCTGCCACCTATTGGTGTTGAGAAGTGTGAGGCATTATTTTGACAACGAAGTCTTCTCGAAACAACATACCACTACTGGGATGCCTAAATGGGAAACCACATTCGTTGCAGTATTTATTGCTCTGGAACTTGGGGAAGCTGCAGAGATGCTGCTTTTACGTTTCAATTGGACTCATTGACTCAGCACGACAACGCACACGAGCACTAACTTGATGATACTGGCATTTCGAGAGGAGTTCCAAGCACCAAGAACAAATTCCAACCCACGAATCAGACCACTTGATGTTCCAGATCCTTCTGCATTTAGTGCTTTGACTGCAATCAAAGTAACTGCAAGGGGATTGTTGGTGAAATTGAGGTGCATGATGATGCAAACACTTGATATCTACCATTCTTCGCAACACCGTATGTGTTGCTTCCAACAATGGCAGACACGAATGTTCCATGACCATTGTCGTCCTGTAAATTAGATTCCAGGTGGCTTGACTTGATTTGACCGAACGTATCAAAATCATAAACTCACAGTGTTATTTGCTGAATCTGAATCATTCAGTACATTGGATCCCCAAAAAGCTCTAGTTCCATTGCTACCAGTGAATTCAGAGCTATTTACTTGAATTCCAGTGTCCTAAAAGTCATCCAGTGAGTATGTTCGCTTTGGACATACGAGAAAATTACTGCTTACAATGACATAGACCGTCACACTTGCGCCAGCTGTTTGTGGATATTCATATACTTGGTCATCTTCCTGTCGTCTTTGATCGATACGATCCAAACCCCAAGAAGGAGGATTTGGTTGCTTGAATGTGTATCCTGGGTGGTTTTGATTGATCGTCATGATTTGGTCACGTTCAACATACGATACATATTCATGTGCAGCTATTCGTGCAGCTTCTTGTGGTGTAGCTGTGAAGGTGAATCCATGTAGTGCTGCGTTTGGAATGGCTGGCCTCTGTACACACAAACGCAACATGGCATTTGCAAAGTGATGAGCAGCAACCTTGTAATCAGCGTCTGTATTCACCGAATGGACATCGAGTGCAAATGGACGAGCATCATATGCATCATCCAGCAATGATTCGTAGGAACGTGCGACTCGACCAAGTTGGAGGTTGTTGGAGAGTGGTTCGTTCGAGAACCGAGATTTCAGAATAGCAATATATGGTTCTCTGGGCGAAAATACGGGTGCTCCAAGAGTGTTAACGATCAAGAATGCAGCAAGAAGGATGAGCGATCGCATGTTGAATCTACTGGAAACAACAAGAGATGTTGGAAATACTGGATTTTCTACAGTACGGTGAATACAACTCTGGAATGCCTTGCAGATCGATTCTCTTGTCAATATTTGATACGGATTCGAGTGTTGTAATAAGGTGACGTATGATTCGGTTCAGTTCTTCGACCGTTATGAGTGTGTTTAGTGCGTTTCACGTACCTTTTTGATCTGATACACTACTGGATGTGTCTCTCAAGAGGTACTAGCCTGGGATTACGTGTGTACACCACAGGATCTCCTGTTCGTTTTGAATCGGAACTGTGATTTTAAAAAGCTTCAAAAAACTAAGCCATCCAGTTTTGACGTCTCAACGCAACGATGAATAGGCCTGTTTTGGAGCTGTTGCTTATCATATTTGGATGCTCATTGGTAGCAAGATGTGCCGTATATCAGTAAGCCCAAGTTCAAAAAGTTTTTTAAACCCATCTATTCTCATTTTTCGACGATAGTGTTCCACTGGGCGAAACCAACGATGTATCATCCGAAAACAAAGTGGCCAGTGCATCTGGTCTGACAACAGATCTTGGAGTAGTGAGTCATGTTTCTTCTCTGGGCTTAAAGTGCTGAACTAACCCAAACCAACCTTAGCCTTACATTCAAGTTGGGTTTGGAACACCCGTGCAAGTCTTTAATGTGAGCCAGTTGTGATCTAATTTCGGCTTTTCAGTGTACCGAACTCAAAGCTTGCACGTACCCACAGCTGTTCTTGGCCACTGGACCGACTTACTCTTGGGTTCGATCTGCCACGTGTAGCTCTACGAACTGTGTCGGGTTGACGGGCTATTCTTCCAGCAAATCTTCAACGTACCAGCCTTCCACAATCTCCTCCATCGTTTTTGACTCGAATGGTTCTGGAGACTCGGCCACTTTGGTGTTTGGGACCGATACTTTGAGTTTGTTCGGATTTAGTGTTCCCAATACTCTACTTGGCAGCGCTACGACGATTGCCAGTACTGCATCACTAGGCTCTGGAGACGGATGTGAGTTTGAGTCCTCGAATAGAGAGAAAATGCGAGGTTTTGTGACCCGTTCGTTTTCCTAGATTTCTCGTTGCCAGCCCCGCTTGGAACCGCAGATGGTAAGCATTGCTTCGAGTTTTCGGGCCCATATCTTTATGCTGAATTTTGAGTCTACAGATTCATACACGATCTTCGGGGCTTTGAAGAGTGTGTTGGATGCGCAAGTAGTAGGACTCTGGTATAATATTACAGGTGGCAAGACATGCTGTTCTGTCGGACTATCTAGAACGTACGCACAAGCATCATTTGGTGGTGTAGATTCTACTAAACTTAATGGAACTGTCCAATGGTATGTTAGCAATTGTCTTATTGGTCAACATGTTGTTTTTATCTGCGAGCGTTTGCCCTTTTGAAGAAAATGATCTAAGCGTTGATTTTCTACTTAGGACATCGTTACTACCAATAGACGCAACCAACCGATATTGGCTAATCCAAGTCAACGGAATCCAGATTAGTGGAGGTAGCAATCTCATCCCTTCTAATCCTCTAACGGGAGTACCATATCAGGCGAACGTCGCAACATCCGTTGCGCGCTTCTTTATACCAGTTGTAGCTTTTAATGCTATTGTAAATGCTACAAATGCCCAGTCGTACCCGTCTGTGCCAACTACCTTCCAAGTAGCATGCACAAACATATCGAATTTCCCATCCATAGCTGTCACGATTGGCAACAACTCATACACGCTTCGCGGTAGCGACTATACCTTCACCTCTGCCGGACAATGCTTTCTGATATTTCAAAATGCTACGACCGACTATCTCATAATAGGATCACAGTTCCTATCCTCGTTCTATTCTGTATTCGATTTTGCTGGTGCTCGCTTTGGACTGGCTACACGGTTGGACTCGACGGCGCCGGCACCGTCAGGACTTCCAGCTGTATCAGTGATGTCAAGTGGCAATAGTAGTATCAGCAACAGCAGTAATAGTGGTGGAGGCGCACCAAGTTTAAGTGCTGGTATTATTGTAGGTATTGTCTTGGGGTCTGTATCAGCCGTCGTCATTTTCCTGTCGGGCATAGTGTACATGAGGTCGAGAGGTAGACAATATTCTCTGACAAACGACAAACCGGACACGCCTGAAATGCGACAGGAATACTATGCCCGTGCAAACTCCCTCTCGTCGTCGGAGGGAGCAGTATCTAGTCATCAAGCGTCAAGTGGGAATGAAGGATCTGGAACACACAACACATACGTAGGATCAGAACCGGACTATGCTTCTCCAGTGCCAGTTGGAGCTATTCCGATGACGTGTGTTATTGCGTTCGAGCCAACAGAGTTTGATGAGCTTGAACTGGACGTTGGAGACACCGTTTATATAAGGTATGCAAAGTTTATATTTACGTCGTATGGTTTAGATGTTTCTGACAAATCACGTACATAGCATCTCATATGGCGATGGATGGTGCTATGGGTACTCTCCTCGGCTAAGAAAATCCGGAGTGTTTCCTCTCTCTTTAGTTACATCCGACCCAGCTGCAGCTTCTCTGACACCCGCAATGGAAGGGCGACACGCTCGTTCAATTCGTACAGCGTCGCTAAAGAACTCTATGAGGAGATCCGTGCCCGTAAGGTCTCTTGAACGGTCATTAGGAAGTTTCGGCACGAAATATAATAAGAAACAGCCTGCGCCAACCATGTAATACCAAGCTTGAGTATACTAGTACTAGTTATATATATTTAGTTTTGTTTGTATAGTAAATTCTCAAAAACAGTTATGGAATCACACACAAAAACAAGAATCAGTCAATCAGTCGCGATTTTCTACATCTTGGAAGCTCGAAGTTTCCTTACATCTTTTATACGCTACGGAGAAAACGTCATGAGCTTACTGCTGACGGCTAGGCGCCGAGTGCTGGGATGCTTTTTACCTCCAAGAAGAGAACATGCTCCAAAATCATCAACTCTTTCTCCTTCTCTTTCTGTTCAGGAGACAGCTTTGCAGAATGCACCTCTTTGGGACTTTCAAAAGGAGATCCTGGTGGGTCTGGTGGAGGCCTTTCCCCACCCAGAGACAGTCGTTTTGGTACGGGTGGTTCAGGGTTGCTTTCCTTATCCGCGTCTTCAACAGCCCCAGTTACGCATTGTATCCTTTGCTGGCTCGTTGGAACCTACAAAACTCACAAATATCAGACATCAAGTCAAAAGCGAAAGAGGTGTAGGTACCTTCTGTTCATGCTCGTTGAGAAGCTGGATTGCTCTAACTCTAACACCCTCTCCAATGCCACGGAGTTTACTAATCAGTTCTCTAGCCTGAGAATGGTTTACAACCAGTCTCTGAAATCCGTCCCTGTAGATGTGATCTTTTATCTCGTCGAACTGAGGCTTCAGGAGCAAAGGAATGATTTTGAGCATTGACACCCGTGACAGCCCGCACAGCAAACATAGCAAATCGAAAGTTCCTGTAGTATGGCAATAGAAGGCTGGCCTGTCCAAGTCTAGCCATGTCATCAACCTCGGTATCGGTGGTGAATTTCGGCATGTCTCATTATCCAATTCCAAAAGCTTGGTCAGTGGAGAGAATGACGACCTAAATCTGTGGATTGACACTACTGCTGGTGCTTCTCCAGTTAATATGTGACGAACGACCGATGTATATGGGAATTCTGCCATTGGTGTAATCGTGGTTCTCTAACTTGAGAGAATTGTGAGTTTGTGGTCAAAGCAAGTGAGCAAACAAAGTCAACGAATCTCCTACTCGTACCTATATCTTGAACTCTTTTTATGCTCTACGTCAGCTTCACCTACTGCCCTTTATCAGATTGCGCAACTGCGACCAATGGGAGACTTGGACCATTCAACTTTACTTTGGATCGGACGTAATCATTGAAGGAATCACGTACAGTTTTGAAGCTTTCACGTGTCAAAATTCAGGCAACTCTTCTTTGAGCTTGTCAAAGGCTTAATAGCTAGCAAGTCGTGAGTGATTGTCGTTGTCGTGTTAAACGTTTTAACGTCATCAGCAGAAGACCGAGATCATGGCCTATGCATTTGATAGAGGAATAGCAGTAACAGAAGTCGAACTCTCTAAAACCGCTGCAAAGTACTCTGGCGTTGTGAGTCCCGAGGTAAGCTTAAGCTTGACTTCATGGAAATCGCACGATGCACTTTTGGCGGGCATAAATACCAACCTTTGCTCACCGCATATGCATTTCTGACTTTAAATTTTCATCTCGTAGTGGTATAACGGTGGATCACCTCATGGGGGCTACTTGGCAGCTGTCATCTGCAACGTTGGACTCAAGTTTTACAATGGAAAGCACCCAGACGTGCTCTCAGCATCAGTTTGGTTCTTACGAGTCTCAGAAGTCTCCAAGCCCTTCACAGCAATTGTATCTGAAATCAAACCTGGACGGATGATATCAACATGCTCGATAACACTGATGCAAGTAGCGAAACCTGGCCAGCCAGAGACGCCATTCTTGTATGGAGTATGTACTTGTGGAGACATTGATCAGGAAAAGGGTGCCACCAAGTTACTGGATATAGCATCACCGCCCGTGCCTAGCCCGTCCGACTGTGTTGAATTGGAGAAAAGCTATTTTCCACCACCAAATCAGCTGAAATACCAGGTAGATGTTAAAGCTGACCCTGCAACACCGTGGGACAAGACGCGGAAGGAGGCTCCAGCGACGCTTCTCAGGAACCAAGTCATGAAATTTAAGGATGACAGACCTCAGGATCTACTGTCAGTGGCCTTTGCTTCAGACGTGCTTGTACCTATAATGATGCTCCTTGGTACGAACATTATGGATAATATTGGGCTCGGTGCTTTACCAACCATGGAGTATGTGTTTCTGTTGTGCGTGAATGTATTCGAGAGTCTACTCACACCCTTTCCTGTGTGTAGTCTTCACATTCAGTTCAGGCAAAAGCCAACTCCAGGAACCAAATGGGTTAAAGTGAAGATGTTCTCTCGTTACTTGGTGAGTTTGACTGTGGTTTACCAATTTCAGGCAGTCTTGCGGGTGGAAAATCCTGTGGTTTTTTTGTTCTTTGGACTGATAAGTTTCGTTTGTAGATTTCCGGTAAGGCAGAATCAGACGCAGAGATATATGACGAAAACGATAGATTGTTGGCTATATCTAGACAGTTGGAACTGGTTGGAATTGGAGGACCGCAACCATTAGCCAAAATTTAAGCTACATAGATTATATTACTTAATGTACGAGCTAAATTATACAGGTGCTCGATTATATTGCAAATCTCGTCGTTGCCTTTACGCCTTCTCTGTAACCGTAGTACCTGTGGTTGTTGGAGTAGTTGATGGCTTGTCTATGCTATTTCTTTCTGTCCAGGACACCTCATTTGTCACGGGTTCATCAATGCTAACTACTCTACTTTCAGGTATTTCCTCTCGCACAACGACTTCCTCCTTCACCACTGCTTTATGTTCGTGCGAGACTGCTGATGCTGCAGAAGGCCGTTGATCCTTACCCCAACTACCCATTTTTGATGCCACGTTTTCAAGTTCAATAGCGACATTACGATCCTTGTACACAAGTTCCAACCCAGCTTTTGCTGGCAAGGCAACACCATCCATAAAGGCCTTGCATACTATATGGTGTGCAGATCGTTCTTCGATAGTCCATTTGGACCGTCGTTCATCCCCGAATTTAGCCAAGAGCCCCGCACACGAGATCAACGAGTCGTTTACTAGGCTGCTTATAGGTTTTATGAGAGACATGGGTGCCAAAAGTCGAAGTTGATTATATGCGGCAAAGTAGGCATTAATTAAATGGGCTAACGGTGGATGACTTAATAATGAGGCAGGAGGAGTAGTGGATGGCCTAGATGTTCCAGTCTTTCCATCACTGGTAGTGGAGGCAACTGCAGTCTTTGTAGTCAGTCCCTTCTCACCCAAGTCTTGGATCATACGTTCAAATCGATCTACACCTGCATTTACTTCATCTTCTATAATCCGTTGCACGGCATCTTCAAATAATTTACCTACTACCATACGGAAATCGATGCCGACCCGACCTAGTGACATTCCATAATACATACATTGCGTCAATAGAGATGATAGCCGTGAGGTATCTCGTATATTGGCCAGGTGCGTTGTTAGCATGGTTACTAGAGTTGATACAGCATGTGCAGCATATGACGATAAGATGGTACTTGTAGATGTTTGCGTTTCTCCTTCTCCGTGCGAACTACCATAGAGCGAGCTAGGTGTAGTTGGTGTTAATGGTGGTAGTGACGATGAGGTTGATATCGGGGTATCCGAGAATATAGCTCGATACTGTGCTACTATATCAAAAAAGTACTCTCTAGATATTTCTATGTATCGGCGTAAAAACTCTCCCGAGTCTCGTTCACCATTGAGTTCATGCAGCATGCTTCGTAGAAAGGCATCACGTTGCTGTAAAAATAGAATACGTAAATCTACTTCCGAGTACACTGACAGTCTCCTCAAGTAACCAACTACTCGAATACAGAGTGGCAGTTTGACATTGGCACTCAACAGTTTGACCAGTTGTTGCACCATGGTCCTTTTAATAGTTTCTACTTCTTCACCTATACCTATTATCAGTTTTGACTGCGGATGTCGAGCAGACAATCTCATGACGTATGTATACAGGTCCATAGCTTCCTCATAATACCCCGATCTTACAAACGTCTCAGCTAATTGTGGTATTTCAAGCAATTCTAGTAATTTACCATGCTTATTGAGCAGTGTAGCATATACAGCCTTCTGGGTTAGAATGGTAGAAGTCGCATTCTCCGAAAAGGTATTACAAGATGCCTCCAACGACGGGAAGGAAGCATCCAGCTTCTCGAGATGTGAATCTAAATTATCAAATCCACGCAATACATCCTCTTCACACGTCGATGAAGTCAGAAATGACTTATATTCCGAGTACGCCAGCTCTGATAATTGTGCATCGACTGATGCAGATTCAGAGGCCAGTTTGGCAGGTAGCGATAATAGAGATGATAATGTTTGAGCTGTTAGAGAGTCTACATATTCAGCTACATCTGGGTCTCGGAAGATGGGTCTGTCCAATTTTAAGTGTGTTGATGTCGACTGATTTGCAGTTTCGATCAACAGGCCAATCAGAAAACCGTGTCCATGCGATGTAGCTACATCTACAAAGGCTATCTTCACTGCGTTAATACCGGTTTCGGCGGTGGTATTCAAGAATGTGTTGATCATTAAAATCAGTCGCTACAGCAGGCACTTACACGACGTTCGACTTTGTATAGCATCGTTGACGGGCTGATGTATGCTTGTTCCACTCGATGATGCCATATTTATATCTCAGAGCTCGAGATCTAGGTTGTTCTTGAGATGAGGCTAAAGCAAATCGATAGATTCAATATTTTGGTTTGTTTTTCCATGAACTACCCATCTCTACACGACTATAGATAGTGAATACATGATCATATAACTGTTATTGAGACGAAGAGAATCTCGTTAGCCACTTGATTCGCTTCCAAAAGTCAGATCATCAAAACCAAGACCTCAGCTCATCGCGATATACAGGACTTTAGCTGCCAAAATGAAATCCGCAAAGCGACCATTATCATGATATGATATAATTCAACAGGAATCCATCTTCCCCATCCTCGCTAACGTCTTGTTCATCCCTCGCAGCAAACATTCAAACATTTTGCACCAAATGTAAACCTGATGTCAAGATGCTGAGCAAGAGAGTGTATTATAAGATAGAAAACACTAATCTATACCATCAGATACAATGTGTCATCAATACATAGTCACATCCATGTACAACAACCACCAAATCACAACGTTTTACTTTTTTTGAATTTAATGAGTTTTTGGCCCGAAGGCCAGTTAAAAATTCCTCTAAACCAGTGGTCTAGAGAGTAGTTGGAGTATTGTTTGCAATCAGCAATAATCGAGACTCAGTAAGAACTTCAATGTCGTCGATACACTCCTGCGAAAGGTTAAGAAAAAGGAACAAATGGGCGCTCCCAAAATTGCTGTGAGAAATTCGGTGTGGCTTGTGGTGTGGCTTGTAACAAGGAAAATCCTGCGATTAGATGTGACGCGTGGATGTTGCATATGACAAGGGTGTAATGCAATATTTGTATCTCTCACTACCTCATCATCTACTGGAACGTGCTGCGGTGATCACTTGCAGCGAAAATCACGTATAAAGTCGTGAATCAGCCCCGTCAAATATCTTGATGAGCAGATTGACCACCTGGAAGCGTATAATCACGATGCAACATGCAACTTACAACTTACAGGATCCACGGATCCACTTTTTCAAGACCTCAATGCAATCAACGGCATGGACTTTCGGTAAGAGCGCAAACCAGTCGTCAAATGTCGTCGTGTGCTGATGACACCAACAAAATCCAACAGTCGCGCGATTTTCTATGCAACTCGGCTCTTTTTTCTATTTAACAGTTATCTACAAGATATATACAGCTGGAGCAACTAGCAGTAACAGGATTACACAAATGCATTGCAGGGTCCAAGTTATGGAATGTTGATGTGATGGGGCTGAAGAAGTAGAAGCAAAAGAAGCGATTTCCCGTGTGTTGTATCCTATTGCTTTCAATACGTGCATTCTAAACGTGAACCGAAGTGCAAAAGTTAGTCTCAACAAGCACTTCGTGAGAAAGACTGCAAACACATATACACCAAACGCTTACGTTTGACTTCCTATGGGAAATTGTCCACCAGTCAACTGAGTTAATGATACGCCAGCTTGAGCTTCAGGCCTCATGAGAAATTCAGCTTTGTCTGTATACATCTTTTGATCCGTGTGCTGTTAAAGGGATTAAAAGTGGCATTAGATATTTGTTCGTCAATCAAATCCACATAATTCGAGAGAAGGGCTTACGGAGATAGAAGAACCTGTTCGGAAAGGAGTATACGATGTATGCAGCGTCAGATTATCAAGGCCTGATACGAACGACACAGCATCACTCTGTGTAGCTACTTGATATAAACTAGCAGCTGTAGCATATCCTTTTGTGGCTTTAAATGCAGTTAGCCAGCTATCTAGTGGCACTTTACCCATCGTTGGTGTTGGTGACGGTGCACTGAGTGCGGTTGACGTTGTGGTAGACAAAGTGGCTGCAGCGGTGCCGCTTGGAGCGTAGGTTGGAGCAGCAAGGGATGGGTTCGGGACATCTGCAGATGGTTTGGGAGATGGAGCTGGCGATGGTGTCTTTTTAGCAGAAGCAACTACGGCTCGAGCAACTAGTGCCTTTGCGCTAGCTGTTGCTGTTGGGCTGGGTGTGGGAGCAACGGCTGTATATGCTTGTTGCACTCCGAGATTTATAGCTTCCAGTGCAGTTGCGAACGTAGACGAGTTGGACGTTAGATACTTGTCGAATATGAGACCTGGATACAATCCTTGAAACATGACTGTTCCTGTGGAGTTGTCGAGATTGAGCATTGGTGTGAGGACTGGTAGTGTTGTGTTCCCTGTTTGCATATATGTTCCAAAGCCTGATATAAAGCCCATCCCGTGCAATAATTCGTGAAGAGCTCTAAATGTCTCGATTTGGGTGAGTCTCTCTGAAACAGTGAGGATGAGTGGAAGGACTTACACGTAGTAAAAGTCATATTGATTACTGGCAATAGGTGTCTTGTCATCATCAAACCAAAAGTTGCCTGCGTCAGGATTAAAATGTGCAACAATGTCTAAAGAGGTTGTGCGTAAGTTTCCGAGTGCGAAAACGACTGCACCAGACTTCTACATGCCATTTACTCTTACCCCATTCCGACCACCCTAAACTAGCACTAGTCATCTGCTTGGCCAATGCCTGTGGATACCAATAGTTGTCATCAGCACCAGACACTCCAGTCAATGTCCAAAAACTAGCCGCGGAAGCAGATCCAAGCGTGCTAATCGCACCACTAGGCTGGAAATATCCATGCACCAAAATCGGTCTCCCACTACTTATAACTATTCCCTGCGTCAAGACATCGACAGCCTTACGAAACGAGTTGGATGCCTTTGTACATACAGCCGTCGTAACAGCCGTAGCACATTCAAATAGAGATACGAATCCGCTCGTCGTATTGCCGTTTACTACTGAGTCGAATTCGTGGGTGACTAGACCAGTGTCGGCACTATATAGGTGGTGCGTTCCTACAATGTCCTCTACTTCGGCTGTACTAGTTTCCATCATTCTGCTCGACAGCCTCCTCTTGGCCCTCTTGTATCCTGTTATGCCATTATCAACGGTATCAGCCTGCACGTAATGGGCACGATCTTGAATGCTAAAATCACGATCCCAACGTTCCGGCGTAGTTGCCGACATTGAAGACGGTGGAGTATGCACTCTATGTGAGAGTGAGGCTATTGGAGATCCATATTCTAGTGGTGCAGAAGTGACGGGGCTTGCACATAATAATGGCAAAGATGTGCTGGTGAGCAGCAGACTGAGGTACTGCTTTGATTTAACCATCTGTCCGACCCCGTTCGCTTCTTTTAGATCGTGTGTCTAGAGGCCGTTACCGATGTATGATAGCATAGTATCCGAGGAAATGTCCTTGTCTGATTGCTTTGGGATCTTTTGCGAAAAAACCAACAACCGTTTTCGGTGAAGCATGCGTTGGGAAGAAGACAAGACGAAAAACAAACAACCAATACACCGTTTACTAGGAGAACAGTCTCCAATCTCCACAACGAATCGACTTGGCACTCTTGATTCGGCCTCGAGAAAGGTTTGACATTAGTGAGAACGGCCGTGCAATGACAACAAACAACCCAGTTTCGAACAGTGGAATTGTGCGGCACTGCGAGCCGATTCGAATCACAAATTGGGGGCTTGGTATTTGGCATTGTACGGCTAACGTACACCCTCATGCCCTCGTGGACGTTGAGCTCTTGCGAAACTGCTGTACGAAACTTATGGAAAGTATTGACGTGGAGTTTTGCGACAATTGATATATTTGCGGCTCGTTTACTGTAATATATAAATAAAATTCAATCGTCGTCAGCCACGCTTCTTTTAATACATTAACTCGCCTTGCGCTTGAACATCGTGACAAACTCTGACAAAGTTTCAACGACAGGGCAAAAGACAAGCAAGCACCAAGTTCTCGACGAAACGAACGGCACATCATGAGCAGCGCCATTCGACTAGCAGCGTCTGCCAGATCACTGTCATTGAAAACCACAAATGCTCACCGATTAGTAGCGGTGCGCTTCAATGGAAACATCAAAGCTGGAGGAGGGTCCTTCGCGTACGTAATGTCGAAATTATTCTGTTGCTATATTGTAGCCTGAACCTGTATTGGATTGATGTTGCTATGGTCTTGATTCCATGCACTTTCGCAACATCAAAAAATGTCGTGTGTACATATTGCCAACATCAGTCTCTACACCTGTTTGTATCCTTGTCAAAAAGCTAACGTCAATATCGATTCGTGTATATTCAGAAAGAAGGAGTCTTACGAAGAGGAAAAATACGTCCACGACCATGAAAAGGAAGCTGTAAGTGTTTGGTAGCGTTGTTTGTTTCAAGACAACCACAACGAAACCCTATATCTACGTCTTTTGCTCTTATTTTTGCGCTCAGTCTTACCCTCCTATCTCGTCCTCAACCAGCTCAAGAAATTCGAAGCTGAAGAAGCAAAGTTAGTACCAACCTACAACCAACTGCTTGACTGTGTTTTTGGTCGTATCAACTAACTCCAACCACAAAACATCCGCTATAGATACAAGAAAAGCCATCCAGGAGCAGCCTCAGCTCCCAAATCAACAACACCACCACCATCTGCAAAACCTGCAGCAAAGACGGCCGAAGAACCTGAACACATTCAACCTAGCTCAGGCCTTGGTGGAAGTGTCAAGGCATCTGGAGGAAGTTTCAGGTTGGTGTATAAAAACTCTGCGCATTGGCCTTTCAAAAACATTGACTAAGCTATTTACTTTTGTGTTTGACAATAGTAAAAAGCAAGCAGCTATCGAAGAGAAATACTTCCGTGATTTGGACAAGGTATCCATTGCTTCAGGATCCGATCATCTTTTTTTGTACGCATTTTGATCACCTTCGCACAATTTATTTAGGAGAAACTCAAGCATCTAACCGAAGAGGAATTAAAGCGAGGAAAGAAATAAAGAGGTATCAAACATAAAGAGCCGAATATTCAATACTACTTTCTTACTGCAGTAAACAAAATGTAAAACCGCTCAATACCAAAATGCCCATAAACTACCCAAAACCGACCAAACTTAAACACTTAAACCTAATCGGTTTTTGCACAATGATGTTCTTATTATGGGTTTGAGCTAACGATTGGCATTATGCATCTGTTTTACATCCTTTTTTCTTGTTATCATCCAATGACCACCACCAACAACCACCTCCTTCAAGCTTTCCCCTCTACTTTCAACCTCTATCACACATCTCTCTCACACCCCCTCTCACATTACTGAGCATCGACTAGCTCGTCGTCCACCTTCCAATCCAATACCCCTCAAATCAGCCATCTTTACACCAGACTTGTTCAAAGCAGGACTTGTTGCTTGTGGAGGAGACGTAGCCCCAGTATTACTACTATTATTATTACTATTCGTAGTGGCGACCAGAGTGTTGTTTGATACATTGATACTGGATCGACGTAATAAACCAATCCCACTACTACTACCACCACCAGACTTGTTGCGTTCTGATGGTAGAGGTGATAAAGATGATGTGGTTGTAGTAGGTGGTGATGTAACTGATGGTCGTGTTACGGAGGGTCGTTCTATCATCTTTTTGACAGCTTTCGGGTCACCACTTTGTGCTGCCCGTTCATACCATACCCATGCTTGTGCCGTGTCTGGTTCAACACCAATACCGTTTTCGTAAAAGTATCCCATAGCAAACAAGGCGCGAGGTAGACCTTGTGATGCTGCTTGAGCTACCCATCGCATGGACTCACTATATGATTGATCGAGATGAAAGCCTGTTTCAGAGTCGTTGGCTCCTGTCAAATACCAGCCTCCTAGTTCAAACATGGCCTAATGAAAAGAATGTTTCGTAAGCATACGTCCATCATCGAATTACCCAACGAAGCAAAAAAAAAGACGGTATCGTCGACAAAGAACACACAGCGCTATTCCAAAACATACCTCTAGATGCCCTTGAGCAGCAGCCAATGAGTAAAAGTACACACTGGCACCAGGATCAACACGAACACCGAAATGCCCGTACTCGTATGTCTCTCCAAGTTTGAATTGACTTGGTGCATGACCCAAATCAGCAGCTTTGGTCAACAATTCTATAACGTAATCGTGGTCTCGGAATACTACATGGGCTACACCACGATCGTGTAATAAAGCCAACTCATAAAGGGCTTGCGGATATTTGGCAGTGGCATACTTGGCTGATAGTTTCAACCACTTCACACCATCTCGATAGTTCCTGGCCTGACCTAATTCACCTCTAAGCATGGACATACCCAAACGGAACATGGCACCTGGATGGTTGCTAGGAGCGAATGGATTTCATTGTGTGAGTATTAGAAGCATGCAAAAAAGCATGCTTTCATGAGGCAACATCCAACACCAGTTTTCACCAAACAGACTACTTCGATTCCTACCTGGAAGCGGCTTTTCGATAATAAGTTACGGCACGAGCATATGATTGCCTAGTTCCAACACCATTCTCACAGCACAGACCCAAATGGAAGAGCGCTTCAGCATGATTCTGCTTGGCTGCTGAAGCATACAACGAGACTGCCTTTTCATAATTGGGCTCATGACGTTCTTCAAAGCCTGGGATTCCCGATACATATAAATTGGCAAGAGCATATTGTGCTTCCGCCATTTGTTGTTGAGATAACTTTTTCAAGGTTTTGACTGCCACTTCACAGTATGCCTTTTGGTCGATTTTGGGTAGATTCTGTACATTTTCGACAATGAATTTGGCACCTTCGAATTGTGATTCTTTTGTCTTGGCTTTACGTGCTCGAGCCTTCATCAAGTCCATACGTTCTGGTAGTGATGGTGTACCCAATGTAGCTGAGGATAGTGAGTAGGCATCTGAGGGATCCAATTCTGATAGGGCTCCTTCTTCAGAATCTGATACAGAGACTGAAGCTGCCAAGTCTCCGATCAGTGACTCCATTCTAATTGAGAATGTGGTTAATTTACAATGATTCGGTTCTCATAATGATAGATGTGAACACGTCTCTCTCGTTTGTCCTCTCTTAAATTATAACACTCTTCAACTAAACAAAACCTGTCTAATAACGATAATAGCACGACTCACCCAGACACAGAATCAACATCCGATATAATCGATTGTCGATGTGGCGATTTGACATCACGACCTCTCAATCGCTCACCAGATCCACGAGCAGATGATGATAGATTGGGTGATGGTGGGTTGCTCAGAGCACCGGGAGGAGAAGTTGGAGCTACTGCATTGTAGTCGCTAATACTACTAGAAATATTGGATGTGGATGGTTTCAAATTGGCAACTTTTACAGTCGTGGCTGGTGATGCTGGAGCACTGCTGTTGCTACTGCTACTGCTTGGTGTTGGTACCATCTCAGGTGGGATAAGTGTTGATGAAGATGATGCTGCTGTGATTATATTATCATTATTACTATTACTTGATGATGATGCAATGGTAGATGGTATTTGCTTTTGAGTATCGTTACTATCCAGTTTTTCCATGACGGCAGCTGCTTGAGTCAAGTGAAGGCTACCATCTGGAATATTATTGATGGAAACGACATTATTGTTTATATTGATGGATGCGACGGCAGAGCTCCTCCTTGGTGGTGGTCCCAATGCCGAAAAGAGGTTGACTGCTTCAGGTCTTAATGCAGTCAATGGTGACACTGTTGTTGATGTTTGCTGTGCTGCAATCCCCACTGCAACGCCACTACTATCTTGATCAGCAGCAGCTGCCAGCAGCGATGCTGAACGTTCAGGCTGAGAAGCTGATAATCGTCGTGCCAAGTTGACTTTGGAAGCTAATGATGCAGCCAAAGCTGCAGCATCAGGTGGTGATTCTATGTTTGCGGGAAGAGTTGGTAGATCTCTATTGGCTCTTTCTATTGGTGCTTTGGGTTGTTTGGCTTCACCAGCAGCTGATATGTCGGCGATACTCGCATCATCAATAGTTTCACCTACAGCAGCAACTATACTACTTTGTCGCTTGGCTGCACTACTAGCTGACTTCTGACTTGGCTGTCGAGTAGCAGTCACAGGCTTGCTGACTGATGGTGTTCGTATTATAGTTGAATCACCTGTTCCAGCATGTGCAATCAAGTCCGCAGCGTCCCTATACGATGCCTTTCGTCTCAAGATGGTTTCTGTCGACGTAGGTGTTCCTGGAGAGCCACTGATCACAGTTGATGTAGTGGGTGTTGTGGTATCTCGAGCGACAATGTCTATGGAATCGGAGTGACCTGACGGTGTATCGGCGGGGAGTCTAGCGATCGGAGGAGACGATGCGAGCTCTCGTGGACTGTGATTTGACATTGAGATTGATGGTGATGGAATGGGTCGTGTTGGCCATGATCCAGGTAGAGCTCTTGCTGTAGCTTCCTGTTCAGCTGCGACATCAGTGGTTGTGGGTGTTTCTTCCTCATCATTGCTGCTACCAGGAGATGGAGTAGTTTTCAGCCACTATATGCATGAGTAGGTTAGTTTCCACTTCAGTTCTCGCCTTGTCTTGACTCGATCAAGGGTTGTTTTTGTATGATTTTAAAGTTTCCTCGATTTTGTTGCACCAAGAGTGGAAATTTCGACTCCAGATGTGAATATAGGGCACAAAACGGAGAAATGCTGAGAGCACATACCTCTCTGACAGCAGCCATTGAGCCAGTGATGGTGGGAGGAGCTGTAGAGATTTGAAGATTTGATCCAGTTGAGGATGCCACCGCCACGACAGTCTCTCCTGCATTATTTTGCATGGTTTCTTTGATGTGTTGCGGTATCCAATGGATGATTTCTAGCAAAAATAGCCACTATATCTTGTTCATGGGCAAGACAACAAGTTTGGTATCTGAGTTTGCTAACCTTTGCAAGGGGGGACAATTAGCAAAGTTTTCGAATGCCAATAAGATTATGTAGAGGGGAGAGCCGATGGTACGTATATCTATGTACTGGCAACCTAACTAAACTATGCCTACCTCTGTTTCTTACTCCCTGCTCGAACGGCAACGACAACAGAAGAGTAAGTGGTTGTGATTCAGCGAACGAAAAACCAAACAAGTTCAAAAGAAAGGGGTAGTAGAGTCAACTGCATCTGAGCGGAAGTATACGAGCTCGAATACACGTAGAACAAGCCTCACACTTCTTTAATCGACGTGATCTTTTACGTGACTCTGAATTTTTCATTCCCACTTTACAACTCCTTCTCTGGTCGAATCTGTAACGTTCTCACTCGATCGTACTAGAATTCTCGTAATGAAAACTTCTTTTACTCGTTCCGGATAGGCTCAGGCTACCAACGCTACGTTCTTGTATAATCCTTCCTCCTCCCTTTAAATTCAAAGGTGCTGACCAGCTTTTCCAGCTCCATTCCATAAAACCATGTCATTCATCGGATCATCCGTGGGAGGAGCCATCTTCTCAGCAACTGCATATCATTTATTTCGCACAAAGATGGCTTCAGATGTGTTATTTGCTCAACAGTCGCTACTGAGTTCACAAACAGAACTGGAATTGACCACACCAAATCCATCATCCGTAAGTTTCACTAGCATTTTCGCATGGCTTTACAGCTTTTACTCACTAACTTTCTTCCTCCTTCTCCTCTTGAAAAAACCAAGGCATCAACCACGAAATCGCTTCTCCAACAACGACCAGTGAAAACACCAATCTCGAAAGCGTTTGATAGGCTGACAGCCTTCATAAAGACTCCGCCAAGTGACGTTACAAAACATCGGTGGAATGAAATCATTGAAAAAGTGAATAGTCTGGTAACTGGCCGATGGTAGACTAAACGACAACACAATGTATATTATAAAGCTGTCGAGCAAGTAAATATAATGTTTTAGACTTGAATTTATTTCTATTTTTTCAGCGAAAGAGACTTGCTCTATATCATTTTGAACTCCCATCTTTTGGTAAAATATTGGACTCGATAGAAACTTCTTTCAACTTAGAAGAGAAGTTCAGAGTATTTGGGGTAGATCCAGTGTTGATCGGCGACAATGTTTTCAAGACTATGATGAGAGAACCAACAATTAGCCATCACCCATGATTACAGAGTTGTTATATAAGGGCTTATCAAAGCCGACATTCAAACTAAGCTAGAAACACATTCCAACAAGCGCATTACTTACTTGTCAACCTTGTCACGGATTTCATCCATCAATCCAGTCAATTGCTGACTGCAGAGATCAGCTTGATGTTCAGGATCATCATTGGCATGGATCTTGTCCAACAGGGCAATCAGTTTGTCCTGAGAAGCTTGGAGCTCATTTGCCAAGACCGCAACCTCTTTGAGGATACGGACTTCAGGGGCTGAAGATACATCCAAACCTGCTGACTTGAGATTGGCAACAGTAGTAGACAAGTTCTAATTCAACAAATTCCTTATCAGTAACAAGACATTTTGCCGCAAGATTGATAACAACACACAAATCACAAAGAACAAAGGCCAAGCCGGACGATTGTAGACCAAAATGCAAGCATGTGCGTCACGCTGGTACTACAAGACACTGCGACCCTATATCCACCAATGGCTCGAAATCATCCAACGCCACATGCAAACACATACCATGCGATAAGCAAAGGCGGAAGGCAAGACACCTTGAGCAACCATAGACTTCAAAGTGTTGCCTTCAATCAACAAATCCTTGGCATACTTTTCCATCAAGATGTGGAATCGAGACTTGATTTCAGCCTCGCTCAAGATACCCAATCTAGTCAAGAGTTTGACATGCTTAGGGTCAAGCAATTGTCGGAATGCCACTGGGCAAGCTTTGATGTTGGGCAAACCCCGCTTTTCAGCTTCAACGACCTAAGTTTGGTTTCAAAAAGGTCAACTCTGAAACATCTTCACAGAGATACAGTCCAAAGCATTAGAAAAGAAACCGGATGCTTACCCATTCATTTGAGTATCCGTTGCCTTCAAATCGAATGTTCTTTGTTGACTGAATATATGTTTTGACTACAGCCATAATGTCTTCAGTAGATGCTGTAGCTTTACTACCCATTTGTTTGGTCAATGCTTCAGTGACTTCAGTAATGGATCGAGATACAGCAGCATTCAATATAGCCATTGGGAAAGATGGAGATTGTTTAGATCCGACAGCTCGGAATTCAAACTTGTTGCCAGTGAAGGCAAAAGATGAAGTACGATTACGGTCAGTCAAGTCACGAGCAATCTCAGGTAGAGTAGAGATACTGAGATTTAGGATGGTACCGCCAACCTTGACTGATGCGTTGTGAGGTTGAGTAGCCATGTTGACTGGTCGACCTTCTTCAATAGCATCTAATACTTCAGACAAGTGGGCACCCAAGAAGGCAGAGACAATACCAGGAGGAGCTAATGGTGAAGGGGAGGTAGTGAGTTGTAAATTTGAAAGGGAGCTGCCAATCTTCGTAGAACATTGATGACCTTTTGATGACAAATCAAGCAAACCCACATACCTTCGTTGGCACCTAGACGATGTTCGTTGGATGCAGAAGCAATACCACATCGAAGTAAGCCACCGTGTTTGTATACAGCATCCAATGTAGCAACCAAGAAGAGCAGGAAGCGGTAGTTGGTTTCAGGCTTCAACGTAGGATCAAGCAAGTTGACGCCAGTGCTAGTAGCCATGGACCAGTTACAGTGTTTACCACTTCCATTGACACCTTTGAATGGCTTTTCATGGAACAAGACCTAGAACCAAAAAGGAAACTCGAATCAACCCCGATTCGTTTGAGGTGTGAACAAACGCAATATCAACAGTCACAAACCTTGAGCCCATGACGATGAGCAACTTGATGCAATGTTTCCATAGTCAACAAGTTGTGGTCGACAGCCAAGGAAGCCTCTTCAAAGATGGGTGCCAACTCGAATTGATTTGGTGCTACTTCATTGTGACGAGTTTTTACAGGGACACCCAGCTTGAATAATTCCAACTCTGCTTCAGCCATGGTAGCCAAGACACGAGAAGGGATAGCACCAAAGTAGTGGTCTTCCAATTGTTGATGTTTGGGTGGGACGGTACCAATCAGAGTACGACCAGTGATTTTGAGATCAGGACGCATCTGGTATACACTACGGTCGATGAGGAAGTATTCCTGTTCGGTACCCAATGTGGTGCCGACGTATTTTACGTCCTTGTCACCAATCAAGTGCAAGAGCTTTGTGGCTGCGACATTCAAGGCATCTGAAGATCGAAGCAAGATGGTCTTTTCATCCAATGCTTCACCATTATATCCGATAAAGACGGCAGGGATGATCAAGACCTTGGTATCATATGGACCATTTCGCAAGTACATTGGACTATCACGTGTCGAATGATTTGAGGCTCCACAATTCGTTGCCAACGTGGAATAAACAATGAACTTTGATATTTGCCTACCTGCCAGTGTCCCAGATGGTGTATCCACGAGCTTCAAAAGTGCTTCTCATACCACCGTTAGGGAAGGAAGATGCATCAGGTTCGGACTGGATGAGTTGAGATCCAGAGAGTCGATCAATGGGCTTCCACTAGATGATTTTCAAGAATGAGTGATTCCAAGCAATTCCGAGGCCATCAAAATCCAAAGTTTGTCTTACTTGATCAAGACCCAAGTTGTCACTCTTCCTCAAATCCAAGAAATTGTCATGTTTCTCAGCAGTAAGACCAGTTTGAGGTTGGAATGAATGAGTAAAGTGCTGCATTTGGTGAATCCGTGTTAAGAGCGAGATGTTTCATGGGAGCCATGCTGTTTACTAACCGTGGCACCCTTGTCCATTGCCCACTTGCAGACCTTTTCGGCAACGGCATTGGCGGTAGCCTTGTCAATAGCTTGATGACCCTATGATAAATACACGAAAAAATCGTATATAATTAGTATAGTGCTATGATTGTATTGCTCTGACAGTTGAATCAAATAAAACAACGGCAGCAAAATGGTAAAGCCATTCATCATGATGCCGGTCTTATGTTCACGACTTACATTGACTTGATCCACGAAACGGTCGAATACAACTCGAGGAAGATTGGATTGCAAGTACTCCATGGGAAATACATTGGAACCAAAGATCTCAGATAGGTATGAGTGACGGTCTCCCGTCTTTGGCCATTCGACCGAGCGTGCGGGTCGATTCAAAATCGACATGGCTGCAGTCAATCGGTTGCTTGTTTCGTGAGGCATTGTTGGTATAGCGCTCTTCTCGTTGTTTGTTCTGACTGTGATTGTGACAAGAGTAAAACTGTTTTGTTTCGACTGATTGTACGTGTCCACGCAAGGAAGCGAGACTCGCAGAGGTTGGCAAATAATCCAGAGTCATACTATTCGCGTAAATTTGCTTTACTAATTGATGTTTCATGTCAAGATCAGGTTGAAAGCTTTACGGAAATGTCCAAATATGTGGATATCCTGCCAGACATTGATACTGGCCAAGATGTATTCGAAACAGACGCTCCAGATCCAGCAGAACTAGTTAATGATCATGTAAAACCACCTCCTTCTCCATCTTCAACAACATCTGTACCATTGCATCATCCACATGTCGACGATGAACAGCAGCAACAATCAGGCATCATCAAGACTCGTATCATACCAGCCGAAGCTACGGCTAGATTCGCAAACTCGCAAATTGATGCTACAGATGCTGACTTTTCGGGTCGTGTAGGAAGACGTAAAAAGCCTGCGCATTACAGAACCTATCACACCCGACGTATGCCTGATGCCGATGAATACGAGTTTGATCTACTCGATCATACCGATAATACCAATATTGATGCTCGCAAGCCAAAGGAATCTCGATTGCAAAGGCTTCGAAGGCTGGTCTACGAAGTCCAAGAGCTAGAAGAAGAGATTCAACGAGATGGCGATGCTAGTAATGGTCCCGCTGCAGATAATATAAATAGTAGTAATTTAAATAGTGAAACCAAGCCCGCTGTCTCGCAACTTGCTCTGCTGGATCAGATCTCTGCCTTGCAGACTGATTTGAGCAACTTGGCAAAGTCGACTGGAGTATCTGGTCGTGACGCTCCCTCATTAGAAGATGGTAGTGGATCATTGATTAAACAAGCTGAATTAAGTAAAGCACTTGTAGCTCAATTACGAGCCTTCAAGGATAAATCTGTACCATCCGTAGCACAACCGATAAAACAGGCCGAAGCTCCAGTATCTTCACAAACTACCCAAAAAATAGCTAGATCCGATCAACATGTAACATATGAATTGTATTATGCTCCCGAAACTGCTCGGTTGACCCAATTGTCAAACCTAGGCTCTCTGGAATCTCGAATCACAAACCTCGAACGAGTAATTGGTATATCGTATCTAGATGATGGACTGAATAATGGTGATGGGAACACAGCTATGCCACTATTACTTGAGTCTGGATCCCTCATGGCTGCTATGGAGCGATTCGAAACTCAATTGACTCTGCTGACTCAACCTCGGAAGCTCGAGACTGTGTCTAGACGGGTCAAATCCATCACTATAGAATTAGAGCGTTTGGCTGAAGCTAAAAAGAAGGAACATCTTGAATCTTCTCTGGCTCTGCACTCGTCTGTTTATGGTCTTGATATGACTGGAACAAGTCACCCTAGCCAAGAACCGCCTCACAGCGCCAGTCATAATAATAGTAATGATAACGAACAACGAGTCAAACATCTCTTCAACACGTTGGAGAAGCTGGATCCTATAGTTAGCCTTGTCCCCCATCTATTGTCTCGCCTTCAATCACTACGATCTTTACATACAGAAGCTGCCGTGTTTGCAGAATCTCTTCGGACGCTTGCAATAGAACAAAACCATGTCACAGAGTCTGCCAGCAACATTGGTGAGTCCGTCACTAGACTCCAGGATGCTGTAAAAGATAACGCAAATGTAGTCCAATCGAATGTCGAAGCGCTCGATGCCCGTATCAAGTCTCTTATCTCTCGAATAGACAAACTCCATAAATAAAGTTTATACTCTCTTGATGAACCATACGCCCAACTGGTTATAGTTTCTGAAAATCCATCTACAATTGGAATTTTCTGTGTGGAGATTTTTACTCAGCTCTTGTATTTGTATTAATCGATTGTTTGTAAGGGGTCCTGCCTTTTTAAAGACCAGGGCTCAACTAGAGTGGGCACTTCTTCGCACATGAGCCATCCGAAGCTAGAAACGACCTCAAGAATCACAGGACAGCCGTTCAGTGTCAGTTGACCCAATTCCCCAAGATCAGAGTCCTAAGAAAGCTCCAACCTACGAGCAACTATTCTTTTTCACTGGTAGCTGATATATACAGGAGCTGAGATTCAATATCGGTAGGAAATAATGAGCTGGTTTCACAAGCAAAAATTCTTCAAAAGCATTATATTATTTGATTAGCTGACGACGCCTTGTGGACCGTTATTAGAGCAAAAGGCAGTAATGCCTCACGTTGCAAATTACTACCAGGATACTATATTAGAAGCTCACCACATGCATCGCTTTGGCTCGGATTTTACATCACTATTGGATCCAAACCTAGCTCACGACCATGCGAGCGTAGAAGTCTCATCGCATGGATCGTCATCGATTTCAACTGGTAGCAGCTTATCGGAAAGAGATGTTACTTCACCAACCATGGTCTCGTTAGATTCAGAATCGCAGCACACAAAACATCTTGGTCATACAACAGCAATTTCGTTGGATTTCGAGTCTTTACACTTGAGCGATAATGATCATTGGCGTACTGAAGTCAAGACAGAGGAATTATACTACTTGCCAGCTGCTTTTAAACAACACGTGGGTTCACGGCCGATAAGTCCCGATGTCTCCCCTATGATACCCACAATGGTATACGATAGCAGTCGATGCGATTGTCCGGAATGCATGGCATCTTCCAGCAATGTGATTATGATGGAAGGAGGTTATGAATACTTTCCTCCTGTTGGAATCAACACGCCGATGATGGTCCATCCGACGCATCCATTCTTTAACCAGGAGGTTATGGATGAATATAATCCTTATGCTAATGGATCCGGTATCACGCCTCCTGGATCCATGTCGCCTGACTCACCGTCTTTGGGTGGTTCTTCCTTGCCGGCTCAAGGAAATATACGTAACCGAAGAACCATGTCTGGCTCCATGTACCCAACTTATGGACGTATGAGGACGCTTTCCGGTGAGCTTATTACTTTTCTTATCGTGTAATCACTTGGCAGTCCATTGTTCGCGCGTTCCTCGCTTCCTTTTTCACATGGTATGAACAATTAATTTTTTGACGCGGTTTTGTTTTAGGAACCGGTATGCTTCCAGGGTCTGTTCCTTCATACCAGCAGATGCCATACGACTTGAGCAAGCAGCAACAACACGGTATGCCTATGTCTATGCCATCTAGTATGTCTGGAGTTCCATTATTGGTTCCGAGGCCCATACCGATAACGTCGTCAGGTCGATATGCTTCCCACCAACAGCAGCAGTCGATGCCACATATACCCCAAATGCAGCAAATGCCACAACAAATACCCATAATGCAACCAAATGGTCAACCAGCACACAGTCATATGCCACCTCCTCATCCCCTCATGTACCAACAACAATATCCAATGCATATCCCTCGCTACAGCTGTGGTTGTCCGATATATCCACTACCTGTAATGTACAATCAAGTAATACTACAACAACAACAACAACCACCAATACCCGGAAATGGATCCCCACAAACACCATCGTCCTCTGGCTCGTCACAATCACCACGACAAGTAAGCAGCAAAACATCACCAACAGCTCCAATCACTCCTCCAGCAACACCGATAGTATCAAGCGGTGGATCAGGCTCGCAATCAAGCAGCGTAAACGTGGGGCTCGGAGTTGCCCTCTTATTACCCGAAACCATAACCCAAGAAGGTGGTAACGACGACTCCATAGCAACCAGACGATGTGCATCACCAAACGTAATGACGGATGAAGATAACGGTTATATTGAAGAAGACGCTTCAGCTGAATTGACACCTTCTATTGAACTCGAATCCGTAAAAACTGAACAGGCCGATGTAAAGTTAGAGCGAATGGGACCTGGATCGAAGAGGTCTGTGTTCACGAGGAGAGGTCGATCTGGTGATGCTGCCTCGTTTGTATGTGAACATTGTCCTTCGGTCTTTACCAGGAAACATGACCTCCGCAGACATGAGAGGTGAGTCGATTATACTTGTTTTCAGCCGTATCAATGCAGCTTGTAAAGTAACAATGCTTTTATCTGCTTAGGATCCACTCTGGTATCCGTCACCAGTGCGTCTCATGCGGCAAGGAATTCAGTCGCCAGGACGCTCTGGTCCGTCATAATACCCAACGAGGAGGATGCAAAGCTACTACACTTAAAGGCTCGTCGTCTACGACATCGCTGGTATCTCTAGCATCCACCTCGTCTACGTCATCCATGACTCCTGAAGAAGTCGAGATGAATTAAAAACAGGGGTCACAAAATGCAGTTATTATATCCTCATTTATCCATCATCATGATCATCACCATACCCCATCTCCCTTAAAACAGGCATATCTTATGATAATTCTCATCGACGCATTTTACATTTTTGGTTATTGGACTCTTGTTTTAGCTTTTATTGTTGTACATTTAGATTGTTGGGAGGGTCGTTGTGTTGCGAGGTGGAAAAAGATAGTTGGTTGTGATGGAAGTGTGGGTAGTGGGGACTCTTTGAGGTCTTTGAATAGAGCTAGCCTCTGTTCAAGGGATTGTCAAGAGTCGTCAATCATTTTGACATCGAGTAGTCGTTAGTCAATTATATACCACAGTATCTCTCCATTTAAAAAGTGTTTTATAGTTTGGTGTTGAAATCAATATATGCAATTTGAACTTTACTCAAGAGCCTATTCGAATCGCGAATTTAAAGGCCTTCACAAGAGGGTTGTGTACTACGGCATCGCCATAAGTTGACAAGGCTCCTTTTGCAGTTATGACTATAATTGTGAGAATTTACAGGCGTTTTACAAACATTTTTTTTTGGTTTAATAAAAGAGTCTTGCATTTCCTTTTTCGGTTTCCTTTTTCCGTTTATCTGCTCTTTTTTGACTCAATTCTTGATTCCCGACACTTCATGCAGTTTCTTGAGGTCTGGGTTGTTGTTGCTCCTTTGCGACCTATAGATTTCAAGAGTGTTAAATTGTCAGATGAAACAAAAAAAAAAACCAAACAATAACGTGCAAAGAATGAACCTTGATGGACAGAGTACGTTCTTCAACTACAATATTGACCAATTCATCCAATACACGTTGTTGATCAGCATGAGACTTGACTTCAACAAATCCAAATCCTTTTGATCGACCATTGTATGGATTGGTGACAACATGACCAGAGACGGGGTTATAATCACCAAAGATACCCATCAAGTCTGCATCAGTGACTTTGAAGGGTAGGTTGGCAACAAACAAGATTGTTTGAGAATCTGGACCTTCTGGGATGCCTCGAGGAGTCCTTCTTGGACCTCCACGACCTCGTCCACGCTAAAATACATAATAACATGGTGGGTTCAAAATGTTGAAAGAACAAAAACACTCTAGATAAACTGTCTAATCTCGATTAAATTGAACTTACACCGCGACCTCGACTTGGTTCGTCATGTTCAGCATCGTCAACTCGAGCAGCTGGAGCAGAAGCATTGGCTACTGGAGCTGATGATGGTGCACCTCGGGTTCGAGGACCACGGCCTCGAGGGGCTCCACTTTGTTGTGGTGCAGATACAGGTGCTTGAGGTTCAACCGGTGCAGCATATTCATCAGCTCCACCGGCTTCACCACCACCTCGTCGTCCTCCACGCTGCAAAATTTGAGAAATGATTAGTATTTAGAATCACAGACAGGATGCGATTGCGCAATGTAAGCTAGATAGCTAACTTACACCTCGACGAGGGCCACGTCCTCTCCCTCGTCCACGTCCTCGTCCTCTGGCAGATGGGTCTTCAAGATCAGCACCACCTTGATCATCTTGATCATATTGAGGTGCAGCTTGATGCTCTTCATTGCCATCAACTCTGCTGGCACCACCACGGCCTCTGGATCGACCACCACGGAAGCGTCCACCACGACCTCGACCACGGAATCCACCACGTCTTGGAGGCCTCTCTTCACCAGGTAGACGCAATCGAGACAATTCGACATTGATTTGGCGGCCTTGTACATCTGATTTATTACAGCTCTCTACTGCTTGGTGAGCTTCATCGGGAGTGGCGAAGCGGACAAAAGCAAATCCAAGCGGCATGGTGCCACGTTTGACAAGATTGACTTCAGTTCTATAGTGTATGATGGTGTAAATGCGTGAGTGTTTGGGGACCGTTTCTTTCAAGCACAGTACAGCTGGTGGGTATGTAGTATAGCAAGCGATTGTTTAGAACACGTACACTGCTCCGGCGACCGAGAAGATGTGAGTCAATTCATCCTCAGTTGCAGTGTATGGCAAGTTGCCAACAAAGACAGTACGAGCTGCTTGTTCTGCCAATACAGCTGGGTCGACTTCTTCAACTGGAGCTGGAGGCGAGGGCTTTGGTTGTGAGCTGGCCATTTTATACTGATCCTAAAACATGGTAAGAAAGTTGAGCTTCTGAGCTTGCGTTGTTGTGGTTTGACGTTGGGCTTTAATGTCGCGATTTCTGACACATTTGACAACCAATTGAAGAAAAGGAAGACGGTAGCAAATTTGATGCTAATATCAAGTGAAAATATGCTTCCTCTTCAGATTCACAAAGTTCAACACAAACACGTCAAATGACAATGTCATGACATTTTCCCGTCTGATGAGCTCTCCCCTCTCATTTACCTTGTCCTGGCCGAATCGCCCTTTTTATTGTTCACGAAATATGGCCTTGGCCGAAAGAGAGTCTGCTTGTCGCTCTGTCTTCAATGGATGGGAACGATGTTTGGAACGTGGTTCTCTCAATTTGTAGGAACCACTTCGAACAGGCAAAGCACGGGGAAACTTGTCAAAGCAAGAGCTCCTCGATTAGTAAATTACCAGTTTCGCTCTCTTAAAGTACCATGCACGAATTCGACCGGGTTACCGAGGGCACAATTCTGGAGAGGACTGCTGATGGAGCGGTTATCATTGGAACTGTATCCAACGATGTGAGTTATTTGAACGTGACTATCGTTTCAGATCACTCTCTTACTCTTGTTTCATAGTGGTGTAAGTTTCTAGATCACAATCGTCTCAATTTCGTCACTATATTGAACTTCGTGAATTTGCAAATTGTGCATGATCCGACTGCTGCTACGTCATCCTTGAAGCTGCAGAATGCATCGGCTGACGTGTTGTCGATCCTGGCTCTCTGGTCTGACTGTGTAGACGTCGCTTATGAGTCTATGAAATTGCTGACGCATCATTTCTGTAGCCGTGGGTGAGGTTCCGCACGGAGGTTACATGATTTCCATCTTGATGTCGGCAGCAATGAAGTACTTTGGTGATAAGCATCCTCATCCTATTTCTTGCCACGCTTTCTACCTTCGACCGAGTCGAAAAGCAGCTCCATTCCGAATAGAAATCACGGACATAAAACGTGGAAAGCTCTACTCTACCTGTCAGATGTATTTAAAGCAGAAAGAAACCTCGGGCCAAGAGACCTTACGGATCACCATGATTTGTACATTCGGCAATTTAGATCTCGAGAAGGGAGCTACCAAAATATTCGATGTCCCCGCCCTTCCAGCTCCAGTATCCCAATGCAAACAAAGAGCAGTTAGTCAGGAGGGTAACACATTCGTACACCATCATTACGAGTTTAGGAACGATCCGTCCACTCCAGACTTCTTTGGATCAGATTTCCAGCCAGGACCACAAAATTTAGCTCAGTCATTGGGGTGGATTAGATTAGTCGGCAATAGAGCCCAAGATTTCAAGAACATCACTTTCTTTGCTGATGGTACGTTTGTCCTATTTGACCACTTCAAAACATGTCGTAACTGAATCTTTGATTACTTTAGCTGTCTTTCCAAATATCGCACGATATGGAACAGCCTTCTTGGGTGGTCGCTCATGGTTCCCAACAATGGTAAGGCACAGCAATCTAGAGAGTGTTGTGGTATCTTACCAAATCTTTACTTTAAATTCTCGTAGGAGCTATCCATTCAATTCAAGGCCAAGCCAACCGGCGACTGGATTGCTCAACGTACCCAGACTCGATTCCTAGTCAATGGGCGTCATGAGGTAGACATGTACCTCCAGAACAGTGATGGAACTGTGGTTGCTCTTGTCAGGCACATGGGCACAACAGTCTCGTTTGAAAAGAATCTTCGTAATGAGTCTGGATCGACTCTATAGAATAGACATAGAATTAGAACCACCCGATTTGCTTCGAAGGGGTATTAAAATGATAGAGATAAAGAGTACAGATTTTAATCGAATCCATTCAAGTTTTCCGATAAACCAGTTTGTTGAAACTATCTAGTGACTGCTTGTACTTTCGCTAGAATGCTCAGACTAGTTCGAGGACGAGGTTTGGAATGCTTTTAAATAATGGCAAAGTTAGGGAGTACATGACAGTTACTCGCGAATCTTCAATTGGAATAAATGGCTCTCAAGAATGCGTCGTCCAACCAGCTCTCCGTAACAAGCGGCCACCTCATATGACAGTGCAGCTTCTGGAGCATCACTCGTGCGTAAGAAAAGACGCAATTACAAACCTACGAGACAACCAGAACATTCCAACATCCAGAGAGCAATAAACACTGAATTCTTGAGTTTAGGAAGATAACCGCAAGTCTAACTTATCGGTTATCTTTGAGTAATCTCCCTCTCTGACTCAAAACTCCCGATTTTCTTTACATTATAGAACCTCTTCACGTCAATACTCTTACTAGCAGGGTTGTATAAAAACGGCGGCTTCCGAGGAAGTAGAAGGTAGTTCCTCGAGGGAACTTTGTGTTTTGGGCAATGTCATCTGTTCTAGAATTTTGTGTATATACGGACTTGATCCAGGATGTCCCTAGCAGTACAGTTCATAACTTTTATAGCAGTTTTGGCTCATGCATTTTATTGGGATTAGTCCCTCAAATTTACGATTAACACAACACTTAAAACCCACTAAAGTTGCTAATTACTTCCCATATGTTACCCCTAAACTTACAACCACCTCCCAAAAAAAAATTGCGGCCATTTTAACCGACTTGAGTGACCAACAAATAACTGTACAGCCGAACTTCTGAATTCCTCTCTTATCAACGTTTGAAGCCCCCTTGTAGCTCAGTTGGAAGAGCGTCTGACTGTAATAGTAGTCCTTACCTGTGCTCTCATCAGGATGTCCCTGGTTCGATCCCGGGCGAGGGGACTTTTTTTCGAAGTGATGCAAAAAATGTATTTTAAAGCGATCTATAGCAATAATCTACACCAAAAAGCAGCACCTCTAAATTCATAGACCCCAAATAGGATCCCCCAAACGACGACGACCGACAAGTTGTAAACAACTTTCGGTGTTTAGTTTACAAATTCGTCAATTTGTACAATTCTATAAGCGCACCTTTAACCATTTAACATTCGGACTTTTATTTATTTACTTGATAACAATTTTGCATTTATGTGACGCCATACTGCTGACTCAAAGTCCTTACGAGTTGGTGAACTAAGTGAAAGACGGTTACCGTTCGTTGGTAGACGTGTGCGAAAGTTGGGGACGAATAACAAACCTTTGGTTGTCTCTTCTCCACAAAGGCAGTCATTCCTTCAAGGCGATCAGTAGTGCCATAAACAATGGCAGAAATGCGGCGTTCGGTTAACAAACCCTCCTGCAAAGGTAGTTCAAAGGAGGCATTGATAGATTCCTTGCAGCTAGAAAGGAATTTGTCAAATTTGGGTACTGTGTAGCATTCCGTGAAAATGAACTAATTCTTACCAAGCCAGAGTGATTGGAGGCATATCACAGAACTCGTCAGCCAGCTGTAAAGTTTTAACACAAACAATGTCAGGCATCACTTCTAGCGATGCACTGAGTAAAATGTGTCGCTCACCTTGATGGTCTCGTCAAGGACAATGTTATCTGGGAAAACTCGAGCGACTAGGCCAGCCTTTTCTGCTTCGTAGGCATTCAATCTTCGAGCAGACAAGACCATTTCCATTGCTTTAGCCTTTCCGATTGCTCGAGGGAAGCGTTGAGTGCCTCCATCACCTATCATTGAATGGTGTTTGCGTACCGTTTGATTCAGCAACACCAGTTGACAATAGATGTGGTATCTTAAACACACCTGGAATAAGGCCAATCTTGACCTCGGGTTGGCCAAATTGAGCACTCTCTCCTGCGTATGCTGAGTCCAAAGCCATGAGAAGCTCACATCCGCCTCCTGACAGGATTATAAAGAAGGGGTCAACGAGTCTGAAATTCGATAACAAGCAGTATCTCTGAATCGCCCCAAGGAAAGAGGCAAACGAACCAAAGCAGTAGCCTCGGACGCAGCCAACGACTGGTTTACGTATCCATGGTATGACCTCTCGAGTTTGACTGACACCTGGCCGATTTGCAATCTCTCCAAACGTTCTAGAAACGTTTTGCTTGATATCAGCACCAGCACTGAAAGCACGTTCATTTCCGGTCACTACGATTGCGCCAATGGTATTGTCCTCTGAGAAGGCCAACAGAGCAGCATTAATGTCTCGCCAGTGAGGTGAAGAAAGAGCACTGAAGTTGTGAGGGGGATTTTTGGTCAGAGAAAGTTGACATGGCGTCAGCTGGGAATGGACAGAGCTACACTTACTTGAGTGCTTCTGGTCGATTGAGCTGGACGAGACCAACACGTCCATCCTTGCCAACACGCGAGGCGATAACATTCTCGTACTAACATGACGTTCATATCAGTGACCGAATCTCAAATGAAGGAAATCTTGCAACGAGACTACCTTCATTACGCCCTTAGCTGCTGAAGGTGCTGGAGCACTAAGTTGCTGCGACGATGTGGGGTGACGCAGATGGCTCGAAACCATTTGCAATCTGGATGCAGCCTAAAACGAGAAAAGAATAACATCTTCAATAGCCTCCAAAGCATATGCAATATACTCCTTGTACGAGGCTCGTTGGGAAAATCACATTTACCATGGGCGAGACACTGTGTCCAACAATTGCTTCAATTTTCAAAGGCTTGTAACCATGTTCGGCAACAATATCTGCCAATTCAGCTTGAGTTGAAAATGTTACACGATCATTATCGGTGTCGACATATGCAAATGTCAAGGGAGTTTGGGCTGGAAGCTCAAAAGCGTGCCGAATGTTTTGCTCGAGTTTCTCGTAATCTGAGAACTGGACACGGCGAAGTGGAGACCCACATACTGACACCTTAGCAAACATGTTTGTGAGAGTATCGTCAGTCAACAGCGATCGATGGGATGAATTGTATACTTTTTGGAAAACCGTGTGTTGTGTCGAATGTGGTACAAGTCAAAGGGATCTTGCACGTTCTGACAACTTTTAATTCAATACAATTAATGGTGTCAAATATATAATAATTGTTCTTTCTACCATTCTAGTAGTTGAGCCTTAGGCCTCGACGATGATTTGCGGTCACCAACAAAAATTCGATATTCATTATAACTTGCCGCACCAGGAGAATTATTCTTTACAAGTGAATTTGAAAATGGTGAATATCCCCAATTGTACTCCTCCATTGCTATGTTTGTCTCGCCTTGTGTTTTCGAGTTCCAAAACGGCCACACCGCCGATAAGTTCTCTTTACCTCTTTGCCTCTTTCCCTGCAGGAGAAACGAAAATTGGCCCACTCCTTTCTACCCCGAACATTACCAGGTCTTCTAGCATAAGAATTGCAATTGCTGCAGTTTCCTCGGTCTACTGCCTGAGGTTGCTGTAGAGTTTTGCAACCATGTCTCTTGCCGTATTGAGGATATTACTTGTGGCAAACCTGGCCACATTAGCGTTCGCTGTTGAAAAAGCAAGAATACCAGGCCCAGGAATCTCTGCCCATTCGACTGTATCTCTGGCTAATGGAGTTCTAGTCTCTGGTGGAAAGATCACACGTATGTCGCAGCTAGCATCACATCTCTTTTTGTATCGAATGCAGCTTTAAGACATTTCATCTGCAGTTGCCACGGCTGGGACAGCTTCATTGAACTCGGCATATACCATACTCCTATGGAATGGAACTATTTACCCAAACAACCCTGTAACAACTCCTGCTTTGTACGGTGGGTTAGCATGTGTATACTCGCCGGAAGCCACCACTCCAGGTGTATATTGTTATGGGGGACAGGCTCAAGGAGTAGCTGGCATTACATACACTCCCACGGTCTCGGTGTACGATTTCACCAAGTGGACCACTTTGGGTCCTCTCACTGGAGCAACAAATAACAATGCACTCGCATTTCAAGTTATGGTGAACCTTGGTGGTCGCTTCTTCATGCATGGTAAGCTAGAGTGTCTCTGAAAAAGGAGAAGCCTCTGCAGCATCGACTGGGACCTAACTGGATCATTTCATATACAGGGGGTATCAATCCCAGCGGAACACCATCAGGAGCATTCTCGACTGTGTCCGTCATAAACCCAGCTGCTAATGGTACATATGCAAACTATGCTACGACTTCTACGACAATCCCAGGAGTCAGACTTGGTCATTGTGCTGCAGCTGTTAACTCGACTCGATTTGTAATTGTGATGGGATCGTCAAATAACGGCGGTGTCTACAACGACGTGTGGTCCTTTGATACCACTACCTCTACATGGTATGGTCACTTCCTACCTATTATAGTATTTTTGCGCCCTCGCTCAATTTTTCATACGAACAGGCAAAACCACACTACAGCTGGCGGACCAGCTGCCCGTGCATATATGGCATGCACATCATTTAACGGCAACCTATACATGCATGGTGGTGTCAACCCGTATATTACCAACACTGCCCAACAAGTCTTCTCAGACCTTTGGACTTTGGATTTAACTACTTTTGCTTGGAAGGCTTTAGCTAGCACCAATGCTTCCTTGTCTACACCGCCTACCGGACGATACTCTCATACTTTAAATCAATGGTCCAACACTAGCATGTTTATGTTGTACGGAGGATTGCTGCAACCACCGGCTCAAAATCAAACAATAGATGACGATCAAGTCTACTTTTTCGACACGGCCTCAACGTCATGGGTAGCACCACCACTAACATTCTATTATGCGAACGGCACCTCAGTAAATGGCTCGCCACTGTCTAATGTGACGATCGGTACTGGGACGAATAGCACCAGCGGAACACTGTTTGGTCCGACTGGCCCAACCGGTGCAGTATTATACGGTATAATAGCAGGTGTCTCCTTCGTCATCCTAATGACACTTATATCATTCATTGTTTTCGCTGGTGCCAAACCACGTAAAAACCATGACCGGGAAAGTGAAGTACCCCAACGTAATATAGATGGCATGCATAGCATGATCATGTCTGACCCAGACGATGATTACTCGGGCAAGATGCCTCAGATGCCACAAGGCGCATACTATAAAAACGGCATGGGTAATCCCGTGCTGCAATCATCGACGGATCCACGGCTAGCTGGATTTATGCAACAAGGAGGAGGTCGAGATGATACCATGACTAGACGGTTATCATCGTTACGGTATAATAATACTAGTAGTAGTAACAACCGTGATACCAATCGCTGGAGACCGGATTCAGAGGTTGAGCAAGGATGGGGGTCAAACTCTAGAAGAGATGGTCAAGTATGGAATGCCGCATCGACCAATGACGGTAGAGACGATGAGGTTTACTCAGAGGCTGGTGGTGTTGGTATAGAATACATAACAAGGTATAGGCATAAAGCTACCATGTCGGACGAAATTGATCTAGAGGTCGGTGACATGGTAATCGTTAAGAGTACCTTTGACGATGGTTGGTCGGCCGGACGATCGGTTAGAACTGGTGCTGAGGGTGTGTTCCGTAAGTACCCTGCTTTGTTGCTCACGAGGTGTTGAAGCATCTATTTCAACGTTATCTTTATATTCACCCACTTCTCCCCTTTCATTACAGCATTCTTATGTGTGATTCCCAAGTCCCAATTTACTTCGTCACCAAGCCCCACACCTAGCGAAATCGACGATGAAGTCCGACGTCTCGCTGGATCGAGATAGGAACTGCAACGCACGCAAATTCTCGTTATTAATGTTGTATAGCAATAGGACCACCACTAGTTTTCTGATTCAGATGGGCAAATATATGACGCTTTCTCGAAATCAGACCGTTCTATTGCAGTTTTTAGTTGTTTAAGGGGATGTAATGGTATAAAAACGCTTTAAAAGCCGGTATTGATGGTAATTGAAGGTGATCGCAACAATTTCTCATCGCGTAAATCCTCGATCAAAACTTCATTTTCGTACAATCCAATCCCACTATAAATGACCGGCTTACGACGAGTGGTTGTCACGGGATTAGGGATAGTCAGTCCTCTAGGCGTAGGCACGAAATACGTATGGTCTCGATTATTAGCAGGTGACTGTGGCGTCGTATCTCTGCGCAACAAACCACATCTCGCAACAAACAAAAGCTATGATGATTTGCCTAGTCAGATAGCAGGACTCGTACCGCGTTCGTCGCAGGGTATTAAAGACGGGACATGGAGAGTAGAAGACTGGTTGACTCGTGGAGTAAGTCTGTATGCAATTCGGCAACATTTGAGATCGCTGTTTTTGACATTGGAGTTTTTAGGAGGAGAAGAAGACTGCTCCATTCATACATTACGCGATCGCTGCTTCTCAGCAGGCTTTAGAAGATGCTGGATGGAAGCCCGAGACTGATCACGAAAGGATGCAGACTGTGAGCTACGGGTTTGGATTTTTCGATTTGGTTGTCATGTCTGATGTTGGATGCGAAAATTTAGGGTGTATGCATTGGATCTGGAATCGGCTGTATAGATGAAGTGTATAATACTGCTTTGGCTTACCATGAACACGTATGTACGCTCACTTGCACGCTGAAATCCAATTGAAAGCACTCATCTTTCTTTTGTAGGGACTTCGTAAAGTTCACCCATACTTTGTGCCGAAAATATTGACAAATCTGGCTGCTGGACATGTCAGTATGCGGTTTGGTTTACAAGTACGTCTCGATTCTCAAAGTTGCAGCAAAAGACGTGACGGCCAAGACATTATAATATGAAACTGCAGGGACCAAATCACTCGTGCTCTACAGCCTGTGCTACTGGCGCACATTCAATTGGCGATGCAGCGCGATTCATACAGCATGGTGATGCTGATGTCATGTTGGCTGGTGGAACTGAAGCTAGCGTTTCACCGTTTGCGATGTCTGGCTTTTGCAGGCAAGTCTTACCAAAAAATGCACACCTCATCCAGAAACATGAAACTCAACTCCATTTCTTTACAATTCAGAGCACGATCACTATCAACAGCATTCAACGATACACCAGAACAAGCATCTCGACCATTTGATCGTGACAGAGATGGATTTGTTATCGGAGAAGGAGCTGGAGTTGTAGTTCTAGAAGAACTAGAACATGCCAAAGCACGAGGAGCGCGTGTTTATGCAGAATTGAAGGGTTATGGAGCTAGTGGTGACGCTTATCATATCACTGCACCCACCGAAGATGGGAGAGGTGCTGCCAATGCTATGCGTAGAGCTCTAGCACAAGCTGGAGTAGGAGTGCATGAAGTTGGTTATGTGAATGCTCATGCAACTTCTACAGATTTGGGTATGTAATACGTGGTTTTATCTGATGCAAAAAAAACCCTTACTTAATCCACCACCATAGGCGACTTGGCTGAAACTCGTGCCATCAAGAGCGTATTTCAAGGACCATCACTAGAGTCTGTTGCTGTATCGTCAACAAAGGGCGCTACAGGACACTTGTTGGGAGCTGCTGGTGCCGTTGAAGCTATTTTTACCATCCTGTCTATATATAATGTAAGTGTCCATCATCGCGACTCTAGAGATTTTCTTTCTAATAAAGCGTCATGCTTTAGGATGTGCTGCCTCCCAGCCTCAATCTACATCACTTGCATGACGAATTTACACTAAATTATGTCGCATTACAAGCTAGAGACCTTACATCTCAAGGCAAACGCGTGAAGGCAGCTTTGAATAACTCGTTTGGATTTGGAGGAACGAATTGTTCGTTGCTTTTTACTCATGTGTAAATAATATAAAACTCATCAAGCTGAAACCTGTCACGCCTGTCAAAACGAGTCACATCATTCAACTGTTTTGTACAGTCGTTGTCGAAATTGCAGACACGAAGAATCTCCAGATTGAACGATTGCGGCTGTCAGAATGCATATTCATCTTCAGATCCTGCTGATAGCTATAATACTGGCTGTGTTTTTCATTCCCGATATATTTGCTGGAGGCAAGAAGCAGACAGAAAACATAGACAATGCGCAAGCAGTCATATCAGAGCACCAAGGGCCTCCACCATGGATCAATGAAAATGAAACACTCTCTTGCGTCGAATATGACGAACACACGAATTTGATATGCTGTGGAGACCTTGTTTCATTCAGAACTACTGGCAAAAACGGCCTTGTGAATATCCTCTTGCCTCATACTCGTAAGCTCTAGTTTGCTAATGCCCTTGATCTCAAACTGCTGAAAGAATATTGACATCAACATGTTTTGAAACTTAGATGCCAAACAACGTATTCTTGGCTCACACGACGAGAATTCCCGCTTTACGATCTATCTATGGAATTCTACACAATATGATACTATGCAGCTGCCATGGAATACTCTTCCTTCGTGGATTTTGGACGCAATGAACAGTTACGGTTATTTTAATTTTCAGTTGCAGTCTACCGATGGGCTGTGGCTTCAGTCAACTGGACAAGTATACGCCAATTTGGGTTTTCTACTGCTGCAGATACTAATATTACCACGTTAGGTCTCGGCTGGCAAGAAGGGACCCAACTACAAAACGCCCGAGTAAGTATTTTTGACTTATTTCAAGCTCTTTTTGTCCTCACATGTTCAATCTCTTACAAACTAGAGTGCATGGAAATCAACGTGCTGGCCTTTATCCTCCTTCTGACTCGACATTTATCTGGGTTAGAACTGGTATTCATGCTGGTGGAGGGTACATCTTGAGTGAAAGTGGTACTGTGCTGTGGTCTGGGCGTCCTAAATCGGATTGGTATGTCATGATAATGATTCTGGCTTTCGACTATCGTACGCTGATATAACGTTACCGTCTTTTTTTAGGCTCTACTTTGATTCTCCAGGTATACAGCGTTTCCGACCGATCGGCGTAGGCAGCATGACGCTGAACTTTTGATGGTAGGCAATCCTACTCGTTTTCCTGGATGTGAATTACAGACTTCTTGGAAGATGAAAATCAGTGGATCTCCATTTGATAGAGTGTTGAATGTCACTGTAGGGTAAGCCCTTGACTTGGAATCATCAAGAGATATTTGATAACCAAGAATTCTTCATACCCAAAAGTACCGCAAAGGCTATTGAAAGCATGTCGACGTCTGAGATGTGGCTGAATGACAGTAAGATTGCTCAACTTGCTATTTGTTCAACTAAACGTAGCTTATTCTTCCTTTTGCATTATAGTGCTCATCACAAATCATGACACATACGCACATTTCGTCTCAAGCGAAATTTCTGGATCATTTAAACGAAAGACATCAACAATCAAAAGAACTGGTCACACACTTACAGAAGAAGTAAAACTGAGAACGAAAATCCCAGTCCTGATCTTTGAGTCTGGATATATAGCCACTAAAGAGGAACAGTCTTTTGAAGTTGCACGTGGAACTCGTGAGTTGACGAAAGAATCTTTGAAGGATGGCTTGCAAAAAAAAATCTTGCTCTTTACTAATATAATTGTTGTCGTATTTTAGATGAAAGTGATACCCAAAAACATTCCGTCAAACTTAACGTCAGAATACCGGGCAGGAGTTATGTAACTGCGTCCCTCTTTGTTACGAGAATGGAGCTACAGTTTGATGTTACATGGACTATATCTCGTCAACTTCCTCATGGCCCTGCGTATACCTATAATGTGTCTGCTGTTGTCTCTAGTGAACAGTAAGCAATACTGAGATTTAAACTCCATATAGTTTGCTCTTGCTGAGTGTTTTTTGGTCAACTACTGACAGTGTTTCTTTATAGGTCAACGAATGCTAGAGCAACTATTAGTAAGCCAACCAAGATAGACATTGTTTGACAATATAGCTGAATTTTGAAGAGGGCAGTCCAATGAGAACGGGTTTCATCTTGTTGCAGTGTTTTGTGATGACGTTGAATTTTTAATTTGGCTCAAGTTACTTCTACACACTGGATCCAAATCATGTTGAACAATGTCAGTTTGAGGCTCTTGGATTCTAGAGAACGATTGAACTCAGTGTGTAGTCAGACCAGTGGTGAAGTGTGACTTCGTTGTTCCACCTTTGCCAGACTGTTACATTTTGGTGTCTACAATCATGAATGACGTCTTTGAGTCACACGCTACCTATATTGGTTAGGTAGTTGATCCTGACCTTGTGTCATGTGTTGGATTTTAAGTCGGATAGAAGATATAAAACCAACCCATTTTTTTGCCTTTAAAACGGGAGCGATAAGGCAGCTTGGAGGCTCAGTGCAAGAGTGCCTTCATTTCTACGTGGTTGCAAGGTAGAGGTGTGCAGTGAAAGTGCAAACTGAAAATTGTGCAGTGTGTGGACAGAAAGTGTGTAGGAGTGTAGACACCAAAATCAGTTTTGATTTCCAAAACACCTTGTCACCATACATTCCAACCTTTTGGAACCCATTCAAGCACCACTTCCATATCCCGTGTATCAACCAAAAATGCCTCGAAAGCAAATACTCACCATACTCTTACTCGCCTTATGCGTCAACTCTGCCTATTGTGGGGGACATAGCGGCTTGGGAGACGTTGGTACCCCTATTACTAGTGCAGTTAAGGGACTGCTACCACATGGTGGAACTAAACACACTCCGGCCCCGAATCCCTCTCCAAAAGCAGGCGCTGACCCATCACCACCACCCCAGTCTCACGCACCAAGTGCAACTCCATCGGTACGTTTCAATTCATTTGCTTTGAGAGGTGGAAGGTGTGCAAGTTGCTTGCACTCTCATTTGCTCACTATCGTCTTGGTTTTTAGATCGAGCCATCAGTAGTGGCATCCATTGAACATAGCATAGCTCCATCGGTGAGCTGAATGTGGTTTGAATGTAGTGCTTGTTTGAAATTTATCTCATCGCCCGGGTTTGTCTTCCTTTTTCAGCCAGATGCTTCGATTCTGCCGAGCATAGCACCATCTCCCATGGAATCGATTCTGCCTAGCATAGTACCATCTCCTACTCCCTCGATTCTGCCGACCATAGATCTATCTTCTGTCGCTTCAATAGCTACTTCGGTATGAGATCAATGCAAAATATGTTCATTTTGTCATAACCAAAAAAAGCTTAGCGTACGGTTCCATATATAGGTACCACCAAGTCCAACACCATCAGCCATGCCATCTATAGCAGCCTCCATAATGCCATCTCCTGTGGTTCCGTCTCCAGTCGTCACTTCGCCAACACCAACAAGTTCTGTAGTCCCACCACCATCCACCAACAATGGCTGCTTCAACATGCCATCATCAGACTCTGTGTGCTCAGGCGACGTGATTGGTCTTCGAACCCACGACAGCATCACAGCCTCCATCGCGCAAAGCGGCACGCCGATAAGTCGTGTAGACGGCAAAACAGTATGGAACCCATACGTGTACTTCACAATCCAGCTGATTCCGAACTGCACATACGACATAAATGCTGAACCCTGGAAGTCTACTCTGCCTTCCCACGTATACTTGGCAATGGCAAACAACGGGTACTTTGGGTTCCAGTTGAGACTGGCGAATCCATATATTCGGGACTGTGATGGAAACTGGAGTATAGGTGCTTTTGATGCGAATACAACTGAGAAGGTTGCACATCCATGGGTGTATTCGACAGCAAGTGCGCAAGGTTTGGTTGCTGATTCGATTATGTATGATGTGCCATTGTAAGTAAAACCCACACAACATTTGATCCATAATCTTGAAACACCTAACCAAACATTTGGATTATCTTGAGGATTGACGCGAATAGAGCTGGTGATCAACCAGACAGCAGAGACTCCAACTTTGTATATGTGCCGCGAGTAGGAGGTGGTGGATACATACTCAGAGAAAAGGATGGGTTGGTGATGTTATCGCCCAACGATTTCAGAAATTATATCATACTCTCAAGTGCTGAAACGCCGTACTATCCTGGGTGTGAAGGTGAGAGATAGCTTGCAGACTTGTGTGTTTCTCTCGTTCAAAGTACTCATCCAAAAACAACTTGTGTACCTAGACGACATCACATGGTACATAGATCATCAACATGCATAGACCTTCATATTCATCATTAGTAGTAGTAACCAGTTCAATTATTGGCTCAGACTTTTGTTTTATTAAGTTTACGACGATATATACCACTACTATACAAGAGATGCCTGTTGTGTTTTGCATATTTTACAACCCTAAAATAGAAATATATGCATATCTGAGATAAACTTTAGGATATATATAGATAAGAGTTGGTTACTGGTTTGCCTTTCCCGTATGTTCAAGCAGTTGTCTCAGCCTGCGAGGCATTGCTTTTCGACTCAACCACCACATTATTACTACTACCACCGTCATTCACAACTACTACCGGTGCAGCAGCAGCATTACTGTTACTATTACTACTAGTATTAACAAACTGTGATGGCAAGTACCCCGAAGATAAAAAGTATGAAAAGGCAGCAGCTAGATCCGCTTGATTGGTTACTGCTGGAAGACCACCGAATGGATTGATTGGAAGAGTATTATTAGCTGCTCCTGGTCTTAAATTGTTTGGTTTGGGGCCCCCATTCATTTGCATGGCATTATTACTGTTACTATTGTTATTTATCGCATAATCCATGGCCGAAGGCTCAAGTTGTTCCCCTCGGATATACGTATTCATGAGTTCAGACACGTCGTCATGGTGATTCGAGTTATGCATATAAGGATGTCCATTAGACTGTGGTGGTGGATATGCTCGTGGATTGAATGGACCATTAAATCCAAAAGGGTGTAGTAGAGGCGGCGGAGGAGCTGGTGGTTGGCCAAGCAAGACACCCGGCAAGAGTTTTTGTGGAGATTCAAGTTTGGGTCCTGGCAACTTCCATACCTGTGAGCTAGCGAATGAAGTTGCTATATTTGTTGGTTTGATGGGTATTATGGGGTTTGGATTGGTTGGATGATTCATGGTTTCAGCTGCTGGTGCGATGTCATCGGTTCTTAGTGCTGTTGTGGTATTATTAATAGCAGATGCGGTATTAGACGAGACAGCAACATTATTAGGATTACCATTGTCGGGCTTGGTATCTTCTACTGTATCGTCGGATAACGGGACACCAGATAAGGTTGGAGTTGCCTGCTGACTGGTTGTCGTACTGGTTGGCAACGATATACTACTGATACTACTGCTACTAGCATGTACATGACTACTATGTCTATCAAGGTTTGTTGAGCCTGGACTCTTGAGATGATTACTACCGTTATGAGTGAGTACCGAGTCCCAGTCATCATCAGGGTGCAATGCGTTGTGAGCTAGTTTACTTGATTCCAGCCTATCCAGTTCACCTCTCATATCCGATACGGTTCTCTGCCTGCTCCTTCTTCTGACTTCGGCACTCAAGGTGTCTGGATTCAAATAGTGTTTTCGGAATGACTTTCGAATGTCTTCTGATCGCTGAAACATGACTTGGACTTGTGGGAATGTCATCTTGTCGAATCCATTATGCACTCGATAATGAGCTAGTTCCAATCTCCGTCTGAGTCGTTCTACCGTCTAGTCATCATTTTCGTGAGGGAAAGAGGGTAAGGAAATGTTTTTCATGTTGAGGAAGAAAGCAGGTACAGTTGCGATAGATCTTGACACTTCTGCGGCTGAGCATACCTGTACTGGGCTTGATTGCTTCCTTCGGCGCTTGTTCTGGGCAGTATGAGCTTCCATTTTCTGGGAGCAAAGTGTCGTTCTTGGTTTGAAAATAAATAAGAAAATGCTGCAATAAGAGACTACAGAGGATCAAATTATATGCTTTGACGGAGGCACTACTGACTCAATCCAACTCAAATATGCGAAGAATTCTCCCTTTGCATGAATCGACCTGTCATCAGCCGTCAAATGTTTTAATTTCTTTGTTTGTGCAAACGGAGTTGATGACCAGTTGCGCCCGCCCGGAAAAACCAACAACCAAAACATCAATGCAAAAACACATAATAAACTATGTGAGGATCTATTGTCTATACTCTAAATGGCTGTACATATGGCGTTATTACTCAAGCTGTCAAAACTTTCCGAACTCTGTCACAGTCTAATTCTTGAATAGAATGTTTCCAACCCGTTTTTGGAATAAATATACCCTTACTAGATATAGGCGACCAATGGCACTCATGTAACGAGCCCATATCCCCCAAAACCTGAAATCGAAATACAATGGTGAAACAAATGTGCGTGTCAGTGACAACGATGCCATTTCGTCCTCATAGAGTGCTCTTGAGGTATATGTGCCCATGACTGCTACCATCCTGACCATGTGGTCCTGGTCCTTGCCAGCGAGTCCTAAACTTTCGTCAACACTTCGCAGCAAATCTGCCGTCTTCAAAAGCAGAAGAAGTTCACGTGGAACTTGTGCAAGAATTTCAGCTATAGCAGTGAAGAATGGGCCTATCCAACAATGGAGATCAGGATACTGGCAGGCCGCAGGTGGGCCGAATACGCATAGTCACAATTGCAAGAAGAAATCTCACCTTGAACTGCCTTGCTCCTAATCACACCCATTTCATCGGCCGTTCTCAGCTTACTCATGCCGCCTTCGGACGACAAGGCTTCCCAACTACGCCCAGTCAACATGCTAGCGAAAAGACGATGGCGATCGATACCATCTTGGCGTCCTCGCAATCTCAAATCACTCATAAAGAGCTCATGAGATGCGTCTGCAATGCCTCGTTCGTCAGATCGAATCAGAGCATCCCACAGTCTATAACAATAAGGAAAGACATCTCGTTACTCTGGGAAGCCTCGAGCAAAAAACTTGTAGCGTACCTTGCATAAGCCAGCCTAAACGAACGCTCAAGTGTTCGATATAAACCATGATCGAGGAGCACCAATTCAAAATTGTATGGATTTATATGAGGCCTGTTGAATACATGACTCCAAAATCTTGTCCAGATCGATGGTTTGGGACGACTCCTGATAAAGACGTTGGCCGTATGTGGGTCACAGTGTACAAATCCTAGAATTGTGCTGAAAGGTTAGGGAATGGAAGGGCGAGATGATAGTAGAATCGTACCATGTAGAAAGATCATCTCAGAAAAGATTTTATTCAGCTCTGTTGACACTGCCCGGGTATTGATGTCGTGCTTCTTTATGTAAGACACCTCATCGACGTTGGCGCCATCGATATCTATGATAAGAGCGTCAGATTAAAGATTAACCGAAGATTCACAGAGAATTGGATTGAGACATCAACAAACCATCACGTACATTCCATAATCAAAATACGTCGGCGAGCATCATAGACCTTTGGAATTTGCAAGACAGCATGATCTTTAAAGTTGCTGCGTACTTTTTCAGCATTTTTGGCTTCACAGCGGAAATCAAGTTCTAACGGCAACGACTCTCTAAGTTCATCAGCCAACCAGCCAAATTCAAAGTCGGGAAACACGCGCTTGATGAATCTGACCATCAGAGTCACGGTTTGGGTATCGACTTTAACGTGCTCATCTAGCACCGGATGCTGGATCTTAACGGCCACGACTTGACCAGTCTTTAGCACAGCTTTGTGGACTTGTGCTATAGAAGCGACTCCAATAGGTTTCGGATCAAAGCTGGCAAACATTTCGCTGATGGTATTTCCAGCATCTGTTTGGAAGAGCTTTTCGATTTCAGATAGTGGTGTTTCTTGGCATTTATCCCACAAAGGTCTTAACGTCGACGTGTACTCAATGGGAAGCAAGTACACCATTGCAGCAATGTGCTAAAGGAGCACAAGGAGAAGGCATCAGAAAGGATGATCGATGAAAATGGAAGAAGAACCCAATGAAAGACGCGTACCTGGCCCAATTTCACAAAGATTCCACCATTAGTTCTACACAGCTCCAGTAACTTTTCAGCTGAACGCTGATGAGCTTCAGATTTGCGTTTGTCGTATTCCTGAGGACCAATCTTTTCAGGACCTGCCATGTAGTGTAAGTTTCTCCTTGTGATGTATACGTCTCAAAACGGGCAAATTCCAAACCACACGTCGACAGACGCATACCTTCAGACAATGAAGTCTTGTAGTCAAATGCGATGGAGCCCACGCAATATGCCGATCTAGCGGTCCTCCGCGTCGCGAGCGAGAATTGTGGTTCGTTGAACGAATATATTCCCAAAATACCAGCTCCAGCAATGAAAACTCCAGATTTCAACCTAGATGACTTGGTAGCAGTTGATCCAGAGGAAGAGAATCGTTGCCGCTGACTGCCTCTCCATGGGATCCTCCTTCCAACCGATTGAATAAATAACTTCATTGTTGAAAGTACTGTCACAACTTGAGAAAATTTTAAAACATCTAGAAACTGGAGGAAGTTCAGATCGTTTGGATGAGCGTCAAATTTGAAGGCTTACAGCGCGTTTCGTCTCTTTTTGATCAAAATCCGCAAGCTCCTTTGAAGCGTCCGTAAGTCTACAGCAGCCATCTATTTTGGAACAAACCTTTAGAACTGTAAAACACACCGTTCGCTTTAGGAAAGTTACAGGAGGCCGAAGGATATTCACAAGCTTCGTATCGTCTGGTTGCCTAAAATGCGTAAGCTACACGTTCCCCGAACTGTTTTGAGCCCTTTGCATATGCAAACCACCGAAACTTTATTGATAACCAAATGTCGTAGCCGGAGCTGCTCCTATGCCAAGGCCTATAGTTGCTAGCTCGCCTGCATCGGATTCAGCACAAGGATTGCCTTTGCCCGTCTCAGCGCAGGCTGGAACTACATCATGGCTGCCCACATTGCCTGAATCATTGCGCAAAGCTATGCCTGAACGTTTACCTACTCTGTCCGAGGTGTCGACATCTATAAGCTCAAGTGCAGGTTCACTTGCTACTACTGTCAGAGGAGCTATGCCACAACAAATCCCCACTATGGCGGAAATGCAATCCACTCTGTATAAAAGTAGCCAGGACTTTGTTACGATGATCAGGACTCCCATAGCCGCAGGGCCCTCTTCGGCTAATGGTAAGCATGGTGGTTCCAGGAGACAATTCCAAACTTCGTATCTAACGTTGTCTGTTTAGCTAAAACTGTCCCACCACCCGCAAGACCTCTTGCCCCTCCTCCATCAGCAAGCACTTATGTTACCCCTGTGGGTGCAGGGCCAACTCCTACTGACTATGACATCAAGGTATGAACAATGTAGCGGGTGTTTTTCGCAAATGACAGTAGCTGATTCCAGGTTTTGTTGTCAACCTAGTCGCAGCCTCAAGGAAGTAGAGCAGGAGGACCACCAGCCATCATCCCCGTTGCGCCATCCGGCATGAGCCAAGACGATTATAAGATTTGGGAAGCTCAAAACGCAGCACCACAGCCCGTACAGAATCCAACACTCGATTATCTGAAAGTAACACCAGGACCAGCCAGACCTAAAGAGGAATTATATTCTCGACCTTCCTCAAACCGCGCTGGTCCACCTCCACCTCCAGTAGTATCTTCTGACCGTCCAAACGACATCTTGAGAATGGAACCGATCGAGTCTATTGCTTCAAGCTCGAAATCACAAATATCAGTCGCATCTAGTAGCTCAAACCCTCTTCCTACAGGAGGCTAGGTAAATAATATCAACTTTATAATATTGTAGGCACAATTTAGAAGAATCTTAGAGTCCCATAGCAATTTTTCAAAGCCAGTGAGAACTTTACGAACGAAAAGGTGTTTGCTGTTGACTTAATAGAAGCTACGGCATGTTATTTAGCATTAACTCTGTTCCAAGTGTTCACTGCGCGTCAGTACCGATGTGTGTCGGTCAACTCTATGTTTCTTGCGCTCCACCTTCAGCGAAACCCACCTCCGTATTTTACATTGGTTCTGAAGACGCACTCAGTCCGAGCATGTCCGGATATGCATCGCAAGGCTATAGCAGTGGACCGAAGAGAGATCCAGCAACGGGATTGCCAATCTATGTTTTACCTAGAAAAAGCAGTTTAAACTGGAGTGGCGAAGAGGCAGATTCCCAACGATACGGAGCTCAGTCCAGACGAGCAACTTTGAGCGCTGCTGATGAAGCTCGTAATCGGTACGAAAACCATTTATTCGTTCAAGCTGTCCAGCGTAACATTTGATGGAAGCTCATGCACAAAACTTATCTTAGAGCTAGAAAAGCTGCTGGTTTACCAGAATCTCGCGGTGCAACTTCACCGAAAGAAGCTACGATAGTGGGAACTATTCTATCCACTCTTGGTGTAGACGATGAATCCAAACCTGAAGCATGGCTCGAACGTGTAGCTCAAGAGAAGAAGAAGGAGGAACGTAGGCGTAAAGAAGAAAACGAGTGGAGATCTAATGAACGTTCCAATGACCGTAGCAGTGATCGATGGAGTGAACGAAACGTTCCATCTACGTCGTCAACCGTACCCCGATACAACAACACACCTCGAGTAAACACTGGTTACGTTCCAAGCAACGAAGGATCTGATCCCGATAGTAGGCACCATACTCCATCATCACAATCTCCTACGTCATCGTCGCCGCACTCCCCGATGTCTCATCCGCCGCCACCACCACCACCACAAACAATGCCAATGCTTCAGTCGATACAAGGCCCACCATCATACGGAAACTCAAAGAACGCTAAATATACCAAAGCAGAAGAAGCCCGAAACAGAGCTAGAAAGGCAGCCGGTCTGCCTGAACTTCCACCATCCGGCGCCCCTCCACCATCAAATCCAATCTTGTCGTCGCTCGCAAATCTCGGCATCCCAGTACCCAAACTAGACAAGAAACCCGAGCGATGGCTTGAGAAAATAGACAAGCAACGTAAACGTGAAGAAGCTATTGCCATCATATCGGGCACAGAAGACAAATACAAGGAAGAACAACAACGTAAAGTGCCTGAATATATTAGAATGAGGAATTCGCAGATGGGATATCCTACTGCGGGTAATTTTAGAGAACGGCCTATGAATTGGGATGATTATGATACTCAGTCGCAGCATGGGTCTTCCTCTACTCGAGCAGAATATGGATATAGTATGGACAGGTCATCTGAAAGGACATTTAACGATGAGCCTCGAGATTCCAGATACAATAGAGATCATAATAACTCTAGAGACTCGAGATACAATGATGATTCCAGGAACTCCAACAGGAACTCGAGTTATAATGATAATTTTGGGAACTCGAGATATAATGATGAAGCCAGGAGCTCGAGATATAATGATGACTCCAAGAACATATACAATGAAGAGTCGAAGAATACGTATAACGATGATCGGCAGAACACATATGATGAGGAGTCGAAAGTGTCACGGTCTAGATATGAAGAGAGGAATAACGGGGATCGAGAGTCAAGATACAATGACAGCGAACGATACAATGGCCAGTCTAGGAATTCTGACAGATACGACAATGACTATCGAAACTCGGATAGTAGAAGGAATGAAGATCGATACAGCAATAATGACAACGAACCTCGCTATAGTAGAAACTCGGATAGAAGGAACGAGCCTTCTACTTCGTCCACCAGGAATGAAGATCGATACAATAGTGAAAACGAACCTCGTTACAATACCGAGGCAAGACGATACAATGATAGGAAACCTGATATAAGACAAGATGACGAGCCGGCATATGATCGAGAATACTATGGTACTCGACAATATGATCATCGACGATATGACGATTCGGACAGTAAACCGGTGTCTCCCTCACATGAGTATGAGAGGGAGAGAGATTCTCGTCGCCGAGATTCTCATAGCAGTCCTCCACCAACGCCGAAATCTCAGTATGTGGAGAAGGAGAAGAGGGAGACTCAACAGATGAAGGACGAGTTGGTAGAGAAGAGAAACTCTCAACCTCAGCAAAGGAAGGACGAATACGTTGAGAAGAGAAACTCTCAACCTCAGCGGACAGAAGAATTTGTAGAGAAGAGAAACTCCTTGCCCAAACAGCCGAGGGACGAGTATGTGGAGAAGAGAAACTCGCAACCTCGACAACCAAAGGAGGAGTATGTTGAGAAGCGAAACTCTCAACGTCAGCAGTCAACGGAGGAATATGTAGAGAAGGGAAACTCTCAAGCACAGCCGAAAGCTGAACATGAGACGAAAAGAGATTACCGTATTAGCACGACACCTGAGAACAGACGTGAGTCTCGGGACTCAGCCAATAATAATCACGGCAACAAAAATGATATCAAACTTGATGCTAGACCAGAATCAATCAGATCGGCATCTCAACGTGATTCATACCCCAACAACAGTAATAATGATATCAAGCGTGAATCTATAAAGTCTGCTTCTAAACGTGAGTCATACCCAACACCAATGGCATCACCCAAACAAGTTACACCTGAGCCGGAACATTACAAGGATGAAGACTTGTATGATGAGCATGAAGTTGAAGAAGAACATAGTGTTGCCAAGCCCTCTGAATCAACTCCAGTGCAAAACGCTGAGGACAATGAACGGCCCAGATCAGTATCATCTGTAGAATCATTTTATTCTCTAGCAGCGGAATCTAATGGCTCAGAACCAACAGAGGTTGTTGAACAGCATGTCGTATCTGAACCATCCCGCAATTATGACGCCCAGGATTTTATACGAGAGTCTCAATACTCTACCCATAGTAAAGAATACCAGCTGGATCACCGCCGTCGTGACTCCTATGAAGACCGAGAGCCAGATCAAGATAGGAACTACGGCGCTACCAGAGCCGTTTCGCCATCCTCTTCTGTTCGCGCCGAGCAGTCACAATATGGTAGTAATGCCACCAAGGTGTGGTTTGTGAAGCCTCAAGAGCTTCCGTATCTAGTCGGTGAGGCCACGATTGGTGAGAATCTACTTGGCAAAGGCCCTAAACCGAAGATATTGGTCGACGAAAACGGCGTAAAGTGGCCAGGGGTGATTGAGCCTCCCCTTGGAGTGAATGGACCTGGACCAAAGTCGAGTAAGCCGATTACATTGAGCTAGTGGTTGAAGATCCACGTAATAAATCTAACGTACTTTTTCCTTAGCGCGATTCCATATGGACCTTGATCTTTAAACCACGTTTTTTGGTGAAATGCATTGTAGATTATGACGTAAAGTAGAATACATTAAAGTATACATTAAATCATAAATCAACAAAACGTTCGTGATGTACTTTGAAACTCAGCCTCCTTCACACTTTTGCGATCAAAACGACAACAGAGTTATGATAGGTATGATAGAGTAGACGCATTACATACAATACAGGAGATATCGTCATGAGTGGAGGCGCAACAGCCATAATAGCGTACTGCATCGCATCAATACTGTTAACAGTAACAAACAAGTTGGTACTTTCAGGATACTCGTTTCGTATGAACTTTTTGTTGCTAGCTTGCCAAGTACGTACATAATTTTCATTTGTTTCCATTGAAATACTTGATAGTCAATGTATGCCTCAAACTAACTGCCTCTTATCATAGTCATTCGCATGTGTTCTATTCCTTCAAATATTCTCGTCACTAAACTGGCTCTCATACCGGAAATTCAAATTACATGACGCAAAACGTTGGTTTCCCGTATCGCTAGGATTGGTAGCAATGATATGGACAGGCTCGAAAGCAATGCAGTATTTATCGATACCCGTTTTCACGATATTCAAGAATCTGACTATTGTGATGATTGCGTATGGGGAATTGTGGTTTTTCGGTGGATCGCCCGTGTCTCCGTTGATGCTGATATCGTTTACGTTGATGGTGTTGAGTTCGGCTGTTGCTGGTGAGTGAGGTTGCCAGGTCATGAAAAGCTACCATAGTAATGTATCTTTTCTTGCGCGTGGACGTCTGCATGCAATAAGAATACTAACGTATTGCATTTTAACGTGTGGTAGGATGGGCAGACATATCAGCTGGAAATATATTCAAAGTTGGTGCTGCAGAAGTTAGCCCTGCTGTTTCATATGGCTGGATGTTTCTGAATTGTGGCACGACTGCATACTATACACTCTACATTCGTGGTCAAATCAAAGAAATTGGATTTAAGGACTACGATACCGTCTATTACAACAAGTAAATCTTCGTGGTGTTTGGATTTGCATGGAAAGCCGTCCAGCGTTTTTTGTTGACCAACCTTCTATAGTCTATTATCTGGAATCGTGCTGTCTGCCCTATCAGTCCTAACAGAAATACCCGAAGGAGTACGGACATGGAACAAATATCTAGGGCCAAGTGCTACAGAGGATGATTCTTCAGCGTTTAATGGACTGGTGATGGGTATCATCTTCTCTAGCGTGCTTAGTTTTGGGATATCGTATACCACTAGTTGGTGTTTACGTGTAACGAGCTCGACTACTTACAGGTTTGTTGAGAGCGCGAAAGTGCAGCTGTGCTGAATTGACTGTATACTCAAACAGCATCGTGAATTTAGTATGGCTGGAGCTCTCAATAAGCTGCCTATAGCGGTAGCCGGGATGATGTTCTTTTCAGATCCTGTTACTCTGGGGAGTGTTACTGGTGTCGTGATTGGTAATGTTGGCGTTTGGGCTTTTTTTGTTGCATGTACTTGCCTAACATCGTGTTTTCCTCCATGCAGCATTTGCAGGTGGAATCATGTATTCACATGCAAAGAACATGGAACACAAGAAACCTATTGCACTCTTGCCTTCACCGGTGAGTCTGCCGGAGGAAAAGCAGCACATGATGAGAGATTAGATAAGGGACATTTTTGCAACTGTAAATTTATATTAAGATGTGGCATGAGTATTCATATAGCATTAGATTTATGTTTGGATCCGTGCCCTGTGGTTTTGGTTAAAAACTGTTGAGATCGATTACACCAGGTTGTTTTGCAGGAGGAAGTCCTATGAAGGCGATACACAGATCGAAACTTTTATATCTTTACTTACATGCACATCGTAAGGGCGTCGATTGTTTTGCTTCCAGCCATGTGTTGCACTTTGATCAATCGATGATTTACTTTTCAATCAAATAGGATCTGTCAGGCGGATAGTTACGAACTCGAAGGCCTCAGTACCGGTTTCAATACCAGCTGTCTTCCCCTCATCGAATCGAGGTGACAAAGCTGTGAAATCCGACACATCAACAAACCAAAACCAAGATGGCAACTATGATAAAGAGGGGCAACCCACCATAGTAGATGGCACTTACTCTGAGAACGCTAGATTTAGGAAATCGAAACCGTTAGAAGATCGTGAATACAGCACATCCGACATCAATGTTGGAATCTTAAACCAGCTGTATGGGCATCTCGTAAAAGTAGTCTCATTCGCAAACGCATTTCGAAGCTCAAACTTTGAGAAAGTGGCCGTGAAGCCTGGTGAAATCGACATGCCAAAAGAGAACGCTAACGAGACGCCCACGACTGGTGCAACACTTGACAACCTACGTCGGTTTTTGGTACAACATGCTCAGCGTGAGCGCCCTACAGCCCGTCTAAACCCAACAACGTCAGTGGTGCCTTTAGTGAATCGTACGTTTTTGTCGCACGATACAGGGCCGGGAACGCATTCGCAACGGGTCAAGAGGAGTGGTGTGGTTAGAGCTGCACATGCGAAGGAGGACGCTCAATTATATAAACAACCGTTGAGTGTGCTTTGGGAGTCGTTTATGGGATCTGGTGGTGGTAATAGTATGAGTGGATTTAATTCGTTGGTTGAAGAGCGCATACAAGCTGCTAGACGAGAGGGGCTGTTTGATAATCTGAAGGTTAGAAACAGCTTGTTGGCAACGGAATCCACGCGCATTTCACCTTTCAACTCATAGGGTCGCGGACAGCCGCTGAAGGAGGAGGATGAACGTCTCGGTACGTCTCTTTAAGGCTTGCCTGCCTTTTTTGTGTCTTTGAAAATGCCTGCATCAGAACCATTAAGAACAGCCAGCCGTAGAAAACTTTAGCTACCTAAGACAACAGCTGAACTTTTTTTGGTAGGCAACCCATATCTCGACGCAACGACATTCTTCCTGAACCGTATGGTAAAAAATCAAGGCCATCTCCCACCTTGGATAGAAATGGGAAAAGACATTGACTCCAACATACTGAAATCACGACACGAACTACTTACAATGAGACGCGAATGGTTGAGCAAACATTCTCCCTTCCAACCTCCTAAAGCATCGCCATTCCAAACTGTCAATAATCCCGTCGTATGGCCTTTCATCAAAGGCCAGAGCTCAACACCTCCTGTTACCCACACATCTCAAGCGCTGAAGGAGTGGGAAACGAGAGCGCTGAGTTGGGCTACTGTCAGGTGTCAGGAGACGAATGGGATGATTAGGAAATTTAATATTGAGGCTCCGAGAGGTATGTTCTGATACAACAACTCCGTCTTTTTGTCAATGCTGACGGGCTCGTATCAAGGTATTCCGCAACGGTTTATGCTGAATCCTGCTAATGAGGTTAAACGAGCTGAGAAGGCTGCTGAAGCGGCTGTGAAGAAGGAGTATGACGAAAAGGTGGCCGAAAGCGAGATTCGGGAACGAACGATGGTTGTTGGTGGTGCTCAATAGAATTCTGGCGCTGTAGTAGATACCTTTACACCTGTTTCATATCTTTTTAAAAATCTCAAAGGGCAATAGTGTCTTCAATATATAACTGTTTCTTGACACGCACTTTTCAACATGTTCGCATTGATACAATTGTGTAGTGTTTGTTCAAAAGATTGCAGCTTTTTACAAGAGATATCTTAATTTACATGTTATTGTTTGTTTGGATGTTTGTTGTCAATTATTTACGTTGCCTGTACATTAGTTTTACGTTTATTACTACCACCATAGGAATCCGTCGTAATAGACAATTGTCTCTTTTCGGCAGACGACTTGTTGCTCGATAATTTCAATACATGTTTCTTCGGCTGATCATTAGCAGCTGCAACCAGTTTCCTGCGTATATCCTCAATGGGTATTTGCTGTATACTATTACCACCATTAGGTATTGCTGTTGTTTTTCCAACATTCTCAAAGATATCAGACGATGACGATGCCCTAGACGCCGAGTATGGTTCGGCAGCTCTTGCAAATCCCTCGTCTTCTGATGGCAATACAAGTGGGATTCGGGCTGGAGGCATGGGCGATGACGGTGGTGCTGATGTGGCTAGTTTTATAGTTGTGGATGGTTTACGAATGTTTGGTGTTTGGTCGTATATGTTGTATGGTGTGGGTGATGCTGATAGACCAAATACGCTGCTGCTGGCATCGTTCGTACTATTATTCACATGAAACGGTGTTTGGTCTCCTGCTTGTCCAAATGCACTACTAGATGAGGATGCAAATCCGTGTGGCCTTGATGGGGTAATTGGATGTTGTCCTACTATAGATGGCATGCTCGTTGTAGATGGCATACTCCATGTAGCACTTGTTGTCGTTCCGTTCAAAAGTTGAGTAGATCCCAGCGATACAGATGGTGATTGAGGTAAAATTGATGAAGCAGATACACCAACCGAGAATCCGCCTCGAAGTACACCATCCAATGACGACAAGCTGCTGCTAAATCCACTTGCACCATATGCATTACCACTATTTACATACGACCCTGAAGCTCCTGAACCACTAAAAGCAGACCAAGGAGCTGGCGTTGGCGGTGATTGCAATGATTTTTGAAGTTCTTCAGCTTGGGTCAATATATGGATTCCTTCAGCAGTGTTTGTAGGAAGGGAATGCGATTCGAGGCTTATTATAGGTCTGGAGTGTGATATAATGTGAAGTGGTGGTCGAGATATCGATTCTTTGAGTATATTTGACAAGTGGTTGGATACGTCGTTGTGATGAAGTGGTTTGGATGGTGGTGGCCGACCTATTGGCTTGTGAGTTGGACTTTTCTGCAAAAATTGGGGGAAGAAAGATGTAAGTTTAGACGCCTATAAAGGCATTAAACATATCACGGAGCATTGATTAAGGAGCAGACGAGAAAAAACCCCCCAAGCAGGTCCGCCATGTGATTGTCCGACTTATGATTTCTGCCTTCCCTCTAACTGCCTTCCCTCTAAATGACGACAGATGTATACGTCTTACTACTTACTGATGAAGACGACTTCAATCTCCTTCCAGTATATGATAAAGGTACATGGGGAGGCAGTACCTCAGTTGTCGATGTTGATGTGCTTCCATTACGAGGTTGTTCTAGATCCCTGACTGCCTGAAGTCCCTTGAATGTAACATTATGAGGCTTTGAGGGTGAGTTTGGTCTCCTTCTGGCCGACTTGAGTGGTTCTGGATGTGCAGCAGTACCCTTCATTCGGGTTTGTTGTTGTGGTATGTTTGGCAGTTCTACGTCAGGAGAGGCCTGATGCCCACTTTTTAGATGTGAGAATAGCCATTTTGAGGCGATATGAGTCGATTCCTCTCCTGGAGGGTGCTGTTCCTTCATCGAGTGAGTGCCACTGCTCGTTCTATTAATAGTTGGTTGATCTTTGGGAGTGGGTAGATCCGACTTGATGTTTATGTCGTTTGATGAGTTGGAAGTGACAATGTATCGATTATACAGCCATTTGAATGCATACGGTGAGAGTTTTACCCCAACGTAGATGAGTGCAACATATGCCGACGATCTGAGTAATTTCTCAATGAAGTGGCCATGCGATGGTAATATGAAAGAGGTCCAGACTACAAATACGAGTGCAAGGAGCACCCAAGCTGCCGCGTCCGTGTCGTTCATGACCGTTTGATCTCGACAATTCGCTGTTTTAAGGAATCAAGCACGACACCTTAAGAAACCGCAATGACAGTGCAAAATGGCCCGTTTGATCTAATTGTTTTAGATATGAAAACGCGTCATATTTACGATTGAGTCCAAAAGGTCCGTTGCTGGTGCTCCAGTCACAACAAGATTGCGAAAAATACAAACTCAAACAAAGAGCTATCATATACAAACATGACCAAAAACGGGGGAACAACCACTCGATGTGTCTATGGCGATACAAATATTTCACAACACGACTTCATTGTATTGACCGAAAATGGCAAGTCAATGTCGAGTTGATTGCCTGATTGTTACATTAGTTCAACTGTCATTTCTTCGTCCTTTAGGAATGGTATGAACTGTTATTGCTTACTTTCGTGATCCCTCTCTCATCTTTCTTCTTTGCTGTTACTCCAACATTGAAGGTCAAGAAATGGCGTGAAGGTTAGAGTTTGGGAATGCATAGACTGAGGGGCTTCACTCTATTGATTCTCAGATTTTATTACTCATATTCTTAGACAAGACAATCGCTCTCGTCAACGTCCTCCAATGTATGCAAGTTGTCTCGTTTGCTATCTCGTGATTCTTGATGTTTGACTTCAAAATCAAGACTAACCAGCTCCGTCTATCTAGCCTTTGATATCTTCATCACTGAACATGGAAATCAAGGTGTCCTGGCTCATGCTTCAAAGGCCGACCTACAGTAAGTACATATGTCACACTGCTCCGTTTGCCAACTGCCACTTCTACATTTGGTTTATTAACTAACAGTTCCACACTCTAGCTCTCAATTCGATACTGAAAAGGTAAGTTTTGTATATCCTGATCATCTGTTTCGCCATTCTGTCTACATGTATGCCTTGATTAGGTGGACGAGTGTCTGGTCATCATCCTCGAAAAGGGTCATCTCCAGGAAAATCACGTCACTGGACGCAAATCTGAAGGCAAGCTATCGATACTCTGTGGTATTGTTTGATGTTTCGCAGCTTTTCTATAGGCTTTCATTGGACAATCGAGCATAAAATATGAGTATAGTTCAAGTTAGACAGTGAAGGCTGACCATCATACCATCACTTGTTAGAACGTCACATGAAGAATGTCGCCAACACTTCAATTGGTGTAGGGCCTGGTATCCATGGCTAGTAAATGTAGCTGTGGTAAATTATGTACCATACTCCTCCAATCGGTGAATAAACGACACATGTACATTCGGAATCACAAAGGGACGGAGGTCGATTCCTTCTGTTTATCGACATCGCTGAAAGAGTGTGCATCTAGGGGTGCGAGTTTTATTGTTAGGTTGACAGGCATTGTGGCCTAGTACAAGAGGCGAATGGGATGTTACAAATGATACGCAAGCCGATTGGGGCTCCTAGAGGTATGATGCTATTTTCTGAGTGTACTTTCTGTCCTTGCTAACAGTCCCTGTATCAAATTTAGTGTTGAAGATATGCTACAACCAACGGTGCTGATTCCATCTAGTGAAGTAAAACAAGCAAAACAGGCTAACAGGCTGCTGAAGGTTTCGTCAGGTAGAAGATGCTATAAGGTAGCTGAACGCGAGACTCGTGAGCGACTCCTTGAGAGCCCACTGACACGGTCACTGATCTAACCCCATTTGTTATTTGTTATTAAAAACGCGTCAAATGTCCAAATAATTAACAAATAGGTCCAGTTTCACCGACACTGCCTCTGTTCCCTGTTCTTCTAGGTGTTATACTTTCTGATCGTTCACGATACTACTAACACATACAAGCTCAGAAAAACAAGCTACTTTGATATATATACAAGGATGCCCAACAGTAAAAGCGGTACCACTCGATGTGTATATGGCGATACCAACATATCCCAACACGACTTCATCGTATTAACGGAAAATGGTGAGAAAAAAATGACTAGGAGCTAGTTCCTTTTTTGTTTACTAATTATTCTTTGCTTCATCTTGTAGAAATGGTATGAACTCTTATTGTTACTCTCATGACGCATTTCTCATCTCTCCCTTTTCACCATGCTGCCCACATAAGGTCAAGAAATGGCGTTCAGGTTAGAGTTTGGCAAAACCGCATAAATTTCCGCCTTAACAAATTACAGTGCATATTGTTGATACTCGTATTTTAGACAAGACAATTCCTCTTGTCAATGTCGTCCAATGTAAGCTTGTCTCTCCGTACATCCTCCTCGTGATTCTTCATGCCCCACTTTGAGCTAAACCAAACCAACCACCCCTCCAAATCATCATCCAATTCATTAGCCTATGACATCTTCATCACAGAACACGGAAATCAAGGTGTCTTGGCTCATGCATCAAAGACTGACCTCCAGTGAGTGCATATCCCAAAATACTCCCGTATTTATTGAATTTACTCATAGTTCATTCTTCTAGCACTCAATTCGGCACTGACAAGGTATTATTCACATACTGTACTCATCGTTTTCGCGACCTCATCATCGTTCGATATCATGTATTGATTTAGGCGGAGGACTGTCTTATGATCATCCTCGAGAAGGGCCAACTCCAAGAAAATCACGTCACTGGACGCAGACCTGAAGGTAATTCAAATGACGGCTCGAAATTTCTGGACGAATTTTGCCCGTTCTGTGGAAATGGAAGATTGAGTAAAATGACGACTGACCATCAAACCATCAAACCACAGAGAGGAAGAGTTACAATAGCTCTGCCAATGTCGGTACTGGTGTTCATGGCTAATAAATTAGCTGTGTTAAATGAATGCACCACCACCGGTCCAAACTTTTCGGTGAATAAATTGGCATAACACTGATTTTGGAGCGCTGGTGCTTATTGTGAGGTGTTTGTCGCGTTATAAGGTCCACTGTCTTCAGGCTGAGTCTGACAGAGGGTGCGACTGAGGCCAATGGAATACGCGTGTGAAATACGTATTGGACACAAGCACGCGTCGCGAATAGCATATATAACAGTTCTGTCAGTTCTGTATTCTATAGCATTCTGTAGTGTTGTCAAAGTTCGAAACTCCTCTATTAGGCCTCTCTTCCTGAATTCTCAGCCTCGAAATTGGCGGCGGTCATCTCTCGCCTCCAAATTCAACAAAGGACACCCACTGTAACAACAGGATAACCAAGTTCGAACTTGACGCAACAAGCCGAGTCGAGCAAGCATGAGCGTCGCCCAATATGGCAAGAGGTTTCCTATTCTGTTACAGATACCGTCGCAACGCGGACAGGTCGAATTGCTTGAAACTATTGGAAAGGGAAACTATGGATATGTATACAAGGTAAACGTCATATATTATTTCCTACGGTGGTGCTCTTCGTCTATTTGAAGAAGCGATGGAAATCTTGGGTCTTTCATTGTCAATTTCTCGTAATCGTTCATGCTCGTCCGCTATTTTCAAAACTTTGGAGGACCACTTGGACGAACAACAATTTGTGCCGTATCTCAAACATGCTTAATGAATATTTATGTAGGGTCGTTTGGTCGCATCTCAAGAGATCACTGCTGTCAAGGTCGTGTTTCTTAAGGAGGACGAGTTACGCGAAACGCTGTTGGAAATGGAAATCCTGAAAATGTGCTCGCATCCTAATATAACGAAATATATGGGATGCTTTCTGAAAGGACTTGATCTATGGGTACGCACCAATGCAGAGATCTATGTCGTGTTTTTTTGCTCCGTTTAGGGTTGTCAAAATGACGACGATCGTCAAATACGTTCTCACGCATGATCCTCGTGCAGATTTGTATGGAGTTTTGTGGTGGTGGTGCACTAGACTCACTATATCGAGGTAAATGTCGTTACGTGCACATTATTGTGGATATATTCCAATCATTGATCTCCAATAATCCTTTGTTTTTCAGCATTACGCAAACCATTGACAGAAGATCAAATCGCTACCATCATGTACGAGTCCATAAGGGGATTGGACTATTTGCATACCCAGGTAGCGTTGATTCATCGTGACATCAAGGCCGGTAACTTGTTGTTGACTGAGGCTGGTGAATTGAAACTAGGTGAGTAACTATTCCATGTTAACGGTTTTTGTGCGCTCGAAAATGCTAACTCCCTTTCTAATCTGCAGCCGATTTCGGAGTGTCTGCCAAGTTGAATTCCGTTGGGGGTCGTGCAAGGACATTCATAGGAACACCGTAAGCTGGAGCAATAAAAATATCATCGTTTTACGTTATTTTGCTACCGCCTGGGACTCACATTCGTTTGTTCACACAGATATTGGATGGCTCCAGAAGTAATTATGACAGACCCAGATAGCAGTACATCTCGATCAGCATCATACGATGCAAAGGCCGACATATGGTCTATTGGTATCACAGCAATCGAAATAGCAGACAAAAACCCTCCTTTATCTGACATTCACCCTATGCGAGCTCTCCACTTGATTCCAACCTCTGATCTAGGCCTCGCAAAACCAAAATCCTGGTCCAAGTCTTTCGTAGAATTCGTCAGTCTATGCCTGACAAAAGATCCACTGAAACGACCAACAGCCGCACAACTACTCGATCATCCATTCCTAGCCAAAGTCAAGAATGTCAATCGTCAAAAGATTTTGGCTGAACTTGTCGCCAGGGCTAAACTAGCTCGAGAGAAGAGAAAGGCTGGACATGATGTCGAAGATGATGAAGAGGATGCGGAGGATAAACGTGAAGAGGTTCCTGCTAAAGCTGTTGCAGAGACTATGAGACAAGCTCAGGCTGCTAAGGCAGCTGCTATGGCTCAGGCTAATCAATCACAGGCTCAACCTGCGCAGATACAAGTGCAGCAGGCTCCACAGCCGTATGGTCAACGTCCTTCTGCTCCTCAGGTAATTACCGATTTTTTTGTCCCTGTGGCATAGTTTGTTTTCGCTGGCTGACTGCACGAGCAACTACTCGTTAATGACCAAAATACTCACGCTCAACATACAGGTTGTGCCAGCCAACGCTCCACCAGCAGAATCTAGATATGTTGGACCATTACTAGAGACTGTAGGAGAGACCAGAAGGCGTATATTAGATCCATTGCCTTTGGGTGGCCACCTGAAGATTGATGTTGTTACAGGTGATGTCCTTGATGGACAATATCTGTTGCTGGGTACTCCAAGCGGTCTTTTCTTTGTCGACACATTCGTACCTATTGAAAAGCAAATCGCAATACCACTGATTCGAGAAGTCCGCTTCAAACAAATCGCCATTGTCGAAGATTATGGCTGTATGATTGCCTTGTCAGGCAAACACGACCATGTCCGACAATATCGACTAGCATCTATACGTAAACTCATAAAGTATTTGCTTGGTGGTAACGCATCACAATTGGCCAAGTCCAATATGAATCATAGCTCGAATCCTCAGAATGCAAAGTCCCTAGACGAAGACGATGTGTACGGTAAGGTGCTTGGTGACGCTGTAGAAGATGAAGCCGCGTTGGTAGCTCGCTGGACGAGTGATTACATCAAGATTCTGGCTACTCGAGACTCCAATGAATTTATCATCCAACGAACGGAAACCACTATATACATGGCAGTACTAATTAGACAGGATATTATACTGTTTGAATGGGCTCGAGAACCGTATTTGAGATTCATGAAACTGAAGGCTTTTTGGTTGCCTGAAGCACCCAAGTTTATTCATATATTGCATGATGGACTTGTTGCTCGTGAAATCTTTTTAGGGTACACGACAGAAGCCAATTTAGTCAATGTCGATGATTCCAAAGTTAAGGAGCTGGAAGTATCAAAAGAATTCTTGGCTCGAGCTGGAGCTGCACCAGCAACCGTGCCAAACTCCAAGGGTGCTCGATGGCAGACGTGGGCCCAAATACCCTTTTCTGATGCTAAACGCTCCGAGATACGAAATGCTCAACGACCCACTGGTACCGTTAACCGTAAATTATTAGCTGTAGTAGGTCCAACTACCATTCGGGAACCTCAAATGGTGGATCGATTCTTCTTGGCTTCGTTTGGCAAACACACACGAGTAGTAGATATCTCGGGTCAACCCATGACTGGTCCAGCTGCAGGTGGTTGGAGAGAAGGTGTGACATGGAATGAACCATCGCAAGAACTTGTATTACGACCAGTATCTCATGTTGCTTCTGTTGGAACACGACTGATTGAAGTGGCTGATTGGAAGACTGGTGAAATGGTGCAGCGGGTTGCTATTGGTAATGACTTCGAAGGCTTGAAAGTATTGTCATCGCGGCCAGGAAGACTTTATGTTCTAGCCAAGAGAAAAAGATTACCTGGTTATGTCTTTTGTTTGCGAGAAGTGGGTGTTGAAGCTCTTGCGCCTGGATCATCCGTAGTAGGAGCTGCTCAACCGTTTAGTAGTGGTGCTTCATCAGGACCAGGTAGTAATAGTAATATACCACCACAACAACCCATTACCGCCAATCAACTTGCTCCATTACCACCCACACCAAACATGGTAAATATGAATGGTTTGAATATACCTGCTCCCGTACCGCCACCGAGACCTGAACCTTCATTACCAGCCATGGTCCAACAAATGTCTATTTCGCAACAACAACAACAACAGCAGCAACAGCAATTACAGCCACAGCAACCCGTCATAAATACTCAACCCATGATGCAAGGATACAGCAGCAATAATAGTAGCAACAATAGCAGTCCATACCAACAATCCACACCACAATCATTCCAAAATGGACAATCTGGATATCAGCAAGCAATATCACCTCAATATCATACTCCTGTAGGTGGCTCGCCCATGGCTCCTAGTGGTGGTAGCGGTATGATGCATCAGCAACAGCAGCAACCAATAGAACGACAAGCATCAGTAAATTCCGTACACAACTCTTCATCACACCATAGTCAGCAATCATCCATGGATGGTCAACAACAACAGCAACCACAAGCACCACTGACACCGCCGAAACGAGGTAATAGTATCCACACAGCACCAGCTGTGCTATCCGCTATAATGTCCTCTCCAAATCAACCACGGGCGGCTGCTCAAGCTGCCTTGACGGGCCTACCGATTCCGACGCGACAGTCATCGGTTAGTGACGGTACAAGGTCATTGAATACTAGTGCTCCTGGTTCTCCTGCTTCGCAACGAGCTGTGTATAATCCGCCGTTGTAAAAGAAGGGAAAACTTATGATTGAGGAAGTTGATTTATATAAAGAAATTGGGATGGGCCATATTGAAATAGTCATGGGTGAGAAGGATTATTGTCTGAAGAACGTGAAAAAAGGGAGGAAATCGCAGAAACAAAGCCTCTTAGATTGTCATAAAAATAGTAGAACTCTGTTGTTGTTTCTTTTCTCTCTCTCTCTATACATATAACTATTCGGTCTTATACCTTTTTTTTGGTTTGTGGCAACATTGTCTACTTGGCACCTCGTATCGTCTTCCATACCAATATCGCCAACACCACAGAAATCATAATCGGAGACGCTGAGTCAAGAGCATCTCTCACCATCTTGATAGCAGCTAATATCGAATTTGGTTGTTTGACTGCTACCCCACCACCACCAGCTATATGTCCATTTGCAGCTGCTTGTCCAGTAGCAGGAGCGGATGCACCAGTATTACTACCAGCATCCCCATCATAATAATATTCACGTCCAATACCAGGCCCAAATGAGATTTTAGGCACTTGTCCCTTAGCAGCCATATCCAAGGTAGTTGACGTCTGTTTGGGCTGTAGGGCCTTCATCATTTTATTCAGGGTCACAAAGCCTCCAGGCACTGCTTTGGTCGCGACGAATGACACGACTGATTTCGGTAGCCTGGTGTGGTTCAAGAAACGATGACAGGTAAGAAGGCATATATAAGCAAAGACGATCTGGATATTTTTTCCTCTTTGAATCTTACCAGCCCTTCAAATCTCCATCCGCAACCTGCGTAATGCGACAATGGCCTGGTCGAGTTGGGGATGGGCCTACTACTTGACCAGCGATCTTCACTTCCATTCGTATTGTTCCGTTTGTTAGTGCTGGGACTCCTTCATGAGGGACGGATTTCGTCACGTTGATGTATCGGCCGTCCTTTAGTTTTCCGACGTATGCCAATACTTTACATTCATGTTATTGTGTTTTTTTGGCGTTAGCCAATTTGTCCAAATATTATGAAGAGACAACGCGTTCCTTACCTAGAGCATCTCGAGAAGCAGCAGGAAAGACACCCTTGGTTTTCATGTATTGTACTTTGGTGTTTGCATCAACATTGTCTACTACACCAGCATCTTCACACATCTATTTCCGAATGAGGTTGAGCTGAAAAAAACACATATGGTTCGACGGGAAGTATACAAGAAACGCTGTTTGCTTACCTCATCCCAATCTCTCCTATGATCAATATCAGCCAAAGTATCAAATATAGTCTCGGGCGTAGTTTCTAACTCTACGAGCACCTTGAAACAGAAATCTGTGTTTGCCTTCTTGTATACTTCAATCCATGGATTTGCTACGGATCTGTTTTGAAAGAGAAAAAATCAGCACCGAAGTCCAGGGTCTATAGGCTGCGACTTCCAAGAACGTCACAAGAGCTTACGCAACAAGAGCCCAAGGATCCGACTCTTTGGGATGCACAGTGTCTGCGAGTTCGAGAAACTCTTTGATCATGGATTCACTCATGCCAGGGTATGCATTCTTTCGTGGAGCGCCTGACTGCGATGCTGCCCCTGATGATGGCGCGGGTGATGAGGAGGTCGGAATACGTGCGACTTGATTAGATGTCTACGTGAATAACGGAATTGAGACAAGAGATTCAATATAAATTCGTAACATGTCAAAACCAAACAATGAATCCAAACTTCAAATGTTAATGTCTTGATTTACCGTGGCAGCAGCAGCATCAGAGCCCCCCAGTACTTTACTCAGACTGTCAGAGGCATCAGGAAGTCCAATGTACTTGTGGAATAGAGCTGCGACAATGATCTCTGCCAGGAGAATATGGAGATTGTCCAGTTTGAAACTCAATAGGATGGTGTAATTCAAGACGTAGAGTATCGGTATTGGACATAGTAGGAGTGCGAGGATCACTACTGATCGTGGTATTGTCTCGGCCATTTTCTTCTCTTTTTTTTAGGGCGTTTCTATTGAATGGGGGAATCGGCGAAGGTTGTGATTCGTTGGCGAGAATTCGAGGCAGAATAAGTAAGAGTAAGGAGGAGCATCGCTAAGGTAATATTTAGGTGCAAGTGGTACAGTCCCTTTAACATTTTTAATGGCTATTTTTCAGCAGTCACAGCATTGCCATTCAATTCCTGTATTCTGTGCTAACACGTCTTTTCCTTGTCTGAGCGCCTAGAAAAGCATGTCAATACGTGTCATCGGCTTCAATAGACGTGAAAATGCTCTCGGGAGCTCCGAATTGCTCGCCTTTGATTGTCGCTGCCTCTTATCAACCACAATAACAAGCAAACGCAGTAGTACGCTACATTCCCAACAGGTTGGAGGGTTTTCAGACGTAATCTGCCCAAGCTGGCACTTCTAACATCCAGCTAACACCAGGTACGCTCCTAATTGTGTATGTTTCAGGTCATTACTGACAACGTTTTACAATATTGAAACAGACAATGTCAGTCTCACCAGCTGACAATTTGCCAATGAACCAAATACCGGATCGTGTCGCCTTTCCAGTTGAATCTGATGTAGTTCCGGACAACGCGGTTCCAGCTGATGCCAATATAGAGACAGAACATCACGTTGCTCCAATTGTGAGCTATGACAACCTGGACGAACAGGCTGAGCTACCTCCACCATATCAGGCCAGGGAAGTGGATCCGCCGCCTGGCTACATTTATTATCCGTACGTCGATTGCAGGTCTTGTTTGATGTTGAAGGTCGTGTGGTTTTGGCTCTAGTCCCTGTATAGGAGGCATTTAAATCGTGACTTGGAACATCGTCCTGACTCTTTCAATCTCATTTCAATGCCGACACAGGTTCAAGACACGCCGTGGACGTCTGTGTATCTGGTTTTCGTTCCTAATTAGTGTCTTGATCGTCGTGAGCTACATCGTGTTGTTGAAGACGAATGCGCTCTACCGTGCCGGATAAAATGGAAGAGGAGTTGGTGTTGCTTGCCGTAGTGGTTACTGTGGTGGACAAAGCTCCCGATTCGATTACTGTTGCAAAGACGCACGTTACTACCTCATGCCAAGTAATTGCCAGTTGCCTTTGCCATCCTCATATCATATAATTCTGATATCTGATTCTTCTACCACTACTATTACATACTATGTTCCTTCTTTTTGCTCTTGTAAGTCATTTATTAACTATAAATTCGTATATTGGACTGACGGGTGGATTTTGAGGCATCAATCGAAGGATATTTGGTGCTTTTCGTGGATTTACGTGGATAGATCAGACAAAATAACTCAAAATACGAACTCTCATTAAAGTTTTGAACACTGTGATCATCGTTCGATAAGAGATCAGGTCGCAAGGGAGGAAGGGCGATGGACAATCTAATTTGGTAGGGGAAGGTATGGTTTTCGTTCCGACTTGTGCCGTAGTGCTGTACTATGACGTCCTGCATCCAAGACCCCTGCAAGATACCGCTACAAGATAAGAATAATTCCAAAACCGGAAACCTGTGCCCTTGCCTGTTCAACTACAACTCCGAAGCAAAGCCGCGACGATTAAAAAAGCATACCACGAGCAATTTCACACAACATCCCGACTAGACATCAACGAGGCATCGGCATCTACATCTAGTTGTTTTTGGGTATATTCTACACGTAAGACATTAGCTCCTTGCAACGTTATTTATCCGCGCATCCACGAGAATCACGCTAATACGATTTTCACTACTTTTGTGCTCCTTTCCATGTTACAGCCTCTCCAAGTGATGCAAGCACCATCTGTAGAGAACTACGGTGCTGACGTGCCTGATAGTCCTGTCTCGAACGATGAGACGGTTCCCTTGGCACTCGTCACACCCGAGTACCATGAACATGTAGCAATCCCAATAATGGCCTACGATAGTTTGGACGAAGATGTTGAGCTACCCAAATACTCTGAAAAGGAAGTAGGAGAATTTGAAATGCAGCCTCCAAGATATGTTTAGTAAGTCTCTATTTTTACATGATTGCTGGCAAGAAAACCGTGCAAAGCATCAAAAAGCCATACTAGACAAAAACATTTTTCCCTTACAAAAAAATTGTTGAAATAGTTTCAAGTCTACCTCAGGACGATGGTGTATGGGCATTACCTTTATTGGCGGAGTCTTGCTCTTCGTCTTGCTCAAGGTCGTTGTGTTTCGCTAAACCACGTGGGGGGTTGTGTTGCACTTGGTTTGAAGGATGGTCAAGTAATGGATAATTATTCTATCGCTAGCATAATGGCAATTGATACTGGAATATCAGTTGCCATAGTTTTTTTAAGCATCATCCACCACCATACCCTGCATCTTTTTATATTGCTTAATCTGAACTGCATCCACCAGCTTCTGTAAACATAATAGTATATCTCCAGTAACTCTCGTACAAAAATATATACCCCCTACTGTCTGCAAATTATTGAAGGCGTTGTCGAGTTTGAATTGGCGGTTATATGAAAGTGAAGATACGATCGATTCGAGTATACACCAACGAGGTCTACAGCTTGAAACTTGATTGATTAATTTTTTATTGATTTTTCACCTAGACTTGAATACTAGAGAAATGAGCGACCGTCTTGTATAAAGATCGACTTTTGGATGTTTGGAACTTGTACTCAGCACTTATTGACCACCAACAAACAAACACTCTGCCATCCAGCATTAGGTCCTTTTCCAGGCTGAAGAAGACAGTGAGGACTCTTATGTGTCGAATCCAAGAGCATGTCCGCACCCTCTTATGACCATACCGTCAATGATATACCTCTAGGAATACTCCCACACAATTCCTTACCATCTGCAGAAACACCATCGCCAACTCCTGCATCACTAATACCAGGCGCATCCCCTGATAATACCCATCCTCATGTCCCTGAAATCAACGTTACGCCACCGTCATCACCAAATGGAAGCTCTTCAGCAATTACATTACACGATGAAGACAAAACCTCTGCACCCGTTCTAGTTAAACAGTCTGGTTCGCACGAAAGTCTTTCGTTGCCATCTGCGGGACGGCCGGGAGATGATCAACCGCCACCGTATTATACCGAAAGTGCCTCTGATACGCCTGAGACTACGACACTAAACGAATCCACGTCTGAAGTGCCGTTTACAACGACGCATCGGCAGGCTGTGGACGAGATGATGCATATTGAAGATGATAGGATGACTATAACTACTTTGCCTGGTATGGACATGTCGGTTATTAAACAAGAGACACTGGACGACTAGCTAACCGATCTTTTTTTTGGGTCCTACTCAAAGGGTATGACACAGGAGCCCGTACAGGAATCTTGCAGCCCGCACCGGAAGCACAGAGGGCGCGAAGGGCGAGAACGGCTAACATCGTTTGTATATTCATAGCTATAGGGGTAAGTCATTCTTGTTTTCTTCCAACGTTGTCAAGAATGCTCATCACCACTGCTTTATGTTAGATTGCCGTTTCGGTATGGATACGGTTTGCCGTAAGAAACATGGTCGATTCAAGTCCTACTGTTTCTGTCTTGGCGTCACCAAGTGTAATCCCTTTAATCGCTTCATCTATACCAACTGCAACAACGTCACCTGTCGCAACATCGTCTGCTACTCCATAGATTTATACCTTTGATCCCTCACTGAACTCTTCCATTAAACTACATATTGGATACCTTGACTGGCACTAACATTTACAATTTCTGTAGTAGTAATAATCATCTCTTAATTGACATTAATATATCTAAATACGTTGAATAATAATGATGCAAACAGTTTTCGTTAAAGTTGGAGACGTACTATACAGTTCCAGAAGATTTCGAGACTTCATCAGCCTCATTACAACCGATGCAGCAAAGGCACACAACGCCATAATACCGCCCGATAGCAGTCCCAAACTAGCATAGTCCATGTGTCCCGTATTGTTTACCTACCTGTCAGCGATATCAGATTGAAATCAAACATTTCTGATACAAAGTAGCGTACAAATACGCCCCAACAAAACTGTGAACCAAGAGAGTGTTTTTGAGCAAGTTATTCGTCTGTATACACGTCATCAACACAAGAGACCATCACAGTTCAACACCGAGGACACCACTAGTTGCTGCAAGCTTTACCTGTATTCCGATAGTAGGAGACTGTAGACGAGAAAATGACAGTGGTTGAATATTTAACGAAAGTTGACAAACAATCTGGCATTTTATTCAACGATAGCGTACCTGTAACATTGCTAAGAGAAATGTAGCGAGTCAGCCATCAATAAGACAACGAAATGAAACACGAAGCCTTGATATAATGCAGATACAAACTAATCCGCGTCACTTAACCCCTCCCAAGACTACTCCCCAAGCAGTCCACGACGTATCCATATCAGGCAACTTTTTCAGCATCCTCGAGATTAGTATCACTAGCTTTGGTATTGGCGTTTCCTTCTTTATCATCATCAATTTCAACAAACTCGTCATCACGTTGCATAGTAAGAGTACAGAGTTCAGTCTGATTTTTAGCCTCAAAGGAACTCGTAACAAACATAAAGTTCTTGAAAATGATGTCGATACAGTATGATGAGGTTCACTGACTGTGAATGCTTTGATATGTTGCATGTCAAGTAGATAAGATGCCGCACAGAGCATTTGACAAGCAGATAAGGTTCGTGGCATTCATGTGACACGCCGATTACAGGGCGCCATGTGCAATGTAATTGGCGATAAGATTAGCACCGGCATCCAACCTGCCGGGAAGTGGCGGGTTGGATAAAAGTGGTGGGTGGCAATCCCCCCCCCCCCTCCCCTGGGGTAGTTTCAAAGTATGAAAAAGGACAATACCACACAGGGTACAAACATCCCGAAAGAGCTGCTTTCAGAGCGAAATAATACAGACACCAGTGGTTTTGACTTTGCACTATTATCACTTTCTATTTGCCCGTTGATATAGGCATCTGCAAACTTTTTGTCACTAGATATAAATATTATCTAAATATGTTAATAATAATGCTGATGCAAACAGATTCTCGTTTGTTCCCAGATGATGCAGCGAGACAGAGCAACAAAGAAATTTATACACGCTCCAGTATCTTTCGAGACTTGACCAATCTCATCACAACCGATGCAGCAAAAGCTCCCAGCGCCATCATACCACCCCAGAGTAGAGGTATGCTCCAGTCTTGCGTGCCATCCGAACCAGTTTCCTTGTCCAGGATAAATCCAAAAATAGGAGCGCCAGATAGTTCACCAACTGCATGATAAATTGTTAGATCGTAATACGTATATCCAACAGACCGCAAAATCAAGGTTCGAGGCCTTGGTAACATACCCGACCAAGTAAAATACAAGACTCCGATCAGCGTTGATTGAGCTTCCGGTGGGAAGATTTTCATGTTCATGGCAACCACGGGGAAAAGGGCGCTAATTCCGCCGTTGGCGAGTCTACGCAAGTCATCAAGTTGATATTGGAAGCAAAAATGCGAGATTGTTCATCATTACATACCCATTGGCTATGGCAAATCCCATGAGACCAGCATACGATGTCACATTGCCCCATACAGCAATCAGTAAAATTCCAGATACCAAATTCGATACAACCTGAAAAACGAGGATGAGAAAAGAAGACGCATCCCCAATGAGTCACGACGTCTAAATCTGGGCCTAGACACACTCCGCATGGTAGTTATAGCACTTACAAATAAATTAAGATGCCCAAAAGCACTATCTGCGATAGCACCAAGCCCAATCCTTCCAAACATGGCAGCAATCGAAAAAGCAGCAGTTGCGGTTGCACCCTGGGTACTCGACAGCCCTACATGTGCACCATACGACGAAATAAAGTATAATGGCAACAGATACGAGAATCCAACAATGAATCCCGTCACTAGCAGTAACAAGAACACCGGTTGTCGTATTTTCCTCCATGGCATAGCTACCATACGTCGAGGTTGATTCTTGGCAGCAGCTTTCTGTTTCTTGCTTGTACGAGGCACGAGTAAGAACATTGCTGTGAGATATATTACGAGTGATATGGCTGCGAGTGTCAAGAATGTGCCTTGAGGACCATAGTTCTGAAGCATTCTGTCAATGATGATTGAGTATACGAATGTTCCTAGTCCTGTTCCTGCGATAGTTAGGCCAAGTGCTAGTCCTCGTCTCTTTTCAAACCAACTCTGTATTATCAAACAGAAAGTGTTGTTTTTTGATTAGTTTTCAAATTGTCTTGTTGGACAAGGACATTGTTACCGGAATAAGAGACACAGAACAAATCCATCCCAATGCTGAAGAGAGACCACAAACGACACCAAAGCTGATGATATAATGGGCTATTTGACTTGCAAAAGTAGCTCCTACAAGTCCACAAGTCCAAAACAGCGTACCCAGTAGGATTGTTCGTTTTGGTCCCAAGTAGTCTGAGAGTAAGCCAGCAATAGGGCCTACCCAAAAGTTGAAACAAGGTCAAAAAAGCAAAGAGGTATCCTCCAGCACAGCAGAGGGTTCCTACCGACAAGCAATGACATTGCACTCGAGAGAGTTCCTGTCAGTGATATCAAACTGACATCAAACCCTTCTGCTACAAAGTAGCGTACAAATACACCCCAGCTAAACTGTAGAACAAACGTATAATGTGAGTTAGAAAATGTCAGTGCAAGTCATGTGTGCATTCCAAAGACACATCTTTGTCCATGGCGGAGCACGTTTGAACGCTTACTTGTATTCCAACAGTAGTAAACTAATCGACGCGAGATGGTGATGGTTAGTTCCAATGTAACAACAGTTGACATTTTGACATTCATCAGACGATCAACACCATTGCATCTACCTGCAACATTGCTAGAAAAAGAATGTAAACTTGTCAGCCCATCGTGAATGGAGGAAACCGTATTGAAACTGTGCGATTCTCTTGTGAGGTAAGAAAGAACCGAAACAAAACTCCTTTCTCATAAAACGTGTGTGTTGAATGAAGCACGTCCAAAATCCTTACCTCCACCCAAAACGACTCCCCAAGCAGTCCATGATGTGTCCATATCAGGTAACTTTTCAGTATCTGGATCATCTAGATCTAGATCATCCACATCGTTTTTGGCAGCTTCGTCGTTTTCATCAATCTGCTGTTCCACATCGCGAATGGTAAGAGTAGACAGATCTCCAGCCTCATGGTCACTTTCTAGTACAGTTGTAATCGGCATCCAGTTATGAACAGTTTGCTCCACACTCTGTCCTTCCAAACGATGAATGATTTCTTTCGAGTTTGGTTGGGGATTGAAGATGACGCATTATCATTTTGTACAGCCAAAGGAAGTGGACAGAGGGGGTATCATACACGTTCAAATGTATTTTCAAAGTGCTCGACCGCGTAATATATCAGCGTGCTGTACGCGATGAAGGCTACAACTCGTCACTTTTCTTGCTCGTTTCAAAACAGCCAGAGACCAGGCAGTTCACGTTTTGATTAGGCTATATATTCTAGGTCTCGGCATCATTGCAGGTCTCTTCTCGAGCCCATACAGATAGCACTAGTAAACAGACTGTCTTAACCAATCGCTTGTCATCGTCTCTAGTCTCAAATCGTCAAAACAACAAAATGCTATTCGAACCACAGCAGCAACAGCAACCATTCCTAAAACGTAAGGCCGATGACGATCAGATATGGATGCCCGTCAAACGTACCACCGTATCTCGTCCTCTCGAACCCAATCTATATAACAGCATCGACATCAAACAACAAACATTTCAAACATTTGACATGCAGTTTGACATCAAGGGAACTACCTCAATTGTTAGCAATGTGGTCAGCGCAGATATGGACATTGACTCGGAAAATACGTCTGAGGTAGTTTCAATTGGGGGCGTTGTCTTGTCAATTGGTGACAATCAAGCTCACTCTCCTCGCTTCTTTCAAACACTCAGAAACGAATAGACACACCAACGAGCATGCTGTCTCATGGAGTACCCATGTCTCAAAGTGCACCGCCAATGGCATTACAACTTAGTAGCGACTGTGAGCTATGTAAACGTGGTGCATCTGGCCACTATGGTCATATTGTCTTGGCCAGGAACAGTTAGCTGGTCCTGTATAAAGAAATCAGAGGCGCAAGCTGGATCTTGTGTATACATAAAGCCCCCACAAAACGAAGACGCACCGCCGTCAAATATTGTATAAAAAGAGGAGAAGTTGTTGTAGTATTTGATGTACAGAAGATTCTTTTACATACATTAGTTGTACATGTTACAATTAAACAACCAATATGAGGTGTTTGTGTACGCAACACTTTTATACATGGTCTCCCCTCACCCCAAACTCGAATATATTGTCAGGGATGGCTTCCAGCTGCATTTTCTTTTCTTCTCCTACGGCAACGACTTCGGGAGCTCGTTCCATAGAATCTCCTCCTGTTGACGAAGCAGCAGACTCCTTGTCTTTGGGCTCCTTTGCTTGACTGAGATGTGTCAAGAAACAACTTAACACAAACATCAGGAAGCAGATGCCAGTGAGGATTCCAAAAGCGACGGCAAAGGATGCTGCAAATGTGTTTTGGAGGGCTGTGGCGGCTGTCTGGCCAAAGGAGTTGAGTGTGTTGAAGCTGAACAGACTTCCTTGGCCGGCATCGTAAGCCTATTGTAGAGTTGTGATTGGTTTAGAGAAACAAGCTCCGTCCGTGCAAACATAGGTTTTTTTTGCTTGACTCACAGCAATAGCAGCAAGATTCGTACTAGACCCTACAGCAATTCCAATCTTGTTGACCCAGTTTGAAAATAGTGACGATCCTATTTGTTACATTGTGTTAGAATTTTGGTAGCAACAAGAAACGAGAGTCAATATTTACCTATGGCGGAAGGACCAAGCGACGAGCCCAAAAACATTGCTAGAAGCATGGGTGTTATAACTTCTATATGCTGTATTCCATCCAACTTGAACACTTGTTGAATGGAATCATGGCCGAGCATCAAAACTGCCTGGAAGGTGCCCATTCCAGTACCAAAAATCTGTACAAGAATTCCGTTGGTGAGCAAAACAAAACGTCTCATTTAAAGTAGGGATTGGACTTACCACACTGCCCACAACCAAAACTGTCAAGGACTGCGTCGCCCCAGTACCTGATATGAGACCAACACCAAGAGCCGGAAGTATAAACAAGAGCTTGAGTCCTCTAGCCAAATTACGTGATCGGAGAGAAACAGTTCCAGCTAATATACTAGTGAGTGCGAATGGAGCGGTGGTAATCCAGAGATAGAAGGATGCTTGGGTAGCTGAGAAGCTATTCATGAACTGAAGGTATAGCGGGATCAAGTGCTATACAATGATATGTGAATAGGGGTGTTTTTTGCACAGATTCTTCACGCTCTTACCAAAGCACTCGAAAACACTATTCCAAACAAGAACATGATGCCACAGCAAAGCTTGTAATTTCGACATCGTGCCATCATTGTTACTGGTACGATTGGCTCGTAACTATTGAAAGTATTTGAGTTTTGTGTCGAGTTTTCTTTTGTCACAAGAAATTTATACCTGTGGGAGATTTCTACAACAGCGAATATGCTACCCAAAAGCACAACACACACTAGTGTCACAATGACCGCCGGAGATACAAAGTCAAGCGTCTGCCCGGCATACTGGAATGCAATTAGGAAGGCCGAGATGCAGGATGCGAGAATGATTAGACCAGTCCAGTCAAAGAGATAAAACCTCCATTCTCGCTCATGGGCGTTTGCTTTCGGATTTGTTGGCAGCATTGTGAGACTGGTTATTCCGACTATGAGAATGAGACCAGCGGATACGTAGAACTGTAATCGCCATGTTACATTGTCCTAAGGTACGAAACTCGTGTTAGGTCAAGTACAAGTCTGCAAAGACAACCCCGATCGCGACTCACAGTAAGAATACCACCAATCAATGGACTCAACACCAACGATACAATCCAAGGAGTTGTGATAAAGTACACATGAAACCAAGTTGGAATGTTCATATCGGCAATATAGTTCATAGCGACTCGTAGGACACCACCAGCACCAAACCCTTGAATAACCCTCGCGATAGCAAACCACGTCATACCAAAGTCGGGTATGTTGAGAGCGAAAGCGCATAGTACTGTTCCTGCAAGCAAGACAGAGAGCGATATGCCAAGACAGAGTTTACGACCATAGTACCACAGTAGGCGAAATAGCGTCGCTGACAGCACTAGGGAGCTTCCGTATGTAGCGATCTATAGAAAAAAGACGTGGTTTGAGTAGTGTGATCGTTTCATGGCGCATATCAAATCTCCAGATCACACCAGTGGACTAAGAAGAATCAAAGTGTCAGAGAGCCGGAGCTTGTACCAAAGAATTCAAGTATTAAATCTTACAGGAATTTCAAATTTTGAAGCTCTGAAGCGATCACTGTTCCATCCGCATACACGAGATGCTTTGATTGATGATGATGATGTGAGTTTGATGAAGACATTAACGGAAGCGAATGTATACCAGCATACTTGTTGGGAAAAGACTATAAATAGCAATGTCAAGACCAGGATACTAGCTCTGACATTCAATTTTCCAACCGGCAGTAGTGCCTTCTTGTTTCGGTCAAACGAATCTTGGACTGATATTGACGATTCTTCCATCTTGTAAGCGTACGATGAGGTTTAAGCCTAGTAAAGTGGTCGTAGACTGTCTAAGAACACAAATCTCCCACCTCTTCCACTTATCTCCTTCGTCTCTCACGACCTCAATCACTCGTGAAAATTGAAAGTTGAAGTTAGGCTTTGAACTTTTTAGACACCTAGCACTGCCAACAAGGCAAGCAAACCAAAAGGCATGTTGTGATCAAACTATTGAAACTGTGTAGCGGCTCGACGCGGTACTTTACCTGTACTTACCTGACTTTGTAAAGAACATCTTACATTCTGAAATTCAACAAACTCGTGCTTCGCAGGACAATAAATCACGTGAAGTGAAATTACTGATATTATGTTTTCTAAGATTATGATACAGAATGAGATTATGAGAATCAGTCACAGTTAGCTATCGGCCATGACGAGCTACAGTCTAGGTTGATGGACTTGTTGATGCAGGGGTTTTCAGGACTGGGTCAGCGAATGCAGGAGAAGCAGAAGATCCAGATGCGACAGCCTCCTCATAGCTTATCGGTGATCCAGGCATACTTTCATCATCGTAATAACTCATTGGCGATATAGGTCGTGACATCGTGACAGCAGTATACGGTGGTGAATCGTGCAAGGCAAGATCCGGTGGTGGGAGATCGTATTCGGCCGGTGGATGATCATAATCCTGTGGAGATTGGTGGTATTGTGGTAAATCTTCCATAGTTGGCGTTTCTCCCTGGTATAGAGCCTCGTTTAGCATTTCGGGAGCGTCTCGTTCCAACTGGCGGGCTTGAGCCATCGTTATTGAGGCTACTGTGATGGGGCATTCTAGTTTTATGTCTGCTGCTCCTCGAAGTGATATCACCACCTACGTAGAGTGAAAGAGTTTGTTAGAATGTTGTGTGTTTGTTCGAGAACATAAAACAATGACAAGTACCTTCAACTTGTGCTTTATCTCTAAAAGTTTCCAATCCCCGGTAGGATTGAGGCCCAATGAACTCTGTGCGTGGCCGTGATACCCAAGAACCGGTGGTCCGGGTGTTGGAAGATGGATCTATACGACAATGGCAACCTCTTAGTTCAAAGTCCGACCCCATTGGCAACGATGACACCCTAGTTCTTCTAGAGCAGTTAAACAAGAACGAAAATCCGACAAAACTGACCGATTTGAGCTTCCAAAACTCGGAAAAGAAGGCTTCCTTAATCTCAGACCTCAAGGCATATTTAGAGTCTTCACGTTTCAGCCCATTGTCGACACTAATCAGTTGATACTCTTTTATGCCAATCCTTATGGACCTGATTTTAACATTCCTAGACGTTGGTACGATCCGGAAATCAATTCCAAAGGCGTCACCACGGGTAAGCGTCGTTTGCTTTAGATGGACAAAGTATTCCACGTCTTTCGTCTTTGCCTCCCACGTAAAATCCGGCTTTGGGTCGAATAGTAGCGCTGGTAGAATCTTTCGGTCATATATACATATCTGAAGTGGTTGATATGTTGTAAAGACACCTTGCTGGAATATTTTGGTCTTGACTTCTGCGTGAGCCATTAACGTGTATCTGATAAACGAATCGTCCACACTACGTTCGAATTGTTTGTTTGCTACGTAAATAGTTACAAGTGAGTCCAACAGCTTTGAAAATACAGTCCAAGAATCAGAACGGAATCTAGCCCAACAAGAATCCCACGATCAAACTGCAATAACGTCCCCACACACCTTCAGTACTAGGCATCAAGTTAATCGACGTCTCCTTTGGTGAATCAAAACGGAAGAAGAATGTCTTCTCTTCACCAACAGAGAGTATTCGACTTTCTGATGCCGGTTCAAAGTACATTGCGCCATTCGGTATAGGCTCGCCCTCCTTCTGATACAGAATTGTTTTCGCACGTACAAGCACTTTAGTACCCTCGAAAACATCCATTCTGCGGTAGCCTGGCTGGGAAACCTTACTGCACAGTGCACCAAAAAACGTGATATATAGCGTTTCGAGCCTAACCAATTGTGGTTGGATTAGAAGGATAATGAAGTGAAACTACTTGTACGTGTATTGACTGGCTGGCCTGATTGAGGAGCAGCTCATTGTGGTCTGAAAAACTGTCTTCCGTCGAATTGACGATGATGCAAGATCAAAGACAGTCTATTCAAACTGGCACTTGGCAAGCTTTAAAAGTGCAACAATTCAAATGAAGATGCGTACCTCTTTGGCTCCTTGAAGTCATTCTTGACCCTGATTATTCCCTTCACAGACACAGCACTGATTCCTGGATATCCCTCCACGTACTCAGTTTCGCCTGGGAGAGGACTCACTGTGATGATGAGTCTGCTTCCCGCTGACATTATAGTGTTCTCTTCCTAGTAGGTCTAGCAAGCGATCGATACAGAAAAATGTTTTGATCGTGCAAAATGGTTTTTGTAGAAATGACGAATGACTAAGTGTGAAACTGAACAGAGCAGTGGGAATCAAATGGAAGATCCGTCAACATTCCGTATGAGGTGGAATGGTACGTGACCAGTTTAAAACTAAGCTGTGTGAAGAAACAATCCTAGTTATTCCCAAACGTCAAAGCTGCTTGTCACATTCGTTAAGAGGAGATATGGATTTCTTTTTTTTTAACTGAACCACATTTAATAATAACGTATTAATGAATATCAGAAATATTTAAACCTCAGCCATGGCGGCTCCTTTATTCAAGGAGTGAGATTCGTCTTTCACATGTGTAAAGTTGAGTGTGTATGCTTCTTCACCGTGGATGGCTAATGAGATGAAGGAATTGTCAGTTGATGATTGTTATATCGCCTTGGACCCCAGCAAACATGACTTGGTTCCTCTTGCTATGTACAAATCAAGTCTACATACCTTCATCACCAAGCAGGAGTTCTTCTTCACTCATTCTCACACCGAGAGTGAACCTGAGAACAACCATTATGAGAGAGGTCATAACGATGTTCCAACCGATAATGAAACCAGCTCCAGCCAATTGAAGCAAGAGTTGGTGCCAATTACCAAATGCACCTCCACCTTGAGAAGACAGACTTTTGTGTTAGACATTGAAATGCCATATTGGCTCCCTTGACAAAAGTCTTCTCACCAGGTGAGACGCAAGCAAAGGCGGCGCAGCCTGCACCAGTGGTCAGTATACCGGTGAAGAAACCTCCAACAACACCTGCAACAGCATGTGTATGAAGAACTCCCAGCGTATCATCAACCATTTGTAAGAGTGCTACCCGTTTGCCAAGAACGTTCATGGTAAACCAAGGGATGCTACCACTAGCTACACCCATTACAATTGCTCCCCAACCAGCAATGACACCTGCAGCTGGTGTAATAGCGACCAATCCAGTAATCATTCCTTGAACGGCTCCAATGACGGATGGTTTGCCATATGCAAATGTATCGATGCACATCCAAGTCAAGAGAGATACGGCAGTGCACAAGTTGGTGTTTAGCACTGCGACACCGGCGTCTTTACTAGCGGCGTAAGGATCTCCTCCGTTGAAGCCATTCCAGCCCAGCCTATGTGAGAATGTCGATTAGAATGAGGGTTTTCGTTAAGTTGTGCGAAATCCCAAAAACAACAATCAACATCAACGGCACCAAGAAGAAGAAGAGTACATACCATAAAATACCAGCTCCAGTCAAGACCATGAGGATGTTGTGAGGTTTGAAATCTGCTCTGTCTTGTGGATGGCGTGGACCCAACCATGCAGCTAAACAACACAAAAATGGCAAAAAATGAGATTTTAGTCAAATCAAAGAAAAATCAGAAACAGCAATTGACTTGGACAATTTACCGGCTACAAAGCCAGCTGTGCCTGCACTGAGATGAATGACGTATCCTCCTGAATAATCAATGACTCCCATTTGGAACAAGAATCCACCACCCCAAATCGAGAATGCACCTATTGTGAGGGGGATGAACTAGTTTGAGATGCAGCTTCGATGAAGGGGAACATTATACAAAAGTTCGTACCAACGGTATATGACAACGTCAACCACAGGGGCACAAACAGCATCCACGCTCTAAAGCTCATTCTTCCCAACAGGGCTCCAGCAATCAATATCAGGGTGATTGCAGCAAACACAAATTGGAAGTAGATCATAGTGGCCATGGGGACTAGGGTAGTGGATGTTGTCAGTCATCAAAACAACACACATCTCACAACCGTGTGAAGTGTTGCTCAATGCCAAAAACGTACAATTGGCTGCAATATTTGCAGCAGGCAGGATTGCTTGCGAGAGGAGACCATCGGAACTGAGATATGCTGAAGGTACACCGACGATTGGTAACCACTGGTTGCCAAATGCCATGTCGTAGGCAAATAAGACCCAGCATACCTATTAGTAGCAAGACAATCAAAACAGATTAGCTCCCACAGATTGTCGGATGTACCCGTAGCTTACCAAAACAGCTGCAAAGGCATAGAAGCACATGAATGCGGAGTTGATTGCCCATTTGGTGGGAACCAAACCCCCATACATGATCATCAGTCCAGGCACTGATTGTAAGCCAACAAGAGTGGCAGCGGTCAGTTGCCATGCCTGATCGCCTATATTAGAGTTGGGTGGTTCAAATTCCGGGGAAATTTTTGTTAAAGATTACATTTTTTTTGGAAATCCATACCTGTATCAAGCCAGTCCATTGTTGCATTAGTTGCCATTTTTGGATCTATATAAGCAGGAGGATGCGAAACAGGTCAGTACACAAACGTTGGTTTGAAAACGTGCTGGCGTTGGAGTGGCAGTGTTTGAAATGGGGTGCTGAAGAGGCACATGTATTCCTGAATGTTGAGCCTACCTTGATATCTAGTGAGCTACAGGATTAGCTAACTTCTTTCTGACACGACACCGTAGCTATATGATTTGCGAGCTGGGAAGAAGCTAATCTCAACAGCTGTGATGTAACACCAACAAAAAGGCCCAATTAAAGTTCTTATCAGACAAACGAGCAGGAAGCTTCACAAGCACTGCGATAAAGCAGGAAAAAATGCGTCTGGCTGCGTGTGGTGGCCTGATACAATATCCAGCGCATCCGCATACATTCCTTTGCACTCGTTGTTTTACCATCCTTTCCGGAAGATCCCCTACGTTTGCAATAATAGATTGCTACATATCTAATTATTATCTATACTACTTTTGTCTACTGATTTTATAAGCAGATTATTCCTTCGATTCCTTCCTTCTGGTTGCGATGATGCATATATTTTCTGGTGTTGAGCTCACATCAGCGTATTCGACCAATTCAGCGTCAAACCCGTGTTGTTGGAGGTATCGGATGCGTCCCATATCTATTATTCTTTTTGCTTGATATCCAAGTCTCTCCCGTTGTTTGATGTTGAGTCCACTCCAATGAGCTCTGCTTTGGGCATTGCGTCAGTTGAACGATCTAGCAAGAGAAATCACAACGTTCCTTACCCTGATGTAGCATCTTCTTGATCCACTCCACATGAATGCTCTTGACACACTTGAGCGTTATCATCCTGTTCGTTGTCATCATCACCATCAGCTTCACCGTCTCTATCAGCATCCGCAGCATCACATGGATCTCGATCTTCCTTACTACCACAAACTCTCCAGCTAGTAACTAGACGTAGACGTTCATATTCCGCCCCGGAAAATCTCAACTCTTCTAGGAATTCAGGCAAGACAAAGGTCTTGTACTGACAAAGTTGGTGACAACAGCAAGCGATGACTATTCCCTCTAGATTATGATCTGGACCAAGAGCTTCTACATACGCCATGAGACCTCGTAGCGAGAGATCTGTAGCGACTCCACACAAGTGTTTACTATATGCGATGATGGGTCGCCCACTTTTAAGAGCCTCCATGTTTGCAAAGTTGACATCTTTTAAATCGGCCTTTAGTCTTTGCAGGCTGGATGTGGAGTACCTAAAATACCGGTCATCTTTGAATTTGAATGAGCCTCTATCTATAAGGACAAATGATCCAGAAGCCTCTGCGAGGGCTTTGAGCACCATGTATGAGAATTCTCCTCGTCCTGCTCCTAGTTCTAACCACGTTGAATCAGCTTGTATCAGGTTACGACGGTTCATGTGGCCGAGTAGCGAAAAGATCTGTTGTGTGTGCTTTCTACTCCATTTGCGATTTGGATGTCTAATGTAAACGCATGCTTGTATCAGTAGCAATACATTAAGCTTGTTGGGAAACGGGGAGACATACAGCAGTGCATTCAATGGCTCGTACTCCAGCACCTGCTTTGGCGGATCGCGTCCCTCAAGCAACACGTTATAAGCGTGTTCCACCTTTCTAGCAAAGACACCAAATTCCTCTTCCGTCATAGTCTTTGATGCTTCGCGGACAGCTGGATCTGGAGCAGCATGATCGTTCTCGTATCCTTGACCCCAGTTGATGTTTGGTTCATAATAATCGGGACTGGGTTTTGGGCGAGCACTACACTTTTTCTGATGTAAATACAATTTTCCTTTTGTATATGTGCTATTGTGAGAATTGCGGTTGGCTCACTGTGCACTGATCACTATAGCCTGTAAAGGAACAAAAAAAAGTTTGATGTCTCACTGTTTTGGATCAAAGGGACACCGAAGTCTACCAAGCGCATGCTCTGAGCAGTAGGGAGCAACCAGAATGGGCAGCTTGCAAAATCTTTGCTTGGTATCAAGCCAGAAATTGCAGAAACCGTCTCTTGGATTTTTTTCAGGACGGTTTTCGACCTATAATCAACAGATCAGAACAGTTCAAGCTTGAAAATGGAAAACTGATGAACTGAATAAACTAACTACTACAAGGCCTCCTCGTAGCCTAAACTTGGGCACTTTGGGCTGTATGGATTCGCTCATCTTGTTTGAACCAAGAGTTCGCAGCAGCTTACCAATGTCACGAAAAATGTAAAGGGCTCAATGTTAGAGTTTTAGTTCGATACGCGTATAGCGCTCTGCTTCCCCTCTCTATAGTCTGTCTCGCGTCAATTGATTTCTCCTTCCAAACTCCAAACTTGACACCAAACCAACAATTCGACGCAGGAGGAATAACAAGACCGAGGATGGTGCTATTATCTAAATCGTGGATATCGTTATTATTAGCTGCTAGCTGTGCACTCGCTCTTCCTCAAAATGAGCAACAAGTGCTCACTAACAACGTGGAGAAACGACTCATCAGCATGGCAAAAGACCCAGAAGCAGAACCTGCATGGATGACTGAGCCAGAAATATTCGAGCTCTATAAGAAGTCAATCCCTTTTATCGACGTAACTGATCACTGGAACACGTTGGGTGATGGGGTTACCGCATTCGCATCTGGCAAGTTGCAACCGTCGTGTACTTTATTTAAGTCGCAACCAAAAGTTCGTTACTTGCTTGCATTTATTCACTCACTGACTTCTTTCATCTATTGCTCAACTGTAGATATACCAACGAAACCGGCACAAGAAGAACTAGTCCGTTCTCTAAACTCCAAGATCGATCCTGCTGCCATGAAGAGCTTCCTTACCGCCTTTAGTGGCTTCCAGACCAGATACTTTAGATCTAATGCTGGAACTCTATCACAGGCATGGCTGACCGAACAAGTAAAGATCTATGCAGAGAAGGCCAGTGACAAGGTCAACGTAACTGTGAGGGAGTTTGCTCATACGTGGAACCAAGCTAGTATTATTGTACGATTGGAGAAGGCTGGCGTTGCCGATGAAGAGGTGAGAACATTGTTTGACTCTGTATTTTCGTAAAAGTTCAACGCTCATGTCCTTTGTTACTGCCTTCTAATCTTGTCCTCTCAGGCCAAGAAGGGTGAAATCGTAATCGTCTCTGCCCACCAGGACTCTGTAAATCAATGGAACCCCTACTTTGGACGATCACCAGGCGCAGATGACGACGGCAGTGGAACCACCACCATATTCGAAGCATACAGAATCCTCATCGACGAGGGATTCGTCCCAGTCAAACCTATCGAATTCCACTTTTACTCGGCAGAAGAAGGTGGACTACTTGGTTCGCAGGATGTCGTTGCAAACTACAAGAAGGCTGTTAGTGTGGATTGAATTTTTGAATCTGGGTGTGTCTGTCGATAACCATTTGATATTTCCAAAATAGGGAGTCCCAGTTGTAGGAGTGTATCATGCTGATATGACTGGTTATCCAGCAAAGAAACCTTCAATTGGTCTGAGTACCGATTTTGTTGATCCAAGTTTGATGGCGTTTTTGAAGGTTTTGGTAGAGACTTATTGTGACGGTAAGCGTGTGTGAGACATTGAATGAACGCTTCCTTTTACTCACCATTGGTTCCAATAGAACCCACCGTCTTTACTAAATGCGGGTAAGTTGCAAATTTAGCTTTCGCCATGACACAAATCCCTTAAATCATTTCCTTTCGATCTCAGCTATGCTTGCTCAGATCACGCTACTTGGACAAAGGCTGGATATCGATCATCATTCACATTTGAAGGAGCATTTGACGACCACTCGCCTTACATTCACACAACTGGAGACAGTGTGGAGACACTATCATTCACGCATATGGCCCAATTCGTGAGAGTGGCGATATCATTCGCTGTTGAGCTCAGCTCAGCTTAAATACCATCAAAGGGGTGGAAACAAATGGAGTGTATAAAAAAGAAATATTTGCAACACGAGGGACTGTTAATAAACAACACTCTATAAGTGAAATCATGGTTTTCATGACTTGAACGTTGTTGAGTATTAAAGAATCGTTTATACTGAAAAAAGATGTCTTAGATATCTGCAAAGTTAAATTACACAACATGAGGCTCTTTCTCTATCTGTATTGATTCAGTTTTGCTGATGAGGATGCCCGTCTCGGGACTCGATTCGGAGAATTGCCCGTGCCAGCACGAGGAATCTCATCTGGTTTTGTTGTTGGTCCAATTGGAATTGATCTGATCAAAGTTACAGGCTAAATAGAGGAGTCTTTCTTAGGAAACTCGTCACGAAAGGACAAAAAAGTAGATTGAGAAACTCACAATGATACCCAACAAGCCTGTGCGTCTTGATAATGCAAGCGCCCATCCATCCTCATATAGCACAGAAGGAACAACCACGTCACCCACAAGAAGATCAATCTCATCGTCTCGTTGAGCCTGATACGCCTTCCATGCTACATACTGTCCGCCAGCCGTAATCACATCCAGTCCCTTAATAGCCAAGCTCTCTACAGGCCTAACCTCCTCCCGGGTGGTAACAGAAGTCCACGTATCCTCCTCCAAGAAACCACTCTTTGTAGTCCCAATATCACGATCCAAGTTGGGCCTAACCCTGTTTACGACCGGACTCGAGTCAAATACCGGTGCTTTCGGTGATTCGGTTATGAGCGATGAGCTGGATGATGCAGCACCAGATTTAATTGTGATTTCTTCTCTTGCTTTTGCGATATCGACAAAAGCATATGAATCTGATCTGGGTTTGATTGGTGTACCTGGTGTTCCTGGTGGAGATGGTAAAAAGGTGGATGATGATGAGGTGGCTTTTCGTGCTGACGTGAATACGGATGTGTCAATTATAGAGCGATCATCTACACTATATTGTTGTAGTTGGTATGTCTGTTGTGTTGATTGACTTAGTATCTCGTCTCTGGTTGGACTCTTGTATTCTCTGACAGTGTCTTCGCTCTTTGAGCGGACATAGTATTTGCCCTTTGATGATGGTGGTGGACTAGATGGTGTCGCTGCAGGGAGAGTATAGTATTGGTCAGACACCTGTAGTTGCTGTTGTTGAACAGTCATTTGTATGGCCTCGTCGTTCGAGTTTCCAGCCTGCCGTGTTCTCTTGACACTTGTAGATCGTTTTCGGAAGAATCCAACCACACCGCTGTATTGTCCACTCGGGTCTTTGACATCTTCTTGCACGGGTTCTATATCACTATAAGCAGGGTCTTTTGGTGGCGGTATGGGGACTGGTGAGGGTGCTGTATTATACGATTGTGTGGTGGTAACCTGCTCTCGAATCACATCCTCTTCATACGTCATGCTAGTCAGATATGATTGTGCTCTCGGATCACTTATTATAGATTCAGGTAATGGGAGTCCTGCTGGTGACAGAGTCATAAATTCGTTTCGGCCCACATCTGACGATCCGTTCGACGGTGGTTTAATGACCTTGCTACGATCTAAGGAACTGGTTCGTTGTGGTTCGTCATCGGGCACTACTTGAGGGATCTTATACGATATGTCACGACTTCGTCGAGTTTCTCGTTTCGGCGTTTCATAAATAGAAGTAGAAGCGGGCGCTGTATTATAATAAGTGGTATCCACTTCACGAGACTCCCTAAATTCCTGCTGCTGTTGCTGATATCCTTGGCCCGGCGTGTTCTGATCATCCGCAATTAATGGTTCAACTTGTCCGAATCTCCTCTTCTTGCGACTCGAGATAGATACCTCATCACCATTATCATCAAAGTAGGTAAGCGCTTTCAGAGGCTCTAGCATTCCTTCTGCAAATGCTGCCGCCGCTGCTCGTCTCCTTCCTAGTCTATACGTGCACCATCCTAACAAGACACACACTATAAGCAGCAATATACCCAATCCGATAGCCAGACCAAGTAACACGTTATCGGTGCTTGAGGACGTAGAGCTTCCAGGTATAGGGCTAGGAGATATAGTAGCGATATTGGCAAGTCTAGCGACAGTTGCCTCACAGTTTCCACTAGTGAAATTACATCCGAGTCCAGTAGCACAACCACTGTTAGCGCATCCACCTGCAGTTATGAAGCAGCCGTTTGCGATACATGTAGATCCACTGGGGCAATGTCCATTCCCATCAGAGCAACACAACGATGAGCTCGGTGCACAGAAACTGTTGCAGTAAACAAAGTTGGCCGGGCACACATTGAATGTTGTAGCGGTGCACACTCCGTATTGGCTCGAGCATGTAGATGGTGGTGCACATGAGAACGGACCCGTTGAAGCTGGTGGTGTTAAATTAGCGACTGATCCAACACTGATCCTGCGGGCCAGAACAAACGTACATGTATTGCAGCAGGTGTATGAGCTAGGAATGCATCGGCTTCCGCAAACCTTCTCAGCTACATTACAGGTTGTCGCCGAGCATGTTCCATCAGCATTACAGGATTCTCCGTTGGAGCAAGATGCCCCAGTTCCGACTAGTAAGATGCGTTAGAACAGTACGTACACCACTTTTGATCAAGCAATTAACTTACGGTTGCAACAGGATGAGGAGAGGTGGACGCAATTACTAGAGAAATCACAGGTTTTAGTGCCCGACACACAAGTATAGTTGGTGCTCTGCCTCCGAAACAGATGTAAAGAGATGTCATCTAATGTAGAAAAGCAGTATCAGCATGCATGCAGCCTGCATCGTCAAGCTTTAGATCAAAAGCTTAATCAACAACCCACCACCCAAAATTTCGGCGTGAGAGTTGGGCAGCATCAACGAGATCCAAACCACTATCAATGTAGCTGTGAGCCTATCCCGTAAACTCCGTGGTCCCTTCATCGTTCAGGACCTCCCGTGTTAGTTTGGATTTTCGGAGTGTTTTGAATGGTTTTTTTTTGTTTTTTTCTCTTCGAATTTCAGCTAGGCCAGGCTACTGAGATACCCTTCCAAGAACCAAAATATGAGAGCCAGCCTCTTAATTAACACACTGAGGATTGTCAGATCGCAACGTTTGGTGGTAATAGCTGCATGCCAGACTCCCAGAAATTTACATTCCACGTCAAACACACCAGAGACGCTTGAACCCCAACCAATCGCTCATATAAAGCCATCACAACCTATCCACAATGCTACGAGTAATCTAAATAATCCATCAACAACTCTCCAATCACCCTCCCAGATCCTACAAGCTATAAAATTAAAAACATTAACATCCTTGCACCCTGCAGCCATATTCGACACAGTCTGGCCCCTAGTCTCGGCATCTCCGCCCGTCATGTCTGCATCAGAAATGACTTCCATCATGAATCAGATGGTATCTAGCATAAATCCATCAACAAACCCATCAAACAGCAACATATCAAAACAGTTGATCAAACTCTTTGGACAAATCAAACGACTAGGTTTTATGCCTCCACCTGATGCATACACGGCGCTCGTAATCGGGGCTTCCTATTCGCACGATCAAGTAATGAAACTGTTGGCTTTTGTGTCTCTGCATCCGGAAAATGGGAGTGATGAATTCTATAGGGCTGTCTTGTCTTCTTTGTTGGAGGGGAGAGTACATACACCTCAACATCTGGTGCAGAAAGTGACACGGCCTATGTGGGTGGCTATGAAGGATTTAGGTATTCACCCAGCGATTGAAACTTGCATATTATGTGTCAAGGCCTTTGCTCGATCTGGTGATTCCAGTGGCCTCAACGATATATATCAGTATATAAAGGAAAGGAAAGTCAAGGATGAGCGTACTTGGAATGCGCTGGTTGAGGGGTATGCCAACATGGGACATACATTGACTGCAGAAAACATGATTTCGCATATGAAGTCACAAGATATCACACTATCTCGGTACAGATTCGTGTATTTATTATTTGAAATTGCATATTTCCAAGATACTGATCTCTTTTGAACGCAGGTCAACTCTCGGAAGTGTAATGGAAGCCTACTCGAAAGCTGAAAATTATAATCAAGTCATCAACCTACACCCATACATCCCGCCCGAATCCTACTCAAAAGCTGTAGTAAAATGCCTCGCCAATGCTTATGCTCAATCTGGTAGACAAGAAGATGTCACAAAGCTATTAGAACAAGTCACCATTCTCATATCACAAGCCCACACATCTCTGAATCATCGTGTATTAGAGTACTTTGTAGCGGCATACTCTGATCTCGGGAATGCTGAGCTGGCCATGAGTGTCTTTAATACCTACGTCAGCCCAGTTAGTGGACTGTTACGAGACGGAACATCGTATAAAATCGTCCCAGACAGATGGCTACTAGCCAAACTCTGTAACGTGCTCGGCAAAGCACACGCCGAAGACCTCATCAAGTGTATATTTAGAGACTATGTCATGACGCGAGATAACATGAGAGGATACATCCTCAGCGGTGTTGCCTTTGACCAGGCATTCAGTCCCTGTCTGGAGCAAGTCAGGCTTGGGTGGATGCAAACTCTAGCAGGAGATGAAACTGACCAGGCTAATAATATCATGCAGCTTGAGGAATTGTTGCAAAAGGTATCGGACAGGGGTGAATGGAACGTGCTGATGGCTGAATTGAGGCCTGAGAGTGGCAGGAAGGGCGTAGTTGTTAGGCCAAAGTACAAACAGGCTGTAGTTAAGGAGACTACGTTGGGGGAGTTGGACGTTGGAAGTGGGCTTGATAACCACGGCCGCGTCAGATCGCAAAAGATTCAAAACCAGACACGTCGACGTGACAAAGAGCTGTAGATACTATTATCATATTATATTCATTTCACTGTAGATTCTGTAAATAAGTAGATAATCATTCTTGAAAGATATACGGTGTCCTTGACGTGACCAAACAAACCGTTCTACTATGCTTGCCGAGTTGCTTGAAGAAAACCGCCAAGACCGTTCTTCACAACAAAGGCCGTTGAGGTAAGATGAGTAGGCCAAGGCCGTGTTCCGTTTTGCTTGACAGCAGTTATTTTCGGGGCTGGAGTCGTGTGCGAGCCACCATTTACGCCAATCTTTTTTCCTTTCCTTTCGACCAAACTCTTCCGAGAAATATTCGGGCAACTTATTCTTTTTACATGCCATTGTAAAATAATATAATATCTTAACTGCTACGTATACCACATGGCTCTTAGACACCTACTCTGGTCCTTGCTCCTGGTGCTCATCGCAATGACAAGCTTAGCAAACGGGGCAGTCTGTAAAGTCAGAACGAACCCAGGTAGCAGCACTTCAGGAGCAGGTGCAGGCAAGGTTACCAATTCAACGAAACCTGGTGGCTCGACAGGCTCTGGATCAACCGGAAGCAATTCCGGAAGTGGTGGTTCCTTGCAAAACTCGACTTCGACGGGTGGAAGCAAGCTGTTTTTGGGTGCTGTTGCTGCGACGTGGAATATGAATCTTGCTGGTGCTACTGATCCGGCTTCGGCGAGTATATGGGGTGGTTTGATCAGAGGTACATTGATGCTGTCAAATGATTGTTATTCTTGTCAGCAAGTTTCTGAGACGGATCGTTGTATGTAGGACGGGTCGCCAATTTCGGAGGCTTCACAGCAGATCCCATAAATCCTTCTATACCAACTCTACAAATTAACTACCCCATCGGTTCATGGACGCCATCCGCTGCAGTTCCTGGTAACCAAACATACCCCTTTCTTTTCAATCAAAACTTCGGAGCTAACCAAAGCCTCATGGATACTGTCAGGTGGAGCCAGTTTCTATGTTCCGATAGGAGGAGGATCATCATACAACAAGGCGCTCCTAACATACGCTGTCTACTTTCCTGCTGGTACGTTTATCTCCAACGACAGTTCGGGATGGTAGACAACGGAGTTTGCTCACTTTATATTTCATTCGGATATGATTAGACTTTGACTTTGTTAAGGGTGGTAAACTGCCTGGTATGTATTTTGTTCAATGTCAAAATGTGTCATCTTGACACGTCAACTTAAGATTTTTACTGGAATGTAGGATTATTCGGAGGCGATGTCACCCAAAAGTGCAGTGGTGGTCTACATGGTGGTGGATGCTGGTCAGTCCGTCTCATGTGGAGGGCGAATGGAGCGGGAGAAGCCTACGTAAGAGATTAATTCCAACGTCGTTTTTTTGTTGTATCTACACAAACAACCCTCCAGCCTAACTCACACATATCATATCCGATTAGTCCTACCTGCCAGCATCAAACGATGCCGCTCTCTGCGACACAACAGTAAATCCACAGAACATTTGCAACCCAACATATGGAAACTCTCTGAATCGAGGAGCATGGACCTTTGCTAAGGGCCAATGGACTACGTTGAGCATGTACATACAGGTAAATATGTCTCGGATAAGTAGCTTAAACTAGGCTCAAATATTGACATAAAAATGATCCAAACGACAGATGAACGATGTAGGCTCAAGCAACGGCATCCTAAAAGTCTGGGCCAACAACATCTTGGCACTTGAATACGACGCCTTGTCATACCGTACCGACTCAAATGTTGGAGTTGACCAATTATTCTTTAGCACCTTCTTCGGTTCGTAATTACCTCGATATTTTTGCTTTATATTCACACGACGAAAGACTCACCCCGTATCTGTGTATATATAGGTGGTTCTGATTCATCATGGGCCTCAACTTCAAACACTTATACCCTATACAAAGACGTGAGTGCGATACTCGGCAACTAGGTGAGACCAAGGAGACAAAATGTAGATCTCGTCTTGAAACAGCGCTGGTTCGCTATAGTTAGTGTATAGATTGTTATATAAGTGCGCACATTTTGCATATAGTCATATATTTGGGAAATAGAGAACCTCACATACAAAAACGAAGCAGGATCGATTTCTTTTATGTAGCGATCGCTTGCAACAAATAGCCTTTCTCAGAACGAAAAGATATGTGAGGTGTTGACCTGATACCTACTAAGGTTATCGGCCTTTTTCTAAGACACTTCCATTCCAATCAGCAACCTTTGACCCCCAAATTGTGTTTTGCGAACCAGAAAATACACACACTGCAGCAATACGAGAACGCTCAGATATGAGAGACTTGTATGCAAGGATATCGAATCTGTACATACTATTTACTTTGCTCTCACTACTACTGCTATGTACACCAACAGTTTCTTCCCTTGCACCACATGAAAAACGAGCTTCCAAAATCGCCAGCTCGTGGACACTGAATACAGTCGCACTCGCAACTGCGAACTTCACGGATGGCACATTGTGGAATGGACATCCTTTGCAGAGTGAGTTTTGCTGGTTGCGATTCATTTTGCAATAGTTTTGTTGTGGTGGACGCGGGTAGCAATCAGACGAGATAAGATTATGGTATTGGCCACCAAATACTACATCACTGTACTATTGTCGATACAATCATTGGATAACACGGCTCAATTCAACTAGATCAACAGCCGAACGCATCACCATCAACGGATCCAGTAACTGGTTTACCTGTTTTGAAAATCACGTATCCGGCTGCGTCGTTTGGAAGTGCAGGTATATATTCCTGTTATATGGATACGTATTTGACAAGTTACTCATCACTCGAAATTACTAGGCGGTGTCTCGTTTTATACCAGCGTGCTCGGCATCACACCGTCAGAAACAGCATGGATGAATTACTCAGTGTATTTCCCAGCTGGATTTAATTTCAATCAGGGTGGTAAATTGCCTGGTGAGAGAGACTGATCTGGAAGTGGCTATGATCACATTTGCGGGTTTGGTTTTTTGTTCTAAACGGAACGAAACACAATATAGGGATCTATGGCTCCTCAGCACCAGACTTGTCAGGCCAATGCGCTGGTGGTGTCAAGACAGATTCTTGGCAAGTTGTGAAACCCCCTCTCCGAGATCAACTTGCTGGTTTTGTACTCAAGCTAATTGCTTTTTTCTTCGCTGTACACAGCTTCACAGTCCGCATGATGTGGCGCACAGACGGTGCCGGTGAAGCATACGCCTACCTCCCAACCGCAAACCAAAACACGCTGTGCGACAAGACGAAATACAAGAACAATTACTGTAACGATGAATACGGATGGAGTTTGTCGCGTGGTGCATTCACGTTTCCGACTGGGGCATGGACGTCGATAGCAATTGGGTGTCAGATGAACACGCCGAGTGTGGGTGATGGTGGTTTGGGAGTGTGGGTAAATGGAACGCAGGTAATTGGGTACAGCAATATCCAGTATCGGAATACAAGTGCCATTGGGGTGAACTCGGTGTTCTTTAGTACGTTTGTGAGTATTTGTCGACAGAATGGGCTCGTTTCTTTTTGGCTGATGGTGTATTGACCTCATGGTTTGAAATTTTAGTTTGGAGGGTCTGATAATACGTGGGCTACACCTGTAACAACGTATACTTTGTATACGAATGTTACGTACTCGTATACGTAAGTGAATTGTTTATTGATTCAAAAGTTTGCAATATTTCGCCAGGCCAAGTAACCTTCTTTTGGTTGGCTTCAAACAGAGGCTCGAATTTAGTCATTGCGGGATCATCAGCTACGTCAATCAGGACCGCTGTGGAAACACTAGCACTTGGGCTCATCTTGTGCTATTTAGGAGCCCTGATATGATCTTAATTAATCTGACACAACAAAGTATATCTTTGCTTCAGCTTATATACACAATATGTATTTCTGTCTGTTACTACACATTTATATCTCATATGCAATCACCATGTTCATATCCTCTCAAACACAGCTACAAAAAACCCACACGCCAAATCCTCTGCTGAAGAAACTCTAATAACCTTCTCAGCACCATCAAATACAGGCAGCCCACGTCTCTTCCACGTTGACAATACCTCTTCCTGCAACCTCCACTTCTTGCCATTCTGCTGCAAAGCCTTCCTAACAACATCCTCATTCTCCTGCTGATGTATGCTGCACGTTGAGTATGCTACTCGCTTCACAGTTTCGAACGACAGCGCATGGTTCAATAGAGATAATTGGAAGGTCGATAGTGATTGCAATCTGTCTGCTGTTGTTGCGGTCATTTCTTCAGTCTCGTCATCTTCACTGGATTCTAAAGGGTTTAGCATTCCCGAACCAGAGCATGATGGATCTAGTAATATACAATCTACGTGGCCTAGTGACGCAGGTGTTGCTTCCAAGAAGCTGCCTAGATGTGTCATCACGTCTGACAGAAAAGTAGGTGTGAGCAAGTTTACATACTACAAAACACTTTGAACTTTTTCGCATACTAGAGCATCCAGCTTGCGTCATCCTGTTTTTTAATAATTTAAGACGTCGTGGATCCATATCAAAAGCGTGTATGGTACCCTTGTTTTGCATCAGCATGGAGAGATGGGATGTCTTATTGCCTGGTGCTGCACATGCGTCTATTACGATACTTCCTGGTTTGGGATTGAGTAGGAATGCTGGGAAGCATGAAGCCTTGTCCTAGAGAGTGGGACCAGGAATGAGTGGCATAATTTTCTGGGCAATTTCCGAAAATACTCGGTCGCGAACCTGAAGAATCATGTTTCCCTGTATGACCATCTCATCAAGATGTAAATCAGTCCCGTGGGGCAGCACCAGCAGATTCGGAATGTGAGGATCGATCGTCATTAATTTTTTCTTGTTTGTTGCCAAGTGTGTTTCAGACGCGAGCACAAGGCCATAAGTCTTAGAAAGAGAATCCAGGACGGCCTTGAGCGTAGTCTTTAATGTGTTTACTCGAACGTATCGAGGTATGAGGTCTAATTTCAAAGGAGCTGAGTCAACTACTCACAGATCGTTCCATTCTCATGCTTCTAGGATCATGAGAAGCGAAACTCTTCTGTAACTGAGGCTTATTGAATCACATACCAGCTACTTTCATCCGTTCAGGTATCAAGTCAGAGTTCAATTTAGCCTTCCTCCTGACCTTGAGTTTGATGAACTCTGACTGCATCCTTGACTTGTGCTTTGCCATGATAGCCTTGAATCGTCCACTGACACCATTTCCAATGAGTAGATCGTGTGAGAGTACGAGAGCTAGCTCTCGTGACATCTGGTATGGCAGGTACAGACAGAGAGTGAATACACGATGACAACCCTAGCATCTTCGCAATGAATTGCTATGTACCTTCCGTTCCTGTTTGAGCAATGCAGCTTGCTCAATGACATGCGTCAGTGCTTCTCGATCTAGATTTTGAAAGTAACAAAAAAAGTCAATTGATAGCGATCAGAGCAATGGAGCGGTAGACCAAACATTTGTCGTCGATTACATACATTTCAGAGTCTCACATATCAACCCATAGAGTCTTTTTTTGTCGACGGACTCAGCAGTTTTGTAAACCAATGACTTTATGGTCCCAGCTTTTTCATCCAATTTGACAATAATGTCGCTGGCCGTCTGATACACGTTATTGCTGGTAGTGGCTACACTCCCCTGGCTTGCATGGTGTTTGGTTGCTGACATCTTGACGTGTGCGTCTGCTTCGGGTCTCCTGAAACCTTGATATGGCTACTCGACTAGAGAACTACGAGCGGCAACCGCACCAAACAATGTTGAGGGTGTTGCTAATAAGCTTACTGGGAATCCAACTCGTGAATTCTCACTTTATAGATCTAGCAGATACCAGATCGGAACCTGCTGCTGGTATACCAAAACTGAATGCATCTGCAACATGGGTGCTCAACATAAACAGCTTGAAACCAAACTTCCTGGCGAGCTCATCCTGGGGTGGTGGATCTGTTTCTGGTATGGTAATTGCTTCCTCGCTTTTGGGGCCCGTTTGATATTGTCTAGCACGTGTAATACGCGTCCATCATTTTGGAGCCGTTTTTCCTGAATCGGATCTTTCGTCCCCCAATCTACTCGAGATCTATTTTGACTTCATTTATCAACACCAAATATTCTCGGATTATCTATAACAGGCGTAGACACTTACGCTTCAATCACCACGGATCCACGCAACAAGAGTACCGCTGGTACGGGATCTTTCAAGGAACACATGCAATGAACTTTGAAAGTCAGTAAATAACAGGCTTCCTCTTGCTAGCCATTCAAGTTACCTACCCTGCTGGATCATGGACGCCCTTGTCACCAGTTCCAGGTAAGTTGCGACACGACACCTCACGAAACATAATTATTGGCTTTCTTTCGGACCAGCACAGTAAATCTAACGCCATATCTCTATTAGGAGGAGTCTCATTCTTTGCTAACGTGATTGGATCAAATCGAGTCGCGACTTCTGCGCTGCTACATTACGATGTCTACTTTCCATTGGGCTTTGACTTTCAGCTTGGTGGCAAACTCCCTGGTACCGCTCCCGTGCATGATACTGCAAATCCTCATTCCACTCAACCGCAATCTTTTCTTTAGGTCTCGCAGGAGGCAGTTCAGCAGACTCGCTCAACAACAACTGCCAAGGAGGCAACCACTCAGACTCATGTTTCAGCATCAGACTGATGTGGAGAACGTCAGGTGTTGCTGAAGCTTACGCATACCTCCCAACATCAAACAATAATTTGCTCTGTGGCCAAAAGGGGAATGTGTGTAATGACGCGTACGGGATATCAATCAATCGAGGGTCGTGGAGTTTTGCAAATGCTTTGGGGACTTGGACTAGTATTACTGTATTTTCGCAGGTGAGCATGTCGTATTGTGCAGCAAATGTCTAATGTGAGGTTGCTGATTGAAGGAAGACATAGATGAACACACTCGGAAACTCTGATGGAATACTAGGAGTCTACGTAAACGGCTCACAAAAGATATACAACCAAAACATCCAGTATTCGACTACGCCTGGAGAAGGAGTGACTAGTCTCTTCTTTAGCTCCTTTTTTGGAGGATCCAGTAAGAGCTGTCGTTATTTGACTCTCAATAAGTACTAACTACTCTTTCTTTTTTTCAGCGATCGATTGGGCAACTCCAAACCAAACATATACAATGTACAGGAGCATCAACATGTCGTATCAAGCGACGCCAGTGGTGCAAGTGAGCAAAGCATCAACAGTCCAGCTTCCTCATTTGGTATTGGTGATGCTCATTCTGGTGCTCAGTCTGAGAAATCTGTGAATACCCAAACAGATACTCTGTATGCACCGAGATCTGTAACTAACTGTTTCTTATATGTGCATTTTGTAATCTGATATGTCTCTCTTTTGCTATATACCCTGTATACTCATAAAAATACCAACACTGCACTTCTGTACAAAGAGATACATGTTTCATGTTGAGCATTTTTATTTCTGGCCTTCCAAAATGTGGAGATTTCCAAACCAGCTTATCCTTTATACATTCCGTTAATTTGATACAATTACAACTCTTGTCTCCCCTACTTTCCTTACGCCATAAGAGCAGCCGGTGAATTCTCAGGCTCCAACCCATGATCGACAACATCCTCCTCCTGCACCTCCTCAATACTCTCCAACGACGACTCAAACACAGGCGTCATTGGATCGGCACCAGGCAACGGCTCATTATATTTCATCAACCCATTCCCTTCCTCGTCAGACGCATCATCAGATTCACTGTCAGACTCGAATGACTGTGCCGGGTGGTGGTGTAGCGATGCCTGTTTTACATATTGTGAGTCGGTGGAGGATGAAGGCATGCCGGCTTCATCGTCGATTTCTTGGCCTTCGTCGTATGCCTGTTTGAATTTGTTTTGGAGGGCCATGCGGAAGTAGTCTTCTGGGCGGACTACTTGGGGTGAAGCTTTTCGTCTGCGTGGGTTGCCTATGCGTCGATTTGCGTCAAACAAGTTATTACAAGTTATTTCCAAACATCAGCGGGGCCGCACACATACCAGATGGAGTACGAGGCACCGGTTTCAAATGCGCGCCGGCAGCAATAGCATCTTTAAGCAATGATGGGAACCTAGGTTCTATAAAAGAAGGAGACCTCAACGATGCATGGTTCGATGGTTGGAATGCCCGTTCAGGTGCCTTCAAATCTGCAGCTAGAGACAGTAAAGAAGGCATTGGCGGCATCGGTGGTGGCGGCGGGGGAGCTGGAGGAGCATCACTAGCAATATATCCATAAGCACCTTCTACATTCGCCCAAGGTAAGTCCAACAAGTCTGATGGTAGCGTTACAACCCCATCATCCTCCTCATCTCCTAAATCACCACCGTTTATAGACGCTAGCATCCATTTCAACTCAGCGCGGAGATTCTCTAGTCGTTCTGTAAATACTTGGAATTGCGGTTGGTATTTTATGCCGATGCGAGATGCGATCTTTGATGTGGCTTCTAATACGAGAGTGGCGACTAGTTCAACGGGCAGTGCGGGTAACCATTGTTGTGTCGTATGTACAATTTTGTGGATGAGGAGCAACCATGTGGGGGCAGATAATCCACTTGGTTCAGATAGTTCCTGGCTGGTCTCGTCCGTTCCGGCTTGAGAGGACGACGAATTGTCATTATTTTGTTCGATGCGAGCTTGATCGATACTATGCACCGCATCCTCGTAGCCCAGTTCGTTCTCGTAGGTTGCTAGCAATTCGTCAATTGACTCGATGATTTTCTTTGCTGCTCGTGCTCGTTTCTTGTTCATCAGCCTGATTTCTTCGTATGCGTGACATGGTATCTTGCCTAGCCAGGACCGACCGCTGCTCGTTACCTTGATGAGAGCGCTCTCTTGGTCGTCTTTAGATTGTGGTCCCAACATACTGTTTGTTTAAATGTTTGGGGTGAAGAGGTTAGTTCCTACTAATTGTGCACCAAAATATCAAAATTCTTACCTTTATATTGCAGGTGATGTGTCTCTCTACTGCATTTCGGCGCGTATTCGTGCCGTTCTCTGTACTCAACGTAGTTTGTTTTGACAGCTTGAAATTTGAGACAAATTACGGATCACGACCAAACTGACGGACGTGATGAAATGCAAACCCAATGCAAACTAGATATTTTTAGATAAGTAAATACAGAGGAATTTGTACACTATTAGTTTTTCACCGCCGTCAATTTTTGTTTGGTTGGGCTAATCTAGTCAGAGTTGTGATGACCATCTCCTATAGATCCATGACCACCTCTTATAGATCCAGCTGCTGGCTCATTCGGGTTATCCACGGCCCTCATATACGCTGCCAGCCGTTTATCCTCAAAGTAACTCCCATCAGACACCCTCACCAACACACCGATTACAGTAGTAAGGAAGAGACCCCATGCAAGACAGCAAAACACAAATACAAACCCGAGGAATACCGGGCCTCCTACTTCTCGGTAGTATTCTGTAATGCCAATAACAGCTATAATGGAAAGTCAGTTCAATGTTAAAAGTTGCTTTATGTTTCAACGTACCTGCAGTGGAAGGGAAAGTGGTCGCCCACCACGTGGCATCAATCCTCGTACTTGCAAGCCTCGGGAGGTAGCGCAGGGGCAAAACTAGTTGGAATAAGCCCCAAGAATATAATACTCTGCCAAATATCCCAAACTGGTAATCGCTTGGGTTTAATGCGGTAGCTTTACTCAGTCTCTCAAATGCTACGGCAGCAACGATCGGTGGTGGTATTAGAAGCCACATCTGAGCTGCCTAAATAAAGGAATTCGCGTTAGAGTCGGTTGTGCGAGACAGAGACACACCATAATACGTAACTGTTCCGTGTTTCAAATGCTGATTCAGGATCTGACCCAAGTTCTGATACGTCCATGTATACGAGACCATAAGATGAAACTAAATACAATTTAGATCAAATCTTAAAGCAACTGTTCAACGACGAATGAACTCACCAATCCAGCACCAAACATCAACCAACCAAATTCCAACAAATCAGGAGACTCGGCGCTCAACACAGCAGAGAGAAACCATATAATCACCAGAAACAAGTACGTCGTGCTCGGCACCTTAAGCATTCCATGATCATCATTAAGAGCAAAACTGCCCAATCGTGCAATCATCACCGCAATGTGCGTCAAAGCTCCAATAGCCCAAAAGACATTTATGACATATACAGCCCATGCAGAGTCCTCATATATAGGAGCAGGAACGCCAAGCAAGAGCAAATGGTACGTGATGAGCATCAAGTGTGCGAAATTTGCCCTCACTGGATCTGAAAGCTCCCAAGCTACAATTCGTGGATACTTGTACGCCTTCAATCCATACGTTAAACATGACACAAGAGCTGTCGGCATAGCAAATGCCCATACGACCCAGCTAGCATGAACAGGCACAGGGGTTTGTGGAATTGAGCTCAATTGTTTCAGAAGCAGAGCTTGAGCCTAGTAGCAGACTCGTTAACGTTGGGTGTGATCTGTGGCTTATTTGTAACGTACAGCAATTCCAGCTGCTGGCCCGAATACGCTACATGAGTGAATGAATCAAACTCATGAATGATGTTTGGAACGATTAAGTTCAGGGCAACAACATACGCTCCAAGAGAGGCATGAGGCAGCCAAGCTCCTTCCTCTAATGCAAGTGGCTTGCTCTCCATAAGTCTCGCATGCACCTGTGTGGGCTATATTCGCTGATCGAATGCCATTCTGGGTGGACGACAGCGATAAGCAAAAACGTAAAGTGCTGTGGACTTAGGGATTCATCTCGCGTAAAATAATTGCATTTATTGTATAAAATATCAAAATTCCACGGTTTTCGTGGTTGGGATTGAGGTTGCGTCGCTACAAATTTAGAATCTACCGCGTCCTCATACACTCAGCAGCTAGCCTGTACGAGAACAAGAGCATGGCAACCCTCGACTTGTAGAACTGTCAGAACTAGCATCGCGATGGAAAAGTTTGGTGACATTGACGGACCTTGAACTTTATCACCAACAAACCGAACCGACATTATCACAAACCACTCCTACGAATTTTCCTCACCCCAAACGGACGCTTAGAAACAAAAGGACTCGAGTATCTGAATATTTCTAAGCTCTCAAATACCATACAATCAGCACCCTTCCTCTTCCTACCATCTAATCAAGTCCTGAAATCTACACAAAACATCTGCATCAATAATGGGCAAGCCTTTGATTTACGTCGTCTACTACAGCGTGTATGGACATGTTCGTACACTCGCAAAGCAGGTAAATTTGAATCTTTCGCTTAATTTTGCATCGCATCTCTGATGTTCGGTTGGCATCGTCACATTTTGGATCTATCAGACACCAGTCTCTGACCTACTATACATTTCTCAACATAGAGTGCCGAGGCAATCAACAAGAGTGGCCATGCAACTGCCCAATTGTTCAAAGTTCAAGAAACTTTGCCCCCTGCTGTTCTCGAAAAGAGTTGAGTTTGACTTCATCGGTAATACAATATCAATGCTGACATTTCTTTCTCATATCTTTCTAGTTCATGCTCAGAAATTCGATGATCCGGTATTGAACCCAATGGACTTGCCCAAAGCTGACGGGTTCTTGTTTGGGTTCCCAACACGATATGGAGCTCCTGCTGGCCAAATGAAGTCTTTCTGGGAGTGAGTATGGTTTCCCAACTTGGAGACGTTCATGTAAATCGCGTTCTAACTTTCGTACTCCTGTAGCGGAACGTACGTCAAACTCTGACACTGTGGCATCGGAATTATTGATTTTTTGTTGTTGTTGTAGAGGTGCTCTCTTTGCAAAGGGATCTCTTGCTGGTAAGATGGGAGGTGCCTTTACATCTACCGGCAGTCAACATGGAGGTAACGTTTGTTAGAGCTGGGAGCAAAAAAAAAAGCGGGATTCGATCTTATAATTGCCAACGCTTAGGTCAAGAAACCACAATTGCAAACTTCATCTCTCACTACACTCATCATGGTGAGCAAGTGTCATAGCTGTTACGCGTTTTCAAAGACACTCCTTCCGACTCCTTATTGTAGGAGTGATTTACGTTCCTATTGGCTACACATCCAACATTTTGAATGATAACAGTGAATTGATTGGTGGTTCTCCATGGGGTATGTAATGGTAAGATTCGTGAAAGCTTCCAAATTGTACTTATCTATTCTTTTTTTTTGAATTAGGTGCAGGAACGATTTCAGGCGGTGACGGCTCTCGCAAAGTCTCTGAAAAGGAACTTGAACTCGCTGCTCATCAAGGCCGATACTTTGCTGAAATTCTCAGCAAGTACCATAATGGAAAAGCCAGTCTTTGAAAATACCGCAAAGTGTGCTCAAAGTTGATGCAAACTACGAAATCTGCATTCAAATACAACTCTTCTTTATTCTATATGTCTTGTTGGCAAAGCACCTATTTATAATACGGTTGTGGTGGTTGATACTGACCAGGTCTATACATTAGTGGCTGCATTGGCTGCTGATATGGTGCTGGAGCAGGTCGTTGTCGCGGAATACCACCCATCAAGAATTGTGTTCTGATGGGCCCACCCATTGAGGTTGGATATGCACTATTGCCTCGTCCCATAGCCAGCGCAGCCTGTTCTGCTCGAATATCTTTCGGGTCTTTGGGGATGATGCGGTATGGGTTGCCCTTGTATGATGATATGTCTGCGAATGTGACTACTGGTTTTGTGCCGTGTATTTCACTACAAGAGTAGATAATTGAGTTCAAGTAACATGGGCAAAAGAAAAACAATTGAAGGAGTTATTCTACTGGGTCTTACACTCGATCTAACATATCCTTGACGACTTGAGCAGCAGAATGACTTGTAAACTCCATATACGCCTGTCCCTTTGATTTGCCATTTACTTTATGTTCCTGGAATGTAATCTCATTGATTTTGAGTTGATCTCCAACACCAGCATCTGTAGCAATCAGTTTCAGATCTTCATCGGTCGTCCACTGAAAAACTTCATAATGTCAATCAGTGCCTCGGTGTCAACAATCATAGAAGAGATAATAGACATACCCAAGCGAGTTCACTAATATAAAGCGCAGAAGAAGGAGGTTGCGCCATCCCAGCACTTGGATCAGGTCGTACACTAGCCATACCCATATAACTCTGTCCGCCAGGTATATACTGAGGAATCTGCTCTGTTGGATCAGGTGCTCCATAATTCTGTCCACCAGGTACGTACTGCGGTATTTCAGTTGGGACTGGTGGTCGTATACTGGCCGATCCCATATGGCTTTGTCCGCCAGGTATGTACTGCGGTAAGGGTTGCTTTGGTGGTGGCATGATGGATGCTGCGGGTGTTTGTGCTGTTTGTTGTCCATCTTCAGCAAAGTCTGGTGCGTTATATACATCACCGTATAGATCGAAGTCTTCGTCTGCCATTACTTTGTAGGAGGCTTTGTACGGGAAGCCTAGATTGTTATATAGGTTGATGTTGGATGATAGTTCAGCAATGTTCTGAGTTGATGTTGACGATATTTCAGCAGCAGCTAGTTAGAAACGAGAGTAATGACGAAGCCAGCCTGTTTAAAATGTAGAAGAAACCGTGCTGAATTGTCAGGTACTAGTCTATTTGACTCCCTTTGACTGATGCAAAAGAAACAACAAATCAATACAATTCCAAACTCTCACCCAGACCAGCTTATAAGAAACCAGTCAAGGTGAGATACAAGATGATTTTGACTTACAAGAAATCTATATGTCCTTGCTTCGTGTTACGGCAAGGGTTTTGTTACAGTGGAGCTAGGATCACAGAAGCAATAATTCAAACAACCTGTGCGAGACGACAAGCTCCAGCTTTAGAGCTCGAACGCTAGATCGAACGTGCCCAATCGATTTACTGTCATTTGCTAATCTGACCATAAACACTACCGCATGTGAAAGGTATGCGACAAATTACATTTTGAGGGTGAATATGTATATACGATCTACTTTAGTTTAGTTACAGTATTATTATTCTATATGGCTCCCTTCGACATCAGCTGCTCATCACTAGTATCGGCTGTAACTGATGAAAAGAGAGGGAGCCTGTTTGAAAATCCAAGTCCAACTTCTCTTGAGATAATCGATGCAGCAGCTTTAAATCATTGGTATCTTTTTCCGTTACTACATGTCGTGGCCTTGCGAGTCCGCCAGTTTCTGCGAGATAGCTTTCAACGGCTGCTTCTAGCTGTATCAAGTGTTTGTCGAGACCATTCACGAGCTTCAGAGAGTCTATTGGAAGGCAGAGTACGATGGTGAGCTTATTGTATACGATGGCATGAAAGAATACAAGCACAACTTACGTGTCAAGCCATACAGGTAGTGCACATTTGGTCCGGAGGGACCACTTCTATCTGCTATAATTTTAGCGATTTGTGATATGGGAGCGGGTCCAAGGAATGATTCGTTACTGCTATCAGCTACATATACTAGGACGTCCGAGAACATTGGTATGGTAGCATTGCCGACTGATGGATGAAACACGTCGACGTTATATGTTGAGTATCCGTTCTTTTCCCGATGGTCCAAATGCGACCTGACCGATTCCACATCTTCTGCTGCTATTTTATATACGACACCCCACACTAGGTCGTCTTCATCGTCAATGGTTTCGTCTAGATGACTGAATCGTTCCTATAGTGAGTTACAAAAATCAGTAGATGTCCTTATCACAGCGGTGTTTCAAAAACACTTTGATAGTAGCCAGCTTACCTTCCATTCCTCGGTTGGGAGCAGGGTAACGACGCGTCCTGGAGCTTCGTGAGTTCCGCGATGGTCAATGGAGCCTAAGTTCAAAAGCAAAAATGGATTTAAGTCAAACTGTCGACATGTGTTTTAAAAATATCACTTGCAACGCACCTTGCCAGAATCTCCTTTTGTAGCCTCGTATGAATGCAGAGGTTTTGAATTCATACTTGAAATCAGCCTTCCATATGAGGGAGCCATATCCAAATACGAGCATTTTTGTTATGTGCGTAAAGGGTGCAAAGTTTCTTGTGGGCGGTTGGGACAGAGAATCACCAGTTGTGTCGAGAGATGAGGGAAATGTGGATATATGGTAGCGATGCAACTATTCTTCTGTTATTTTTTTGGATTGAGAGGTTGTGGGGATGGAGAAAAAGTCTTTTGCCCATCGACCGAATTTTGCAACAGGATGGTGCAATATCTTTCGACACTAGGGTATCACGTTTTTTAATCTCGCCGCCTGAGCCTTGGTAAGAGAAAGGCACCTATGCTATAGTCCTATATAATAAATTATTATTTCATCCAACGTCCTGACGTACGCTTTCGAACAACCCACTCTTGTTCACCAAAATCGTTGTTTTTTGCTGTCGCGAGATGCAACTGTGTCCGCACTTTCACGTGATTTTGATGATCGAATAATATCATTTTATTCAGTTTGTCATAGCACTTACCGACTTTGGTCCTCATTGCAAAGTTTGGCAGTTTGACATCACTCCCAATTTCCCGACAACCAACGTCAGAAAACTTCACAAGCTTCGCATACACGCCAACATTGCATCGACCGCATCATGATCAGGATATCGTTCTTGCTGATAATCGTTGCTCTCTGCGTTGTGAATGCCATAGGTAAAAGCCCTTCTATTCAGACATTTACGCAACAAGCAAAATCTAACGCTCACAACATATCTTCTCACCCATAATCACCATCTAGTTCTATTGGATCACCCGATCGCTGATCAAGCTCCACCTTCATTGCCCCAAGTCAACTCTTCTACACCACATTGCCTTGGCTGTGATGCATCAACAGCAAAAGCTCTCTACGGACGCGATCTAGAACGACGCTCGGGTCACATCGAACCAACACCAGACACATCCTACGACGTTAACGGACGCGGCACAGTCCGTGTCCTAGTCCCTAGAGATCGATACGAAGCTCCCAATTCCGCTACTTTGTTACGAACACAGCAGGCATGGGCTCAAGCCTCAGGACTCTCTATTCAATGGGTGCCCATGGCTTCAGGAACAACATATCAAGATTATTTGACTGTGGTGCTCGAAATGTGTAATCAGACTGTTGCATCGTTTACCAGAAGCAGCTCGGTACAGACGTCGGATTACGCACCCATTGATCTGGTTTGGATTGATGCTGCCAGTGGTGGTATACTCAGTGACTGCTTGATTGATATGTGGGGGTGGGACTCGACTCTTGGTGGTGGTCACAATTCAGTCATTTTGAATGGTGGTGTTGTTCCTGCTGTGAACAATCGTACCAAGCGATTAGGTAGTTTTACGTCGCTCTTTTTGCATTCGCTGGTCTCAAAGCACAATTAAACCTTGTGTTTTAGTGAGCTTGCCTGCTGAAGCTGACTTTGGACTGATGTACTACAACTTGGACATTCTCAACCGTTATGGATTCTCCGAACCTCCCAAAGACCTTGCAGAGTTTGAAACTCAATTGACTACCATCATACAAGCAGAGCATTCTCTTGAAAACTATGGATTGTGTGGTATTACCTCAGAGTACTCAGGTATTCTTCTGTCTCACTATTTTTTTTTGGCTTGACTACTCACACGTTTTATTGAATAGCAACGGAAGGATTGACAGTAAACGCAATCGAATGGATTAGACTCGGCGGTGGCTCCATCCTGTCCTCTTCCCTAAACAACGTAACTGTCGCCACAACGGCATCAGCCCAAATCCTCGTTCGAGTCGCTTCGTGGGTCACATCCAATCTCATCGATCCCCGAGATTTGTCATCAACATCAGATGCAGACGCCGTGAATCGTTTCTTGGATGGCAAAGCCGTGTTTTTACGATCTTGGACGGGTGTTATTAGATCCTTACGTGCTTCGTCTTCATTCAATTGGGGTGTTATGCCGATGATTCCATTGGAGAATAGTGGCGGAGTTAATCCTAGTGTGGTTGGTGGATGGTGGCTCGGTGTTTCAAGAGCTGCCGCAAACCCTGCTGCTGCTATTCGAGTTGTGAAGTATCTTACCTCGTTGGGATACCAGAGGATGAACACTATCAACGGTGGTGCTAATTGGATGATTCCTACGTATCCCTCCCTTATGAATGGTAAGATTTGTGGTCGTTGGACATTCGTCTCCATGATTGATCCTCAGTTTTTGTCCTCGCCTAACATAACCTCAACCATACCATCAGATGTATCCGTGGTCAACACAATCGGCTCAGACGTCGCCAACCTCGTCCAAAACGTCAACATCACTCTCCGCCCAGCACTCGCAACCTCAAACCTCTATGCAGCCTTATCATACCAAGTCTCAACAACCGTAAACAGCGTCCTACTTGGTCAAATCTGGGTCGTGGACGCTCTCGGAACTCTAGACACAAGTCTTCGAGTCCTACTAGGCCAATCCTTACTCAATGCACCCAACATTACCAACATTGATTCAAGTCTCAATAACGGAACTACCACTGGACGTGGTCACGCGTCGCCGTCATGGCTCAAGACTCAGCTTGGTGGACTGCTGCTTGTGGTTGCGCTTACGTGTGCCGGTGCTGCGCTCTATAAGAGGAAGATGATGCTGCAGAGAAAGAGAAAGAGTGATGGGTTTACAGAGCTAAAGGAGGAAACTGAGGGACCAAAGAATGTGGAGGTGGCTGGGATTGTGGAGATGGTCAATGTTGAGAGGACACAGAAGCAAACACTTGTGTAGAACTTCGAAAACATGAGAAGCTTGATTATTTGCCAAAAACGTGGCGTCACAGTTGTTGAATGAGGAACTGGACCTCGCGTAGTTCTGGCTTGTTTGATGCGTCCGTATATCTAGCAAATGCGAAATCATTTAGTCTGCCTATTCCTCATGTGCTTATAGCTCACGATGAGACTCGAGTCAGACCATTTACTTCACTTTTCTAGGACATTGACATTCATTGTGTACCCACGAACATCACAACCATGAGGATTGTTACATGGAATATAAATGGCATCAGATCCATAGATAAACCTCTCATGCGCTTTGCCAGGAAGGCTGTTGAAGGCACTGACAAAAAGCCTCTCCCATTTATGGAGTTTCTCGTTGAATCACACAAGGCTGATATTTTCTGCATGCAGGCAAGCAGTTTATTACCTTTTAAAATGAAGCTTTGATTGTTGTTATTATGTCTTTCCCTTCCAATTTCCTTGTTTTTCGTATTGACATCAAACACATCTCGACACAACAGGAATCGAAAGTCAACGACTTTGCCAAACTAACTCGTGACTTTGTATGCATTGACGGATACGACTCGTTCTGGAGCTTCCATCAAAAGAAGGGAGGATACTCTGGAACGGCCACCTATTCGAAAACTGGATTGACAAAAGCTGCATTTGAAGGCATGGGCAATATCTCGTACGATAAATAACTGGATTGACTAATACTGCATTCAAAGGCATGGGAAATATCGCTTTTGACGATGAAGGACGAACAGTCATGACGGATCATGGCGCTTTCGTGCTCTTCAATCTATACTGCGTCAACTCTGGATCTGGATCTGATCGTCGTGAATACAAGATCAGATTCCATGAAGCTTTGAGGGAACGATGTAAAGAATTACTCGCGGAGGGCCGTGAAGTCATTGTCTGTGGAGATATAAATATCGCTCATACTGATCTGGATATATGGAAACCGGAACGATATGCAGATAGTCCTGGGTTTCTTCCACGGGAAAAACAATGGATTGATGATCTCTTGGCGGATGGATTTGTTGATGCGTTTCGGCACTTTCATCCGGAAAGGAAGGCGTTTACGTTTTGGGATATGAGAACTGGTATACTATAAATTCTTCCACTGGTTTTCTTTGCCGCACGACAAGCTGACAACCTCTTTAATCCAATTTAGCTGGAAGAGACAACGACTGTGGATGGAGAATTGATACGTTCTATGTATCTCGTGGACTTGTTGACAAGATGGTTTCAATGGATATTATTACTGATCCTTCGCTTCCTGCCGTGGCAATGTCGGATCATAATCCTGTATTCTTGGAACTCGATATTGATCCACCATCGCCATTGTATCCTGTGCCTTCGAATGCAGCAAATCTACGTCCGGAGTTCAAGCCAACAAGGGTGAGGTTTCTGTTACAGTAAATCAAATGTCAATATTGGAATTGACCCCATATTGGTTTTTCGCTAGTCAATTACATCCTTCTTTGCTCCCAAAACGGGTAAAGCAGGTTCGAATACGACAATCTCAACGTCAGACACGAAACCAAAGATAGATGACACGGCCAAAAAGGTGCTGCTTGTGATATATGCACTTTACTCAGCATTGTGGCGTCTCCTTTTCCCCCGCTTGCTTACTCCTTCTCACTTTCCTTGGTCAGGATCTGCCAAAAGCAAAAGGCAATACAGGCTTCTTCAAATCAACAGTTGAAAAGAGGAAGGCTACGGAACATGAAGATGAATCTGGCTCCGAAAAGAAGGTTCGCCAAGAATGATGACCTCTAGTGCAGAAAGACAGGACAAATCCCCACTTCGAGAGTATATATACTATAAAAACGTGTACACAAAACCCCTCATGTTGTAAAACAAACTCAGCAAAGATTAATTAGATAAAGTGTAATTACATTCTCACCACTACTATATTACTATTTCACAGAATTCAAAGGCCAGCCTCTATCCTTAGCTAGCTCCAAAAACACAGCTTGTTTCTCCACTTCCCAATGTTCCTTCCTATTATTCAGCACAGCAGCTCTCCTTGCTGCTCGTTCATCTCTACCACACCATTGAGGCGTAGCATACACACCAGTAAACAGACTTTGACCTTGCCCTGTTCCAAAATTGGCAACTTCTACACCTATTTTCGGATCTGCTATTATGGTACACCGTGACTTTTCTGGCACATACGAGATTTTGTGATGGGATGCATCGTCTTCGTTTCTAGTATTGCTATTATACGAATGTGCGTGTTCCAAATATTTAGTAGGAACTGGATCAAACACCTCACTTCCAAGATAATCTCCCTTCCTCAGTATAGCAACCAGGTCTCCATACACATCGTCTCGAGGCAATTCGCCAGGATGTGATATAGTCTGGTTGGCGAATCGTCTATACGCTAGAGCTTGTCCAGATTTCACAATGGCAAAGCACGACACGTTCTTGTCTTGCTCGAGGATTACAGTGGATGGACGAAACTCTCGCATGACGAAAGAGTTTGTTATCGTTTGGATTCGTGAGCGTGGCCATCCGATGAAATCTTTTAGGTTGAATATGAATTGGAATTTGCCTTTTTGGTCCTGCGACAAAAAAAGGGAATTGTGAAGAAGAACATCGAGATTTCGGGATTTTCTGACCATTAAAATACCTTTTCGTGAGTAATCCTGAGGATTCGGTCATAATCCACTTTTTCCAAACACACCAGTTCACAAGGTGTGATTGCCAAGACGGTTGCGCCACGAGGCTGGCTATGTATCAAGGCCATTTCGCCAAAACTGTCACCAGAGTGTAGTTTACAGACCTCGGTGGGTTCTGCACCTGGGTCCTTTCTAAAACGAGAATGTTTGAGCGTTTGTTTGAAGGGAGTCCCAATAACAGCAACACTCACCCAATTCTCACAGAGCACGAGCCGCTCAATATCACATACCAAGAAGTACCGACTTCACCTTGCCTAATCACCAAATATGGTTAGCCTTGTCACTGCCTTCATTTGAAAAGAACACCCCCCGTTGCCTCACCTCACAATACTCCAGCCCGGCTCAGCACGACTCCCAATCAAACACTTGGCAGCATCCCGCAACGTCGTATGAGGCAACTTGTTGAAAGCCTTCATAGACGATATATACCTAAACACGATATTATTCTCAGGAGCACTCCGAACACCAATCTTCATCAGCAACTCAATCGGATCTTTGCCATGCGATGTAGTATCATGATCATGCTCATCAGACCGTCTTCGAAAGTTATGTGTAGCTACAGAGTACCTGGTAGTAAGTCTACGACTTTTACGACGGTTGGTTACACGTTCATAGTTTTCTACTTTTGAGGTATAGTTGTTGATGAATTCTGTTACGGTGAAGATGGGTTCGTCGGGTTTGGTGGATTTTGACGTGGGGACGATTAGTTGGGTGTGCGGTTTCTTTTGTCGGAGGAGGGAGCCATGGTCTGGTGCGTGTCGTCGGCTGGACTCGAAGCAAGATAATATGTCCTTGTATAGTGGTGTGGTGATGTCTGATAGTGGTGTATGGGTATCTGATGGTGTTGTCCTTGGGAGAGTACTACTTCTGGTATTTGTTATAATTGTAAGAGCATCCTTTACATCTGCCATGTTTCCAGCACTACTAGTAACTGTCTTAACCGTAAGAGCATCCTTGACTCCTGCATACGTATCATTACTATTGGTCGGCACATGGTTGACCACATCGACAAGCCTCCCCACATTCAGAGCTGACGATTTGGGCAACATGATTTTAGCGTTCGGTTTTCGTCACGATATATACAAACACCCATTCCAGTGCACAAAAAGTGCAGGGTAGGCCCGTACAGATCGAGGTGATTGAATATTTTTGTTTGATGAGATTTTGTTTTCAGGCGCAGTAAACTCGAGTAGTTGCCATCTAGAGCCGAGGTGATATGTATGATTTTATGATGATGTTGATGCACGGATTCGTTGTATCTTTCTGGTGATGAGTGGTAGTAGTCGTCGTTCGTTTGGAATTTTGCTGTCACGTTCGTGCAAAACGTAGGCAAATAATCCAATTCCAATAAAGATGAAGGCATCCAGTCTCGGATGGATGAAGTGAGAGTACCTAGTTGCAGCGGCCATCTGTTTGTTAGTGTTTGCAATCATAATGTAAATGTCGTTTTTTTGAATGTTGCGGGTAAAATGTCCAACACACACGACACCAAATCAAAGTTTTACGTGTTAAATGATTATATTGACTATTATTTGACGGTTTTCGTAACATGTATGTTTATGTGTTTATGTACTGACTTGGCTGCGACTTCCAACTGACTTCCTTGACACGTCCTATCCATTCAAAATGATTTGTCGGATCTTCCTACATTTACTTTTCAGCAAGTCCTGGTCTTCTCTACTCGGGAATGACGTTGCAGCACCTCGTCGTTGAGCAACACAAATTCCTAATATACTCAACCGAGGCATCCTTCCTAAAACGTCAAGCAAAACTTCAGTTCCAAGAGACCAGGGCACATTCGACAAGGATTCGACCAAGGGACATGATTCAGCGACTGCAGTCAATGTACGGGCCGTCATATTACAGTTTCCAAATGGTAGAGCCAACCTAGTTAGATTGGGTAAAGATCGAGCCAAGATTGTCAAGGAGGCATCAGTGAGATGGACGGCAGCTCCCAAATACAGTCGAGATATCAGTGGACATCGTTTCGATAACAATATTATAGACTTGTCAGTCATTTCCCGTGCATCAATCAAATCCAGTTCGATAAGGTTGGGGCAGCTTTCTGCAATTGAGTTTATAGGCATGTCACCATGTACCGGTGTACGAATGACTGTCAAACTACTACCTAGACTACGTACTGCTCTTGCTACTACTTCATCTGTTGTTGAAAAGTTTAAGAATGCAGACCTCCGCGAAGGTGACATTTTCAAAACTTCCAATCCACGTAATCGTGTCAGGGCTGGCAATAACAACCTTATAAAAGCGACACCATCCAAGTCTAGCTCAGTCAATGTCGTATTCATCATGGCTCCTTCAATCCACTCTGTATCTACACTTCCATCACCACCCCATAACGGACTTAGTAGCGTTGTAGCGTTTGTTATATTGGCAGGTTCAAAGAATCCGAGCTCATTCAATGATGGATTGGCTGCTAATATGGCCATTAGAGTGTCACTCTGTCTAGCATTCCCAATCCTGAATTGCTTCAATCGACAACATTTTGATGCTACGACAGTCAATGCTCGTTCAACGCCCCATGGCCAGTCTAGAGATAAATATACAAGGCTCGGGTTTGCTTCAATTATAAAGGATAGCGAATCACCAGTGGTGGGTGTTGGTTCGGCAGTAGGGAAGTGTGTTGCTTGATTGTTACCATCCCATTGCAAGCTAAACGTTACAAGACGACCTTTGAATGCTTCGGCTAGTCGACTCAGACCTCTATCACTAACACCTGGTCCTCGTGCTCGGAATTTAAAGTGTCGTAATCGAGTGCAAGCAGCAGCGAGCCCTTCCATTCCAAAATCTGTTATACGGGACGAATCCGATGTTCCAGAGACTATAGATATGTAATCCAATACTGGACAAGATGCTCCAAGTGCCCACTAAAGAGAGACTTTAGGATTAACATGTGCACACACAATCGCGGCAACGCGTCTTTTACAAACTTACGAGATCGTCATCCTTGAGACAGGGTACATCAATCTCTATTCGACGTAGGGCAAGACATCCACCGAGAGCTCTTCTTATAGCTCCTAACTTTAGTTCACCAGTAGCCCAGGCAGTAGAGGTTGCTCTGACCTCGAGCGACCTTATATCCTTTCTGTAATCCTTCAAGAGCCTATTCACTCTCGACACGAGTGGTTTCACTTTCGACTCCCAGTCATCGGCCATTGTAGATACCCTCGCCCACAACGCTGAAGTAGCAGGCCCAAACCATCTTTTGCATACCAGCGAGGCGGACAAAAGAGTTGAAGTTGTAACTCTGTTACGTGATCCGAGTGGTGCATCAGCTGGTAGATGTTGAAATATAGCCAGTAGCAATTCGGTTGGCTAAGCATGGAGAATGTTAATTTAAAACACAACCGTTTCAATAATGCAGTACACGTCTTTGCAGATATAGCCAATATAGTAAATAAATCACGTACCAGAGTACTTGCAGTTAAAGGCTCGTCAACATTTTCGTCGACACTTGGTTCAGTCAGTGAGAATGATGAGAAGACATTGGACGGCTGAGTGGGTGAGAATGGCAAAGGCGAGTCCAGTAAGCCTGTAGATGAGGATGATGTGCTTGCAGTGGTCAGAGAGACTCTTGCGAATTGACCAATCGGAACACTAGGTGATCGGATTACAGAACTTGATGTTGATTCCTGTGATGATTGTGAGGTGCTCCTTCTATGGTTGTTGGATATTCTGAATGGAGACGAGGCCGTCGATCCATTCTGCGTTGTCATTCTTCAATATCAAGTCATTCGTATGGGGCGTCGTGTGGTCGTGTGTTTTTCACAACATTGGAGTAAAGAATTCAAATAATCAGCAATGAGGGATCCTTTACGCGTTTTCACTATACGGAAATTCGATTTTGAAAATACGTTTTGTGTATTTGCCCTCACAGTCGGTTAACAATATGAAAGGAACGTGATATTGAGTGGCCATTGCTTCGACTCTGACTCGGAATTTTACAACTTCTACAAAATTTGACGATGCGATGGAGTTGATATTGTAAAGGTACGAACGTGTCGAAAACTGCAAAAATTTAGCATGAAACAGGTCTGAGTCTTTTCACTAGTGTGAAGTTCGGTTTGAGGGTCGAATCACACCCTCGAGCGTCCTACTGCCGACCACACTGTTGCATTCCTGTCTCGTAGGTTGTTTTCAACGATGACAATGAAGAAAACGCATCCTATATTCCAGCCACAAGCTGTCACTCTTCAGACGCCGGGCGATCACATAGTCCCAATCACTGTGTCCGTAAATTACAACCTACTAAAGAGTAAGTCAGTCTTGTTACATTTCAAGCTTGTTACATTTCAAGGACATCTGACTGATAATCACTTGTTAAATCTCTCCCTGTTTCTGTAATTTAGAGCCAGAAGGACAGCCTGGTCATGAGTCTCATAAACGTAAAGCACCTGAATATCGCAAGTTTTACGTGACATACTCAATTGGTGGTGAAGTGGAGGCAAAGGTGAATTGTTGTGGTGTTGATATGCTACAAGAGATGATTTACTCAATGGAAACATGTAATTGACGCGTTTCTTTACTTAGACGGAAGTGTTTAAACACGACACAACTGTGTGGTCAACGACTCACAACGTGATTGTGACTACGGTATCCTAGAGAAGTCTTGTTTTATTCAGGCTATTAGGCAACGGTCTAACATTCTCAAACTATTTAGCCATTTCTGGCAAATGTACATGCTCATCCACCGACATTTACGTTATGGGAAATTGTTCGTTCAGACGAGACACCAACAGCACCTCCTCCAACACCAGCAGCTGCTTTAACTCGTAACAAGGACGTTCCGAGAAATACAGTAGTGACGCGACCATCAGCTTACTCTGGTCGACGAGGGACACAAGTACACGGTCGACAATCTATGAGTGGAACACCTGCTGCCGCTGGCAACTCTACAGAGCGACCTAGTACAGAAGGATATTCCAATTTCTCAACCACCATGACCGTGAACGCTCCAGTACACGGTATACCAGAAGCTCTTTCGATATTGAAAAAAGATCCACTGTCATGGTTGTCGTTAGCGGCGCCTGATTTCCTGACGTCAGTCACGAAATCATCTTTATCACGACCTATGGCTGCCTTTGTAGAGCAAGGAGCTCAACAAGATTTGGCTCCAGACCAGAATCAACCAACTGCAGAATGGTACAAGGATTTACCGGGTCCTGCACCACATCATTTCGATACTGTCGAGAGGACCCTAGCTTTATCTAGACCCAATTCTCCTTGGGTGACCAGACGAAGAAGTCCACCGAACTCGGCCCAATCTGCTAGTTCTCGACCCGTCACTCCACATCATGGTGCACTGCTACCAGACACTCTAGCAAAGGAAATGTACAAGCCAATGGCAGCTCCCCTATCTGCAAACGAACGAATACCAAGCCCCAAACGAATCATAACCAGAATAGCTACCCCACCATCTCCACATCACTCAGCCAGTGTTTTGAAAACTGTAGGATGGGCAAATGAAGATGATATTCCTCCAAACTCTGTCCTGTATCAAGGACAATCAACCTCGTTGAAGAAGAAGGTATCTGTTAAAGGTGCTGATGGAAAAAACAAGAAAAAGGATTGGAGAGAACCGCACCGACATGTACCAATTACGACTCTGCAAATGAAATGGGATCCATTGTATTGGGGACAGACTAGCATTGAGACTGTCGTAGATGAGACACGTGCTGTGGAAGGAATTGAGAATTTCAAGGTTTCTGTTCATGTTGAAGACAAACTCTTGTCTACTGAGCAAGAACTTGGGTAAATTGAGCTTTGGTGTTCACATTGACCCGGTTTGCTGAATTGTTACTTTTACATCGACAGACTCAACCCTATAAAGATTTCGATTTCGCAAGCTGAAGGAATGCCAGACGTGCCAGTATCTTTTGACGAGCTTGATACAAAGTGTACACCAGTGTAGGTTTAGTTCCAGTTTGTCTAGCCATTTGTTGCCACTACTGTACCTCTGACATTTTCACAATAGCACGGCACGATTTTCACTCTTATCATCACCACAAGTTGTATTTCACCCAGCAGCTCCAAACACACCGCGTTCATCAGTGGTGTACTTTTTGGAATCAGCGTTACTATTGCCTGGACTATTGGGTACCGAAGCGCTCATTTCTCGACTGAAAGAAGAGCCACTGTGTGTGCAAGTGCACGATCGTGATACCATGACGGGCGGGATTATTGAGACTGGAGATTTTGGAATTGCTGAGTTCGGTATGTCCAGGCTGCAAATGTGGTTTATTTGTGCTGAAAGGTCGTGATTTTGACTGGCATTACTTTTCGTCCTTAGATCTATCCGAGCTGACACAAGGATCAACAGAATTGGAGTTGACTTCTCCTATACTCCCAGGACCACGTGTGAAACGTAAGATTATGGCAGTAAACCGAAGTCACTTCGAAATACGGCATCTCATGTAACACGGTTTTTGGCCCCTATTAGACAACAAATCCGCCCTCCCAGCCGGACATTGGCTCGAAACAGGAGCGACACTAACAGTGAAATTGTCGGTACTTCAACCTATTACTGAAGGACGTAAACATGGGCGTTTAACCACTGCACGAGGCGTCTTTGGTCGTGCTGTTATCGTTGCTTCGTAAGTATTGTTCTAGCACACTGGTCCTTTTTGGCATAACGCTGACATTGACAACCTTTCTTAAAGGTCGTCTACTTCGGCAACAAAGGCAATCCGAAACACGATAAATCAAGTCAATGCTGCAGCTTTGGGTGTTCAAGCAACGCCACAAGATACTTCAATTGATACTTTGTTGCAAGAGTATCGTTTATCACCTACGCAGCGTCGTGATGCAGCTTTGGTACTCCATACTGATTCTTGATTTGTGCTTTTTTTGCTGACATTGGCAATGTTTTTAGGATTTGTTATCTGGATACGAGATTGGAGACAAGCATTACCGTATTTTCTACGTGGAGGGTCTTGCAACAAAGGGAATTCAATCTCTAGTATCTCAAGTTTCCAAGTGAGTGAATATGTTCGATTTTGGGAACCAAAAAAGGGAAGTATGCTCATAAGTGGATACCACCGATTAGAGACGACTTTGCAACTCATGTCTTCCACACACCCGACCAATCGTTTTCAACCAGGCAATGGATTGGTTTGGTTCCAGGACTGTTACGAATCCGTCTAGAACCTGACCTTAAAGAGATTCTTTGTCGAGCTGGGACATACCTCAAGGGGCGAACAAGTCATGAGTGTTTTGAAGCCTTGGGAATTCTCAATGATGTGAGTTGAATCATAGCACCCAAAAAAACCTACTGGGAATATCTAAATCTTTTGGTAGATCATACATCACAACCCAACCAAAGAAGTCCATATATCAACACCTCACATCAACATTCGATACCCAACCTCCATACACGTTGACGCTCTAGTCCGAGCATTTGGAAGTGTTCTGGGATACGGTCCTGAAGAAGAAACAGTCGAAGCCTGGAAACGTCAGGACATACATCCTGCACTTCCCCATCGCGACTTTTCCAAACAAGAGCACACCAGCACCAAAGCGCAGCGATGGGCTGCTGAAGACGGTTATGAAGAAATGTTCAACAATGATGAACAAGATGCTGAAAGTGATTTATGGCAAAGAGCGAAACAAAATCTTGAAAGTTCTCATAATTATCGGATTGCTCGTGCACAAAGCCGGACAGAAAATTTCAATGAGGCTTTTGAAGAGATGTTGAGGAGGAGGTATTTGGAGCAGGTTGATTTTATTGGATTTAACAAGGTGTGTGCTACATTTGATGGCTTGTGAAACGCATACTACAGTAGTTGCGTGAAATACTGATTTTTTGGTTGATTTACAGAGACGATACATGAGAGCACCACACTTCAAACGAGAACGAGTTCCTCATACTGGAACCGATGTTTTCAATTACAGTTGTCAGTTGTTGGCTGCTGGTGAAAGACAGTTAGCACAGTTACGGCAAGAGATCGCACAGGTGAATATTTGGATTCGAACTAAATCCTGTGCTAGTGCAACAATATTGATTCTTTTTACTTCTCACAGGACAAGGACCACATATACGCATACGGCCCATCTCACATTCTACCACCAGTCGACGTTGAAGCTCAAGTCAGAATACAAGAACGAGAAGCACGAGTGAAATGGATTACAAATCAAGGTTTCAATGTGTACCCCATCAAGAAACCGGCAAATGTTATGGTGCCTAATGGATTGAACAAGGATGACCCATGGCAAGAGAAGAAGCATGGAGATCTCATGCCTGGAACTGCTCTCAGGATGTGAATATTTTGATGTCGATGTGAAAAATTAGTACCTTGTATTTTGGTTGTACTGTCTACATGGAACGTAAAGTTTACAACCTCAATGGAATATGTTGTTTGTGCCTTTAGTTTTTTTTTGTTTTCGGACCTTCATCTTGGATTGTCAAGAGGAATCCATTGTCATCCGTCGTTAGCTGCATCTGCAAATATTGCTATTGTTTCTTCTTGCTGTCAAAGATCGAATTATGCGTGTTTTGGTGGATTGGCGCCTCGAAGCGAGTGATTTCGATTTGAGAAATGTTATCCTGTTGTCGGTTATCCGGCAAAAAACAGTTGCAAAACGAGACAAAAAAATCGACATTTTTTCCATCATCAAAAAGAAGTCGAAGCGAGCCGGTTTCGAACTCGTGCCGTTTCTAAGGGTGGGTGGGTTTTGGGCAATCGTTTACTTTTTTAAGTCAACGATTGCTTGAAATGGGATTAAAACACCGCTAAGTAATGACCGGTGCGGGGGTCACTTCTTTCTATTCTGATTTTGCCACAATTCTGTTTTGAACAGACAAGACACAAGAGCAAAAGGCCAAAGCAGTCGGATAGTAAACAGTAACCGGAACAGTAACAGTCAGAGACGTGTCTTCCAGAGGTGACTGATCTCCATTCAGTTACTCGTTTATTCATTGATTCGCTGAGACGATGCGTGACAGCCTACTGCGTTATTAAGACGTTGAAACCCTCCATTCCACCAAAGATGTGAATTTAATATTAACCTCTCCTTGTACATTGGTAAACTACTAGTCCAGAATGTACAATTTACAGCCCAGCCTCATATACATTGTCGTATCATCTTCTATTCTCTGGTGTATTCCCGTTCAATAGCCTCGATTCGTTGTTTTATCTTGTCACGTTTGTTACGGATTGACTCAAGATGAGCGACATCGAAGGCATGTCGTTTGTATAGGGACATTTGACGTCTAGTGAATGCGATATTCGACATTGCGTCATTAGTTTGGTCTCGACGGAAGACCATCCAGAAAGCGTACGACGCTATGACCCAGAAGTAGCTCAAGAAGTACGTTATTGGTTCCATGATATCTAAGAAGTAAGTGTTTCAAAATCTGGCCCAGAAAAACGAGCACCCCAAAAACGATGAAAAATCGTGGTGCTGTTTGGTTTATCAACCACCTCAAAGAAAGGAAGTTTTTCAATTTTTCAACGTACCCCAACTGTATTCCACAAAAGTAAGCCTCAACATCAATCCCCACTGAGCACACATTCCTGCAAGGAACAACCACACAAACACCTATTTGATTACGATTTGTTACTCATTTTTGCCATGGACTTTTGCAGTTTGAAGAGTTCACACACTTAAACTGATACATACCTGCGAAGTGCGTTCAGCAAGTCTGTCAAGGTCAGACCTGCGAGTTTCCAATACCGTCAATTCCTTTTCCAACGTTAAGAGATCTGTCTTTAGATGAGCGGTTCTTTGCTCAGCTGTTGGGACATTGACTTTGATACGTTCGTTGTTGATTTGCAAGATCAGGCCTCGATCTAGCAAAGCTTGTGATAATATGTCTTCAGATGGGGTCGATTTTGCCCATTGTGCTTCTACGATTGTCAAGATGTAATGTCAGTGATGTTTTCTACGAACATCATGCAAAAAACCAAAGTTAGAAACAGCTATGTACCTGATGGGAACTTGAAAATGCTAATACTCTTAGCAAGTGGATACTCTTCAGCTATATTAGCATACAAGTCCGATACAGGCTTTGTCTTTGTAATAACAAAGTTGACACTTCCTTGAGGCAGATTCAAGTTTAAAAAGACTTGGCGTTCATCAAACGTGAGTTTCGGTGACAAGGGATGGTCTACTGCTGATGTTCCAGCACCGACAGGGTTTAAAGCGGTGGTAGCGGTGAGTGCAGATCTAGAAGAAGTAAAATCACGTCGATTTATGGAGTCTAGCCTTCTGGTAGTCGGGTTGATCGCGTTGCATGGCAACGAATGTATTCGGTGGTTGATGGTGGTCGACGGTGGCAATGGCAGACGTGATGTGGTTGAATTAAAGGGCACGATATTATTTATGATGATCCCTCGTTTCAGTATTGCTGAATTTAATTTAAATGCTCCCCTCATTCTCGTCCAGGTTCGCCTTTGACCAAATCCAAACCCTTGATTAACTAATAGAGAGAGAAGCACACAAAATGGTAAGTTGCTATAGTCAAATTGCAACGATATTTACAGCAAACTAATATCTCTTGCCTTGTTCGTATAGGGCAAGAAGCGTCGTGTAAGTTATTCAAACTGTTGTTGCAAGATTGAGAGAATCGCAGATAGATCCAACAACAACAACGACAACGGATTTCTCAGTTCATTTTCGTGTTTAGAACGATGATGACGACGAAGAAGAGCAAGACGACGATGAATATGACAAGAGAAGTCGAAAATCAGGAGGACCAAGCTCATCAAAGTCTGCGCAAAAGAAGACGAAACGTCCAGTCAGTGAAGACGAAGATGACGAAGAAGCTGATGGAGGCGGGAGAGGATCTAAAGTAGAGGGATTGATACGATCTATTCCTGACCATGTATGTTGGTGGTGATTATTAGTTGTTGTGTGGAAGATTGCCTACTCGAGATGTTGATAAACACACTTACAGGAAATGGACGCCTTGATTTCTGGTGCAGTCAGAGTAGCATTGAGTGCTGAACATGCTCGCAGGGCCTTCACAAAGAAGGAGATTAGTGAAAAAGGTAACCAATGAACAAAAAAACGATGTGTGCATTACAGCCCTATGAGCTCTGACACAATACAATACCCCTTCATAGTGCTGAAGGAACGAGCCAAAGCCGTCAACCACGTATTCGAAGCCATGCAAAAGAGGCTCAAAGATGTATTTGGCTATGATGTCAAAGAGTTGGTACATGTTGAACGACAAAAGAGTTTTGATGAGCAACGTCGAGGTAACGTGTTTTTCCTGGCAATCCAATTTCGTTTTTTGTTGCTCATATGTTTGTCTACTGCTAGCATTGGCAAAGGCCATGAACAAGAAGCAAGCCAACAAGAACAAAACTGGTCAATTTGTCCTAGTCAACATGATGACTCCTCATCTCCAAAACCCATTGGCAGAAGGCTTGATTGAAGAGGGATACGATGTCAAGCAGGACGGTTTACTCACTGTCATCTTATCTTTGATTATGGTGTCTGGTCGTGCTATCGACGAAAGTGAGCAAACGTATGACCTCTTGGTCCTTCACGTCCTTGATCTTTGTTTTTCTTTTTATGTTCATTTAGAAACTTTGGAAAGCTATCTCCGCAAATACTTTCACGTCTCGTTGAAGTCAAAGGACTCTGAATTGGGACTCGTCTCAGATGTGCTTGTGAACTACACCAAGCAACGGTACCTGATACGAATCTCCATGCCTAGCGCTGAAGGTGATGTGGTTGAATATAAATGGGGTCCCAGAGCTATTGCAGAAATCCCAGAGAAGAACATGATCAAGTTTATTGGAGATGTGAGCTGGCAAAAATGAGTAGTTTTTTTTGCCGTATCCTGACATTACCGAGACTCATAACTTTATCTTTTGCTACAATTAGATCCATGATGATGTAGATGATGCTACCAGAAGGCATTTGGAGTCAACCATAAGGACTGCTGCAGAAATTGAAGTGCCAGAATAAAAACGCATGAAATAGTGGAGCCACTCCTTTATCTCAATGTTTGTGCATAGCAAATCTTGTATTTTTGTGATATATATATGCAGATCAGCTTAACCGATACATCGAAATTCGTGTCTCGAGCCAAACGTGAAGCAAAAACGACCACTGGCATTTTCGCTCAATGGAATCAGCTCAGCTATCAAGCAACCACTGAGAAACGATGCTCTTGTGGCAGATGACTGGGACAGAATTGTTCCAGGTCACGAGATATCTATACATGTCACGCATCAATCGGTGTCCCAGCAACCGAGGTTTTCATTCCCACCTTTTCAATGAAGATAACGACGACCGAAACAAACAACAACCCAAGTCAAGATTGATCATAAGACCGTTCAACATTATAATTTCTGACACCATGGATGGACCTGCTCATGATATCACTCACGTGAAATTAATTAAGCTATCTCATCGCAACATTTTTGATTCGTCAACAACGATGGACGCAACCTAAAATATCTGGCCCATAACGGAAACGCACGAGAATTCCACGAATTCTTTTTTCTTCATTGAAATTTTTGTTGCAGGCCAACACACAGAAATGAGCACTCCTGATGGCACTCCAGGCACTACTCGCCATCACGGATGGTCTGCCTTCAAGGCGAAATTGCACCTACACGTGGATACACCTCCCAAATCCAGCACCAATTCATCAAACACGCTCCATCACACTACCCTAAATGGATCACACGGAAGCTCGTTATCGAATACGCCCAAAATGAGCAGTAAAGCCCAACATTCTCCTACTAGTCCTCATGCTCCACACTCTTTCTCGAAACTCGTCGTTAAAATCTCGGCACATCACGAAGACGGTCCTACCTCGCCTCCCAAAATAACTCCAAATCTGTTGTCGCCTATGCCTGTTCCAACTACTACTCGACCAACTCGCTCCACATCTTCAGGGAATGCGAACTTCCAATTGGCTGTGGATTTCTTCAAGTTGCGTACGGCTAGGTTGACTCAGATTCTTAATAATTCTGAGCTGTCGGACTTGTTCGAGGAGTTTCTCAAGACTATATTTGCTGGTACATGTCGCAATAAAAGGCATTCATTCTTGGACCTTTTTCTGCTACTGATACATATTTGAAATATCTCTTCCACTAAATTAGATGACGCGTTATACGCATGGCAAGACATCGAAGCCTTCCGTATGGGTGCTGGTGGACCACCAAGTGAATACAAATCCTACTCTGCGCGTCCTAGTCCGGAACTTTCTGCATCTAAGCCCAAACTGCCATCTGCCAAATCAATGGACTTTTCGACTAAAGTGGTTTCAGCAGGATCATCACCTGTTCTTGCAGCACCTGTTACAGCACCACCACCAGCACCTAACGTCGCATCAACAGAATCTGCACCTGGATCTCCCAAATCATCGAAACCGGTGGTAGACATGTCACCATATGCTAAACTGCTTCGCAAGACTAGTACGTGTCACGCTATTGTTATTTACATGAAGGTGAGCTTCTATCTCAAACGTTTTCCTAGTCGTTTTTTTCTTTCTTCTCCAACCCATCTACTTTGCTTTTTTAGTATGTAGCAGTCAACTCACCATGTGAGCAAAACGTTCCCATCAAACTGAAAAGGAGTCTCCACACTCTCTTTGAAGAGCTCTTGCCCTATTTTACATTGGTCGACCCTGTCGCACTGGAGGATCCCGAACGTGTTGGCAGCAATCCCGCTGTTTGTGTTTTCGAAGGAACATCCATGGATTCCTTCCCTGACGCACCATTTGTGACTTTTGCACTGTTTGATGAAGTGCAAAAGCACATCTTCCAGGTCTTGGCCTTGGATACCTTGTCCAAGTTTGTTATTACGGAGCCGTTTATGTGAGTTGGTGGAGCCAAGTGAACACACCTTGTTCAATTATAGGATCTCACAAACAGCCATTTTTGTTCGTTCAATAGGAAATGGTGTGAAGAGAACGGCGACGCGTTACAGCAATCTGAATACCGTCCACTCAGTCTCGCAATGGCCAAACAACGTCGTGGTTCTTCTCTGTCGGATATAGAACAGAGTTGCAAGAATCTGGATTCTTTAGCTTTGGAATCTCATCAACGTCGTTCTCGAGACATTTAAATTCAACCAACGTTGCCATGAAGATTTACCTTTTTGTACAGAACCGCTAGTGGTTATACCTTTAAGTAATCTAGTAATTTTGCTTGTCTAAAAACATACAGGAAAAGTAGTCAACATCAACAAAACAAAGCAAGAATGGGATTTTTTTATCAATTTTCGTTTCTTTTGGTGAGACTATATAACTACAAGCGAGGCAAAAAAAGTATATGTTTCTTCTTTATCTTTTTTAGTATCCGAAAGCAGCCAACTTGTCATTGATTGGCTTCAATTCACTTTGTTTTGAGGCAGCAGCTCTAGCCTTAGCACGTACGACAGCCTTCTTTGCTTCATAATACTTTTGTGCCTTTGCTTTACGTTTTTCTTCCAAGGTAGCGACGACATCATTGTACTTCCAACCCAATTCAGCACCCAATCGCTTCAATACAGTATATTTACGGTTTGGTTGCAGACGCAAGACACGTAATGCTTCCGGTACGACGACACGTTTCTTCTTGTCGTATGGTGGAGGGACACCTTCGAATACTTTTAAGCGTTCCAGGGCGGCAGCACCACGGGGAGTTTTGTGTGGGATCATACCACGGATTGTGTGGTAGAACATCCTGGATGGGGCTCGGAAGTGGAAGGGACCACGGGCTGGGTTGATGAGACAACGTTTCTTCAAGTAGGCCAAGAACTTCACTAGAATTTGGAAGAAATAATGCATTAGCAAAAGGGCATTGAGAGGAGATAAGGAATGAGAATCATAATGTCAAACAAGTGACAGTTGCTCATTCAAATGAGCTGTTTTTCCTCCTCTATCTGCAAATCTCGACAGATGCTCACGTTTGTTTCTGAAGAATGAGCCAGATACGTTGATTTCTTCGGTACGGACTACTACGACCTTTTGACCAGACAAGACTTGTTTGGCCACGATGGAAGCCAGACGACCACTCAAATGGCCCTTGCCATCAATCACGATTTCCTAGGTAGAAGCCAAAAGGGTCAGCTCTCTGTTGATGCATACGTGTAGATTCAACGATATATAGATTCTTTGTGTCTTCTTCTCGTGGATGGGATGCAGTATGGTCTGTCTGCGAGTTTTTTTGTTGGCGAGCTTTATGTTTCGACATTTTACAAAACAGTGTTTCTTCCACGTAAGGACCCATAGTGAAAAGATGCTAGAGAATATGACGATGCTGTATGGGAATGCTAAGGATACTAACCTTCTCGAACATCATCTACGAAAACGGAACAGTGTGAGTAAAAGCAAGCACAAAATCAATTGGGCCATGTCAAGACCACTTGCAACTATCTGCCAACATCATCCTGAATATCAATAGTAATAGTATCAGTGTATGCATACCTTGAATGTCTGTTACGAAGGGCGATTATTCCACTTGCTCCTGTTGTTGCTAAAAGTCGAAACTTGCAGTGCGAAAAATGGACAAGCCACACCTTCCCGCTTATGTAATGCTAGGAAAGCTCATGAAGACGAGAACTCGTATTTTGGAAGGTAGAATCGATACATTTTATAAGTGTACATGTGTGCTTGATACGAAGTTTTGTAAGACGCGTTTCTCTATGTGAAAATAGTGGAATTGCAAAAGTTATGACAAGATGCCTCAAATCAACAAAGCAGTCTCAATGACCTGCGATCACCTAGTATATACGGCTGTAGTGATCACATAGCCTGCCACAGTAATCTGTCAGCTCTAATTTCGAAGATACAAACAACTAATGTAGGACGTCAGAGATACTACACTATTATTAAGGGTATAATTACAGAGATGGGCAATACTATACTTTTGCAAACAGTTTAGTAGACACAGACAGTCTTATTATAATGGCAACGAACGCCGATGCTGTCATTGCTGCACCAGCATAAAGGGTGACAGCCAAGTACGCGTTCGAGTACAGTGTGTTTGTGTGATTGTATATGATTCCCGCCAAAGTTGCAGCGAAGAACGTCACAATTCCAGTGGGGCTATTGTAAGATGGAGTGTAAGACTTCTGGCAGTCAACGACAAGAACAGCAAACAACTTACAGATTCACGATACCGTATAGGAATGACATGTCTTTGAGCCCCCAGATTTCCGCGATAGCTGGAGGAGTCGTGGACACATATCCTCCAATTCCGATGCCTTGAAGGAAGGCATACAACAGTAATATTGGATATGTACTGGCAAATGTCCACACGAGGAGGTTGGACAAACCACAAAACAATAGTGTCACTACGAAGGCATTCAGCCTGCCCAGGTAATCAGAGCCTAATCCAAGTCCTATTCTTCCTACGACACTGCAGTAGTGACGAAAAATGTTAGGATAACGAGGAGAAAAAACCATTAACATCCAAACGAATGATACCCTGCAAGGTTAAACACCAACAACGTGATAGCTCCTTGGCCACTCGACAGCCCAATCGTGCCAGCATACTGACTCAGAAACACTATAGGGGCCTGGAATCCAAAAGCACCAAACGTGGCCTGCAGTATAAACAACCACAGTCGAAAATCTTTGAAATACACCCAATTGATTTTCATTGTCGTGGTGTTTGCCTTCCTTTGTTTGATTAGCATCGATACTAGCAGTAGCAGTACGACTGAGTATATTCCGACAATCCTCACAGTCCATTGATATCCCAGATTGTTTAACATGGCTTCGATCATTACAGAGTATGTCAATCCACCGAGACCTATTAAGAACAAGGTTTGGTTGGTTGAACGTTCCATCTCGACAAGTAAAAGTGATTTATTTCTGGTGAAGGAAACGTTTGTCATATTGCTGATGCCAACAGTTTCGTCTACCTGTTCCAGACACGGCAATACCTAAGTTAGGAGTTTAATGTATTTATTAATACGTTGCCATCATCGATCGTTAAAAACCAGCCAGAACTTACCAGTAGCGATGGCACGCTTCTTCAAAAAGTACTGCGATGGAATCGATATTGCAGGGAAAAAGCACTGTGAAAGGAAAGTCTTTGAGATAAGATTCCAGCATACAATATCAAATTTCGCCGATACGCGAGCGACGACCCTAACGACTGACTTACAAGAGCGATACCAATTGGCCCCAAAATCCCTTGCGTAAGCATAATATGCCAAAACGTGGTTCCAAAGGATGCCAGTATATACCCGAGGCCAAAAACCACAGCCCCGATTTGAATGAGAAGTCGAAACCCAAATCTCGGTGTGAGAATTCCAATAGGCGTGCCCAGTAAGAAAATCATTCCTGTTGCTGCCGTACCAAGAAAGGCAAGCGACACATTGTCGCCGTATTGTCCGTTTGCTACAAGGTATCGCTGCCACACACCCCTTAAAGTGAGGAAATGGAGTGATTGTTAGATTCAAGGTTGATCTCTTGACGTTTTGCTGTTGAATTTTGTTGGCCAAACACCATAAAGGAGCAGCCAGATCAAAGCAGGTCTAAATTTGTTCTCGACAAGATTTACCATGAATATGGAGTTCCCCAGCATCTGAAAAGTGTAGTTTAGTTAGATTTGCACCAGCACAGTATTGCGTAAAACAGAAACAGTGATCGGTCAGCCTCCTGTTCGCACTTACATGAAGTGTATGATAAAGGAGGACGCTACAACAGTCCAAGCCTGCAAGCCACCATCCTAAATAACAATGTGAATGTTTCTCAATGACGATGTGTGTTTGTGGTGACTTTCAAAGTGTCAAAAAAAGATGATCAAATGGCCCATGAACAACGAAAAAGGGCACCGAAACAAAGTTTCACCAATAGCTCGTTCCAAATATTACAATCACGTCTTTCAGATCAAGCTTACTCACTGGTGGTGGGTCATCGTCAATTGGAACGACCATCGCTTTCTCTGCGTCCCCATTTTCATTCAGGATAACCAACGGTATATCATTTCTTGGCATGGTATCTGTCAGAGGAATCTTGGTCTCGTGATCAGTCATCTTGTTTCCTAGCTTTGGTTACAGTGCTTCAAACAATTCGAAATCCATGCAATGGCTCTGTCAAAATGGGTGGACTTTAACAAGCTTAACATGATGTAATGTGTTCAGATGACTGGAATTTCAAAGCGATGAACGTCATGGGAGTTTATTAATATTTTGATATATTCTGAGATGTTTTCATTACAGCAAAGGCCAGAGTCGTTGCTTGGATCTCGAGAACTTGATCACAAATCCATTTTCTCCCATTGCTTTGGGCGAATTGTGTACAGACAGCCGGCAAAAGAGACAAGAAGAACACTCTAATCTACTCAATTCAGGTATTCTGTTACGGAACGAGTCTCAATCAAGAGCGATCGCATGAAACAATCCAGCCTAAACCCCGTCTATAGTACTGGACATTTCGCGTCAACCAGTCAATCTTGATGCAAACAGGTTTAATCTATAACCAATTATATGATCACTTTACGATTATTATGTACTTGTTATATAGATGTAGACCTGGTAACTGGCTGGTTGTTGTGTTCATACTCGAGCAAACAATTTCGTTGATCTAGTGAGTCTGATCGCCAATGACGTGAATCCAGAAGCGCTCATAAAACATCCAGCAAACAGTATGACTCCAAGGTATGGATTCGAGAATTGTCCTTGGGTTTGCGTTAGAATTAGACCTGCAATTGGTGCGCCTAAAAAACGTGAACGAGTTAACCAATCGAGCCTGAACAAAACATCAAAACTTGTATCTTGCACTTACCAACGAAGGTGGCTATACCGGCAGGGAAATTTATCACTATTGAATAAAGTTAGCTACAGGTGGAAGATAATGAAACCAATACTCAAACACAGACCTCCAAACAAAAAGGGCAAATCTTGGAAACCCCATAATTCCACAATTGCTGGAGGGACCACACTGACGAATCCTCCTACTCCTATTCCTTCGCAGAACGCATATACCAACAGTAAACCTGCAAGTACAGACAGTCAGCAAGACATGAGCGAGAAAGCAATGCTTGCATCAACGAGATCCATACCATAACTGTAGGTAAAGCTCCAAATAAACAATGTACTGAATCCAGTGAATAGCGTACAAAACACCACAGTGTTTAATCGCCCAAGACTATCAGCAGCAAATCCGAGGGCGACTCTTCCAATCATGCTAAAACAAACCATTTACAAATTTACGATTATTTCCTCTGCACTACACTTCAAACGAACACCAGCAGCTCTTACCCAGCCAAATTGAAAATCAATATAACGAAAGCTCCCTGAGCAGGATTCTCCCCAAGCGAACCTGCGAATTGGGACAGATACACGATTGGAATCTGGAAGGCCAGTGATCCAAAAGCACTTTGCAACAAGAACAGCCATATTCTGTAGTCTTTAAAGTATGCCCAATTCACTTTCAAAGTCGTTGTTCGAGCCGTCCTTTGCTTGATCAGCATCGATACTAGAAGTAGCAGCACCACCGAGTAGATCCCTACAATCCTGATGGTCCATTGAAACCCGAGCTTTTCTAACATGGCCTCAATCATTACACTGTACACTAAACCACCAAGGCCTATGAAAATACAACAGGAGGTTAAGGATTGCGTGGCAATTACCCCTAAATTGCAAAAAACGACTGCGACGAAGTATTATTACCTGTTCCTGACACAGCAATGCCTGTAGCGATGGCCCGCTTTGTGGTAAACCACTGAGAGGCAATAGTGATTGACGGGAAGAAACACAGCGCTATACCAATCGGTGCCAACACTCCCTGCGACAAAAAGAGGTGCCAATACTCGGTGCCAAACGATGCGAATATGTATCCCGACCCAAAACACACGGCCCCAATTTGTATCAACCGCCTAAAGCCGTATCGACTCGTCATTATGCCAATAGGCATGCCAAGTAGGAAGATTACTCCAGTCTGTGAGCTACCCAATGCTGCCAGTGAGACTGTGTTTCCATACAGGCCATTCGATACCAGGTAACGCTGATATACACCCCAAGAGTAAGCGTTTCCCCAACATCTGTTGTGAAAGCAGAGTGAGACGATGTTTCAACCGGGTTTGAGTTGAAGACATAGTGAAGGTCAGAAATGTAAGGAGAAGAGCAACTTACAAGAAGTGAATCAGAAACGAAGATGCGACAATCGTCCAGGCTTGTAGCCCTCCGTCCTGTAAACAAAAGGTATGTAAGGACAGGAACTGCGCGGATCTGAATGCGAAGGCATGTATCGACCCAGAAAAAGTGATCGTGGATGTGTTCAAAAACCAACCACTGCGATGCCAGAAGGCCAGCTTTGAAACACGTACCGGAGGCTGATCTTCATCATCGATGACTGGGATCTTCTTTTCTTCAGTAACAGGTTCAGTTAGTGGTAAATCCTCCACCGTAACAGATGACGAATTAAAGTCGCTGTTTTTGAGGTCCGTTTCAGTTAGATCCGCTTCCTCGAGACCAGCAACAGAAGGTATATATAATGACTTGTCCTCTAGCCCCACAAGTGGTCTGGCAGCCATGACTTGCGAGCGGGCAGTTGTTTGCGTGCTTGGTGCAAAACGTGACAATACAGAAACACGAATTGCGACCAACCTTATTCAATGTGTACGTGTTGAAGGACGTGCTAATGTGAAACTTGCTTGAAAACCATAGATTCGTTAAGGAAAGCATGACCGACCGCATATGTACACCTACCTGTTTCGGTGAACTAACAAACCCAGCAAGAACATGGACGTGTCCTTTGGTTCCATTTGCATTTGTGTGGAGTGGCCGCATTGGATTCCGTGATTCAAAATTCAAGCTGGATAAACAAATCATGGTCTTGAGCTCCTGGTTGAGCTCCTCCTACACTTCATTTGTCATTGCAAAAATAACCAGAGGAACATACGAAATTGGACTCGCTCTAGAAACCGATCATCAACAGACAATTACTGAGCATTTCACGTGCCACGTTCGAGATCAGGGTTCATGGCCTTGGATGAAGCACTCATCATGAGGGACTCTTTCTGCTCGGGTTTTTTTTTTGTAAGTTTTGTGACGATTGACAGCTATCCTCTTTTGGGATGATGATACATTTTTACTCAGCTCACTCAGACGCGATAACTCGCGCATGATGCCAACGTTTTCTAAACATTTAACTGACCTCAATTACTTGTCATCAACATTGTGGGAAGAAAAAAAAGTGCACTTTGCTTACCGGAACCCTTTTCAGTCATTTAGGAGAGTAGCGCATCTGACTCTAGTCATGCCAAATCTTGTGGAAGTTGTTTCGTTCATTTCAGCTGCCCATTCAGAGCTCTGTATTGTTCTATGCAACACACCGTCGAAAATGGTGGTAGCAATTCACCAAGTCAAGGCAAGTCCACAGAATCGGCACAGAATCGACCAATCAAGCATCCAAGTTTTTGATTTGTTTCTGGACACATGAGGGCCGTCTTTCAAGCTTTCATATTTTTGCCACTCAAGTATCGGATAGAGTTTGTAGTGGAGGCTGTACACATAGATGTCGCAATAGAGTTCATATCTGTATTAACTTCATTACAATGACCACGCATTACATATTACACTGTTCAATCTACCGCGACCTCTTTCGGAGAGGTACCAACTGAATTGGCACTGGCAAAAAAAGAACGAGCAGGCTACGCTTGACATCTGCAGGTTTCTTAAGAACAATATGTGTGTCTTAAATTATTTAAGCATACACAGCTATCATATCTCTGTACACGATCCAAGACACCTCAACAACACTTCTGTGCGGCCGGGAAGTAGATAACATCTCCCTCTTCGAGGTCATCGTCGCTCAATCTACATGAGGAAGGAGGCAGAGACAGAGACATTCCTCTATGTGAGCACCTGGATACAACCACGTCACCATACGATTATCCTCGCGACGTCGATGTACAAGTCCTAAAAACGTAAACGTTTCCTCGATGATCTGATCGTCCTTCTTCTAGTCTCCAGTAACGTTTGACATTTGATGACAGACACACCAACGAAGATGTGGAAGCGTTGGGACTAGCCTTCCCGTTCTACAATAAACGCGAAGTTGTTGGCATGATAATTGATGTTGAGCGTTTTGATCCCATTTTCCAGCGCTTACCAACTGTGTGTTAGATTCATTCTCGTTTAGCGAAGACGAAGCTGAATTGTCTCCATTCTTTGGTCCGGTAAGAATATCGTCTTTGTGGTCAGCAATTTGGCATACACGACTTCGTTGAGATTGTTTGAGGAGTTCAAGAACGGATGCAGGTCTCTTTTGACCAGCCATGACTCAATAAGCAGAATGAGCGTACTCTGTAGTTCTCTATTTACTCTCTCGTCGAGGGGTAACTGTGATATTGCCGAGTCGATTTTGAGAGAGAGCATATTTTGGATGGAATTCGAGACCATTCACCATCCTAAAAATCCAGAATAAACAGTAAATCCATTTAGGCGTAGATACTGTTGCTCTTCGTACTTACCACACAAATTAGCACCTTCTTGTCGCAAAAGTCATCAAACCAACAATGCATCACTTTGCTGCGGACCACATATTTGATACCAACAATGGGCAACTACACCAGCGCTGTGATATCATACGATGTAAGAGTATCTCATCTTCATTCTTTCGTTAACGTCTTGCTCGCTTCTCGCAGCAACATTCCCAGGACAAGATTTCTGACATTCGACATACATTTTGGTATATTTACCTATAAAGTGATGCGGAAAGTCGAGATATTTAGATATTTGGTCGTGTCGAAATGTATTTCACCCCAAAATACCTATCACTCCTGGCAACATTGGCCTCAAATGTCAACTGCTGGCAAGATGTAAAAGCAAAAGAAGAGTGTATTAAGGAGAGGGGACACTCAAACATACATCCAAATTCAATTTATCATCAGTGAATAGTCGTAGTCATATCCATGTACTGCAACCACCAAATCACAACGTTTTACTTTTTTTGAATTTAATGAGTTTTTGGCCCGAAGGCCAGTTAAAAATTCCTCTAAACCAGTGGTCTAGAGAGTAGTTGGAGTATTGTTTGCAATCAGCAATAATCGAGACTCAGTAAGAACTTCAATGTCGTCGATACACTCCTGCGAAAGGTTAGAAAAATTAAAAGGTCGCGGGCCAAGTGGTAGAAAACCAATGCATGTGGCTTGTGATGTGGCTTGTAAAGTACCAAGTTGCTGCGAATTTAATCTGACGCGTCGATGTGGCATATGAAGTCGGGCCAAGACTATATTCACGTGTCATGATACACGAACATCTGTTGGAGCTTGCTGCGGCTTGTATTAGGTGCAATATTCACGTAGATATTGGTGTTATTCCTTTCCAGCTATGAGATCAAGATAGGTCAGGGTCTACTACAAGAAATGGGCATAGGACATCGAGCGATCTCTTCTCGTGTCTCGTGCTTTGCTATGGGAAGAAGTTTGCTGCGAGAAGTATGTGACGCTGTAGTCACATAGATGTATAAGTTGTCGTTTCTCAACTGGGCATTTCATTGGTCAGTGATTACAGCGCGAGGACATCTGATATCAGGATATCTGATATTCGATACCGATATATCGATACGAAACACAAAACATTCAATATGAATTGAATAATTTGGAGCGCCTTCAGCACGGATCTCCCAACCCTATACG